CATACGAGCAGTCCTTCTCCTTCCCGGCAACCTTGCACGTCGAGCAGAAGGGCCGCTTCGCGTCACATTTCTGTCCTATATTCAGCACGACGTCGGCAATGGGGGCGGCTAGATAGGCTCACCTTCTTTTTCCTCCTGCATCGCACGCCCATTCAGTCATCGGGCCACCACGTGTGAGCTGGCGGCTCACTCACCTGCACGGCACGCAGGCGGCGCCTTTCTTGAGATACTCGCCCTTGGGCCCTGCAGAGATCGCTGAAGCCGTCGAGTAGTCGCATTCGACCGGGCGACGGGCCTTGGAGCAGGGCCCGCAGATAGGGAGGACGCCATCGCACCGCTGCACCGCATTTGAGCGTGACACATCATGGGGATCGACGCAGCAAGCTTACGACTTTGCGGCCGCTAAGGGTTCCGCACCAGGATCGATCGGGGATAGTTAAAAAGTGCTCATCAGCGCCTCGACAGGAACGTGAGAGGACACGGGGATATGTACCGGCATGCTGAGCAGGTCTGGCTGCCGGCCATGGTGATGGGGGTTGGAAGCAAGAGGGGATTTCGGATTACGACAGGGCTTGGACGGATATCAGAGGCCTGTATCGGTTCCGGCACTGAATGAGCAGACTAGCGCCGTCGTTGTCGGGGACTTTGAGGCAGGTGTGCTCGTCGCATGGGATGGGCTTCTCCGAGTCCGGAGTGATCGGCCTTTGCGGACAGCGAGCAATCCTGCGAGCGAGCTGGGGAGCGGGCTGCGAGGCGGACACCCGCTCGTGGCTGGGGAGGCCGGGGTGGTGGTGGTAGAGAAGAGAGTTGGTAATGGCAGGTCTGAGACGAGCCGCACTAAGGACATCAACGTCAACAACCTGCACAACCGCCGTCGATGTCCTCCCTCACAGTTAATAGCCGCCCCATGCTGGCGTTCGCCGTTCGTGGCAAATTGCTGCCATTTTGCTGCGGGCAGTCGATAGGCGGCACTTGCCAGTGCCATTCTGCCGGGCTCGGGCGGAATTTGGCAGAATGACCGCGCCTATGTAACGAGGGTATTCCCCCTCACAATGGGTTTCTTTGGTCTGAAGGGCTTGAATAAAACTCGCCATCGTCATTTATTTGCTGAAATTTCTGAAAAACAAGTATAGGGGGCCTCCTGAGGAACACGAGTACAGTACCCAGGACATACCTACCCAACTCTAGGGATTATGGCGCTTAAATATATGCCGGTATTTGCCGCCTTGGCAGAGTCGTTCTGCCATTTCTGGCGGAGAACCCGCGGACTAAAACAATTCTGCCCGGTCGCTCACTTGAACATGCTGCTGCCAATGTTGGGAACAAGTGGTAGGACAGCAGTATTGTCATTGATGACATGACCAACTCTGGGCGCGAAAAGCAGAAGTGCAAGAAGTTGTACTGGGTGGTATTATGCGGGCAGCGTACTATTACAATGGAAACACGTGTGTGGAGACTACAGTACGGTCGAGAAAATGTTCAAGAAGTAGGTATAATACAGTGGTGGGGTGGGGATGGGTGCGATGCTCAAACGACGTTGGCGCCGACGGGACCAGGGTGACCAAGGCCAGCTCCAGCAGCGTTCTGACCAACTCCAGCTCCGGCACCAGTGTGCCCAGCGCCAACGCCTACGCCCGGGATGCCAGAACCAGTGGTGTTTGCAGCAGCTCCGAGAGGAGCGCCTCCGCGCGTCGCCATGTTCGCGCCGTTCGCACCGTTAACACCGTTCGCTCCGTTGTTGTAGCCGTTGCCATACCCATCGTGATGCTTGCCCGACGAGAGACCGAAGGCGCCGTACTCGATGCTGCGAAGGCCGAAGAGGAAGAGGAATAGGAAGACGGGGCCGGCGAGGAGGTCGAGGATACCGTAGAAGATCATCTCACCGGTGGGCGAGATGACGTTACCGCCCTCGGACAGGCCCCACGAGATCGGATAGAGAAGGAGGAGGAAGGAGAGGTATGCCGAGCTGCGAACGTAACCGGAGCGAACGACACCACCGGCCGCGAAGGTGCTGCGGGGACCGTGGCCGAGGAGCATGTACCTATGTATGTGCGTCAGTGATCGATGAGTATGATGCGGCTTGAAAAATGAAATACCAGATGTAGAACAACGCCATGCAGCCGAGGACGAAATATCCCCACTTGTAGCTGCTGACAACCAGCGAGCCGACAAGGCCGCAAACGACAAACACCCAAGCCATGAACATGGTGGTGAAGATGTCGGAGAGCGAGAGGCCGGTGGCGAGGAGGAGCTCAAGGAGGAGTAGCGGCAGGGTGATGAACCATTGGATGTAGCGGACGAACTGAAAAAAGAGGTCGATTGATATCGACTTGTATGATAGAAGCAATGGTTTACATACCCAGACTTGGCGTGTGCCAGCGCCGCCACGTTGGAATTGCGCGGTGACGGGTGTTGCGCCGAGGTCGGACGCCATAGAGTAGTAGGCAATCGTGGCGGTCGTGAGGACGATGACAGCAACCTGGTGGAAAAGTCGTGTTCCGCGTGGTCTCTGCGGGCGTTGTCAACAACCAATTCGGCGAAAAGAGGAGTCGAATGAACTCACTCTGAATGTCCAAAAGACCATAATCAGGTCGCTGATCGCCATAACGGCGAACACCGCCCAAAGCCAGTCGGAGCCACCCGAGGTGATATGCCTGTCGGCATTGGGCGGGTTGTGGTCGAGAGAGCTGGCCATCTTCGTCGAGGTCGTAAAGCTCGTGAGGAGGGGTCGTAAAGGCGTAGGGGGGATGTGAAAGGTGATAGTTGGTGAGGAGGAGCGGGGTGTGGTTGGATACGGTTCTTATAGGATCGCAGGGCGGCTGAGCCGAAGAGAGGCGGGAGCGGGTGCAGCTGGCAGGTCAACCAATGTCGTCACCGACGGAGGGTTGTGTAGGGCTGACGGGAAGCGAACTGTCCAGAAGGAGACGCCCCATGGGCTGGGCCGTGCAAACAGCCTCCGCCTGGGACGATCCGCAACCCCATTTCGCTGCTGCGATAGGTCCGGGCGATGCCACCGTTTGAATGCGCCCATCGAGGGGGGGACCATCGAGGCGGATGATGAGCCCATGACGCGGATGCTGGTCACCTCCTCGGTAGTAGGCGCATCACTCCCCGGCGTCGCCCCAACTCGAGCCCGGGCAGGAAGCAATCCTTCTCTCTTGGGATCTTGTGACCGTGACGGATCCGCAGGACACAGCTTGGAAGTCATCCAATAGAAGCCAAAAACCTTCGACGTCTCGGACAGCTATGAGGGCGGAGCTCTCCGGGCGAGCGTTGATAAAAACATAGCGATGCGCATGATAGTATAGACATCGTCCACGACTAGGGCTGCGTATTTCATCGACGAGCTAGCCGTGGTAGAGTCTGAGAGTCTGGTGGACCCGAGTCCGCGGCTCACGGTGGGCTAGATCGTGGCACTGGTAGCCGCGTTTTGTGGAGCATCCGAACGTAAACAGGAATGCATATGTATCCTACCCAGACGTCCGCGGCCCGGATTTAACCTAACCCCCAGTGAGAAAACCCCTGCGCCTGGCTTCACTGTCAGCCGTGCCCGCTGATGGTAGCGGCACTGGTATCGCGCAACGTGCACATCCACGAGCCCACATTCAGTCGCTTGAACTTGTTTTGTACTCGTTGAGGTGCACGTTTCCCACTCATATCGATCAGAAAGTTCAAATAACGGCGTACCTGTCAAACATGTCGTTTCGCGTCCAATTGGGGGCGTGGACGGAATTATAAGAGGTCGTTTCTGACAAAGCAGCATCGGGTCCTATCATTCCCATACCTGTTCGTACAATGACGCCGTTACGTGCGCGACGCGTGTTATTACTTCTCGCATGACACCTCCGCTTACCGCCAGTACGTGGGCGCGCTGGCCCCGACGATCAGACGCGCCTCGTCCAACGCCTTCAGGATATCCTCCGGCAGCGGCCCCTTCTCGCTGTCCTCCAAGTTCTGCTTGAGCTGCGCCGCGCTGCTCGCCCCCAGGATGATGCCATCCTCGGGTGTGAGCACGGAGTGGTACTGGCACCAGCGCAGGGCGATCTCGGTCAGCCGCAGCTGGTGCTTCTCCTGGAGCAATACAACCGTCAGCGTCAGCGCGCTATCCCCGCCTCCACCTCCACAGTGGGCCTGGGCCTGGTTTCGGACTTACCGCGATGGGCTTGAGGTAGTTGAGCGCGTCGAAGAAGCCGTTCTTGAAGTACCGTGCGCGGTACATCTTGCCCATCGCGCTGCTCGGGTCGAAGCGCCCGCCCTCGGGGGCCTGCGCGTCGGGGGCGGCGACCTTCCCTGCGAAGAATCCACCGCTGTGTGGTGTCGGCATCGTTATATGGCATACATGATACCTTGAAAAAGAATGTGCTCACGCAAGCGGATTGTAGATGACAAGGCGGATACCATACTTGCGCAGGCAAGGCACGAGTTCGGGCTCTATTTCGCGGGTGACGGCATTGTACATGCTGAATGGGGATCAGGTCAGTATGCACGGGGAGTACATCGGTCGGTGAGCGCATGACGTACGCCTGGTAAATCTTGGGCTGGACCCAGCCGTTGGCCTTGCAGATGCCGACTATTTCGGCGACCTAGTGTAGCAGTACAGTGAGCATCAATGCCCCCCGCCGATGCAAGAGATACTCGCCTCCCACGCCGCGTAGTTGCTCAGTCCAAAGATCTCACTGGAGAGGACGTAGCATACGTCAACACTCGAGTACACCGAACCCGACGCAAGGGGTACTCACAAGAGCCCTTGCTTGTGGAGCTCGTTGATCTCTCGGACTGTGTCCTCGAAAGGCACGGTCCGATCGGGCGCGTGCAGGTACAGCACCCTGACCTTGAGCGGCGCGAGTAACTTCAACGAGGTCTCGAAGGTCGCCCGAAGCTTAGCAGGCGCATGGTCGCCTGGCGTCACCGGGTACACCCTGAGGGAAGCATTGGCCACCCGTGAATCAGCCGCACACTGCAAAATATGCAAGATCGCTCACTTCGTATCGATCGTGGCACCCTTCAGGTCGAGCTTCGCCAGCAGCTGTAGATGTGGCCTGAGCTGTTACTCTGACACGCGAGGCAGGCAGAGCACGAACAGGCTCGGTGGTGCCTTCAGCGTACACCCGCGCCGTGTCGAGCTCCTTGTGTCCATGCGAGAAGAACGTGTCGAGGATCTCCTGGCATTCCTTGAGATCGGCCGTGCGCACGCCGTTCTTTCCGGCCTCTCCCATGGTCATGGTGCCCTAACCATCCGGGGGATTAATTAGTCTCATTACACAGGCGCACGATCATGCGATATGCGACGTACAAAGAGCAGCGGGATCTTCGTGGACGACATGGTGGACAGCAGACGGGTGTGCAGGTACGCGCGGGGTGCTCGGTTTGCTAGATATCGCAGCAGCTTGGGCGATAAGAGTAGAGAAGGGCGCAGTGGGATTGCTTACAAAGTTACATGGACGACCTCCACGCCATGGTGGCTCCGTCCAAGTTCGCTCACACCCGAGGAGCGGGGCGTACGGGGCGACGGACCGGGATGCCCTAGAATATGGTTAAGGGCTATCTGAGATGGGCCGATGACCTCGTTAATGAACGCCATCGAGATTGGGTACATACCGCCTCCTCCCCGCAGCATACGGCACTTGCGCAACCACTCCGCCTCCCCCGCCTCGTCCTGGCCCCACACAGCTGCTGTCATACATCATCGTATATCACTCTCACTGCGGGGTACACTCCACTAAACCATACCCGCTATCTTCTCCCCCACATCGACTCGGAGTCTCCACACACATGGGTGCTAAGAAGAACAAACTCAAGAGGATGCTCTCGCCGACCACACCGCCGCCGCCGGAAGCAACCGCGGACGACGATGAGCTCATGGACGACCTCTTCGCGCAACTCGACTCCAAGGACGGCGCGGTCCGCCACGAGTCCGCGACGGTGCTGAACGAGATGCAGATCGACCGGGTCGCCGACCAGCTCGAGTCCGTGCCCAAGAAGGACGGAAAGGCGAGACACAAAGCGCGACAGGTGAGGTCCCCAAGCACACATCCCGATCTACGCGCCGGCTGATAACGTGCGCACCCACTAGGCGAGAAAAGCCGCCGCGCTCGCAGAAACATACGCACCCACAGACGTCGAGGCCGACGCGCGCCTCGAGCGCCAGGCGAAGGACGAAGAGGAGCAGATCAAGAAAACGTGCGACGAGCTCGGGCTGCTCCTACACGAGGTCAGACCCTCCCCTTCCTTACTGACCGTCCCACCCACACGCCCCCACCCATCTAGATCAACCCCGACGGGCACTGCCTCTTCTCCGCCGTCGCAGACCAGCTCGCGCTCCTCGGCGTGCTCCCCGCCTCGCAGGCGACGTACGCGACGTGCCGGCGCGCCGCGGCCGACTTCATCCACGCGCACCCGGACGACTTCCTGCCATTCCTACCGTCCGAGGTGGGCGAGGACACGGCGGGCGCGACGGAGGCAGGGTTCATGACGCGCGCGCAGTTCGACCGGTACTGCGCGCGCATGCGCGACACCGCGATCTGGGGCGGGGAGCCGGAGGTCGTCGCGCTGAGCCGCGCGTATGGCGTCGCGATACACGTCGTGCAGGGCGGGCAGCCGCCGGTGGTTGTGCACGATCCGGCGGATCCGGCGGGCCAGAAGACGGAGGCGGAGGGGGGCAAGCGGACGGTGTATATCAGCTATCATAGGCGACTGTATGGGCTGGGAGAGGTGAGTGTCGTGTCGCGGTGGTGTATCGATTGCGCTGACGCGTTCGATAGCATTACAACTCGTTACGACCGAAGACGTTCGCCAACTCCCTCCGATCTGTTTTCCAATGACTATCGGCCGGGGAGCACCAGAAAGCGCCAAGAGGACTTCCGGCGGTGCCTTTGCGATGGGCTTCTTGAATGTCGATACACGTGCTGGAAGTTTTGGCTTTAGGAAGGCCATGGCTCACGGGAGTTGATGAAGGTGTGAGGTGTGTACGGCAGTGTACCTCAAAACCTGTATTTGTGTCCGGGCAGCTCAGTACGTAAACACGTTCCGTCGCACAAGTATATATATCCACGGTTACAGTGCAATAAATGTATTTCAGACTGTATGCAGAATATGTCAGCCACCCCCACTGATAAAATGAGTTTCGTGCAGTGGTCATTGGTATCATCATCAGGCTCGCAAACGGATGGTAAGTACAACACTCGGTCTTAAATTACAAGCACCTCCAGCATCTCCTCCCCCTCAGAGCATGTCCAGCAAGTCGTTGCCCTGCGGTCGCGGCTCGTCGCCTATGTATCCTCCAAACGCGTTATCGAGGCCCGCGTAGGGGTCTGACGGCCGTGCTTGAGCGGGCGCCTCGTCGTCGTCTCCAACGTCCTCCGGGCTCTCCTGCGATGAGCTTGTGGCCATAAGGTCGGTGTTTGACCCGTTCGCGCCATTCGTGCCAACCGCCCCGTTGGAAGGTGCTGCCGGCACTTCCGCCTGCAGCAGGTCCGCGGTAGCCGGGGCGTCCTTGGACGGCTCTGGAGGCCCCGGGCCTGGGACGTGGATGGACGTCGGCGGGAGGTTGGTACGCGCGATGGGAACGAGCACTTGTCGGGAGAGCGGGTTGAGGGCTGGGCTGTCTGTGAGGGCCCTGCCGGTAGCGTTGCGGATGAATGTCTGCGATACGACTCCGGTCAGTAACTTTTTAGCTGCATGCTTGCACGAGCGGCAGACCTCTGGGTTCTTGTGGTAGATGCTGCCCAGCGTCCCGGTGTGCAGCAGGAGCTGATCAAGCGCGCCGCGGTCCATACGATCGGCATCTGTCGTGATCGGGGGCTTCTCGGCGAGGACGACCTGCCCGGCGACGGTGGGGTTGATCGCGAGCATGCGCCAGTACATGAACCCGCGGTCGCGCAGATCCGGGTTGTCCACCTCCTCCGTCGCCCACTTCAGCACCTTGTGCACGAGCGCCTTCGTCGTGTCCGAGTGCGGCTTGTAGATGAACAGCTTGACCGCAGCGGTCAGCAACGCCAGTTGCACCTGTGGGCGGGATCAGCATGCGCAGCAGTGGGAACGCGGGGCTGGGGTACCTCCGTGGGGTCCTCGAGGAAGGTGTATGTGAGATCGTCCATGAGCTCGTCGGCGTTGTCGATGCGGTTCGCGAACTGCCCGACGATCCAGATCATCGCGGCCTTGGACTCGGGCTCGTCGAGCGAGTCTAGGTGCTCGCAGAGTGTCGGGATGATGCCTTCGTACTTGCCTGGGTATCGACGGAAGACGTCCTTGATGACGATCACGGCCTCCTGGACGACGTAGGTCACTTTCGTCTCGATGAGCTCGAGAAGCGCTTGTATGCAAGCATCCGCTGCGGCTTGGACCTTGATCGCGAGTCTACCGATTGATCGAACGGCCTTGCGGACGAAGTCCACATCGACTTCAGAAGCGTACCTGTGCTCGGGTTAAGCTCTGTAGAACATGACTAGCGAATCAAGACTCACTCTTGCAACTCTGCTAGGACTTCTCGCGCGTTCTCATCACGAGCTAACCGGTACATGATCTCAAGCTTGGCTAGCTTGACGTATATAGGGTCGTTATACTTGCAGAAGAAGACTTTGACATCGTTCTTGAGCACGGCTGGTCGCCGTTGGATTATGAGAAGGATATTGCGCAGAGCAACATACTGCACTTCCGGTCCCGAGGATAGCAGGGTCACTAGAGCGCATGTGAGTTATAGACTGACAGAGTATACCGGCGGTAGGGCACTCACCTAGTGGTGGGCCCATCTTCCTACAGATGTACTCCATGATCTTCCGGTTGTCCATATAGTTCATGAGGTACAGCAGGACTTTGATCGCGGTCAGGACAACAGCAGAGTTCGCGTGATTTAGCTGAACGATGACACGCTCTGCTATCATCTCCGCGTCTTCGTGCTTTTCTGGAACATATCGGAGCAACGAGTCTAGAATGTATATGGTACCCCATCTACACAATCACGGTTAGTTCACATCTCTAAAAACACGACAGTAAATGAGAAGATGCGTACTCCGAACTCTCACCAAGGGCAGTCAAGAGCTTGTTTGCCACCGTCAGGTTCAGCTTGAAGATAACGCCGTCTTGTCGATCCCCAATCTCTGACAGAGCTGCGACGGCGTTGGCGACTACGGTTGCATTTGCGTCAAGAAGCAGGTCGCGTAGCATCTCCACGAAGCCACCCTTCTCCGCCTTCCGTGGATCCGCGGCGTAGAGTTTCGCGACACAAATCGCAGCAGTTTTCCTGACGTAGGGGTCGCGGTCCTTGAGGCAATGTCGTAGCTGATCGGTCAGGGACTCGATGACTACGGGAGTGGGTATATAGGACATAGTCCGAATAGCCAAGGCGCGAACTAGGGGGTTGCGGTCGTTACAGTCCTACACGTTGTTAACAGGTCCTCGAGATTTTGAAACTATGAGGTGCACGTACCTGGAGGAAACTTGGAATGACGAGATGTAGCTGGTCTGCCTTTTGGCGTCCATAGCATACTAGGAAGAGGTAGACCACTGCAGCACGCTATGAGCACGCGCACTGATCTACCGCAGGCGGTATACTCACTCTTCTTGATTTCCAACAATGGTGTCCCCAGAGATTGTACGACATCAGTGAATAGTGGAGACACTGCGCGCGACCCATGAGCGTTCCGCGCAGACTGGGGTACTACGAGGTCCAGACATACTGTCATTGCCCATAGTGATATTCGCAACAATCTTCTTCAGCACAGTCTTCCGCTTCGTGAACTTCTTGTCCTTGGTCTCCGCCGCCTCCAGCTCGGCGCGGAATTCCTGCAGCCTCTTGCTTAGACACGCCCACTTAGCGTCGTGGTGATCGGGCGCACCTGGATCTTGCCCCGCTGGAAGAACTTGGCATCTTGGCCACCCTGTCCGCTCATGTTACCTTCCTAGACACGACCCAGATTCCGTGCGCCTATCCAGACTGAGCAGAGTGTATATGACGGGAGCAATTCGATACCAGTGAGGCCAGATGCCGCCGCGTGCGTGAGTGAGCAGGTGAGGGATGTGCTGCTGCTGTAAGCGCGCGTAATGATCCCTCTCCGACGGACGCGGTCCGGCTCTGCCACTGAACTTCATGCGCATGGCTCCTCCTCGACGGCATCTCGCACCTCCACCACTGGTCTGCTCCCCGAGGGCCTCTATCGACCCCGTAGATACGCCTGAAATTGATGGTGTCCTCAAACAACTCAAGGCATGCTCACGGAGACTGCAGGCCGCCCTAGCTTGCCATCGGACCGAGCTGCAGGTCCTGGAGAGGCTCTACTACAAGGGGAAGAACCAGCACCGCACCGCGCTCTTTTGGCAACGCGTCGCCGAGATGCGCAAGCTCGGAGAGCGCGTCGACGAAATGAACATGGACGACGCAGTCGAGAGCCTCCGGCTTGCATTCTGGGGTGACCCCTCCTCCCGAACGTGAGTGCCCCTGGACGATACTCCCAGAACGCCGGTACATACCAACTCCATACAGCCCGAAGCTGCTCAAGGGTCCATGGACGCACTGTCCAGATGCCAAAGTGCTGCTCTTCGTGATGGAGAGATGCTCTGCGTGCTGCACGCTAGTCGACCGAGTAAGCCGTCGGTTGCCCGCATGTCTGCGCCCTTTCCCGGCCGCGCCGCTCAATTTCTCCCGCCAGGCCCGCGAACGCCTCCTCCGTGCATACGAGTGAGCACACGCCGTTTGCCGTGGCGCCGCACGCCGAACTCACCGACGCGTCCGGGCAGGTCCTTTACGCTTATGATGCAGACCGGTGCATTCCTTCAGCTTGTGCTTGCGCTCGCAGCCATTGCGTCACGCCTCAGTCTCGTGCTGTCCGAAGTGAGGAGTGCCCTCGAGGTTTCGTGGGCTGCGAGCTACCGAGCATTGCAGACTCTTTTCGTAAGTCCAAGTCTGCGTAATTATTATGCCATGCCGGCTCACTCGATGATAGCCTGCAGAAGTCGCGAAGGTAAAGAAACTCGTAGATACAAACTCTACAGCTGCACTCCCGCCAGCTCCAGTACCCTCAATATCGACATTCACGCCCTCAGACGTTGTCCCTGAACCAGGCGACGTTCCGGATGAAGATTTAGGCAGTGCTCTCGTCCGTCCCCCTCCCCCTTCCCCTCCCCAAGCTCCCGAAGAGAACGTCATCGCGTTCCACGCGGATGCAGCCACGCAATCGCAGCCCGAGGAGCAGCCATCGGGCCCTGTGGCATACTCGCTGCTTCACGAACTGGCCCAGCCGATCGGTACGCGGCCTCCGATGGGGGTTTCCGTCGGACCCCACGCCGCCCGCTCATTTATCTCTTCGCAGCGACTACGGTGTCCAAATCCGCGGAGAGCGCAACGGGTAGCAAACTGGTTCAACCTGTGGCGGGCGCTCCGAAGAGGAAGAAGGCAGAGGACGATAAGGGCAGAGCGGCAAAGAAGAAGAAAAAGAAGCGGGACGCGATTGACGACATTTTCGGGTTTTAGAGTCAATACAATTGCCCGGATCCATGGGATGGGTTCACCTGGAGGGAAGATATTTTCGTGTCGTCGCGGCCCGCGCAATCGACGCGCAGTGTTATAGTTTGACGATTTGCACGGGCAATCCCATAACCAAGAAACATCATTACATTAATTGTTTGAGTACAGCATGATGCATTTACTGGCCGAAGGTGGGGCGGCTGAAGCCCTTCGAGCCAAACCAGGTGCCCTTGACCTAGCGGAAGGTAAGTCAACGGGATTGGCAGGCAGCAGATGACGAGTCTACGCACCATGTAGTTCCAGTAGACGTAGGGGAAGAAGTCCTTCTTGAGGTAGTAGAAGGCGGAGCGGGGGATAGCCTGGTCGCCAAAGACGTTGCTGAACGACTCCTGGGGCTCAAGGCCGTACTTGAACTCGGCGAGCATGAGCTTGCCGTACCCAGTGAGAAGCTGTGAAGACGTGTGAGACATGGAAGACGCCAAGGTATCGCATTTGCACGTACCGGGCAGCTCGTGTAACCGTCATACTCCGCACCAGCGACCTTACCGGTATCGACCACGGAGAACAAGTTCTCGGTGAGCACGGGCGCCTGAGCAGTGATGGCCGCGGCGGTCTTGCTCGTCGGCAAGCTCGAGCAGTCGCCGATAGCCCACACGTTTCCGAGATCCGCGCTGGTGTGCCGAAGCGTCGCCTTGTCGACAGAAACCCAACCAGCCTCGTCCGAAATCGGAGAGCCCTTCAAGGCATCGAGCGGGCCCATGGGCGGGGAGACGTGCAGAAGCGTGTAGTCGACGTCAACCGTGCCGTCCGCGGTCTTGAATGTCGCCTTGTGCGCATCCGCGTTGACCCCGACGAGGTTGTGTGCAAAGTGGCCGCCAACGCCGCGCTCCTGACGGAGCGCGTTCAGTGCATCCGAGTACTTCTTCACGCTGAACATGGACGGCATGCCCGTGTAGAAGTCAACGGAGACCGTATCGCCGCGCCCAGTGCGCTGGTACCGGTCCCAGGCCATCCACATAATCTTCTGCGGGGCTGTACGCCGACCATGAGCGAGCGGCGAGGACGTGGGAGGAGAAATGACATACCACCGGCACACTTGATAACACCCGCGGGCTGGGTGAAGATGGCCTTGCCTGACCGAAGCGCATCGACGTCCCTCCACACCTTGTCACAGGTGTTGTAGGAGTAGATGGAGGATACGCCGGACGCGGGGTCCGCAAGGGCTTTCTCAAGACCCGGAATGGTCGACCAGTTGATCTGGAGACCGGTGGCGACGACAAGGTTCTCGTAGGTGATCTTGCGGCCGGAGGCAGTCGTCACTGAAGACGACTTAGGCTCAAAGGTTTTGACGTTTTCGGGGATGTGCGCGAGGTGCGAGGGAATGAGCGAGTCTAGCCTCCGGCGAGTCTCATCCTTGGCCTTCAGACCGGCCCCGACAAGAGTCCTGCATGACGGTTGTGAGCAACCTGACAGGGGTCCAGAAGAGGATGTATGCATACCATCCAGGCTATTCGACATGACAGACGTCATAGATTGGGCAGTACGAGATCTCGTGAGCGCCATGTTACGGCACTCCCAGCAGCAACACACACCTGATAGTAGTGATACTCGGCGGCATCGAGGATGGCGATATCACCCTTGTTCAGGGCTTTGCCCGCGCTCTTGAAACGGTTGTAGATCTGGTTTGCAACCGTCAAGCCGCCGGAGCCTAGCAGATGCACGGAGGCGTACGCAGAGCGACGATCAGGACATCATGACAAGATGCGGATTGATATGTCAGTCGTTGCGCACCTGCTCCGACCACGACCACCTTGAACTTGTCCTTGTCCGCGGCGGTGCTCGCCCAGCGGCGGGCGGCAGCAGGCGATGACCTCATAAACGCCTTCGACCTAAGCGCGAGCATCTTTTCCTTTTCGTGTGTGGTTCGGAATTCGCGAGAGTGGGGTGCGGTCCGACGCAGAAGGGAAACAGAGGGTCAGAAAGAGGGGTGGGCGGCGCAGCAGACGGCGGGCGAGTGGAGGTATATGTGCAGACGAGAAATTCGGAATTTGCAGCAGGCGCCCTTCTGGCATATGGCCCGATTCGTCATCATGAGCCACGGCCCGCCACTTCCCTCGACCTCGACCACCTCCGCTAGTCGGGCATCGTCGACCACAGCGCGCGATGCCGTATGCATTCGGAGAGGGAGTATACAGAGCCTTTACCGCACCTGAGAGAGGCCGGAGTCCAGACTAGGTGAGCCTCATGATGGAACCGTACCCCTGGACCGTGCGATGCACGCCGGGAGTCTGCGTAGTAGCCATCGAAACGGCGGGACCGCTGCGTCTTCTTGTCTCCGTCCCCCTCTCCGCTGCCCGCTGTACGTCCACCACGTCCACCGCAAGAGCTGCTCCGGGACGAACTGCTGGCAGTTCACTCACAGTCCTGTCGCATTCTTGATATCCTACTGTCACACGTCTCATTCGCCGCTGGTCTGGACACCTTTGCACGCCCCGCACGCTCACGGCGACATTCCCTCGCTGATACCGAGAGCACTTCAGACGGTTGCGACATCTGTCGCTCTCACACGCGTCGTCGTCGACACATATAACGGCTCCACGGTGCGCTCTCTTGTCTGCGTCGCCCCTCGAAGCTCCTCCGCCGCAGCGCCGGCACTGACTCCCTTCGTTCATTTCGCCCGGTCTCCCGGTGTATTAGTTGCTTCTTTCTTCTTCTTCCCAATCCGCTGTGCGGTAGGTTCCGAATTGCCAACGTAGGTATTTGCGTAAAGCTGTGTGGATTAAGCATACTAACGGTGTTTCAAAGGTTAGGTAGGTACAAGGATCGCTGAGATCGCTGCCGCTTTGAGAGGAAACAAGGTATGTCTCCGTCCCATTCACCATCTGCTTCGCGCCGACTGACTGTTGGACTCAACCCAGTGGGATTAACCTATTCGTGATCAGCAGGACTGTTTCCCCCCGCACGCGTCGTCGACACATAACGGCTTTACGGTGCGCTCCCTTGTCTGCGTCGCCCTTCGAACCCCTCGCCAGGAACTGACTCCCTGCCTTCGTTTCGTGTGGTCTCCCGGTGTATCAGTCACCTCCTCTGCACTCGTTCAGGGCTTGTAACACCTTGGCAATCAGCAGGACTGACTATCGCTCGGGCTCACCAACACCCTCCGTCCCGCCCTTCACGAACAACCTGTAAAGTTCGGTTTGCATGTCTGTCTCCGGCCGATCCAACTTCGGACTTCCCTCCACCCCTCGCGCACGATCCTTCGCGGCGGGACCCACTAGACAAGACATTCCCTCCCGTCCCCAGAGTTCTGCGAGCGATCGGCGTCTCCCTCCGTCTAGCTACAATGCGCCACCGCCTTTGCCTAGCGACCCCCGTGTAATTCGCCCACAGAGATCGTATACAAACCTACCTTCGGCCCCGTCTGGCAGCATTCGCTCTCGCTCACTCGATCGCAGTGCCGGGCCCCGTCATGCTCCTTCACGGTCTGATCCTCCACCCCCGCTTCCAGGCCTTCCCGCTTCCCGCAGGCTTCTCCGTGCGCCAACCCAAAGCCGGGGCAATGGAGGCCTTCACGCTCCTACGCGATCGGTCGATAACTATGGCTATCGCAGGAGCGATGATGTAATGTCAGACTCAGCTTCATCGTCCGGCGGCTCTGGGACATTCTCGCCGCTGAGCGCAGCATCATCCAGGACAAGCATGGACGAGGGGGAGATGCTGGACGAGAAGGACAAGCACACGCCAGCGGGACACGGGTCGTCGCTCTGGTCGAGCATCACGGGCGCGGCGAGCAACCTGACGATCAGCGTCAGCAAGGCGCTGTCCGCGAATGTTGCAGCTTATAGCGGCGAAGGTGTGTTCCCTTTCGTACCCCATCTCCATCTTACAGCACCAGTTATTTACGGAGGTGCCGTATTTTAGTCACGCCTGTGGGAGGAGAGAGTCGTCTTACGCGTGCAATGAAAGCATATCATATCGAGAAGGCCCGCGACCCAGCAGACCTTCCTGAATGGCTCTTCGACGAACGCGAGCGGGGCGTTCGCGGCCATCAAACATCTCCGAAACCCCGTTCGCAGGAGCAGGAAGCACCCCCTTCCGAACCCACCTCGCTCTCCCGCTCGATGACAACGGCGCGCCGCGAAGAGATGCCAATGCCGCCTCGGATCGCCCGTGGCCCCACTCTGGCGGACCGCCGGGCGAACGAGAACAACGCAGGGAGCGAAGAGCACGTCACGAAGTCGATGGCCCGCCTGCGAGCACTGCGCGATGCGAAGCGCAACGCGAAAGTTCGCTTCGGCGGCGAAGACGAAGAGGATTCGCAGCCTGCGCCTCCTCCTGCGCCGGAGCGTCCGGAGCGCTCTGCAGCTCGTCCTGTTGCTCCCTCGTATGGCGCTTCCGCGCCGATCCCGCCGCCTGCCAGGTACGCCCCCGTATCAAGGGAGGCCCCGGAGCGACCGAGGGGCATGCCGGCGCCTCTTGGCGCGGGCGCCCCTCTCGGGGGTCGCGGGCGGCAACCGCGGCTGGGGTTGCCTTCGGGAGTGCGCCCGGTACGAGCGTAGAAGCTGCAAGGCAACGTAGATTTTCGCGGCTCCGGGATGGTGGTTCAATTGGGTTGCGGGTGAACGGATGATACTTCTATATTGGTGAGGGCGCGTGTTGCGTCTGACACCTGTGCCACTTACATGCCTTCCTCGTGTTGTTGGAACTTGGACGCGCACAGGTATCGTGTTGGGTCTTGGGAATGAGCGGTGCGCAGTGATATTGTGGTTATTGTTGTGATAGATCTTGTGTACGTGTGCTCTTACTGGACGGTATACTTACGAAGCCTAAGGCGAGACCCGTCTGACGTTCACAATTCCAATGGGTTGTACAGCATGTCCTCCGTCAGAGCATGCTGATTGACGCGCTGAAAACTGTAGTGTTGATGGCGGGATTGCGCCCTTCTGTTGAGCAGGTCGCCTTGGGGGGCAGCCCGAGGATATGGAGCCGGACGTGCGCGGTGGGTTCACGTCAAGACCGAGCTGATTGGGCCGTGATTGTCGCCAGCGCTGCGTAGTACGTAGTGGACAATGCTGTAATGCGCACCGTGCTATCTCACAGCGGGCAGAAGAGACGGACAGATGGGCTCGCACGATGGGGGATCGCGCATTGCCACCGACCGTTCGTCTTCGTTTCTGCAGGACATTTGGCAGATTACCTCTAGCGGGCAGAAGGCGGCGAGGATATCCGTCGAAGAGCCCAGCTTGGCAAAAAGGTTTGGGAGGCTGAGGCACAATGAACGGGGGAACGGGAAGGAGATAGATGCACATGGCCGGGGGCCTGTGCGGGGGTGATCACGATCATGATACACAGCAGAAAGTCGCTCTTGGCCAATCTTGGAGGAGGAGGCTCTTGAGGGAATCTTTGATAACGGTCTCCAGATATTCCTGAGATGTGAGCCTGAACTTTCCAAGGCCTCCCGGTCCTAAGAAATTATCAAGACGAGTGATCGGATTGGCCAGACATCGTTGATGTCAAGTGGCCTGATTCGGTAAGTTGGCCCGATTCGGAATACATTCCCACACCCCACGAGGCGCACGCCCTCGCATGCACGAAGGGCGCCCGCAACGAGCCTCTGAGCTGCCCCACCAGCCCAAGTGTGGTCGGCTCGTCCGCGCTGCTTGACTCGCGTCCTCCTACCGACCTCGCGTCTTCTTCGCATAATCACATCGTATTCGAAGCGTCATAAGATCGGCATGGCTGGCCAACAGGGCGTCAACAATGCATGGTACGGCCGAGAGTTGGACGTGCACGCAGAGCGATCCACTGATTGGTTATCCAGGACCATTCCCTTCAATCCGGTTCGTCCGGACGGCAGAGTGATCTCCCAAGACGCTGCCCGGAAGCTGGTAGACGACCGGATCGGTGAGTGGCGTATAATTAGCCTGGCGCTCGCTCGCTCACAAAGAGCTCAAGCTTTTGGTCGCCGCCTCGACCAATGCATGGAGGAGGCACGCAGGATCCTCGACTCCCGCGACGCAGGGGAACTGAGGAACTCCGAGGAGGCACAGGCCTGGGTCCTCACTACTGAACGCTTTCGCTGTGAGGCCTCCGAGCACCACCACCGGTGCTTTCGGCTTGCCGAGTACATCGTTCATCTCCATTCGGTCTTCTCTGTCCCCGGTGCTGCTCCCAGTTCTCTCCCTCCTATGCCAGAAGAAATAGTTCACTATGTTGGGTACGAGAGGCAGCAGACAAGTACCGCTAAATAGTGGATTTCCCGGTTCCCTTCTTTTACATTCTTCTCTTCTTCCGTGTCTTTGCTACCACGATCTCCTCCAGCTTTGCGTTGTCCTTTCGTCTCGATCTGGGTCGCCTGCTCTTAGTTCATAGCTATTGTTTGTGTGTACAGCTGTATATATCCGGGGACTAGATGCATGATACCTCGCGACTATATCCGTGCGGAACACCGGTGTGCAAACTGTAGTATGAGCCATATCTTCATATGTAGTCATATGTAGTTGTATGTGGCGAGAAAAGCCAGGGAATAACTCGATTTTTGCCTCCTTCGTCTTCACCAGGACTGATCCAAGTGCTTCGGTGCCCGAACGCTCGCGCAAAGCGCCCACCGCCAGATCAAGCGCTTCGTGCGGTTCGAGTGCAGCAATTTGCTACGCACATTGCACGCTGCTCGACACTTTCTTCGTGCATGGCCAACCTCGCCTCGCCTCAGCTATGGCGGAGAAACAGGAGCCGCTCTCCTGCTGTTCCTCGTCGTCTCATATGGGTGAAGCAGCGTCACTTGTCGCGCCGCCGACTTCTCGCGAAGTTCCGACGTTCGACAGAACTCTATTCTGGCGCCGTCGAAAAACTCCTGGTCGTCCTGCTCATTTCCCTAGTGTCTATCGTCTCCCACTTCGCCACGAACTACTGTATTTCCATCCTGCTGAATCTGAGCTCTACTGCACTGGGATTACTCCGGCTCTTGCCCGTTTGGCACAGCGTCATATACGCGAGTGTCTTCGTTCGCTCATTCTTTCTTGGTATGTAGAGCATCTTAGTTGTGCAGTACTCGTGTTTGCTGACGCCCTAGCTCCAGAACTTGCACAGGATGATAAGCTGGACGTCTGGTCGGTTTTGTGCCGTCGCCGATTCGAAGAGCAGGATGGGGATCCTGTCGCAACGTCGGACACGATCGTTGAAGCAGCGCGGGGCAAAGGTCATGACCTACGCAGCCCACCAATGACGGTTTTTGTGGCTGGAACTAGCCAAAAGACTGCTGTAGTACGTGAGTATGTCCGTGTGCAGAGACCTGAGGTACACCGCACTGACCATCTGAGCTTCAGGAGTCACCTTCAGCGACACGGTCTCGGCTGTATTCGAGGCTCTGCGACGACAACATCTTGTTGCAGAACTCACCCGGGCTCATCAATACATAGTCTATCCCCCGCATTCCCTCGCTCCTCTCGACCCGTCTGTCTCGCTCGAATCAATCGGTGTTGGAAATGGTAGCACTCTTCAGCTACGAACAGCGGTCCTTGGCGGTGCAAGAGATAGCAGTAAGCTATCACGCTTCTTCAGGGAAAGGTATCCTGATTTTTCTATGCAGGTATGCCACGTTCCACCGCCGATCGAAATTTGTTCCCGTCCGAAACCCCCGAACGTACGTGCCTAGATCACAAACTCTTGAATTCTGGCTTACGTTCTGCGCCCTTTAGGATGGGAGCCTTTGACGGGTGCATACCGCGGGTTGTTCCAATGCCGTGTCTGCCCGGCCTCGCAGCCTTTAGAGAAAAAGCGCATTCGGAAGCACGAGAGATCTGGCGGGCACAAGGAAAGGCTTGCAGGCTTGAACGTAGGGGCGGCGTCGCCGTATGTGCGTGAAGGCCAACCACGCAGCACGGACCTGTGGGTATCAGAAGAAGGCGGCGCGACGCCCACCCTTCATGAGACCGTGCGCGCAGCCCTCGTGGACGTTTTTGAGGAGCGCATGGAGACAGCAGGTGGCGAGGATCCTCCGAGTCCGGAAGACCCCTCACCAGCGACATTTGTTGACTGGGAGAACATACAGATGTCCTCGCAAAGGATGTCATTCACCGAGATGGACATACTTCGCATTTCGGAGAGACTACGTTCATACTTACTCGACGAAGGCGCAATCAGCGAACCTTCGGAAGACGGGGAGAACATGCCTCAACGCGACGACGAGGTGACGCCTGAAGGCGCATATGGAGAGGAAGGTCACGGTATGTTTTTCTCCTTACAAACTTAGTCCTCTTGTTGATCGGTTATGGCGGTCAGAGTCTCAAGAGCTGCCTCATGCGCGAGCACATCGCAGGGTGACAGACGAAGACACACCGTGGTTTCCGTGGCCAGACAAGGAGGCAAGCCAAGATATCTCTTCCTTGTGACGCTCTGAGCCTGACAGTTCTTATCACAGACCTGCGTACTGGACATTCTTCGACACGTCCCGCGATGTGCGTTCTCTCAAAGACAGAATACCGTCATTCATTGGGCACTCGCGGCCCTTGGCGTGAAGGACATCCCCTCCGAATTTGTGGTACAACGTGTCACGAAGAGTTTGCAGCAGCTGTGCGGCATATCCAGCATCCGCTACAAGGGGGCAATGGGCCATATATACTACGTCAATGATCTGGCGTGTATGATTGCACAGGTACGGTGTACCGCTTTGCGGGATGGGACTACGGGTGCAAATGCTTACGTGCACTTTCTACAGGAAATGGCAAATCCCCTGGTGGGCCCGCATCTTCGATTCTTCCCTGAGGATGCAGGTGATCAGTTGTCGGAGGCGTGGCAGGGCGCGCGCTGGCTTGACGAGCTAGACCCTAACCTGGCTGCACCGATGATCCGACACCACGGCCAGGACTACTTTGTGTACGAGCCAGTCCAGCTCGAGAACGGGCATGTATGTATGCCCTTCCGATGGTACAAGCAGGGCGAAGAGATGTTTGCGAAGGCGTGGCCCATGGTGCAATCACCGGATAAGTCCGGCTGGATCGTCCATGCTCACTCACCCTTCGACATGAGCACCGGCCAGCTTCTCGCGTCGCTTCCGAAATTGATGGAGACCCACCGGTTCTATAACATCCCCAGCCCCAGCAACATACTCGGTATGGCGTCATGAATGAGCCGTTACGTGCAGTCTCTGACGATCAAATACAGGTGTCGAGGAACTTCAAGGCGGCGGAATTCACCGCTGGACTCACACCGATCCTCGTCAGGGAAACCGTTGGAGATTGCGAGCTCATGGGCGACGCGTGGTGGCTTTCCCGATCTGGTTGTACTGCGATGATACCTCCGGCAACCTCTCCAAGAAGTGGAATAAACACAATTCGTTCCTCTTCACCGCCGCTGGGCTCCCCCGACGTCTCGTCCATCGAGAGTCCAGTATCCACTTTCTTACGACCTCCAACCTCGCCCCACCACTCGAGATGCTCGACGGGATTGTGGAGCAGTTACGGTTAGTATTATATCTCATTCCAGAGCACATTGGTCTCACGCTGCTTTACAGGGACTGCCAGGAGTCAGGTATCTGGGCGTGGGACTGTGTACACAAGGAGGTCGTACTTGTTGTCCCATCCGTTCTTGCGATGCTCGGGGATAACCCAATGCAGAGCGAGATTGCGTGCCATGTCGGACTTGCAGGCAAGCTCTTTTGCCGGGTATGCAAAGTGTTCAAAGGTCGCTCGTCTGCAGATGCCGCGGAGGATGAAGACGATGACGACGACGACAGCAGGTCTGTTGGGTCGGGCTCCGATGCCCTCAGCGATACGGAGGGGGGCAGCCGCACCATGGAAACTATGGCTCAGATGGTAGATCGGATACATCGGTTCATGTCGGTAAGTCCAGAATACTCCCGATGCGCGAGCGAGTACGATAACAATCGTGATATATAGATTGGGCTCTTGCGTTCTCGGAAGGATACACTCCGGGAGCTTCAATCCCAGTTCTCCGATGCAACGCAGATTGGCGGTCAAGCTAATGTCAAAAAAGCGCGGACGCGGACGGGCATACGAGACACCTACCAGTCGTTCTTCACCGAGCGGCTCTTCTCGCTGACTACTGCACGCGGCAAGAGCCGGGACGAGAGGATGGGCGAGGTCGCTGAGTACCTACGTACAGTACCCTGGGTGGAAGAATCTGCAAGAAGTCCAGTATGGAGAATCCACGGTGCGTCTCATCTTTTTCATAGCCATCTTGTTGCATATCTGACATCCCGCAAGACTTCGATCCCCATACAGATACGCCAGTCGAGATTCTGCATGTCATACTCCTTGGCTTCGTCAAATACCTTTGGCGTGATACTGTCAGCCGTCTCAAGGATCCCGCCAAGCAAACTCTAGTCGCCCGCCTCTCATCGTTCGACGTTTCAGGCCTTGGTCTTGCGCCATTGCTCGGGACTACTCTCGTCACCTACGCGAAGTCACTAGTGGGTCGCGATTTCCGCGCGGTCGCTCAGGTGGCCCCCTTCGTTTTGCATGACCTGCCTGGGATACCGGATGAGCTACAGCGGGTATGGGTTGCTCTTGCACAACTTGTCCCGCTCGTATGGCAGCCTACAATAATGGACTTCCCGTCACATAAGGTGCGTAGTGCTCTTAATTACGGCGGCAGTATAATTACACCGCTGAGACCTGGTCATATTTTGCAGGTACGATTGCAAGAGGCGATTGATCGCTTTCTCGATACAACGTGCCAGCTCACGCCGCGATGGTTTAACAAACCAAAGTTCCATATCATTCTTCACCTCCCCGAGCACATCCGACGCTTTGGTCCGCCAATGCTCTTTGCCACTGAGGGCTTCGAATCTTACAACGCCATCATCCGGTCTCATAGCGTTCATAGTAATCATCGTGCACCATCCCGTGACATCGCGTCGGGTATGGCACATCATAACCGCGTTCGGCACTTCTTGAGCGGCGGGTATTTCCTCATGCCTGTCCTTGTTGATGGACGGGAGGACGAGATCCGCGAAGACAACACGGCGGAGGCCACGGCGGCGGCAACTTCACGACCGCACTCCCCCTGGCTGCGCAAATTGGCACGCCTCAACCTCGAGGACATCCGCTGGCGCTGCATGGGGCCCGCGCCGATGAATCTGCTTTCATCTAACTCCGATGAGGTCGGTGTCGATGTCTTGGAACTTTTCCATCTCAACACGACAAAATGCGACGAAGAAATTGGTATGTCTTCTGCTATCTTCATCATTGACACGAGTTAAAGTGGCTGACACTTCTTTTGAACAACAGGGCTCTGTCGCGGACTCAGCGAGCTGAAGCCATGGAGCACAACGGTCGCATCAAGTTGCGGCACTAGCCTCCCACGTTTGCCTGGCGCATCAACACGATCTCGCCTCTGTCGCACAGCGGAGAAAATTCTTCTGCACGAGGACGGATGGTACAAGTCTTCTGGGCATGCATGGGTACTCTACCGCGCTTCGGATAGGCCCGCGACGGCTCCGGGCCTGAGCACGGCAGGCTCGCCGCTGTCTGATCAAACTCGGCCTCTCGCTGTCGGCCGACTTGCAGAGGTCATCCAGCTGGATGGCCCAAGGAACGAAGGGTTCGGTCGGGCAGACTATCTCCTGGTTCAGGGCTGTGCCCCTGGCGACCCTCACCCACACTATGGTATGCCCCGTATCACCCTCTCCGAAGCGAGTTATGTGCTTGTTCCCATGGAGGTGAGTTCCCAAGCTTCTAGCTTTGAAAGACTCTGGGTCTGATGCGAACAATAGAACGTCATCTGCGCCGTTAATGTCCAGCACAACTGTCGAGATCAGAAGTGCCAGCTTGCGAACACCCGTGTTGTACGTCAAGAACACGAGAACACAACCCAGCGTGCCGCTGAAGTCCGCCATTCATCGGTCCCTGACTACGTCCTTAACACCGGCCAGATGCGTAGTGCGGCGCTGATCATGCCGCTATACCCTCGTGTGCCCCAAAACTCGAATAGGGAGGAGATGGTCCATCACGCTGTCATGCGCGAGATCGAGACCCGAGGTCAACGTGCGGGGGGCCAGCGTGGAAATACAAGTTCTCGCACTCGGGCCTCTCGTGCATCCCCTCAAACTACACCTCGTGGATCAAGACATTCTACTCCGACTCCTCCTAGTGCTGCCAACGCTCCAGCTGCTCACACGACCGCCGCTGCGCAGTCCAGCGTGTCGCATCATAGCAGTAGGCCCGCACCACACCCTAGGGCTTCGGGTCGACGCTTTGCCCCCGTCCCTGCCGCTTCCCTCAGCCGGACCGCACTTCTTGCGTCATACGAGCTGCCGTCCTTCGCTTCGAGTTCTCGAATCCAATCTTCGATAGTACCCTCTGACCCCTCCGCCGCGATGCCGCTTCCCCGGTGGCTGACAGAACCTGAACGCTAGCTACAAGCCCATGCCAATTACCGTATGATATTTCGCATATTTTGTATATTATTTTGAGGGCCGATGGCGTGCTGGAGTGTGTACATTGACGGTTTTACTGTCGTTGGAACAGATGTGGGTCCTGAAGTCACTGTGACATAACACTGTGACACGATGTACACGCAAGCCCAACACCGTCGAACACTCCTTCCTCAACACCACCGAGTTGGCACCTCCGGTCGCCATGTGCAGCTCCTCTCCTGATTCACTTCTCGATGAGTTCTGAGCAAGTTCAAGGCAAGATATCTTCAACCCTCATGAGATCGCTGATCTGACATCCGCACTCCTCGACAGCGTGCCCCCCCTTCAACGTGTCAGTTGCATGCATCACCAGGTACGCCTGCTAATGTTTTTCAGGCTTAGTCTCATTCCAAACTTCACAGATTTTCTGATGATGCCAGTTGCATACCAGACCGGTCCGATGGGTGAGTAAGATGAGGTGTTCAGTGGCGAACACCAGACCCGCAAGCTGGGGTGTGCGTAGAGCGACGCAAGCTATAAATGATGCGCCAGTACGTCCATAACCCTCGCCCTTCTTCCCTGCTGCGACTTGCGCCTGCTTCCTCACTCGCTCATTGCTTGCAATGTCCGCCGTGAACGCAGGCGTCGGTATGTCAAACCCCAGCTCTGGACTCGGAGAGACGCCTACGTCTCGCCGCCTTAACGTTCTTATCGACAAGGTGGCGAATGCAATGCAGCTCAGCAACAAATTCCGTGCCGAGCTTCACGTATTCAAGGAGGTACGCATTCTTTCTGCTTTCTAACTCACTGGGAACACTACTGACGATTGTGTACAGTTCGTATTGGACTTAGACCCGATGCACTGGCGCGTTATCGTGGTACAGCAAGCATCAGTCTACAAGTCTCTGGATCAACAGGAAGAAATTCTCAAGGCCATCGCGGAGGTGAAGGAGGACGGGAAGCAGGTGCAGTCGCAGATCGCGAAGCGCTTCGCCGTCGACAAGGACATGAATGTATGTTGCGTGCCGCTACCGTAAGATGTGCTAACATTTCCTTACAACGGCAGGATGATATCCTCACTTTATGCAAGCAACTCGTCGTTGAGGGGCTGCGGGATGAGTACGACATCGCCGATGAGGCCTTGGTTTGTGCACTTGTACCTCCGCACAGCATATATTCATAGCTCACCTTCCCATTCGTCAGGAAATGCTCAAGGATCGAGCTGCGTACCCTCGTTTCGCACAGGTCTGGAACTCGGCATCGAAGATCAAGCTCGTCGTCTCAGCCGTGCGCACCCAAGGCTCGTACGTGCGTCGAGAATACCGTGGTCTGGTCAGTACTGTCTTCTGTGTATCCACGGTACACTTCTCACCGCTGTATATCTCACAGCTCGTGAACACGACCACGAACCCCTTGAAGAAGTGCGGTCTCACGGCATGTGTTCGCGAGTATGTGAGGAAGTTTTCCCGGACGGCCAAGATCACCCACGAGTTGGTTATCTGGGTTGCTATCCTGGTGAGTGCGAGACGACGATGCTGTCTATTTGCTGACCCTCTCGATATCAGCGCCAGTTCATCCGAGACAACCGGGACTTGGTGTCTCTTCCCGACGACGCCGATGGGCCGGTTGTGGACGCCGAGGAGCAGCCACAAGCGAATGGGCGCAAGCGCAAGCGCACCGCTGGTGGGCGGCCAGCGAGGAGCTTCTGGGGCGAGTTCAAGGAGTGGGTCAAGGAGAAGAAGAGCGAGGACGAGTGGACAGATAACTTTTGCAGCGTCGGATGGATTGCGTTCGTCCATCTTCATTCGATTCAATGACGTTTTGAGCTGACGTCTGTGCAGGCACATCGAAGACTGTCTTGAACAGGAACGTCGTGACTTCCCAGACGATCAGCTCGCACTCGTCCCGCAACGCTTCCAGTCGACCTCGCGGTCCCAAATCGAGGCGGCGCCGACGTCTCATCCTAGCGCCGACAGAGGCTTGGGGCTTGCATCCAGCGGCGTCGGCAACTTCCTGCTCCACCCTACCGTCCAGCCCCACGCCCAGTCTTCTGCGACCGACGATCTGGCGAGCGACGTTGTCACAGAGCAGCGCTCCGACAGTTCTGAACTGCCGCCGATGCATGCTCTCTCGATGTCGTCACGATCGACTACGTCGTCATGGACGCCGTCTCCTCGCTCTCGGGTGCAGTCGCCCTTACCTGCGGATGAACTGCCGACTGGTGGCTCTGCGGGCACCTCGCAGACGTTGTCCTACGTCCCTCGTGTTCCACCTCAGCACGATCATCCGGTTGGGTCCTCGTTGCTGGGCGGCTCGTTGCCGCGGATGAGCGTCGGGGACTCCTCTCACAGCCGGCTGGAGGAGTTCAATTCCAGCTCTCGATTCCCCGCTGCCGAGAGTCGAGCACAGTTCCCTGGTCTGCCTGGGTTCTCGGCGCTCGTGAATGAGGCCCCCGGGGCTCGACTTCCCTCACTTGCCTCGCCGACTCGGCCGTCAGCATCCTTCGCGCCGCCTCATTTCCACGCCGCCTCCACCAGCACTCCTGGACCCCATCGCTCTGACCATTCGCAACGCTCTCCTCTCTCTCAATACGGCGGGCATGCTGCCACCCAGGCGTCGTCATCGACTTCCGGCCCTCGTGGTCCGTCGCTCCACGGTGCTTTCCAGTCCTGGTCCGGTGCGTCCACGTACGGACGGTGAAGAATGGCTACGCCTCATGGTGTTCTATGGTTAGTATGTGCTCCTTGATGCTACTATAGCTGGCTAATGTTACCCTACAGCTCTATGTTCTTTCCGAAGTAGATATCAGTTTGCATATCCTGTCGTTGTGTCGGAGTCTCGTATGTCGTAGGTAGTAAAACCCGTTTAATAGAATATATGTCATTTCGCTGCTATCACTGTACTATGGGCGCCTGGGTATGTGTGGCGATTCGGGACGGTTCGGGACAACTCGGGATGCTACCGAAGTAGATGTGGGAGGCTGTGATGCTGGGGAATATCATACCGATCAATCTCGAGGTTTTCTTGGGATTTACTCATCTTGGGACGTTCCCGGTGGTCTCCAATTGTGCTTTGCTCGGGATCCTCCACGTGAATTCTTGGAGGCCAGAAATCGCAAGAATTCTTGGTTGCCGACTTCTACCGTGTAGAGGAGTGGTGTACCTGGACGCGGAACGATGAGTTTCACGCGCTCACGCTAGCCGCACTGCAGAAGCATTGCGTGCAGATGCGCTGTCGAGGAAGACGGCGGCGAGTGCATCGCAGCTGATGCGGGTGGAGTGGGCCAAACGAGGGCATGATGAACGGGTGCACCGCTGCGAGTATTTTTGCCTTTGGGGTGCAATAATAGAAGCTGGAGAGATGGCGATGGAGGAGGAAGAGGACCTGGGTGGGTGTTGTGATGGCAGCTGTCGCGAGGAGGGAGCTCGACAGATCGCGTTGGTGGCCATTGGCTGGTGGGCGGCGCGTACGAGTCGCCCGCGGCTGAACGCGCGGATTGGCTGGGGTCGGCGAGGGCGGGCAGAACCCTTGGGCCGTTCTTTTGGTTTGCCGGAGGCCCGAGTCCGAGGGCGTGATGAGCGTCGATGGATGATCTGTCGCCATGGCGAGTCTGCGCTTCAATCTCCGAACGCGCTCAGCTCGTCCTCCGATATAAGACCTCCCGCCTCTCCCCTTCCCTGGTCTCGTCAACCTTTTCGTTCGCCCCCTTCGTTCTTTTGCCTCCGGCTCCCTCTTAGTCGAGTTGAATCTCGACTTCCCCTCTTTCTTTTCGTTCTTCGAGGTCTGTGCTCTGCGCCTTCCCACCGCCCTATCTCCATATGCTAATCGACATGCGTTCTCCCACAGATCACCTCCTTTGACAGGACAGCAGCCGCAAAACCTCAGGGAGGCATATTCCAAACGTCTAGATCGACGCATTCCTGTCCAGTCCCCACGCCAGCCCCTACACACCTCGACGGTCTTTTTAGCTCACGTTAATCATCATGCGCGTCCTCTCCGCTTTCGTCGCCTCGTCCCTCCTTGCCGGCCTTGCCGCTGCGCTCCCCGCTCCCCAGGGTGGTGCCCTCCTCAAGCGCACCGACTCTAGGTAAGCTTTACCGTGTGTCTTTCCTAATTCAGTAACTAAGATCGCTCCCAAGCTACTACGGCTCCAGCGACTCGTCGTCGGGCAGCAGCTACGGCAGCTCCTCTTCCAGCAGCTACGGCGGCTCGTCGTCGAGCAGCTCCTCCGGCAGCTACAGCGGTTCTTCGTCTGGCAGCAGCTATGGCAGCTCTGGCTCCGGCTCCGGCAGCTCGTCGGGCAGCTACGGTGGCTCGTCGAGCTCCAGCAGCGGCTACGACTCGTCGAAGTCGTCGTCCTCTTCCAGCTCCGACTGCATGAGCAGCGGCTCGTGCGACAGCTCCTCGAGCAAGAGCTCCTCCTCGTGCTCTGGCAGCTCTTGCGACAGCATGTCCTCTTCGTCGTCGTCTGCCTACATGGCGCAGTCCACCATGTACGAGGCTACCTCTTCCGCCCTCGCGACCTCGACGAGCTCGAGCTACGGCTCCATGTACACCAGCCCCTCGTACGGCTCTGGCTCCAGCAACTGGGGCAGCTCCGGCTACAACGACTGCGTGCAGCAATGCATTGCGTCGTTCGGCCCCCCTCCCGCGAGCTACACTCCCCCCAGCAGCACCAGCGGTGGTGACAGCGCGGGCAGCACTGGCACTGGCGCCACCCACACCGTCATCGTCGCCCCCACCCAGGGTGTCCTCCGCTACATTCCCTTCGCCGTGAACGCATCCGTCGGCGACACCGTCATGTTCATGTGGGGCGCCAAGAACCACACCGTCACCAAGTCCTCGCAGCTCGAGCTTTGCAACAAGACTAGCGACGCGCCCTTCGCGTCCGGTGAGCAGAACGCGCCGTTCACGTTCACCCAGGTCGTCAACTCCACCGACCCGATCTTCTACTACTGCGGTACCCCCGGCCATTGCCAGAAGGGCATGTTCGGTATGATCAACCCCCCTTCGGTCTACAACGCTGCCTCCTCCGTTAGCCAGATGATGGGCTCTGCCGTCTCCAACTCCTCCGACATGGCCGCGATGATGGCGTACACCGACAAGATGACCAACGGCTCGACTCAGGCTGCCAACTGGGGTGCGAACATCGACATGTCGAGCATGCCCGACTGGGCCCACAGCTCGGTCCTCGAGAACGTCCTCTACACCCGTGCCTTCCTCGGTGCTAACCGCGAGACCCTCAAGGACGACGGCACCGTCGACCTCAACTCCAACGGCGCGCCCCTCTCGCTCCCCACCGACATGACGACCGTGAACAACGCCGTCGATGCCTCGCCCGCTGCGTCGGCTGCCGCGTCCACCTCTGCCGCCCCTGAGGCGCCCTCGACCTCCGCGGCCGGCGCTGCTGCCTCCACCACCGCGAAGCCCAACGGCGCTGCGTCCAACGTCGCGTCGAGCGCGCTCTTCGGTGTCGCCGCCATCGCGGCCGCCATGCTCGCGCTCTAAGCGTGAGGTGTAGGGTTCCCTTACGATCGTCGTTGTGTACATGGACACTCATGGACTAAGGCGCCGTCTATAGCCATAGCTCTCGGACACTTCTCGCGCAATGTAGATTGCTACGATACCGCTTTCCACCTTGGTGTTTTCTGCTGCGCTCACGGACTCTCGGACTCTTTCTAGCTATACCTCCTGCCGTATTGCTGCTCTCGTGATCTCTTACCCTTTTTTACCTTACACTACTCGCATGCGAGGAAAAGGTCCCCACATAGCATTAGGGCAGTCGCTGATTAGGTAGCAATACTATCAGGTCTGACGCCTCCACATCTTCTTGGCTTCTGCCAGCAGTGTGAACACCGGTGTGAGCGCGGCGATCTCTCGGAAAGTCCCCACCATTCAATCCTCCATGGTGGGAGTCGCTTGGAGTCTCTTTCGTGTCGATCACACGGCCCTGTACTCGTGGCTACCCACCATCCCCGCTCGGAATCATCCAACCATTCATCCGTGCGTTGCCGTTCTGGTGAGTCTTCTACACATTGCAGCTGCTCTAGGCCAATCCTGATGCTAATGCAATACAGACGTTACTACATCGAAATCCAACAGACGAATAGTGTTACTACATCCTCCGGGGCGCGGCCGCCATGCCAGTCCCACAGCGGTTCTCACAGATACAGTGCGTACAGGAACCCGTCGTAGCCCTTCTCGCTGACGGTGCCAATCGTCGTCGCGTCGACCTCCTTGTCCTCCTTGATGTGCGCGAGCAGGTTGCGCACTCCGCGCACGTTCTCGTCGTCGATGTCCGGGTTCGCGACCGTCCCGTTGCGGATCACGTTGTCGACGATCTGCACACACATCCCCCGCGCCGCAATCAGCATTCGTTCGTCGCGCTGGGGATAAGAAGAGGAAGAGGGAGGGGACGCACGATGATGCCGCCGCGGCGGACGAGGCGCTTCGCCTGCAGGAAGTAGGTGAGGTTGCTGGCCTTGTCGGCGTCGATGAACGCGAAGTCGAACTTCTCGTCCGACGGCAGCGTCTGGAGCGTCTCGGCGGCGGGCCCGACGAGCACCTTCACCTTGCTCGCGACGCCGGCGTACTCGAAGTTGTTGCGGGCAACCTGCGGGCGACGACAGGTGAGTGCTATGCGCGATAAGGACGCTGACGACCAGTCGTACTTCGGCAAAGTTCTCCTTCAGCTCGCAGGTGATCACCTGGCCGTCCTCGGGGACCGCCCGCGCGAACCAGATGGTGGAGTACCTGTGGGCGGAGAAGGTCAGCGAAGCAAGCGACAAGACGATCCGCAGTCGACCCACCCTCCGAGGGTGCCGACCTCGAGGATGCGCTTCGCGCCGATGCTGCGCGCGAGGAGGTGCAGGAGCTTGCCCTGCCCGGCGTGGACGTTGATCTCGGGCAGCCCGTTCTCGTCGCTGTACTTGAGCGAGCGCTCGAGCGCGTCGTCCTTCGGGATCAGGAACGACGCGTGGAAGTCGTCGGAGCGGACCCAGTTGGGATCGGGCTTGGAGAGCATGGCGAAGCGGCGGTGGGGGTGCTGGGGGTGGGGGGCGTCGGTGCTGGACATCGTGGATCGCGCGGGGGGCTTTATACTGGTGGTGGTTCGCAGGAGGGAATCCTGGGCGAGGCTGCGGGCGCACACACTCGCCAGACCCTCCCGGCCGAGGCAGTGGTACGGCGTCCGTATCGTCGCACTGACTCGCACATGTTCCCGCCACCTGCGCCGAATGTCTGAATTCCGGGTCCTACGCCGCGGCGCGCGCACACGCTGTATTCACAGCCCTTTGTGCCATGCAGCGCCGCGAAGAGGCGATTGTGTGTGAATGGTGTGAATTGCGCGACGGCCCTGCGAGAGCAGCGTCGACGGTGTGAGCGGTGGTCGTGGACCTTCGCTCGCCCGCCACTGCGGCCACCGACGGTGATTCTGAACTCTGTGGGGGCTTATCTGATAATCTACTCCGCTCCTGTGGCGACGCAGCTGAATCTAATCGCGGAACGCACGTGATTGACCGCGTCGCGTGGTTGTTGACGAGCGTGACGCGTGGGAACATTGACGCGCCGCGACCTGAACACGAACACCATCATCGGATCCACCCCCGCCTCCCCGCTCACCGTCCAAGTCGGCGCTCGGGCCCCGCCAACCGCTCACCATGTCGTCGCGTCTGACCGCCGCTCAGGTCATCGCCCAAGGAGAATACCTGCAACCCGACTTTGAGCCGTCGTCTCTCACGGTGGCCCAGCTCCTCGGCGTGTTTGGATACCACAATGTCAAGTACCCCTCGCAATACACCAAACCAAAGCTCGTCCAGCTATTCCACGAAGAGATCAAGCCCAAGGCGAAGAAGTACACAAAGGAGCGCATAAAGCGCGAGAACAGCCAGGCCAGTGAAGATGGCATTACCGATGGAGTTACCGGACGACCAATCAACGAGGTCAAGAAGGTGCGACTTCTCACTTTGACCTGCGCACTTCGTTACTGATTTCATTTTAGCCCGTTAGACGAACTTCTAGACGACTTTCGAAGACCCCAGCAGCAGAGGAGCACGCCGATGCCGAGGCCAGCGCCCCCGTGAGTGCTGCAGTATCTGTGGCTACCGTTCAAGCTAATGATAACGTCACTGCTTCCCCGTGTAGCCTAAGCGCCGTCGCTCCTCCGCCGAACCCTCCCTGGGTGGGCCCTCAAAGAAGAGATCCGTGAAGCCCACAGAACCTGTCGTTGTTGAGGAAAGCGAGCCGGAGGAGGCCCCCGCTCCTGTGGCCCGTAAGCCCGGCAGACCAAGGAAGACTGTGTGTTCAATAATTTCTTAGTCGGTAGCCATTTCGCTTATGATATTGAACGCAGGCTCCGGACGTAGCCCCTCAAACGAGACGTGTGTCTCGTCCGATAACCGAAGATCCCGAGTCCGGTTGGGAGGACAACAATATCTTCCAGTCCGGTGGAGAGTCCTCCCCGATGCGCCCTTCGCCAGTGCGCCCCAAGGCGCGCAAGTCGCTCGCAGCTCGACCAGCGCCTAAGTCGCGCAAGTCGATGTCCGCACCACCGGAAATGTTGTCATCTCCTTCGCCGCCGAAGAACAAAGGGAAGGAGCGAGAGCGACTCTCTTCCGTCAAACCTCCGGAGAGTAAATTCGAACCGGACTTGCCTGCGGAGGTGTACAAGCAGAGGGAAGTTCCGGTGCATCAGTCTCCCTTCCGTCAGCGACTCTTTGCACGCGAACTCTCCATTGTGTCGGACGTGAAGGAGGTCGAAGAGCCACCCTCACAAGAGGAACCACCGGTAGCCGCCTTCGATGAAGCTGACCACGCCCCCGCACACGACGAACTCGTCCAGTCCGAAGATGGCGAAGTCTACTCTGACAAAGAACACGACTTGGACGACGAAAACGTAGCTGCGGTCTCACAACGAATCGCAGATGGCGGTGCGATCGCCAAGTACGACGTTGCGGACGAAGCTCCTCGTCGGCATTGGTTCCTCCGCTTCATCTTTGCGCTATTCGTCCTCTCAACAACCCCCGTCATCTATCAATACAAGCAAGAATCCTCGAGTATCGGCTTCTGCGACACTGGATCGAGCACAAACCCCGTTCTCGATGGGCTACGAGCCCACAGGGCCGCGGTCTACAGCTGTAACGTCGAGAATCGGACCACGCTATGGCCTCATCCCGGACCCGACGGCACCACCTCTGTTTTGAGCCCCATTCCCACTGCGTCCGCCACGGGTGTCACTGGTGACTCGCAATTGTCGGCCGCAACCGAATCAGCAGTTGCATGTCCTGCCCCACCCTTGGTACCCTTCGCTCAGCCCGACGAGTGCGCCCCCTGTCCTAAGCACGCTACCTGCACGCCCAACTCGGTGACTTGTGAAAACGGCTACATCCTGCGCCCTCATCCACTTCTGGCCGTCTTCCCCGTCCCGTACACCAACAAGGAGGCTCACAGCGCATTGCAGACTTTCGAGCGGCCCTCCAACTTCGCAGCGGAGTCGGATGTTTCTCGTATCGTCTATTCTGCGTTGTCTTATGCGCTCGACGGTCTGCCCTACTTCGGCCCGGTGGCCGTTCCCCCTCGTTGTGTCGAGGATCCGCGTCGCAAGCGACACATCGGCGTCCTTGGCAAGGCCATTGAGTCGATTCTCGCTAATGAGCGTGGTCGTAGGCTTTGTGAAGGCGTTGGTGTGGGCGTCCCCGAAGGAGACGACGCGGCCGAGGCACAACGTTGGGGCATCGAAGTGGAGAAACTGCGCGAAAACATCAAGGAAAAGACCGCCGTAAGTCTTTGATCCGTCTATTCACGCGTGGGTACTGATCGCTCGCCGAAAATCTGTAGCCTAGCATGTTAAACACGCTTGACGATACCTTCAACGAAGCTGTGCAGCAACTCTTGCAGTGGGGCGGCGTATTCATGGGCGAAGACGCTACGTACGTGGATCTCTAACCTTACCCTGGTGCGCGTGCTGATAGAGACGGCCGTAGTGGCAAGCGCTATCTAGCTCACAAGACTCCGGTCATGAGCTGGGAGTGTTCGCTAAGGGTAAAGACAAGGCAAGCCTGGTCCGAGTGGCAACGGTCTATCCTAGGTGCGTTTGACATCTCGGCTTACACAGCCCGATCGTTAGTGTGTAGCCACATTCTGACTTGCCTGCATCCGCTCTAGGGACCACGCTATCTATCCTCACTGTGATATACGCGCGGCAGCGTCAGGCACGCAAGGCCGTCGATGACGAACGCGTCGCATCCCTCGTTACCGTCGCACTGGAATGTCTCCGCAACCAGGAGCTCGCACACCACACCGATCCGGTCATGGCCCCGCGCCCCTACCTGTCGTCGCTGCAGCTTCGCGATCTTGTATTACAGGACGTGCACTCCGTGGGCGAGCGCAAGCGGCTCTGGTCACGCGTCGAACGGATCGTGGAAGGGAACGCGAACGTGCGAACGAACCTCGAAGAAGTCGAGGGCGGAGATGAGCAGCGGGTATGGAGGTGGGTCGGCAGCGCGGGAAGGACCCTCCCTCCCGGCACGCCTGGTGTGAAACGGCTCGAGTATGAGTTCGAGGAGAGGGGGGAAGGGGGGCGGATTGTCGCCTGAACTATGTGTGATCCCCACGCGGCTACGGTACTGATGTCCTTTTTCGCTTGACGTGTTCTTCTCTCTTCTTCTCTCCGGCCGTACGTACGAACGCTCATCGATGCTGCTGATGATTTATGATGTTTTAGCATGTGCTCTCCTCCGCCGCTTGTCGTGTCTTCTCGCCCGAACGCCCCTATCCCCCGCTATGCAACCCCCCTTCCGTTGTTTTATAACTATATCTATCGCTGTACTTCTAGGTCATGACGTGATCGAAGAGTCTACTACACCCTATTACCCAATATGTACCTTCCGCGCGTGAAGCTTCCTCTCAGTCGAATCGTCCGAAGCTACGACGATTGCTTCCGGATAGCAGGCTTCTCCCCATCAGACCCGTTCCCGAGCCCGCTCGTAGTACGTCTCGACGAGTCTGAGCTACTCTGGCCTGCTCGATGACAGCGTCTGGTCGTCATGCATGCGGTATTTCGAGACGCGAAGCGCAGCGGAAGGCTGGATATGTCAGACTGACGACCTTCCGGCGGAACGTCTATCCCTCTCAACAAACAACTCGCCCACTATGGGCATATGTCCCATTCATGAGGACCCCACGCTCACGAAGCTCCCGGGCGAAACACATCCGTCTGCTCCCTGCTCGATGCGCCGGGGCCCGGCACACTAGCAGTGCCGCGCACCCGGAATTTCCAAAGCAGCTGTGTGGGACTCGCTCGCCGAGACGCTGGGCGTCCGGTAGCCATGTGTTCGCAGCTGCGGCCGCCTAACCCCCCAAGGGAAGGGTTCGAGGTGCCACCGTGACGATCCACCCGCCCGCCCGGGGGGAGGTTCGGACTCGGACTGGGACGCGCGGCGCCACCGATCTCGCCCTCCACTCAATCTCACCGCATGCATCGAACCGAGGTGTTCGCATTCATCTCCGCGGCCGGCGTGCAGATGTTCCGCCACGGTAAGGAGACGGCGCAGACCGAGTGTAGACGGACGTGGTTCGGTCGACGGGGGGTGGTTCACCTGTGCCGTTGTGGAAGGAGCGAGCCGAGCCTAGCTGAGCGAGCCGTTTCATTACGGTGTAGGGTGTGTGCGATGCAACTTTGTCTGCGAATGCGAGTTTCTCGAGCACCTGCGATGCCTGATGGAATGGCGCATTGCTGGCTTCCTCCTGCGTTGCTGTATAAAGGGGTCGGGCTACTCAGCGAAATGCACTGCCCTCGGGGCCTACTTGCCTCTTGCGTATCCAATCTCGCTTCCCGCCCTGCCGGAGATGAGGCTGTAGGTATACACTATACACTATATTGCACGCGGGGATATACAAACGGACCTCGGCAGCGGGCCCACCGTCTTCGAGAAGCAAGAAGGCCGCGACATCCCCCAATATCAATGAACCCCGTCGCGGGCGACCCTACACGGCCGAACCCTCCGCCCAACACATCCGTCCACAAATGTCAGCGCATGCCCGGGGGGACGGACCACGTCGCGTCCCCGAGCGGGATGCCGGCCTGGATCTTCTCGATGAGCGCACGCTTCATGAACTGCTCCTCTGCGAGCACGCGCGTCGTCTGCGTGTTCAAACCCAGGGGCGTCAGCTTCGCGAACACGCACACGGACACGAACACCAGAAAATCAAGGGGGAGAGGGGTGATTGCGACGCAGGCCGCGAAGGGAAACCCCGCCCACGTCCAAGGACCAGGGCGGGCAGAATGGTGGTGAGGGGACGAGGGGACGGGAGCGAAAAACGCACACGGAGGAACCGTTCAAGGTCGACGCGGCCGGCGTTGAGCGCACGGTGCAGGTGGTATATCGTGTCTTCGATGGCGTTGTCCTCCGCGACGAGGTTTACGAGCCTGCGGCGTTACGTTGTTGTGTCGTTTGCGGGAGCGAACACGTCGGGGTTGGGCGGGTGGCGGTGCAGGGGCAGCAGCGGGGTGCAAAATTCGCGTCAGTGAATGTTCGCACTCTCCTCCACCCCAGGACTCAGGCAAAATGCACAAAATATTTCTCGAACCGAAGAGAAAGAAAGGAACAGAGGGGAAAATATGCATTCCGCACAGACACGTACTGGTTATGCACAATCGTCGTCGAGCACACGAGCTCGTCCACCTCGGGGTCGCCCTTGCGTTTCAGCTCCGCGACGCTGCGCTCGCCCGCGCCGACGACCGCGCCGAGCCGCGCCGCGACCCCGCGGCACACGTCGCGCACGGCCTCCAGGCGCGCCATCTCGTCGCGCAGCGCGGGCGCCCCCGCGAGCAGGTCCGCCTGGTGCGCGCGCAGCCGCTCCGCGTCGATCGCCATCGCCTGCGACAGCGACGCGAGCTCGCCCGCGAGCTTCCCGTGCACCGTCTCGTGCAGCCTCAGCAGCTCCGGGTTTGGGGGGCGCGGTGGGGCGGGGGCCGACGAGTGCGGGGTCTCCGTCTGTTGGCCGTCCTCGTCCTCGGCGTCGAGCAGGTCCGGGGGCGGGACGGACGGCGGGGCGGGTGGCGGTGGTGGCGGCGCACCGGACGGGGGCGCGAATGTGGGAGGGAAGGGCGGCGGGGGCGGCTGCGCGCTTGGTGGCGGTGAGACATATGGTGAACGCCCCGCCGAATTACCGGCAGTATGCTGGGGCGTGACATACGGCGGGGAAGCAGCATATGGCGAGTAGGCCTGCTCAGCAGCGCTGGGAGGCCCGGAGCTTGCGGCGTACGCGTTCGGCGGGGACATTGCCCGGTATGCAGACGCAGACGCGCCCGCCGGGGCCATCCCCCGCGAAATAGCGGGTGGGAGCGGCGGAGGTGGGGGCGCAGGCGGGCTGGTCTGCGACGCTGCCCGATATGGCGGTTGTTGTTGCGATCGAGCCTGGTTCAGAAGGGGTGCAGGGCTCGATGGCGCGCCGGGCGCCCACCCGGGGGCGTACGCCTGCGGGGGCAGATCAGCGTAGTGCCCGCGCGCGTGCGGGGAGTATGTCGGGGGCGGCGCCGGCGAGTGCGCGTAGTGAGCACCGCCGGCTAGCTCCTGACCGTGCGGGCCATGAGGGGGCAGAGGCGGGGGCGGTCGCGCGGCGAGCGCGGCTGGCTATTGGACGCGGGGTGCGCATCGGCGATCGTTTATTAGAGGCGATCAGCACCGCGCGACGCGACGTGTATATGATCGTGGAACGCGTACGCACTGTGCTCAGATTGGCCGGGGACCCAGTCCGGGCATTCAACTGCACCTGGGGGGCCGGGACAGATGTGCTTCTGGGTGGCTGGGTAGCGCCCGCAGGGGCAAGACCCGGTTTGGTGGGCAGCGGGGGAGGACCGCCGGGCGGCGGAGCAGGTGAGGTCGTTCCATGTGCTGAGGTTGGTAGAGACGCGTGGCGCTCCACGGGCAGCGGTGGCGGCGGGCGTGCTGCGTAGTCGGGTGCCGAAGAGGAGGGGCGGGAGGGCGGTGGCTGCTGGACGGTGACGTCTTTAGGCTTCGCATATACGGGGGGCTGGCGGGAGAAGGCATCGTGCATTGCATCGAGTAGTGCGACGAGACTGCAGCCCTGTGTGCGAGGATGCATGGATGGGTGACGGTCGGTATCACACGAACACGGAACGCGGGAGAAGGATGGGCACGCACCTCGCACTTTCGCTCCCAATTGCGGAGGTAGTCGATGAGACAGCGCCCGCTAATGTCGATGTCCGGCGCGGCGCGTATGAGCATGTCGCTTGTGGGCACGACGTATGCGACAGGCGGGGTGCGCGGGTACTCTCTAGGGACCCAGACGGCGATCGGGATGTTGTAGGACGCGCCGCGGAAGGCAATTGGAAGGAGGCCATGGAGACAGAGCAGCAGCTGGGTCCGGCCGTCGTCGTAGGCTGTGATTCACGGCAAGCGAGGGCATGAGTGATCGTGCGGGTCTGGTGAGCACGGCGGGTAGACTGAACTGTAGACGTCCGTCTTTGGGCGGATGGTAGGATGGCGGGCGAGGACGGCATCGGCGTGTGCGTAGACGAGATCCGGGTTCGGGTACGTCTGGACGTTCTGGCGGAGCCATTTCTGCGTGATGGACTCTGACTTGCTCATCGCCGGCGAGACGGAGGACACGGCAGGATCCTGGTCGATTGCGGTGGAGGTAGCGTCGGCGGTCGCTCGACGCGGAGAGCAATCAGCGCGCGCCTACGCCCTCGGGACGTCGGACCGGGTGGCCAGGACAGCGGACAGAGGGCGGGCAGTTGGGAAATATCAAACTCTACGGCGGACGGGGTCGCAGCTGCCGGTTCTGCGCTGGGACGAGCGGTGGGCGTAGAGTTGTACTTCCGCGCACTGGGAGGCCAGATTTGCTTCCGCGGTGAGAGCGATCTGGCTGGCGCGTGGAGGGGGCGTGTCTACTCACCGCCCGCCACTCGCCGCGCTCCCATCAAGCCATGCCCGGTCATCCGCTGTACGCCCTCCTCCTTTTGTCTCCCATGCGCGCCCTGGGCTGATCACTGCCCCGGTCCACCCGGCCCTCTTCCCCCCGCTGTCGTCCCTTTCAGGCCACTCGCTTTTGCTTGCCGGCCGTGTGCACCATGCGCTTCCCAATCGGGAAGTCTCAAAGGCCACGGGTGTGCACGCGCGAATGCCCGTGCGCCGTCGCCCATTGTTTCCCGCACCCCGGCCGTGCCGCGATCTGATACGTGCGAGACCCAGCAGGGCGCTGCCTGTTTTGTGAGGTGCACTCTGGGGTGCAAATGCGCGCACGGCCAGCCGGGGGTCTATGCTCGAACGGGGCGGCGAGGACGGTTCCACCGGGCGTTCTGGATCGCAGCGCGCAAGCTGGGTCGCGCTTGGTGCATACGCGCGCCCGGTTCGCTTTCCATTCCTGTGCTCGCCTGCGCCCGTCCCAATCAACCCCCGATCCGAGATCCAATCCAGACCAAAACGGAGGGACAGGGGCGTTTTGTGTGTTTGACTGACTCCAGAACAGCGGAACTTGGTTGCCATACCCGGATCACGAGTGGCCTCCGGCACCCAGCGCTGCGCCGACTCGGACGGCGGACGCGGACGCGCACACGGACCAAGAACCTCCTCCAAACGCGCTTCGACCTTTCCTTCGTATAAATTCCCCGTCCGGCCGTATGTCGGCTCGCCTCCCCCCGCACACCCGTCCCCTTTATACCTTCCATATCCCCTCCTCCCCCGTCCTCAATCATCCACCCAGCCCCCATGGGCCGCGAAGTCATGTCCGCCTACCGCCGCCGCAACTTCTCCACCTCCCTCTCTCCTTCTCGCTCTTCCTCGGCGACCAACAGCAGCATGGAGTCTCTCGCCGACGCTACCGTCACCGTACCCAGCAACCTCACACCACAGCGCAAGCACCACAAGCTGCTCAAGGACGGCAGCGAGGTCTGGTCCAAGGACGTCGAGAAGATCTTTGTCGAGGGTGCGTCGCGTCGCGTCCCCATCGCCGCTAGCCACCCCCGTGCTGACCCCGCGCAGGCCTCCGCCAGTACTGGCAATCACCCTGGGCGACCTACTCCCGCGGCCGCAGCCGGTGGCGGAATCAGTTTCTCGTCGATCACCTCAAGCGCGCAGGGATCGAGCGCACCAAGAAGCAGGTCGCGAGCCACATCCAGGTGCTCCGCAACATGTGGAGAGGCACCCCAGGTACGCGTCGCGCGCCGAGCCACTCATCCCCGCGCGCATCACCACTAATCACCGCTCTCTCCATCGCGCACACAGAGTTCCACCTCGTCGCAGGGGGCGAGGAGCTGTTTCAGGAGAACGGGCTTCTCGCGCACACGAACAAGAAGCCCACCCCGGCACCCTCAGAAACGCCCGCGCCGCACATGCGCGACCTCCCTGATACATCTGCGGGCTCATCCTCGTCTTCGTCTACGCCGGAATTCAGCGCACTGGACTTTCCGCTCGAGCTGCAGACCGCTAGTTCGTTCCCCACGCTCCCGCTGTCCGCGCACATGTCTTCCTTTTCCGATCTCGCGCTCGACGACGGCCTGGGCACCGCTATGTCACCTCTCACCGAGTCCAGCTTCGGCGCCCTGTCCTCGTCACCACACGCGGCGCACCTCGCACCGCTAAACGTCAAGCTAGAACCGCTCGCGATGGACCCGACCCTCTTCTCTCTCCCGCAAGGCGCATACGTCGACGGCGCACACTCCACCACAGATTATGCCCCGCACATCCCCGTCCCGCCCCCGAACCGCATCATGAACCTGCACTTCTGGGCGGAGGGCATGGTCCCGCTCTCCGTGGACGTCGACCGGCTCGTCGGCTCGACGCCCGCCATGCCCGCGCGCATCTTCCTGCACTTCCGCGTCTCCATGCCGCCCGTCGCGGACCTGCGCGTGCCCCCCGCGCTGCAGGGCGTTGGGGGCGCGGTGTCCTTCGCCGCGCGCTGGGCGAGCCTCGCGAAGTGCCAGACGAAGAGCTGGGGCGCGGGCCGCACCGTCGTCTCGCAGGAGCTCGGGCTCTTCGCGCAGGTGCCCACCCCGGAGGTGCAGGCCGGCCCCAACGACTCGCCCCAGCTGGTGTTCGCGTACCTGCCTGATTCTGCGCTCAGCCGCTGCCACTGGCTCGACACAGGTGAGCCCCGTCCCCCAGAACGCCGCTCGCGCATGTCGAGTGTCCTCTCTTTGTGAATCCCACGCTGACCACGTGCGCCCTTGCTTTACAGTGCAGACGATTACGCAGCAGGTCGTCGTCGACAACGAGGTGCTCGCAGTGCTCGTGTATCACATCGAGCGCGTAGCCGACGCCGCGCGCACGACGCCCGCGATGGAGCTCATCGGGTTCCAGAAGTACCCCTGGCGCGGGGCGCAGCAGCCGCACCAGCCACAGCAGCAGCAGCATTCTCAGCACCCTCATCACCACCACCACCCGCACATGCAGCAGCACTCGCCGCACGCGTTCACCTCGCCCCCCGTCTCGCCTACGTCCCCGTCGTTCTCGGGCGAGTACCCGAGCGCGCCCGTCTCGCCCACGTCGCCCATGTTCAACGCGCAGGGCGCGATCTCAAATGGGGGCGTCGACGGCATGATGCCGTACCACTTCCAGCACCCGCCCTTCGAATTTCATTCCCGGTAACCCCTGCCCTGCTGCTTCGCGTTCCGTGTTCCGATCGATGCTGTCTGTCCCCGCCTGTCCGCCCGTCGCCCATCTCCTACGCCCCCGCCACATCCCACGTCGCACATCCACCACCCCTACTACTAACCGCGCCACCACCACCAACCCCCTCCCGTATTTATATCCCACACATGACGGACACCCGCGCCCGCACGCGCACACGTATATATTCCCCGGACACTTACTTATTCGACGCCGTCGACTGACTTATTCACCGGCCCCCTCGCTGTGTGTCGCTGTCTGACCCGTTCCCCGTTCCCTTCCGTAGCCCCCAGCCTTCGCAGGCCTGTAGCAACCAGAGAAGAAGTGAATACCTGTAGATATAGCTCTCTCCGCCCGTCGTCAGAAGGTCACCCGTCGTTATCCAACTGTATCTGCTATTGCTACCACCACCAACACCACCCCCATCCCTCGTTTCGTCCTCGTCTTCGTCTCCCGGCACGAGCTGTGCCAGTACATACACATTGCTTGCGCGCCCGCAGGGGCCGCGCGTGTACCTACGTTATGAAGAGGAATTCAAAAGCTTCCCCGCCGCACCGCGCACCGCCTCCGCCCAGTGCCTCCCCGCAAGCGCATGCAGCTCGTAGAACGACGTCCCGAACGGATTGCTCAGCTGCGGGTCGTCCAGGTCCGCCCGGTACACGCCGTCCCCCGCGCGGTCCTCCGTCGACAGCAGCGCGCCGAGCTTCGGGTCGCGCTCGACGAGCTCGCGCACGAGCTCGACCGCGCGCACCGCACTCGCGGGGGGCCACTGCAGCGCGGCGCTGAGCAGCCGCTTCGCGAACGCCGCGGAGCGCCACGGCGGCGCGGCGGCCGCGGACGAGCGCGGGGTGAACGCGAGGTGCAGCGCGCGGAAGAGCACGTCCGCGGTCGACGGCGGGGGGCGGCGCGTGCGCTCGCCTTGGCCGCGCGGGGCGGCGGCGCCTCCACGTCCGGCATGAGCGCGAGCTGGGGCAGGATCGCGTACAGGCGGTTGATGAAGTCGGACAGATCGATGTCGAGGGCCTCGCCTGTAGGTAGGGTGGGGCAGCGCCAGAGTGGGTGTGCGCGTGGGTGGTTGGCGTAGCGTGGCAGGAGGGAACAGATCGAGTCAGTTCCGCGTGTAGTTGGCAGAAGGAGCGCTGAGCGACGCGCTGGACGTACCTTGGCCGGAGAGGAGCTCAAACGCCGTGACGACACAGAGCAGCTGGTGCTGTACGGTGGCGATGTTCGATGCGTCATGCGGGCCCGGCGCGGGCGCGTCTGCGTCCCCGTCCGCGGGGTCCTCTGCGCCGCGCGCCATGAGGTTCTTGAGCACCTGTAGGAGGTCCTTGAAGAAGTCGATGTTCACCAGGTGCGCGAACTTGGCGATGCCGCGCAGCGCTGCAGGTAGCAGCGGTGTTGGGCGCGGGTTCTTGAGGACGCTGAAGTAGAGCACGAACAGCAGCTTGAGCGCCTCGGTGTGCTGCGAAACAAAAAGACAGCGGCGTCAGTGTGGGCGGTGTGAAGATACGATCACGAATAGGCTAGCGCGAAGGGAAGACGGGGAAGAAGCTCACCCGCGTCGCGCGCTCTTCCTTGTCGACCTCCGCCGCAGCTTCATGCATCTCCTTCTCGATTTCTTTTCGCTCCTTCATGACCTTCTGTGCCTTCTTGCTCAAATAAGGCCGGTCAACGGTCTTTCCCTTCGCACGCTTTGCGGCGGCGCGGCCCTTGGTCATCGGTCTGGCGCTATGCTCCTTGTCGGCTCTAGAATCAGACGAGCGGACACCGAGCTCCGTCTTCAGGCGGAGGTGGAGCAGGCACGACAGTACTTCCGGGTGGACGTTGTACTTGCGCTCTTTGATCATCCGGTTCAGCAGGCGCACGATTTCCAGCGAGGCCTCTCCGGTGTTGTCGGCACGGAACACCTTGATGAGCGTTTCGAGACACAAATCTGAGGACTGCCACAAATGTGTCAATGGGGCTGTAACGGACCAGGGGGAGGGAACCTACTTTGTCCCAGGACTTCCGGCTTAGCGCGGCGACTATAGAACTCATAAGGTTGACGCGGAAGTTGAAGTGTGTCACTTCCACTAGCAGGGTGCACATGCAATGCAGCGCCGGCTCAGCGAGCTCGCTCTTCGCTGACGTAGCTGCGTCAGCATGTCGCTCTAGTACTGAGGCGAGAATACGCCGTTCGCGTTTCAAACCTTTGAGTTCCGCCTCCAGACCGCGCAGGTACGCTTGGTACACGCTCACGAGACCCTGCTCCCAGTCCCGGGTACGTTGGACCATCTGGCTCACCTTCTCAGCCTTCTCCAAGTCTGTCAAAGCACGTATCCGGTAACCAGGGACGACATCTTTGAACACCGCAAGCTGTGACAGCATTGTCAGCTTCCGTATGACAGGGTCATTCGGAACGGGCTCCGGATGCGTGGGTGTGGAAACCGCGGGCAAGGAAAAGGTGTGCAGACGCCGCAACAGGCCTAGCTGTGGAAGGAGCGCGCCACATGAGCCTCCAGCGCGCCAGGACAATTAGAGACGGCGGGCGCACGCTATTCTCTGGGTCGCCCAGAATCTCCTGGCACAGCCCCGCGATCTGCTCCTTCGCGCCCTGTATTCGCGCTTTCCGGGACTTTAGGCCGATCACGTCGACCACCGCAGGCCGGCCAAACCGCGCGCCGGTGGCGACGTCCTCCACTCGGTACCGTTGCGCAGCCTCCGCGGCCGCTTGCCCATCTTCGCGCTCCTCTTCGCTTTCTGGACCGCTCTCTTCGTCATTGTCCAACACGACGTTGTCGCCGCCGCTTTTCTGGATCCGCCCGTCCGCGAGCTTGATGGGCAGCCGCTCGATCCCTTTGTCCTTGTCTTTTTCAGGCTCCCAGGACGCGTGGCGTTTCCGGGGCTGGGCTTCATAGGACATCTCCTCTTCGTCAGAGTCGTCTTTTCGTTTTCGCCGACGCTTCTCTGTCGTTTTTGTCGAGGACTCCGCTTCGGAATCGTCGGATATGTCTTCGTCATCTGAGAGGTCTTCGTCCGAGGACAGATCCCCCATGCCGCTGGCTCCGGAACTCCAGTCGTCTTCGTCTGAATCATGTGAGTGTATAGAGGGGAGGTCGTCATCTACGGCTTTTCGGACCGGTTTATTGAGCAAGTGTAACCGCTCTGTCTCCTTTTTGCTCCTGTGTGCAAACAGTTAGATCTCGGCACAATGACATCTCTGCATGCTGGTGGCTCGTGGAAGATTTGCCGGGGTGTTACACCGGACTGTGGCGCACAAAGCGCGGCGTGGTAGACTCCGGCTAAGTCATGCGAATAGGGCATATGCATGATTGATGCAGTTGCGGCAGTGGGTGACCTTGGTCGGGTGAGTTGCAATTACAAAGACGCACCGGCACCCCGGGAAGAGCACAGACACATCCAGGGCGACTTCGACCCCACCCTAGATGCGACCCTGCTGGCGTACCCACAAGCCGAAATGCTGTTCGGATTTCGACTCGAAAGGTGGAAGTGGAGAGCTCCGGCATGACAGGGTCCCGCAACCCCACACTTTCGATACCTCCCACCCACCTTTCTGGTACGCCCTCTTGCTATTTAGTGATGGATCCCATGCAGACAGGAGTGGCGACAAAAGTTATGGTAGTAGATCCCACTCGAAACAGTGTGGCTGCCGACACCCCCGAGAACTCAAGCATCTGCCGCACATCGAAGTAGCATCCGTTACGGCCAAGTTCGTCTCTAATTTGGAGAGCAGCCTGCAGTCGCCCGCATCATTCTGAGTGACGCCAATGGTGCGCGGAGGCGTGGTGCCTGCCCAGATCGAAATCTCGGAAACGCACCTCACTAATAGACCCCTAGGTATGTCTACGGGGTGCGCTTCGGGGCGTTCGTCCAGGAAAACGCCGTCAATCGTATGGAGAAGAGGTTGCGGTCAAGGGGCACGATGCGGATACGCGTTCAAACGCGCCGTCCACCGTGACCGCTTGCCCTCCCCTAGGGCGAATCCCACTGTGGCCACCCATTCGTAGTAGGACTCGGGAGTTCGCGTGCGACTGCGACACCCATAGATACTCAGATCCACCTCTACGAGCCTCTCACACATGTTCCGCACTAATTCTCGACTCACCTAGCGATGCCCTTTTCGTCTAATGCAGTGAGGAAAGAGACTGCGCCCCCGTATTCTTGCAGGAGCTCCAGGTCGTCATCTGAAAGTTCGACGTCGTCTTCGTCTCCGCGGTTGGGGATTTCGATGGTAGGCTTGTCGGATGCACGGTCCTTGCCTTTGACCTTTGCTTTCGCCGACTTCCCATCGTCGGCTAATTTGCGCTTCTTGGACGGCCTCTATATCTTCCATGAGTATTCAATTCGCGACTGCATCGAGGGACTGACTTGTGAGCTATGCGCGGAGCGCTTCTTTGTCCCCTTGACAGCCATGGGGTTGAATGCGCAAAGGGCCTAAGGAGTCTGGACGTCGGAGGTCGTGAGCGGTGAGCGGCTTCAGAAATTACTGAAGATCCCGATTTGGCATGTTGTTCTCACGACGCGATCGAGCGCGTCGTCGCGCGCACGCGTGACCAGCGCGTCCTCCGAGCGGCGAGCGCCACTCCGCCGTCTCTTTCTCTCTCGATCTGCCATGCACTCGACTCTGAGTCTCTGAACCGCGGCTTCGGACTAGTGGTGTACACTCGCTGATCTCTGCCAAATACTTGTCCTACTTGTCTGGAATGGCCCCGCCTCCTGTACCACCAAACACAGTCCCATCCACAGCGCGCCCAAGCCATGTCCTCAGGCCTCACCACATCCTGATTCTGTGGATTCTCAGGGCTGGGCTCCATCCTCTCGAAGAAAATGAATTGCCGGAGAAGTTCGTTCTGGCATTGCATCGCATTCTTCTGGACGAAATCGCCGAGGTACGCCTCCTGTCCGCGTCTTTGTATTAACTTATGGAATCAGTGGGCCCTAGGTCAAGCTGCCGAGGTCGTACCGAGACATAATCGAGGACATCAACAAGGTAGCGCGTCCCATGCCCGAATTTTACGTCCAAGAACTGGTTCGTGACCTAAATACGCTAGTGAGTGAATCGAGTTTTCGGCGCAGCTTCACAGACGAATGTGGCCGCACGTACACAGGCACACGCATTACAGACACCGGACCAACTTTCCGATTTCATGAAAAGTGAGTTGTACTAGACAGAGGGGCCAAGCGATGCCTTAACACTTTGTAGCTATTCTGGATATGTATATGGACACAGACGAAGATGAAGTACGTTTTCGTCTTCACTTCGCGGAGTTCGACACGTATTAACACACCTCCAGGCTGCTAGATTCGTGAGTTAAGCTCGATGTGGTTCATTATGCATTGGAAAACATCCTTGACCCATCTTTAGAGCCGTCGATCACTCTTTGGTTACTTCTGTCACCGCTGCTTCATCAGCTTCAAGAAGTTATCGATATCTGGTGTTGCTCGACTTCACCGGGACTTCCTGGCGTGGCTCAATTTCAAGGCAGATGCGAGGTTTATCACGCCTCCTGGCTACGCGCCCATCCGAAAGGACATCATCACCAACGGTAAGTCGTCTGAGCAAGCAGCCGGGATCATAGTTCCGAATCGTGCACTAGATTATCAAGTGTTCAAGACGAAGTACGACAAGAGGGAATACGCAACGGCTGAGACTTACGCGCTGTAAGCTACTGACCTAGCTATGTGTATCGGTACAGCGTTTTGACTTCCGGGATTAGCTTCATGCAGGGTGTGATTACTGGAGACAGCAATATTGCAAATGAGGGCCTTCGAAGATTCTTTGAACAAAAATTCCACGAAGGCAGTGATTCGTAAGTCAAGAACGCCTTTCTTATCCACGACGCTAAAGCTTCTGCAGAGGGCTCCGACAGCACGCTATGCTCAACCTTGCGCGCATGTACTACCTCCGCCGCGAGACGGTCGCGTGCAGAAAAGTACAGTTCTTGTACCTTTAAATATCCTTATTTGCCCACTTATAGCTCCCACTCAGACCCTTGAAGAGGCAGTCACGACTGCCCGCACCGCAGGTGATAACGCAACCTTGCAGCATTGTACCAGGTAGGTTCTTAGTCTCGCACATCCCTTGGCGGAATATTCAACGTAAACCGTTTGCGAAGCCTGCTCCATCGCCTACCCATCCTCCCTACTGAGCGCGGAAAGAAGCCGATCATCAACGAGATCCAGCCGCAAATGCACCCCCTGGAGATTTTGCATGATGCGAAGAAGCTCCTTATTGTCGAGCATGTAGGTGTCCTCGGTTTGGACGCTCGCCACTTCAAATTTGACACTTCCTTGTCATTAGCAACAACCCCTGACTGCAGCGTATGAGAAGGTTATGCAAGCTATCGGGCTGTACGACCACTACATCGATGTGCAGGGAGGGCTGTTCACAGAATCTGAACAATACGCCCAGCATGCCGTTCAAAGCCTCATCTGGAATTTCTTCGGTAGGACGGATCACCCTGTCTCCGTCAGTTCGCTGCACTAACTCATAATGCCTTTAGGCTGCTCAAAGCTTGCCCGTGTCGAAGAAGACATTGTGATTGCTTTCACCGAATACGGCAGCGAAGACAACACTCGGCTCACTGTCCAGCTGAATCGGGCGTACGATGTGGGTCTCACTGTCCAGTCCGATATTTTTGACGCATCCGACAGTATTTCCAGAAAGCACGGCAGGGAAAGTACGAATCAGCCATCGCGGGTCTGCTCGAGCCCGATGTTTGGCGCGGCCTGCACATCACCGACTACAACCTCTGGGCGGGCGAGATCTGGCACATTTTCGCGCTCCGCGCAAGCCGGAGGTACGTCTCTCTAACACGTCTCCAGTCTCTCCCTCGTCTTATGCCACGCGACGCCCAGGGGCCAGCTGCGCCAACTGCGCGAATACCTCGTCCCCCGGCGTCCCGACATCGAATACGCCGCGCGCGACTACCAGTGGTCGAAGGACCATCCGATCGGCTCGCTCATTCGTGACCCCCTGCATGACGTGCTCATGATGCGCGTGCGTACACCCGGCATCGTCTTCTCTCTCTGCCGCTTTGCTGACCTCGCCTGACGCCCCGAGCAGCGCGCGGACCATGTCCACACATCTGTCGACCAGCTGCTGACCGCGCTCTGGCACGCCGAGTACCAGGGCCGGTACGCGCTCTACCGCACCGCCGTCGTGCTTCTGGCGGACGTTGGTCTTGAGTTTGGAATGTCGAAGTGGTCGCGCCGCATACTCGACGAAGTCATGCCCCAGGTACCGCCCGCCCCACCCACAGTTCGCGCTCAAATGAATTTCATTGACATCGGCCGCGTGTGCAGATCATGAGCGAGAACGACCAGGAGCAAAAGGGCTTCGCATTGTTTACTCTTGCGCGCTGTGTCATCGCCGCGGGCGACTCTTCTCGTGCGTCTCTCCATATACCCCTCCTCTCGCCTCTCGATCGCCAGTGCTCACGCTCTATCGTCCTGCCTACAGAGGAGGCACTGGCGGAGTCTATCCGCTACCTCGAGGAGGCGGAGCAGTGTTTCGGCGCGCTCGACATGTTCGTCGCGCAGATGGACGTGCAGTTCATGCTCTCCGTCGTGCACCACAATCTGGGCGCGGAGGCGCAACGGGACGAGGTGGCGCAGAGGCACGAGGAGACCCGCGTGAAGCGGGAGGAGGCGCATGCGTGCGTCGTCGAGGGTTGGATCGAGGAGACGTGGTCGCTCGTGGCGGACGTTGGCATCGCGATCGCGTCCCGGTGAGACTCGTGTGGGTATATCGCGACTTACCGGCACAGTGCGTGCCCTACATCAAGCGATTGCGGACCGGAGCATGTATTACTAGTCAAGACAACATTATAAATACTGTACGATACATGTACGCATAGAGATACGGAAACGAGAGCGGGGTGCGGGGTCCAAGGTCCAACAGTACAGACATACCGATACGCGATTCATTCCTGCCGGGTTCTAACCCAAACGCAAGCTCACGCACCCTCACGGGTTGCCCAACCCGCTCAAGTTATACGCTCCCCGCGTCCTAAACCACGCGAACGAGGTCATGATCCGGAGGAAGGTGTTCCGGAGCCAGACGACGTTCACGGGGATAATTCCTAACACCCACTTGGTCTTGCTCCGGATCATGATCATCTTCTGCAGACCCTTCACCATTCGGATGACCGTCTCCGCGCGCCCGTGCCGCTCCTCCGCCCACTGCCGCAGCGGCGCCTCGACGTCTCCCGGTTTTCCAGACGCCGCAGCGCGCACGTATTCGGCGAGAACAGCTCCAAGCTTGATCGCGTCGCGAATGCCGAGGTTCATGCCCTGCCCGCCCATCGGAGGGTGAATGTGCGCCGCGTCTCCGAGGAGCAGCACCGGTCCGCCCCCGCGCGCCAGCCCGCCTGTCGGGGTAGCACCGCTGGGGAGGTGCGCGAAGAACGTGTCCGCAATAGACGAGCGCGTGCGGAAGCGGCTCGACCACGCCACCTGCTTGACGACGACGCGAGGCGCACCGGGTGGGAGAGCGCCATTCGGGCCCCACGCGTCGCAGAGCTGTTGGAGATAGGTGGCGTCGGGGGCATGCGGGGGCACACCTAGTGCTGCAGGTATAGCGCAACCGACACGATACACCGCTTCTCCTTCGGGGACGCTTGGGTACGGCTGCCCAGGGAGCGCGATGAAGAGGAAGGCGTTGTCGGCGCTGGCGGTGAGGCTGATGATATCCGTGGGCCAAGGGGGCGGGTTCTCGAGCGTGACGTCGGCGGTGACCATCTGCGTGAGGAGGTTTGTTTTCTCATCGTTAGACTCGCCTTCGGGGTCAGCCCAGCCTATCTTTGCGTGCTCGCGGACCTAGTACGGGCGGTTGATAAGTCGCACAGGCGGTTAGTTTGAGTTGAGTTGTACGCACGATAGAGTGGGAGCCGTCTGCGCCTATGACACAGCGCGCGCGCAGTACGTGTCCGTCATCGAATGTGACGTCCGTGAACTTGGGGTCGCTCACGTTCGGTTTGAGGTCGACGACCGTGTACGGCCTGAGGACAGAGATCCCGCGGTCGTGTACGGCTTCCCCGATAATTTGCTCGGTGATGTGTTGCGGAATGGCGATCATGAACGGGTACTTGGTGTGCTTTCCTAGAGAGCTGAAAGACGCGGTCTCGAGGACATGGCCTTCTGTCCTAATGACGGTCGCGCGTAACTTTCTGCTCGCTTGGAGGACCGCCTCGGCACAGTCGATCTTCTCGAGTGCCTGTAAACCGTAGAGTGAGCACCATGTTTGGGCAAGTAAGACTGCAAATGGGTATGCACCTCAAGTGTTGCTGCATGGACCGCCAATGCGCGAGAGCCGTTATCGCCTGAAAGAAGGCTGTCGACGACAACGAAGTCGGTGAAGCCCTGCTTGTGCAGCGAGAGGGCGAGGCAAAGGCCTGTTGGACCTGCGCCTACGATGAGAATCTCTGTGCTCTCAGGCAGGGACATGTTGATGAGGTTGGAGGGGGATGAAGAGGGAGGCAGGACGGCGCTACGCATGCTTAAATAGGTCCTTGGCGCGTCTGCGGTCGGTGGGAAGTAGCTACGACAGCATAGTACATCGGGATGGTTGTGGAAGGTCTCTTGCTAGTTGAGAATATGACGAGATCCAGATGATCTCATTGCAAAGCGCGAGGTCACGGCATTTCCAGGCAGCGGTGCCAATTTACCTGCAGTGCATGACTCATGAGTTATATCCATCCATACCGACCACTTTTTAGCAAGTCCGAGCGCAGGAATTAGGGGTGCGCGAAGGGAGGGTACACCCTCGTCTCGTAAACTTGGCACTCGATGAGCTGACACTAGGTGTGGGATGTGATTACCATGCTTGGGCGTGTCGGTGGCCTGTTAGCTGACTCACAATTCGTGGCCATGCATGTCTGCCGTCGTGATGATAGATCGAGACACATACTCGGGGTGAGGGAGAGTGTACGAGGCGAGAGACTGGTTCGTCGTGGAGGCAGAACAACTCGGGCCGGGAAGATCGGGTCTTCCTGAAGGATCGCGCGGCCCGCCGATGTTCAGATAAGCGCCTATCTCGCAGAGTGCGTCGTTCGCTCAGGCTTCGTCCTCCTCCTGGTTGTGTTGACGGCCGGCCCCTCTCCACTGCCCTTTCTATTCTATCGCTGCAGAGTCTCAACCGATGGAGGGAGACTCCCGCGCACGCTCAAGGTTGGATCAAAACCCGGAGCGCCCGCGATGGGCACGAGCACGGCGCGTTCGCGTCTGAGACGTACCTGCGGCAGCTATGCAATTGCGCGTGGTACGTACCATTATTGTCCTACGTTCTAAATGCTCGAGCAGCTGACTGATCTGGGCTTTGCAGATGGCAAAGTTGGCATTACTGGCCGCGCGGGCGGATGACGATATTCTAACTCACTTGCCGGCCCCTCTTGCAACGTTAGAGGGCTCCCGTATATATATCGTGTACTGCGGCCGAGCAGGACGTTGCCAGACGGTGGCGCGGGACTTTGAAGTTTCGCTGCGACGTCTCAAGAGGCGCCCGCGGACATCTGGAAGAGCGAAATCGCCTTGCGGTTAGTGCAACCGCGATTCGCTACCGCCGGATCGTTTGCTCACCTTTTACTGCGTCCATAGTGTGCACTCCAGCCATTCAAGGTGGCAAGGTGACTCCCTCAAAGCCAGTGTACCCTTTCTTATCGGAGGTGCTCTCGGATGGCGGGGAGGAGTCCCTGAAGCAGTCTGCGTTCCGAGCGCGCGTTTCCATGTGGCGCGCTCGCGTTGGACCTGGCGACTAAGCAGGAACGAGCCAGAGTACGTACCTGTGCTTTTTGCGCTTCTAACGTTCCCGCTGATTAGGCGGGTATGCAGATAGTGCGCTCGGCGCTGACGTCGGGAGAGGGAGTCACGACGGCAGCTAGCAAAAGGGCAGTGAAATCGCCGGCAAAGTGCGCCATAGAGCAGAGCAGAACCGCGACGCGTCGACTTCCGACTCCTCGACGTCCGAGTCAGGCTGCGTATGAATAGGCGTCCATCCCGCTCGACCGCGCTCAGGAGTCAGCCACGGTCGCTGCAGGGACCAGAACTCTTCTGTGCCTCTCGTGCACGCGTTACCGTCCGCGCGGGAGCTCATTCCGGGAGGGTGTTGGACTGCGAGGCTCTCAGACGCGTTTCAACAGGTGAGTAATATGTCTGCTCAGTGTCTATCTGTTAACGTCAGTGTCCGCGCAGTGTACCAGCATCGACAGCTGTCTTAAACACAACAGACTCATTCATGGAGCTCTTCAACCGCCCCTTTCCCGTGCACTCAGGCTAACCGGCAAAAAACAGCGCGCGCCCTCCCACAGCCGCTACACGGGGCGCCCGCGTAGCGAATGCCCCCATCTCCGGACCACGCTCGATAGATGCGGACGAACTACTCCTTGCAGGCGGCGGCGGACTTAGTCCCGGCAGTGCTACCGGGTCGGCGAAGTCCCGCTCACCTCGAACTCCCACGCGTGTGGGAGGCACTCCCAAGACAGATACGTAAAGTCCGTGGTAGGAAACGCGCCATGAAGGCGAACGACTGCGGAGGTGGTACGTACCGTTTCCGTCCCTGGCCCTGCAGGTCCTGGTTAACTTTCCGGGTTGGCAGATGGCGGATTCCATGTCGAGGGAACGAGGAGGGTATCACGTCGCTGAGAGAGGTACACAGAGCAAATCGGACGCAGAAGGACGGTTGCGGTGGAGGAAGGACGGCGGCGGCGCGAGACTTTGCAGTTCTGAGTGGTGCCATATTAGGCGCCCGTGTCTCTCCCCGAGGCTCCACCTCCATACCTCACTATACGGCCCCTACAGCGCCTACTAGTCCCCAGAATTCACGCAGAGTCCGTCAATCCATCTGGGAGATCTGAGCCATGCCGCAAGATACCCGCGCAAGCGAGATCCCCTCCGTGCAGGGCACAGTCCGCGTCGCCACGGAGCCCATGTCCCGCCGCCTCGCGCACCGCGCACCGCCACTCGCACACGCCAGCCTGTCTCCTTCGCAACGAAATCATTATAGATAATATACGATACATGTACGCATAGAGATACGGGAGCGAGAGCGGGGTGTGGGGTCCAAGGTCCAACCGTACAAACATACCGATGCGCAATTCCTTCCTGCCAAGTTCCAACCCAAACGTAAGCTCACGGGTTGCCCAACCCGCTCACGTTGTACGCCCCCCGCGTCCTAAACCACGCGAACGAGGTCATGATCCGCAGAAACGTGTTCCGGAGCCACACAACGTTTACAGGGATGACTCCCAGCACCCACTTGGTCTTGCTCCGGATCATAATCATCTTCTGCAGACCCTTCACCATCCGGATGACGGTCTCCGCGCGCCCGTGCCGCTCCTCCGCCCACTGCCGGAGCGGCGCCTCGACATCGCCCGCCTTTCCGGACGCCACGGCGCGCACGTACTCGGCGAGAACAGCTCCAAGCTTGATCGCGTCGCGAATGCCGAGGTTCATACCCTGCCCGCCCATCGGAGGGTGAATGTGCGCCGCGTCTCCGAGGAGTAGCACCGGTCCGCCCCCGCGCACCAGCTCGCCCGTCGGGGTAGCGCCGCTGGGGAGGTGCGTGAAGAACGTGTCCGCGATGGACGAGCGCGTGCGGAAGCGGCTCGACCACGCCACCTGCTTGACGACGACGCGAGGCGCACCGGGTGGGAGCGCGCCATTCGGGCCCCACGCGTCGCAGAGCTGCTGAAGATATGCGGCGTCGGGCGCATGAGGGGGCACGCCGAGCGAGGCGGGAATAGCGCAGCCGACGCGATAGACGGCCTCTCCTTCGGGGACGCTGGGGTACGGTCGGCCGGGGAGCACGATGAAGAGGAAGCCGTTGTCAGAGCTGGCGGTGAGGCTCACGATGTCCGTGGGCCACGGCGGGGGGTTCTCGAGCGTGACGTCGGCGATGACCATCTGCGTGAGGAGGTTTGTTTTTTCATCGTTGGGCTCGGCGTCGGGGTCAGCCCAGCCTATCTTTGCGTGCTCGCGGACCTAGTGCGAGCGGTTGATAAGTCGCGCAGGCGGTGAGTTTGAGTTATGTTGTACGCACGACAGAGTGGGAGCCGTCTGCGCCTACGACGCACCGTGCGCGCAGTACGTGGCCGTCATCGAATGTGACGTCAGCGAACTTGGGGTTGCTCGCGTTCGGTTTGAGGTCCACGACCTTGTGCGGCCTGAAGACAGAAATTCCGCGGGCGGTTACAGCCTCTCCGATAATTTGCTCGGTGATGTGTTGCGGAATGGCGATCATGAATGGGTACTTGGTGTGCTTCCCCAGAGAACTGAAGGACGCGGTCTCGAGGACGTGGCCTTCTGTCCTGATGACGGTCGCGCGTAGCTTTCTGCTCGCTTGGAGGACCGCCTCGGCACAGTCGATCTTCTCGAGTGCCTGTAAACCATAGAGTGAGTACCTAAGCTCGTCTGAGTGGAGCCGAAAAAAACTGCCTCGCACATGTCCATACTCACTAGGTACGTCGAGTTTCTTTTCTCGACATACCGAGTGAGCTCAAACCATAGTGTGATAAGAATAATGTGGTATCCGGTCCGCTGTTCTGTGGCAAAAGTTGCGCAGAACAACCCATGTAGAGTGGGGGCTTTCTCACCTCAATAGTTGCTGCATGGACCGCCAATGCACGTGAGCCGTTATCGCCTGGAAGAAGGCTGTCGACGACAACGAAGTCGGTGAAGCCCTGCTTGTGCAGCGAGAGGGCGAGGCAAAGGCCTGTCGGACCTGCGCCTACGATGAGAATCTCCGTGTTCTGAGGCAGGGACATGTTGATGAGGATGGAAGGGAATGAAGAGGCAGGCAGGACGACACTAAGCCCACTTAAATAGATCCTCGACGTGCCTGCGGTCGGTGGGAAGTAGCTATTACAGCATCCGTCGGGATGATTGTGGATAGCCTCCTGTCAGTTGAGATACGACGAGATGCATATGCATGCATGCTGATCTCAGCATTGCGAAGCATGATAGATCGCAGGCCAACACGAGCCATGGTGAGACTCTGGGAGAGCGTTTGACCGTCGCTGAAGAGGAGGAGAGCAACTTGCCAAGGTCGCGCCCCGGGCTTGCTAGTGATGGGAGCACAGCCATCAGAGGCGATCGCTAATAGGCGCCCATGCAATATTCCTGTCCTGTGCCTTCCTCCGACCGCTCTCCGACTTCCTCCTCCGACATTTCCAGGCATGAGCACGGTCACCATCGCTTGCCAGTCCTCGACCTGCCCGAACGGTCACCCGCCATCCCGTCTGGAATGTCCGACGTGCAACAAGTCAGTCTGGCTTTCGCCACCAATACGCACATTCGGGCTCACACATGGTCTACCAGGCTCGGGATAAAGGGATCCTTCTTCTGCGGCCAGGACTGCTTCAAGGCAAACTGTGAGCGGAACTTGTCACCTAGCGATTCGCTTGCCCTCTTACGCTCTCGTAGGGGTAACTATGCCGAGCAATGGCCATGCACTCTCCCCTGACCTCGACTTTTTAGAAAACCCACAAGATCATCCATGACATCGCCACTCCTCGCCAGCCTCTCCTGGATGATCCCAACATCAACAAAGGTGTGTTTCTACACCATCCGAAAGACCGCAATACCTGAACATAGCTCGCATTCAGACGGGACTTTCAATCCCTTCGGCGCCTACAAATTCACCGGTACCATGCGCCCCGTCTACCCTCTCTCCCCTAAGCGTCCTGTACCGGAGCATATCCCTAGGCCAGAGTACGCCGAAGACGGTACGCTCAAGCGCATCCTCCGCGCCGTTCCTTATGCAATGTAAGCATTTCGCTCACCCCGCCACCCATCATCCTTTCCGCAGGCTACCCGGCGACCGAGAGCAGACGCGCCGGCCAACCTCCCCGATGCCTTTCCCCCGAGGAGCAGGACAAAATGCGCGTTGCATGCCGGGTGAGTATCTCTTTCCGCCTCCGCGAGACGTTCCGCTCTCAAGCGCGCCCGCCCCATCAGCACCCGCATCTGACCAATGCTCTATCCCCCCTCTTCCGTCTGCGCGCTTTCTTGTGCGTGTGTAGCTCGCCCGCGAGGTTCTTGACATAGCTGCCGCGGCCGTTCGCCCGGGCATCACTACGGATGAGATCGACGCGATTGTGCACCAAGCCACCATCGACCGCGACTCGTACCCATCCCCGCTTAACTATCGCAACTACCCCAAGTCCGTGTGCACGTACGTCCAGCTGAGTCTGCCATATCTCTAGATACCAGTTTCTTACCAAGTTTATTGCATCCAGGTCCGTCAATGAGGTCATTTGCCACGGTATCCCCGACAAGCGCAAATTGCAGGAGGGCGATATCATCAACATCGGTGAGATTTCACTGCGGGGCCGTACTGTTTGGCATTTCGGTACTCATACACGCCCCACCACCATGCAGATGTGTCGCTTTACAAGGATGGTTAGTGCCTGTGGCGTCTTCCCTCCTCGCACGGTAGCTGATTAGCCATGTAGGCTTCCATGCGGATCTGAACGAGACGTACCCTGTCGGCCGCGTCGATGAGGACTCGCAGCGCGTTATGCGTGCCGCCCGCAAGTCCCTGGACGCCTCAATCAAGCTCTGCAAGCCCGGCGCGCTCTTCCGCGACCTCGGCAGGACCATGTACGTTCCTGTTTTCTGTGTGCCCTATGGAAGACGCACGCTGACGCGTCCATAGCGAGCCCATCGCGCGCGCCCACGGCTGCTCCGTCGTCCGCACGTACTGCGGTCACGGTATCAACGATCTGTTCCATTGCTCGCCGAACGTGCCGCATTACGCAAAGAACAAGGCCGTTGGGACCATGAAGCCCGGCATGTGCTTTACCATTGAGCCCGTGCGTGTCCTCCAGTTTCATCCTATGATAATGCCGAACGACGGCTGATGATGCGTGTGCGTGCGGCAGATGGTCAACCTCGGCCACTGGGACCTCGAGCACTGGCCGGACGACTGGACGTCTGTCACGATTGACGGCAAGCGCAGCGCGCAGTTCGAGGAGACGCTCCTGTAAGTCGTTATTTGCTGCTTACGGATATCTATTTCGCCTGTGCTGACTGGAACCCTACAGGATCACCGACACCGGCGTCGAGATCCTCACGGCTGGCAAGCCCCGAGAAGACCTACTATGATGCCCGATGCCCGATGAATAGCTGAATTGACGGTTCACCACGCTGTGTCATAGGTTGGTGTCTGTATTGGTGTTCGCTGTGTCCTGTAGAACATATAAAATGGGAATCACTATCTACAGCATTGAGAGGAGTGGCATCGATAAGGATGCGCGTTGAGACTGTGTGCCTCTGCCTTCCTACTCAAGCGATACTCGCGAGCCATTAGTTTGGAGTTTCAACGGTAAATATCCTGTAACAGTAGCAGAGGGTACATCATACAACCTCATTACAAACAAGCACTAATAATCACACCCTACAGGTCCTCCCAGATCTTCTGCCAGCGCGTCCGCGGCCCCCGCGCCTCCTGCTCCTTGTTGAAGCGCTCCTCCTCCTCGTCGATCTCCCGCTTGCCCGTGATGAGGTCCACCTTATCGGACGGGATGAGCGATGTGCGGTAGTAGAACTTGTATCCGCAGTAGAACAGGATGAACACCGGGATGCCGATGTACGAGGTCACGAAGGTGTCCTTCGTGAAGGGTATAAACGTATCGAAACCTGTCAACGATGTCAGTCGCATTCGATGGATGGAGTAGAAGGACAGAACGTACCCTTGAACAGGGTGATGATCCCGGTGGCGACGAGGGCAAACCAAGAACCCCACGGCTGGAAGGGCGCCTTGTACGGCAGGTCATCGCGGGACATGCCCTGTGCTTTTAGAGCTTTCATGAAGCGACTGAAGCAGGTGGTCAGTCTATATGCCGCGGACAGTCGACATTCAAAACTTACATATGCGTGTAACAGATACACATCCACGTGATCGCGCCAAACGTCGACACCAAGTTCACGAACCAGCCGAACACCTTCGCGCTGCTGGACGAGACGTTGAGGAAGACGAGGCCGCAGAAGCACGTGCAGAAGATCAACGCCGGGTAGGGAACACCCATGCGGTTGACCCGCGCGAAGAGCTTCGGTGCGTGGCCCTGGACGGCGAGACCGTACAGGGTACGTGTGCCGATGTACAGATCCGAGTTCGCAGCGCTGAGCACGAACAGCAGGATCGCGGCGTTGATGATATGGTTCAGAACCTTGATCCCAGCAAGCGTCGTCGCTGCAACCACGTTCAGCACTCTGCGTTCGAGACCGTGATCCGACGGCACTCACCGACAACGAAGGGGGACGCGGCCGCACCAGCCTTGGACTTGTTGGCGATGAAGAGCGACTGCAGAAGCACACGTTAGCCGTTAAGCGAAGCGAACAAGGTTGCGCGCGACCGACCTGGTTGGTGCTGGGAACAATGAGGCCGATCACGAAGACGCCTCCGACGTAAAAGATGAGGATACGGAAGAACGTCCTCCGGATGGCGATCGGGATGTTCTTGCGCGGGGCCTGCGCCTCGCCTACCGTGACACCGATGAGCTCCGTGCCGATGTACGCGAAGAGCGCGTTCGTGAGGGTGCTCCAGAAGCCGAGGAAGATCGACAGGCTCTCCTCGTGCACCGTGGACAGGAGGTAGTGACCCATGGGCCCGTCGGGGTGCTCCCAGTACCGGAAGCCGATGCGGTCGTGCCTCGGGTTTCCGCCGAGGTCGATGATGATGCCCATGAGCAGCAGGCCGATGAGCGTGATGACCTTGATGCTGCTGAACCAGAACTCCAGCTCGCCGAACACGCGGACACCGAGCAAGTTGACGAAGAAGACTAGAGTAGTATTAGTGTCGGCACGCGACCGAAAAAAGTGCGGGGAACTCACTGAACGCGATGAAAATAACTAGAGAACGTTCCGAGCGTCAGCGGCGTGCATCAAACTCTCTAAGCGCGATTCACGTACCCATCCAAATGGCTATGTGCACCTTCCGGGTCCAGTATTGGATAACCACACCGGCCGCATTGATGTTGTTTGGCGTGACAATAACGTACCTGTCAATTTTACAGTTAGCATGCAGTCTACAGATCCGAGAAACGTCAGGAAAGCTTACTTCATAACATAGTTCCAGCCGAGACCGAAGCCGAATGCGGGGTCGACGAAGCGAGTCGCGTAGCCGGGGAAACCCTTCTTGTGCGGCAGGTACGCACACATCTCGCCGAGAGCAACCATGACGAGGTAGCACACGAATCCAACGAAGGAGTAGCCCAAAAGGATTCCGAGAGGGCCTCCGCGGACAAGCGCAGTACCCGAACCGATAATAAGACCAGTACCGATCGCACCACCAAGCTGCAATCCGTTCTGTAAGTACATCGGTATTCCGGGTGCAATGCAGAGCGAGACGTACCGCGATCATGGAAATCTGGCGAGCAGAGAGGTCTCGATGCAGACTCTCCCTCTCCTCCGGCTCGACCAGGGCCTCGTTGGCCACATAGTAGTTTGAGCCCTTCATGGCGTCGCCTGAAGACACCGAGGCGTCAAACTCGTGCTTCTCAGCACCCTTCTCCTCGAAAGACATCGTCGTGTCGTGGATTTGCGTCCGTGTAGTCGGCTAGGTGCAGTGGAAGCCGAGCAGGACAGACGGAGAGGCCAGAGGGAGCAAGGCGGCTGGACGGAGAGCGCTGCATTCCGGAGGGACTTATAGCACATCGCCGACCCCGCAGGAAAATGATTGGACAGGCCATCAATCGCGTAAGAAGATGCGAAGATTCCGCCAAGCATCGGGCCCCTGGCCTGCCAAGGGGCGGAAACAAGCGCTGCGATACGTGAGTCGCGCATCCGCGTCAGCCCGCAACAAAATAATCCGTGCCTGCACCTACACTCGGCAAAGCGATCTCCACCAAGTCTCGTTCCCTCGCTCGCTCTCTCCATGTTGCTTGATGAATGTCCTGGAGAAATACAAGAAATATGAATTCGGGGACCTGTACAGTTGTCTGCAAAATAATCTGCAGTGCGCGGACAGCGGGAGCTTATATGCTCCGGACAAACACAGCCTGTTATACATACACCCATCCTCATCGCGATCGAGCGACGGAAGAGGGGGCGAGATACATGATCGAGATCTGCTGTAACATGGGCCGACGCTGGGGCTCGGTCGCGCTCACAGCTTGTGCCTCAGCTCCTTCCGCGCGATCCTCTCAAACCGCGCGCTAGGGACGCCCGACGCGAACCGCTCCGCCTGCGCGTAGCTCTCGCGCATGTTCACCGCGTCGAAGCTATGCTGGTCGTTCAGCCCGGCCTTCACGAGCCTCTTCACGCCCAGGAGCGCGGTGGGCTCCAAGCCGTCCATGTCCGCAAGAACGAGCTGGCGGACTGCGGCATGGAACTCCGGGACCGGCTGCTCAGGAAAGATTTTGCTTGGCAATAGGTTCAGCTCGGGGCGTCCGCCGATAAGCATGGCGTCACCACGTACTTGATAAAGCCACAATCGAGCAGCTCCTGTGCGTCCTTCTTCTTGCCCCAGATGAGCACCTCGTTCGCCTTGGCGGCACCCACTGCGAGGGAGCGAAAGATTAAGAACGGCACACGACCCTGACTTGGGACGCTACACGTACTTCTGTTACGGAACGTCACACTGGAACCTGCCTCGGCGATGATCCCTGTGGGTCCTCATCGTTAGAGCGATCACCCACATTGGGAAAGTTGGTGGGCTCACCGAGGAAAGTAAAGGGTACCGAGAGCCATGCGTTAGGTAACGCGTATATGAAGTCAAAGTGTCCCAAGAACGCTGAGTAGAGAAGTTAGAGCCTGCGGTCTTCAATCAATAGTGTGCACTAACCTGCTGAGATTCCTGCAGGCGGACGACATCAACACGAAAGAATGCCAGACCGATGTGCGCTCGAGGAAACGCACCCATTACAGGGCCGTTCAGAGCAGCCACCAAAATCTTGCTGTGAGTGTACAACTGATGGTCTATGAACTTGGCGTGCTAAGACATCCCGACTCTGACACTCACCGCATTGCTGACATCTGTATTGACAGGGACTATGCCTTTCGTGAAGGCCTCGCGCGTCGTCTTGACCGTCATCCTATCTGTGACACTGGTCCCGCTGCATTCAAGGATGAGTGATGGTTCCTGGAGCAGAACTAGAGGCGTCTGAGACATACGCGGAGAACCATCTTCCGTTTGCTATCTCGATGTAAGGAACAGTTCATTATACGCCAGGAACACCAGAGTTACCTTGCCAGACGGTCACAAGGACGTCGTCCCGCTTATCTACATCTCGTAGAGCGACAGCGAATGCATCGTAGTCTGGCAATCACCATCATTAGCGTGTTTCTTATGCCACCACCGCAAGACGTGTCACTCACCCTCCCGGGTGATGGCGTTTAGTGTCTTGGGGGAGTTAAAGGTGATAGTAGCAATGCCCTGGGAGACATCAAGCAGGACGCGGTTAGACATTGTGGGGAGTGCGGGGGGCGTGGTGGGAGAGCAAGAACAGGGGCGTTCAGTTGATGCAAGCGAGTAGCGTAGGCTTATATATGTCAGTTGCGCTCTGTGAGCATCGCGGCGCTAGTACTAGCGATGTAGATGCCGGCTAGTGCACTAGTTCATCCGAGGGATTGTGGGTGTACTTGGAACATTCAGATCGCCTGCGCGAGGTCAAGTGGACGTATTAACGAACGCGTGGGCGCTCGGGTGCGCGGGTTCCCCGGTGGACCGGCGCGATCGCTTCGTGCCGCCGTCGGTCGATCAGCTGTGCACCTCTCTCGTTCGCCACCAGGACACTCGTAAACTCGGAGTACCGAAGACGCAACAAGTACTGTCAGAGTAGATAAACCAATCTCGGGCCAGAACGTACAACGTGAAATAATCTAGGTGCACTTGCAAACATCATGGGATCGACTTTAGATATTCCTTTGCACGTCAAGTACATCCAGTCCCTCGGCGAGGTACGCAGTCGTTCCCACCTGTTGATCCCCAGCTGAACTCCTCCTTCTAGAACAAAGATGACCTCGTCTACCATCTCACCGCGCACTTGCGTATGAACGCGATATACTGGGGTCTGACCGCGCTCTGCGTTATGAAGCAGAAGGATGCGCTCAACAGAGACGAGATGATCGAGTTCGTCATGAGCTGCTGGGACGACGAGGCAGGTCAGGTTTATTCTCGTATTCATTAGCGGACAGACGATGCTAACGCCTAAATGTACAGGCGCGTTCGGCGCGCATCCCGACCACGATGCACACCTCCTGTCCACGCTAAGCGCGATCCAAGTGTTGACGATGCAGGACGCGCTAGAACGAGTGGACATTCCTCGTGTCGTCAAGTGTGCGTGTCCACCCCCACAGATGACGATCAGACGCATCCAGCTGATGCATGACGGCAGACATCCTATCCCTCCAACAGCCTTCCGGGGTATTCGCCGGAGATGCCTTCGGCGAGGTAGACACCCGCTTTCTGTGCTGCGCAGTGCTCGCACTCTCTCTTCTCGGACACCTGCATGAGCTGGACGTCGACAAAACGGTGGGATATATCCGGCGCTGTAGGAACTTCGACGGCGGCTTTGGCGCCCGAGAAGGTGCAGAAAGCCACGCCGCGCAAGGTACATCAGAATCGGCTAGCTAAAGCTTCCCAGTAGGCTGACGTGACCCACCTTACCAGTGTTCGTGTGTGTCGCTGCCCTTGCCGTCCTGGATCGGCTGGACGAGATCGACCAGGACTCGCTTGGGTGGTGGCTTGCCGAGCGGCAACTCCCCAACGGCGGCTTGAATGGTCGGCCAGAGAAGCTCGAAGACGTATGCTGCCTTTTGTGTTGCACGTAACGTTCTTGTGCTAAGCGGCTGCTCCAGGTTTGCTACAGTTTCTGGGTGCTTTCTGCGATGTCGATTCTGAACAAGATTCCATGGATCAACGCCGAAAAGCTGACGACATTCATCCTTTCTGCACAGGTAGGTGGTACGGTAGTAGTATTACGGGTTGGTAATGACTGATACTGGCTGCAGGATCTCGAGCATGGTGGTATTGCAGACAGGCCAGGAGATCAGCCCGATGTCTTCCACACAAATTTCGGTGTCGCAGGTAGCTGTCATAGGTGCCTCAGCATTCTGTCCGGTTGATCATTCCTTTCTGCAGGCCTGTCTCTACTCGGATACCCAGGACTGGACGATCTGGATCCCGTCTACTGCATGCCGGCCAGTTTGATTGAGTCGAAGGGGCTACGGAAGGGCTGGACGGCCCTTCCACGGAGAGAAACTGTTTGACATGCACTCCAATGACAACAACGTTAATTCGCACACCGCGGGCCAGTACTGTACTACGTATACTAGAGTTTGTGTGGCTGAGCGCAGTCCGCCTTTTGCGCTTCCTCTCCGCGACACCCCTCATCAACGACTACGCGCGCTGGGAGCTCCTCAGGCTCTCTTCGAGGAGTCGCTCAACGTCAGGATTGCGTACGAAGGAGTCCGGACGAAGCGGAGTGGGGTCGGGCCGTGCCAAGACGCCGGTGTTATCTGGGCCGCACGTGGGAGAGGGAGTGCGCGATCTGGATCCGGCGTGTTGCGTTGAGTGAACTCTTTCGCCGGCGCAGGAGTGTTTGTTCACGACCGCGGCTCAAGTTTAGCTTAAAGCTTCTCAATCTACTCTGGTCCCTCTCTCCCACCCCCATCAGCCCCCTCGGAGGCCCCTCTCCGTCCACCTTGTCTGGGAAGATCCTCTTGATCTAGCTGTGAAACATGAGCGGAAGCGCGGCCCTCGAATCAGCATCCAAGCTTGGCGACCTGCTTGCGCAGCTGCCTCTCAACCAGCCCAATCAATGGTCCGACATTGAGCTCACCGCCCAGAGTCTCGCGAATGATCTGCGTAGCAAGAACGGTTCGCTGCACCCCGTCTGCTCTCTTGCTTGTTCCATGCCGACACACGCTACACAGTTGAACAGCAGACTGCACTCGGACAGACCCTGTTGCCTCAGACTCTCACTTCGCTGCTGAAGGGCGCCATCAACACGAAGGATGCGGGCCCGGCATGCAAGCCCGCCATCTTTGAACTGCTGCGCGTAGCCGCAAACATCTGCATGGACCATGGTACGTAAAGCAGTCCTGTATTTGATGGTGTCTGGTACCGACCGTCTGGATACGCCGCACCGCAGACAACAACCGAGGCGTCTTGCTCGATGCTGGGTTCCCGCAAACTGTCATTAGCTTGCTGGAAAGCTATGCTGAAACGGTCAAACCCGCTCAGCGCGAGGCACTCTCCATATCTATACCCGATCTCAAAGTTGTCAAGACCGCCATCGGATTCTTGCTAAATGCTAGCGTAGGCTATGGTATGTGCCGTGGAACGCTGCGTGTCGTCCATACTCACCAGAATAGATGCTGTCAAGGACCGCTTGGTTGCTCTGGAGGCTGCCATGACTATTCTGAAGCTATCTACGGCTATATACCCCCTTGGCTCGTGGCAGCTAGACTCGACACAAGAAAGCTCAGAGGAATTCAACGAGGCTTGGTCTCTACGGAGCACTCTGGCCTCTTGGTCATGGCGAGCTATAGAGGAAATCACTGGCGACGAGGACAACCGTGAGTACTCCCTGAAATCATCCGCCGAACGAACGTCCGCCCACCTAGCGCTTCCAGAGCAACCTCGGCTAGTATTTGGACCCGACGCCCTACCATTGCTGGTCTCGCAGTTGCGCGCATTCCTTCCACCGTACCCCGAGCTCCCCGCCATATTCTCTAGTCCAGCTTCTCGCCGCAGTCTCGTCCAGACTGACTTCGACATCTACGAGCAGGTCTGCGGTCTGATCGAGTCACTATGTCTGGATGTGGAAGACGTCCGGCTCTCTCTGGCGCGCGGTTTGACGTTCCCTGACGGAGAGCACGGTGGCGTTGCATGTTTGTCAGAGCTCCTGACGTTCGTGGAAAAGGGCGACTATCCGCCCCACTGGGCCTCGGAGTCGTCGGGTGAGCGCGCGAACAAGGAAAAGGGCTTTGACGTCGGCAAGGGCGCCCTCGTCAAGGCCATCGTGGAGGTGGCTGGTGAGGAGAAGAACACCGACACGCTCTGGGACGACTCCGAGACAGACACGCCGGGTGGCGTGTTCGTCAGCAGGATGGTGGAGTGGATCCGCACGCACAAGAGCCTCAAGGAGGGCAACCGCGACGACCTGATCATTTGCGCCACCCTCAGCCTCGGAAACATATGCCGGCGAGGTGTGCCCCCACATCTGCGCTCCGGTCCGAAGTCTAAAACTCTGACCCGTCATTCGCACAGACGCGCATTCCACCGCGATCGTGAAGCAGCCCATTTCGCTCGCGCCCGACCTTGCGGCGCTGCTGGAGCCCGAAATCGACGTCAAGGTGAAGCACGGCGTGATCGGGCTGCTGAAGCACCTCGCACAGTCGCAGGGAAATAGGGCCGCACTTGGGCAGGCGGCCATCATAGAGCGACTCGCGACGTCGCAAATATGGAGCGAGAGGGCAGACATGGTGGAGATCATACAGGTTGCAGCCATTGGCGTTGCGAAACACATGTGCAACGGCGACAGTGAGCATGGCTTTGGCTTCCCGGCTCCGCGGCCGTCGCTGATCTGAGACACCCCGTTTAGTCGACAACACGTTCTCGCTCGTCCTCCCGGCCGAGGAGAGCTCCCCATTGAATCAGATACTGCAGCTCGTCAATCGATCGGACTCTATTGCTGTCAAGAGCGAGGGCACGCGCGTGCTCGTGAACGCAGTCAAGTCCTTGTGGTCGACCGATCCGAAGACGCTCGACGAGGGCAAAGTAAAGAAGCGAGAGGACGCTATGAAGGCCATCGTGACGGAGCCGTGCGTGTCCGCACTAGCGCGGTTGATCGGCAGGAGCAAACGGTATCCGACGCTCATCAACGAGGGCGTGGTCGCGCTGTCCTTGGTCAGCACGCACCCGAATGGAGGTGCGCTGAGCCCTTCGTCTGCGTGCAGCGATCAGCACTCACGCTCATTTCGCAGGCACGCTCGTACTGGACTCTCTTCTCAACCCACTGCCGACCGAGGCGATCCGGTCGACGTCCCAGCCGCTCTCCGCCGTCTCGGCCTCGGAGGGTTCGCCGGTAGTGGGGCCTCGGCGCGCGCTGGACATGCTCACCAACCTGCTGCGCGACAGCAGCACCAATGTGCCCGCAGAAGTGCGCTCGAACGTATGCGCGCTGCTCGGGCATCTGGGCCGGAAAGGCGTCGTCGCAGAAAGCAGGGCTACTGATCTGCAGCGGATGAAGGACGGCACCCGGGAGCTCCTTGAGGGCCTGGCCCATGACAGCGAGGTGCCAGGCAACCCGAAGGTCGTTGCCGCGGCGAAGCGGGCGCTGGAGGCATGGGCGTAGGTGCTGCTGTGCGTGTTCGGGAGAGCCTCGGACGTCGGTGTAGCGTGTTCGCAGAAATCTGACAACTGTACTAGCAATCTTGTATCTCGGGTGTATTTCTTGGATCCTGTGGCTCGCTGTCGAATGTATGTGCTTGCTCTGCTATATCTGCGTCTGCGCATTGTGGTTTTGTGCCGTTTTGAGAGCCAGTTAGGCCTTAGCCAATAGGCCAACCTGAACCGGCATCCGGGTCGTTTCGTCCCGGAATGAATGATCGAAAGTGTGGCTGAAGCGTGAACGCACCCAGCTGCACAGGTCTGCAGACAGCGCTTGGTCGCGAACACTCATCACCATCGTCTCGACGTCCACCTTCGTAGACAGAATTGCACTTGCTTTCTGGGATTGTGCGGCCCGGGAATGCCTTTCTAGACGACTGTCAATCACCGCCTTACGTTCACTACGACCTGCCCGCCGGCTAAAATGGGGGTCTTCTTCAGCTTGCTCTCTGCTGCATACTACATGCCGAAACTGCACTTTGGGTCTGTACCTGCGACTATCGCAACGAAGAGCGCGGCAAGCTCTAAAGCTATTGAGCGAATCACGCTACGTGACTTCGTCCAGCTCCGGTGCCCGTCGCTGTTCGAGGAGTTCCGCCCGGCATGGTGGCTGAAGAGGTACGTTCGCCTTTTGTGCAAGAAGAGGTTTGATCCGAGCTTTCGCAAGTGGTCATTTGCAGACAGGGTATTGCGTTCTCGGCGACTTTTCCAAAATAGACAAGGTTGAATACGATAGGTGAGGGCCTGGCGGCGCAGTAGTTGCCGAACAACGCGAGTGCTAATCCTCCGCCACGCCTAGAACGCTGCTTCGGACGCTCGATGGCGGGACCATGTAAGTCGCCCAAGTCATTCGAGTCTGTTTTGCAATATGTCATTAATGTCCGGCCCGTGGCGTCATCAGTGGAATTGATTCGACCCCACCCGCACAAGAACGCACCCTGAAAGAGGACACGCCCATCATTGTGGTTCTGCACGGGCTCACAGGAGGTGCCACATTATTCACCGGCGTTCGGGTCGTACCAGTGCTCATACAGGGACTTGCAGGTTCTCATGAGTCATACGTCCGATCCATCCTCGCCCCAGCATGCACGCCCGTCGAGCAAGGCGGCTTGGGATATCGGGGAATCGTGGTCAACTTTCGCGGGTGTAAGCCGATCTCGTCCCTGGACACGCGCCGCTTCTGCGTTCATCTCACTCTCTCATGAATCGCGATATTGACTACAGGTGCCGGCGTGCCTCTTACGAGCCCGCAACTGTACTCGGCGCTGTACACCGACGACATCCGGGTGGCGGTCATGTACATCCACAAGCAGTACCCCCGCGCACCCCTCATCGGCATTGGCTTCTCCCTTGGCGCGAACGTGCTCACACGGTACCTCGCAGAGGAAGGCGAGAAGAGCCGGCTCGTTGCGGGCTGTGCGCTGGCTTGCGTGGGTCCACCGTTTTCGTTGTTTCGCCCCATTCAGACCTGACCCTCATGTTTGGCACGCCCGCGCAGCCGTGGGATCTAGTCGCGTCCAGTGATCAGTTGGGTCCCTGTCTTCCCGCGACCGGTGCGGCACGCTGATGCACACTTTCGCGTTTAGTCTGAGCAGCCGCTTCTTCCACCGGCACGTATATTCCAGCGGAATGGCCCAGAACCTGCAGAAGCTCATGGAGCGGCATTCGAAGGCGCTCTCCAAGTTCCCAGACTCGCCTGCGTGGAGGGCCGCGCAGGCGGTCGCCGCGAAGAAGAGCATGTCGTTGATCGAGTTTGACGATACCGTGACCTGCGTCTGCGGTGGCTCTTACCCGCCGTTCCCGTTCGCGACGGCGTACGACTACTACCACGCGGCGTCGAGCCACAGGGTGCTGGGGGGCATTCGCGTGCCCTTCCTCGCCCTGAATTCCGACGACGACCCGATCGCGAGCAACATGCCGATCGGAGAAGCCGACAACGGTTTTGTGGTGCTGGGGCTCACGAAGGGGGGTGGGCATCTCGGCTGGTTCGAAGCCGGAAAGCACTTCGGCCAGGTGGACAGGTGGATTCGCAAGCCTGTGCTTGAATGGATTCGGGCGATGGGCCAGGACTTTGTGCCAGAAGGAGAGCGAGGGCAGCCAACGCACCAGGTAGACGGGTTCCTCAAGGAGATTGGGCGCGACGATATCGGCTGCAAAGAGATCGAGGGTGGCGGCCATATCGTTGGGGTGGAGGGCGAAGAGGGACTTCTTGCTGGATTGTAGCGCTGGACTTTGTATAGCGGGACAACCATTACTAGACTACAATGTGGTGGGGCGTACAGCTGAATGCTACATATCGAGTGTGTGAAGTCTGCTTCAATCGCTGTCGCTAAAGGTGACGATGTCTTCGTTCTCTTCCTCTTCTTCTCTTGCGTTTCTGTCGTACTGGCTGATATCGACTGAGACGCCCTCTTCGTCTACATCTTCGTCCAGTGCCGCGAGATTCTGGTCGCGTTCGAAGAGCTGTCGGCCTAGGGTCGTATATCAGTAATGGGAACCGCCATCAATATTGCAAATAAAACGTACCGGAAAGACGGGTTAGAGCCTTCCTGTATTCTTCTCTCTCCTTGGCCGACCAGCCCTTGAGCCTTTCCTCGTCTTCACGAGCTCGTTTCACGGCCAACTCCTTGTCAAACTTGATCTTCCACGCCTTGAATGACTCCACCGTTACAGGTGTTCCACGAGTTCTCGCTTCCTCCGCCTAGACCATAATCGTTCAATTGGACGGAGACGAGGGTTGAGAACAGCACTTACTTCGAGCGCTTTCCGCTCCTTCTCTGCGGCTTCGTGGCGATCGCGTTCCTCCCTCTCCCGCATGATAGCAGATAGTCGCTCTCGGAGATGCGTCACTAGCGTGAAGGTCATCGCCATGCCCAGGTTTTCTTCTCCCTGCATATCCATTAGCTCAGGGTCCGCGCCGGAGCATAGGGCAGCATCCTTACCACTCTCTGCAGCTCATCGTGGAGATGAGTGAGTTCCGCCTCTTCGAGCTCGCCTTGTGTTGAGTCTAGCGTAAACGTGGGTAGTACATCGGGGTATTCGTCCGTGTATTCAACGTCCAGGGTTATCGTGACTAGAAGATCACGGAACTAGTCAGTCTGCAGCGCAATGAGTCTCCGACGGGCAACGTACGGGGCTCGATCCCATCCACGGGGTCATCGGGCTCGACCTCGATGCGGATTTCCCTTTCCGATAGTTCTTTGCATGAGTCTCAGCTCGACATGACCGGTTCGATGAGGGTACGGAACGCACTTGTGAGCTCTTCCGGGTAGATCGACTCGAGTACCTGCGTGGCGAGATCAGCACCCTCGTTCCGCATGCACGGTCGACCGGGACGCCATGCGCACCTCGAACTCCTCGGCTAGCACTTCTGCGGACATGGAGGCGAAGGGGAGCTGCTCTCCGACTTGGTCGCCCTGAGCGTCGTACCTGAGAGCAGCCAGGAGCAGCCGCAGAAGATGGGGGTGGCCGGGGGCCGTCCCCGGCGTCCCCGCCCAGCGCTCCGGCGTCCGCAGACTGGCTGGGCCAGCGTCGACGCTCGCAGCGACCACCGACTCGCTTTCTACATCCACCTCGTGCTCTGCGGCGTCATGCTCGCCACTCTCCGCCAGGCTGCGCCGTCGGCCCTGCGTCAATGTCGCAGCAGCGCAGCCGCTACATCTCATATCACACAACACGTCCGTGCCCTCGCCTCTAGCTCGGTCCTACGGGATCAATCGCAGGGCGGCCCTCGCTGGCTCCGGACGGCGGAGGCGACTCCACCCAACAACTGGCATTTTCTCATGGGCGCAGTGAAGGAGGGCACGAAGACGCAGAAGGCGTCGAACCCGGAGGACATCTGGATGAACAAGGAGAACACCGACGTTGCCCAGCTCCCGCCGCCGAATAACGCGTACTCAGGTATACCGCACCCGCGCGTAGATATGCTGTAACAGGGATCTGATGCAGTCATCCATACAGGCCGGAGCGTGCAGGTCAACGCCGATGCGGTGGGGCTCGCGTTGACGAAGCTCAAGGGCATCCTCACGGTGAACGCCGTGCGCCATACGGCAGTCCGGGACGAGCGGCACGAAAAGAAGGGCGAAAAGCGGAATCGCCTCAAGAGTGTGCGCTGGAGGAGGCGCTTTGCGCATGAGGTACGTCTTGGCCCCCAGTCAGCCGCCCTTTGCAGCATTAATGGGGTCCGCAGGTGAGGCAGAAGGTGCAGCTCGTCAATGAAATTCGTGCCCGCGGAGCATGATGGGTGCCCGAAATCCATTTCCCCTGCCGCCGTCACAGCGGGCCGCCCTAGGCGCTTTCCGGATTGTAATACAGTATGTACGTCGGCCGTGACGATAATCAGTTCGCCCGTTACTGCGCCGCCTGAGCACTCCGTGAGCGTGGCGGGCCGATGATGGACTCGACCGAACTGACAGAAAGGGGCCGCACCAAGGTCGCACTCAAACTGCGAAGTTTCAGATGCATGACCTCGCCTGGGAGGTACTCGTGTACTGGCGCGCCTGCGCGTACGGCTGCAGGCACGCTCGGTCTATAGGCACCGGAAGGATCAAGGAGCCTGCGCGGACGCCGGAGGTATTTTCATTTCGCGCTCGTTCCGGTGTGAAGGCTAATGTGCGGGCGGGGGTGGTAGGATCGAGGACCTAAATCGTCGAGACGGCATGTCGGGGTCCAGATCTCGCACCGTGCTGCCAACGCGCAACATGTGGTGGCCACGCAGGAGGCCTCGTGGAAAGCACGCTGGAGATACTCGAGATTTTATCAATCCCCCTGGTCGCTTTGGCGCATCTGTGTGAAGATAAAGCGGCAGGGAGCCAACGAGAGCCCGACGCGCGACGCTTCGCTGCTACAGGTGGAGGGGCCTGTTGATCTGAATGGCATTTGACGCCTTCTCAGGGATCCCACCTTCCGCACGCCGGGCAGGGTCCAGCTTCCTGCGGCCTACCGACGACATCGTCTATACATTATTCAGCAATTTTTGATCGACTTTCCACAGGCGCCGCCCCGCAACAGCTATGTGGCTTGACTTGCATATGGCATGAGCGAGGGGCCCCAAGCCTCGCCTTGCAGGTCCACCCGCATTCTGCGAGAACGCGGCCAACATGCAACCGGATTAGGGCCATGCGTTGCCTCGCCTCCAGTCAAGTGATGGACACTTTCCAGTACTTATAGCCCACCCGCCCGACGGTCCTGGTCTCCATCCAAGCCGTCTTCCCCTTCTCCAAGCCAACTCAAACCCCACACCTTCCACAGTACTTTTCGAGATGTGCCACAACGTGAATTCTACGGCCGGTGTTCTACAGACTGTCGCTGACGTTCGAGCTTTAGGTAATTGACGGCAAGCTGCACCTGACGTGCCAGCACTTCATCCCGATGTCGACGCGCCAACAAGACTGCCTCCGCCCGAACTGCCTGTTCAGCCGCAACCACGCGCACCCCGTCGGTGAGTCTCCCCGCCGCCCGATCTCGCTGCCGAGCGTGGACTGATGGATGATATCGCAGGCTGCAGGTCGACTTCGTGCATGCGGATGATGCAGCCGCCGCAGCGGAACCCGATCAGGATCCACGAGAGCCTGTGCGCGGATTGCATCATGCGCGGGGACGGGGGTCGAGGGGCTCTCCGATGCTCATGATGCGCCTCCCCCCTCGAGGCCGCACGGCCTCCCGGGCCACACCCAACTTCTTTCCACGACATCCACGACCCCACGACATGCGAACTGGGCACCTCGAGTACGGGGTGCGGCTGGCGGCGCGTATGGTATGATCGGCGCTGGCGCTCGATAATGCATCACACGGACACTGTTGTAACACTTATTCTCTGGCTATGTGTTGTCTTAATATGTATTCGTAACATGATGTTTATGCCCACCAAACCCTAACGCCACCACGCTGCTGCGAGCGCATCTCTGTCCGAGTTGAGCTTATCGTGCATGCGCTGCACCCCTTGTCGACCGTCTATAGCAGTGCAGACGTCTAGCCTCCTCCGAGTCGGCCTCCAACTGCCGACTTGGACTCGTCCCACGCGCACGCTGCGTGACCGTGACGAGCCGTGGACATGACCGCTCGCGTCTGGCGCAGGGTCGCGGCTGGCCCGCGCTAAGTGCGCGCCCGAGGAGGCGCGCCTTGTTCTCTCCCACTCCCATCCATTTGTGTGTTGTGCCACATCGGTCTCGTGGCAGCGACGCCTTGTTGTAGCAACACAAGCTTTTGTTGCGGACTTCGGTTCGTTGCTAAGGTCGGCGCACGCTTCCTGGACCCTGTTCGCTTGTGGCAGTCATAAAATCCGACTCGCCTGCGCCATGTCGTGTCCCTACCACCCTCCGCCACCATGTCTGGACCTAACTGGATCTCTGCCGCGTTCGAGGAGACCTTCAACCTCCCCTACCGCCACTTCCACAAGCCCAACGTCCCGATCCCCTCATTCTGGGGAACCCTAGCTCACCTTGATCTTCGGCGATATGCTCACTTAGCCGTGCTCCCCAAGATGGAGCTCAGCCCGGCTGTGCCCCCGCCACCAACGCCACCTGACAGAGGACACCGAAACAGACTGAACGTTGAACACGAGCCATATAGGCGTCTCGACTTCATCTACAACATCAGCGTCTTCGCAGAGACCGCGCTAGATTGTACGTGTGCCCCTCTTCGTTGTGGCGTACGTTTGCTGATCGCCGCTGTTTAGTTTGCTTGACTAGATTGCCTTCGGTGAGGACGGGCGACGCAGACTTCGATAGCGAAAACGGTGGCGGCATCACTATAGCCTCCCAAGGCTTCCAGATAAACACCCCCATGCCGATTGGGAAACCGTCGGATGTCGACAAGTGGGTCGTGTTGACACATTGATTCTTGCTTTTGCCATGCTTACATGCTTGTTCCAGAGTGTTGAGATGGGTCATGGAATACCCGCTCGCTACTGTCAACCATATGATGCATCTGGTCCACCCCGACACGATAGACTACATAGTGCAAGAAGGTGGAAACGACGGCCACGATAAAGGACTGATCCGATGGGCGTATTGGGGCCGAGACGAAAACACAATCACTGAGGCGCTCGATACATGGTCCGAGTCTGTGATGGTCTTCGTCCAGCCGCCGTGGATCCTCACTCAAGCTGACATGGAGGCGTTCGTCGGTTGCCCAACGGTAGGTCACCTTTTCTCTGCAGTGACTCCGCATCACTCACGAGGCGAGACAGTTTCCAGCACCAACCTCACAAAAGAAATTGAAGAGCTACGAGAGGCTGTGGGGAAAGGTAGGCTGCACACAGACTGCTGTGCCCGCTACAGCGAGTGCTCACGCGCGCACAGATATGGGACCTGTGCACCCAAAAGCGTTCGCACTGGTTCGTGCTGACGACGTACTGGGGCTGGGTGTTTGGAGCGTTCTCCCCAGGCAAGTGCCCCGACCTTCTATGTCTTGAGCATAGCCTGACATTTTGTCAGGACGTACGCGCGCGTTCACGTCCCAGATCATCCCGTTCGACTCCAAAGAGCCTACTGTCCTGCAATGCCTATTCTTCTGGTTCACCTCTGCCGTCGCCTCGCAGCTACCCCAACAAGGCGCATGGGCCATCCCAGAGGTCAGTGGCGAATACGCAAACTATGGCATTCAACACCCCTGCACATTCCGTTCAATATGCCGGACGCGGAAGCGGCTGGACGAGCGCGCCAAGTTGCTCGCGCTCGCGCTGAAGCCATGACCGTGGCCGGTACCGTTTTTTGCGTTCAGCGCAGCGTCTTCAATATGGTTCTCACCCACGGTCCACCCACGTAGGTGCCCGAACCCGTCGACGCGTTGGAGTATATCTCAATCCCAGTCCATGACGACAGTGTGGATATCGACGTATCCGAGAGCAGCTGGCAGGCTAGCAGTGGCGGTCAGTCGGCCCTCTCTCCGCCGCTCATACGCTGTGACTGACTCACTTCGTGCTCAGCGCGGACCCATTCCCATTCTGGGGTTGCCTCCGACGGCGAATCCGACGACGAGGCAGATGCAGATACGGTCATGTTCGAGCTCCTGCCCGACATGCTCCACAACGCCGCCCCTCCCGCAGGCGCGCGCCAGGCCAACAACGCGAATCTGATCGCAGACTGGATGCAGGGAGCTGCGGCCGGCCAGCACCCGCATGCGCTGAACGGCGCGCCGCCCGCACCCCCATCGGAAGCGCCGTCGGGCGTGTCGTCGCTTACGACGAACAACTCGGTGTCGACGGTGGTCGACCAGGCCCAAGCCCCGGCGAGACACGGCGCGTTTGTGACCGCGGCGCTCGCGGAGATGCGCTTGGACTACAACTATGGTGGGGCGTACTAGCGCAACTAGTCGCACCAGGGCCAGCAGCCACCAGCAGACCGCCCGGCCTCGGGGTGGAGCTGCCACTAGCGTCCAAAACAGCCGACGATCGCCGTTCCTGCTCCTTGTTTTCCATAACAGTTTTCTGCTTGTTTATGCTTTGTATATTGCTGTCCGTGATGCTTGTTGGGTCCATATGCTGTGTCAGCCTGTCGTACATAATATTGCAATCGCACTCGCTCTCGTAGTTCACTACCCTGACGCCCGGGAGTTTCCTTGGCGCTTATTTCGCATGGGCGCGCGTCGTGATCGGTAGCGCGTCTTTCTACTGAACCACAAACCACCAGCATCCTCAACGACTCAGTCACGTTTAGGTAGGATTATTGACCGTGAATACCTCTGCATGTTTGAGGAGAGCACTAATATGCGAGATACGTAGTCAATTTGTCAGTGCACTAGTCATGGGCGCCACCAACCTCGCCGCGACAACAAGTTCGCAGTGGATGTTTCCGCTCTCCGCGCTACACAACACCCCAAGCAGGGCCACATCCAACATCCCTCTAGAGAAAGAACTGTACGACCGTAGTAGAGGCGTAGAGTTCCTCTACAGACTCGGTGTATCCCTCGGCTTGTGCGTTCCTTCGCGCTTCTGCGCGGAGCTGTGGCTAAAGTATCATTGACAGGCCGTCTTCCGCAATGTACACGGCGGCGACCTGGTTCCACCGCTTCTACATGCGGTACTCCATGGAGGATTATCACCGACAGGTCAGAGGGTAGCCACGCACGTTCGACGCTTAGGCTTATTACGTGCTTAGGACGTCGCCGCCTCTTGCATATTCCTGGCCACCAAGACCGAAGAGTGCGGCCGCAAGCTGCGCGACGTCGCGAAGGTCGTTTGCTCCAAAGTCTCCCACATCGACATTTCGAAGATCAAAGACGACAGCAAAGTAAGTGCGGGTCGGCTTATTGTAGATGCGCTCGCTCACCTGACTACAGGAAGTCGAGGAGTGCCAGACCAGCATCCTGCTGACTGAGGAGGTCCTGTTGGAGGGCCTTTGTTTCGACTTCGTGGTGGACAGTCCGCAAGCCGACCTCGTCGACCTCTTCGACGCCTGCCCCAATAGTACGCACATCGAGGAGTGCGCGTGGTCCATCGCGAACGACTCGTGAGCTGCGCACCAGCGCGTCTTCCCGATACCCGCCCCCAGGCTGACCCGCGCCCTCACTTCGCAGCTACCGCACGCCGCTATGCCTGCTTTATCCGACACGAATTATAGCGGCTGCTTGCTACGTGCTTGCCGAGCGCGCACTTGAGGGGCCCCAGTCGTCGTCATTGGACGACCGGATCGCGTCCCCCGCCCCGTCCGCTTCCCTTCCCACACCCCCATCCCACAAGTCGCCGTGGGCCGGCACCTCCCGCCGCGCGATCGAGCACTTTGGCTTCAACGAGACCGAGCTCGCGTCTGTCGCAGGTGCGCCTCTCTCCCCGTGTCCCCCTTCCCCCATGCTGACGCTAACGCGTTCCCGCCCGCCAGACGCACTCGGCGTGCTGCTCGAGTACTACGGCGCGCAGGACCTGCAGGGCGCGTGCGAGTTCCTGTCTGCTGTGGCTTCGGTGCGTCTCCCACCGCTACCCGTCCCGCTCTTCCGTTCTGACAGCGGCGCGAACTTTATAAGATTCCGCCACCGCACAGCTGCGCACACCGAGAAGCTCTGTATAAGCCGTTCGCGCACGTTGCCGCTGCGGCGACCGCGCCTGTGAACGCGGTGACACCGGAGCACGCTATCAGCCAGGGTGCCACTCCCTCGCAGGGGGGAAGCACCCCGGGGAAACCAGCCGCGGGCGCGTGGAAGCCGGTGTCGGAGCCCGCTCCATGAGGGGATGCACTTCCCGCCTTGTCGTGTCTGATGGACGCGCGGAGCTTGCAATCGGAGAGGGTGGGCGTATCGTGTTGATCATCGTGCTATCGTGTAGTCGGATGTTGTACATATCATACATATTATTCCATTGTGTACATTACGGGTACAGAGTGCGGTCGTGCGCTACGGGGGGACGGGGCCCGGTGGTTGGGCTGCGGGAAGATAGAGAGTGGCGGGCCTGCGGTGCCCTCGGAATCAAAGTTCTATCGTCTCTTTGTGTTTGAACTTTCGGCCAGCACGTTCCGCGGCGCGGAAGCAGAAGTGGTTCCCGTAGAGCTCGAACTCGATGTGGGGCATGTCGAGTACCGTGCGAGGCGGTTGCGGCGTCGATGACGACGGCGAAGGCAGTGCAGGCGTGGCGTGCAGCGGCGTGGCGTGCAGCGATGTGGCGTATAATGGGACGGCGAACGCAAAAATACTGTTCTGCTTAGGAATCACTGGTAGAACGGCGTCAGACTTGACGGCGTCTCGGAGCAAAAAGAAAGGGGCCACGGACGCTTGAGCTGATCCTTCTGGGTGATCATCTTGAACGCGTTTTCTGTTTCATGAACAACGATCCCGGAGAGTCCGACCAGACACGGATTCTTGCTCTGCCGAACTACCGGGGAGATAACGAAGGCGTCGGAGTGTATTTCGAAGCAGGTACATACCGGTCAGCACGGCACCGTGGAAGTCTGCCTTGAGGAGTTTTGAGTGCATCCCAGCGGCGCTGGGCATTGCCGCAGCCGCATTTTCGGGAATTGTCGCAGGTTGTACCGACAAAGAGAGCAGTTCCGACATGTAGCCCAACCAGAGGGAGTGCAGCGGTAGGAACAATTGGTATCTTGAACTCCGTCAGTACGTGAACACACGGCTGGAAGTCCGAAATTCCGTACTTGGTTTCCTCCTTCCGCAACCTCCATAGCCCCTTTTGTTGTCCCTCCTTCTTGCTGATCACCCCAGCTGCCCTGCGGGCACGCTCAGACACTCGTTTCGCGCGCTGTTCTTCGCGCGCCTTCTTGGCTTTGCTCTCCCGCGCGGGGTTGTCGAGGAGGATCTGGCGACCTTCGACACGACTCGCGTATGCGTGCGCGGGGTTTGTGGAACCAGTGACATTGCGCTTGACGTAATCAGGGATGAACGGCGTTGTGCTGTCGAATTTCAACCGTTCGTTCTGGCTCTGCGCTCAGAGAAGCAGGAACATGAAGTAAGAGGCAGACTTACGTTGATGAGCGGCAATTCTGCGTAGACGTCCTTGCGCGCGCCATCAGCTGCGCGGTAAGACATAAAGGCCATGTTGCGTGCGTCGTGCGCGTCGGCCACAGTTCGACGGAGTGCAAGCGCGACCAAAGAGAGAGAGGATGATCAGGGTTCGCGTTCAGGGGCGGAGGAGGATCTCAGCGTCGATGACTCACGTGCCGCCCGCGTCCGGCGTCGCGCACGAACTTGCTCTTCCTTGTTTAGCAACCACCCAAACTTTCCGCGGCGCCGACCCGCGCTGCCCGCCAACAAGCCCCAGCTATCGCCCACATATCCGCCAGAATAGGTGTATGGCGAGTGGCCGCGTCAGCTGCCCGCGCAGATTGCGAGAACACGCTCCGCGGGATGAGCGGTCGCCACGCCTTGGCGGCAGCCTGGTGGGAACGCGTCGACGACCCTCCATAGCGGTTCGCAAAAATTCGCGCTGCATGCGGCATGTACGCCCCAGGACTATGAACGGTCACAGCTGTTGGTTCGCGACGTCGTCCATCGCTCGGAGCATCTCACCAACGCAATCGATGGCGCCGCAGACAATGCATGTACTGTGTACGGGCGGCGCGCGTATCCCGGCCGGCCAGGTTCCTATGATGACATCCGCAATCGTTGCGGCAGAAACGCACGCTAGGAGCGCTGCGTCTTCGCGTCTGTCCCGGGAATGCGTAATCGGTAAGCCGTTCGAACCGCTACATCATGCGCCTGTACCCACTGAAGCCTTCTGCACTGCGCGCCCGGCCGGAATACGGTCTCAACTCATCAGGCTCGACCAGGGCGACACGGTTTAATGCTTTCCATTTAAGACGGTATACTCGATCCGGCTCGTGATATTGCACACGCCTATGATCTGATGACTGGGCGACATGCTCCATCCGCCCAACCTTCCATTGATACCGCTCTTCGCGCCGCACACAGGTCCGCGTTCCGTAGCTGCTCGCGTTATCTATCTCGTCATCTGACTATGCGCGCGGAATCTTTTCTGGCGCCTGGGACTTCCTCTGCCTGCTCGCTGCCGGAATGCCAGATCGCCTCGAGCTTCGCGGATGGAAAGATGACCTACATATGCCTGCGATGCCTCAGGATGTCCGCGCGGTGGGAGTTTTCGAACCAGACGGCGATAAGGCAAGAAGGACGGCCTGCCTCGGTCGGGCACTCGAGGTGCTCGAACGACCGTGGCGCGGGCTGGCTTACAGCCGCTGTGCTCTCCGGACGTGCGTCTGTAAAAATTGCGGCTGGTCGACTGACCACGTCGTGGACGTCGCGGGACAGGATGCTCGTCAGGGGCAAGGTCTATTCTCAGTGTAAGCGGCGAGCGCTGGGAGAACCGTGGCTTCTGAGCCGACGTCCTGGGGGCTATGGACACACGTGTTTCTGATATTGAGTGCAAGTCTGTGAGTGCGTTCATTTCACCCGCTGATGAAGTCCGCGTTATCTGACTGCTAAGCCTTTGTGCCAGCCCGAGGACGGCGAGCGGACGGCGGTGCGGATGACTCAAACTACCGAGGTTCTTGCAAAATCGAGCGAGCACACGGCGCTCAGAGCCACGGCCTGGCGGCGCTCATCGTCGCCCCGCGTCGTCCGCGAGATCGTCCGTGCTCTGGCCTCGCGCCAATCCCGCTTCGGAGTTTGTTCCACGGCTCGATTGCAGTGGCCCGTCCCGGAGGCTATACACGGCGAGTTCAGTATCGCTAACCCGAAGAGGCATCTACGGCTATTCGCGGCGGTAGACTCAGCGCCTCCCTTCCAGAAGGTGTTTGCGAGCGGCGTGCAGGACGGCCCTCGCGTTGTGGCGGATCTCCCCATGACGCTTCGGCGCAATGCCGCTGATTCGGACACACGCACACAATCGTGAACGATCGGGAGGACTCGATTTCCTATCCAAGAACAGCATGGCGACGGGTACGATAGAGCAGAAGAGTGGGTGCAGTACAGTAATTAGGAGAGCATCGTGGAGAAGGATGGAACAATCGGAGGGAACTTGGAACTTAGATAGAACTACAGTGTCGTACGCGGGATTCGAAATCTATTCTCTAGGAGCGGCCCATCTGAACGCAGACGGGGCAGAAGGTGTCTATGACGGGGTCTGCGGCAGATGGTGAGCGATTGGCCACAACTGTACGGCATCCCCGGGGGGACTCACTATACTGCTGGGGGAATTGGCGGCTGATGGGAAGAAGAGCGGGAGCGGGAGACATCAGCTCAAGTCCGATGTGGCCAGCCAGCTGACGCACTATTGCCAGCAAGTCTCCGTGCAGCGGGGCGGGACACAGTTCCTGGGATGCGAGGTACTGAACTTGCAGAAACGATCTTCGCATTGAATCTAAGCGCCGATGTGCCGACTGAATTGAGATCTACAGGCAAGTAAGCAGCCAGGGCGGCGCACCATCTCGTCGGGCTAAAAATGCGTGGTTAGGACGGGGCGGTGGCGGGGACGAGAACGGACGAACCAGGTCGACGTAGTGACCGCAGCGTTTGTAGTTGTTACGGACGCTGTGGCGGGAGCGGCGGTGTGAGGCGCCTCCGCCGAGCACAGTGGGCGGAAGCCGACGTACCGACGCCAATGGCACATGCTGGTGGCCGGGTTGGGGGCGGGAGGAGAGGGGTATGTACAGGGCGGAGGAGGGGAGAGTGCTTGGGCAGTGTCGGATAGCGAACGCGCGGCGGCCAATTTATACTCTGGCGGACGAGCACTGAAAGATCCGGAATACGGTCTTCACGACTCCTAGGCAGGAAAGTATTCCCAAACACGACGGAGAGACGATAACATCAGCCTATCGGCCCGCCCCGCTCGATTGCGCAATGCCCTTTCTGCTGGGACATATCGAGATGAAGGTGGTCGGAGTCGAGAGAAACATGAGGACGAGCCCGGAGGAGCGCCAGGGGGCCAACAAAGCAGGGCAGGTGGGCGCGCAGACGGGCAGCCGATCGGTGTTTGTTGCAAGCCTCGACGGAAAAATCTCCGCTAGGGGGCAGAATCATGGGTTTTGCCCGCAGCACGCTAAAGCTAAAACGTTAAACGGGCAGAGAACTCGTTTTTTGGCAAAATAGTGACGATAGACCGAATGCGCGACGGCGCCGATGAACGCGATAGCTGGCAGTCAGCCCGCGGCGCCTCGCGACAGGAACTCCCACTCACCGGACAGTATAGAACCCGATCATGCCCAATTTGGTGCAGCAGCAATCAGGCGGATCTCAGCCTCGAAGCCGTGTGCTAGTGGTCGAAGGCCCAATTCTGCCACAGCAGATCTCTCCAGGAAGCCCACAGACAGCATTCGTACGTCAAGCGGTGTTGTCCTGACCTTGCAGCTGCTCCGTACAGGTTGCCACCGCGCGGAGGACGAGCTGGGCGGACAATCAAGATGGTATCGATACCGCACGCCCGGACACGGCCTGTGCGTTCCCGTCGAGCCGACGCAGGTGCGCGGCGGACGGGGTGCCACAGATTGAAAACGAGGCTGGGACGCACCGCGCTGGGCGACTCATGGACGAGTGTACCGTTTAGGCAGACAATGGCCACAGTCTGTAGTTACAGCCGGAGGTCGTCCATTGGCCGTCTCCGGAAGCAGTCGTCGGAGCTGCGACTCGCGAGCAGCACGATCGCACACGTGGTCGGAGAAATACTGTATTCGTTATCCCATGATTGGGCTCACGAAGTTTATCGCAAACTCAATCGGGATCTCGTCCCAATGTCGGATATACTGTACATCATCCGGCGAACATCCCAACCAGATACTGGCTGACGCCCTCGGGCGTGAGGATCCCCACGTCTGAGAAAACGAGCGAAATCAAGTCCGGCCTGCACAAAGGGCGTTAGAATGCCAGGAACGGCTTCTTGGGCGCATCTCTGGACCCACCGTGTATAGTCAACGCCCGGGTTCCTCGCTATCTGCTCTTGAGTCATCGCTCGTTCCGCGGGCGGCGATGACCTTCCCAGGTTCCCCGAGTCTTTGGTAGAGGCCACAGGCGCGGCGGTCGCACTTGCACTGCCCTGTCCAGCTGACTGCGCAGTCGACGGCGGAGTCGCGAACGATAGGATGTTTGGGTTGTGGGTAGGAAGATCGTATTGCGATAGTGGGAAAAGTCGGTGGAACTTGAAGCTGAGGGAGAACGACGGAAGGATCAGGAACCGCATTACATCATGTGTGCTCGGCGTCTCACCTTTCTGCTAGTGCATAGAACGGCTTGTTCGCCGCTTTTGCGATGATGGCCATCTGGTTACTGCCCACGTAGTTGACGAGGCCGCCGCTCTCCACGACGGCCTCTGACCCAACGAGGACAAAGTCGACCTGGTCCATGACATATGCCACGGCGGAGTCAAGGACCACGGTGCAAGGAATTCCTGCGGCCGTTAGTGCTTCGTAGGTTCTCAGGCTGGATTAGGAAGCGGGGATGTTCAGGACGCTAGTCAGACGAGCACAAAAGGTCCGGCCTTACCCAAGTCCTCGAGGCCGCGATTCCGTGACATATACGGATATGCGCTTCGTCTTGTGAGCATGGAGCAGTGCCCGCAACACGACGCGCGAATGCGAGTGTGTGAGAATCTGTTCATATCAATCGATCAGCACTTGCGTGGCGCGCGTCGCTGCGCACATCGTACTCACGACGGAGTCGTCCTTGATGAAGCCGAGGGCCAGCTCGGCAATCTTGTCACGAAAGGCAAGTGCCTCCGCTGCATATTTCCGCCCTTGCTGCTCCAGCTCCTTCTTCAACTCCGCAAAGTTCTTCCCGTGGCGCGCCAACTATCAGCAGGGACGGCGACGCGTGGTCCGAAGAGAACACTCACGTCGGACTCGTGCGGGAATAGAGTGACGAAAGCGATGAACAGTTCGCAGCCAGCATTCAGACTGATGGGGTTGGGAGACCTCCGCTTCAGTTCCTCGGCGCCGTCGTTCAATGCTTGGACGAGCTCGAACATCGTTCCGGCTTCAAACTGCCGACATCGGTGCCGAGAAGCGGGCTGCAAGGGACATTGCACGCACCATTTGACTTGACGATCGCTTCCGCTAATGATAGTATCGCGGCTAGCGGAGGTGAGATCTTTCACGGTAGTAAGCCACCCGAACGAGGCCTAGCTAGAGCGCGTGAGATGCACACTTGATCGTCCTGCAGAAATTCCTTGAAAGTGGCGTAGATATCAAAGGGGCCGCCTTGGGCCAGGTCCGTCGCCATAGTGCTAGCGTGTTTTTTTTTACAGCCAGATATGTTTTCGCCGTGCACGGAGATGAGGGTGAGAGCACGGTAACGGATTGTGGCTGAGGAGGTGGTGGAGAGAAGCGAAGGAGCTGCAAAGTGCCGCGGCTCTGACTCGGCTCGCACGTGGAGAGCGCGACGAGACGCGGTCACATGTTCCAGGCATTGCATCCTGATCTCGATCGATCGCGTCGGGCCCTTCAATTTCGTGCATCCACAGCATGAACCACTCCTTCCCTTTCCGTCTCGTGGTGCTATCCGCCTCGGGATCCCGGACGCATGCAGCACATCTCTGAATTCGCTGCACTGGGTGGCGTCTGCAACACCGAGGACACCGCAGTCACAGCGCTAGTATGTACGCCTCAATATTGTGGGGTTGCCCGTGGCTTGAATGGTCTCGGAGAAATCCACCTTGCTCGGACTCCGGTCGCATCTCTGCGTGCTCTCTTCCGAAGGCATTTTTCGTTCCCTCGTTTGATCTCACGATGCGATCCCCCCCTGTGACAACCCCTGAGAACTACCACGCACGCATGTGGCAGCTCCGATACATCCGGTAAGGTTCTCTTATTCGGAGGACGCAGAGTTGTCCAAGAAACGGAATTACAGGTGCGTTATTGGCAGCCATTCCACTCCGTGTCCCGCTGCCACGCTAGTAAGACACCTTTGTCCGTGACTATCAGACACACTCTAGACCCATTTCGGGAAGATGGTTAGGGTGATCTCGATGGGCTCAGGGCCCGCGACCGGAATGGACATTGTCCACAGTTGCGACGCCAACAATTTTCGAGGCTTGGAACTCAGAAGGCTAGGCTGGGCGTTCTATTCAATTGAATTCGTCTGCAATGGGAAAAGCCTGGTCCCATCGTGCGTCACCATTCGGTCAGTCGCGGTGTGGTATTTTTCTACGCGCCATCCACAACGTAGTACGATCAACGGGGAGGTCCGGGCTTGACGCCGACGGATCGCGCAGTTACAGACCGTGTGGTGCGAGTGGTGTAAAACAAGCGTACAGCGCTACAACGCAACGAAATACAAGGATCTCGGCCGGAAGATTGAAATCATTGAAGCAGGATGATGACGTTAGAGTTTACCCAGGGCGGGCGGTGGCAGGCGGGGCCTTGTTACCCGGAGCGTCACAACAGCGACCGCGGGGACCGCACCCAACCGCACCCACGACGCAATCGGTCGTCAAGGGGCGCGAACGTTGGGGCGGCGGGACCTGGGCCGACGGTGCTGTCCATGACCGCATCCACGCAGTCCAGCGCGGTCTTCCAGGGCTAAACTCGGGCTATCTGTGGGCGTCGGCCACGCCGCGTCCGCCCTGCAGCGGCGTGGAAAACACGAAGTGCGCCCACAGATCATATATCACGCCGGACGTCAGTGGAGGAATGCAGCTGCGCACGCTCGTCCTCTGCCTCGCACGGTGTGTGCGGGCGCGAGGAGAGAGCGCCGCGCGCCGTCGGCGTCGGTCCAGGGCGACATGGTTGCCGCCGCGGCGGGAAATTAGTTTGAGTCGGCGATCTGGCGGGCGGCGGGTATCCACGCGGTCGCGCGGGGTGATTTGGACGGAGAGCGGCCGGATGGGGCAGGAGGATTGTGCCGGAAGGGGCAGGGGCGGGAGAAAAGGACGCAGGGCCGGCGGGCTGGGCCGCGGGCGTGGGTGGGAAGACGGGGATTTGGGCGAAAGTGTGCGGCGAAATGCCCAAAAAGCGCAGGCTTTGCTCATCGAAACACGTTTCGTGTCTTTGCCGCGTCGGAATGTCGCGCAAACCCTATGGGGGCCGCTGCCCGTTGCGATCGCTAGGTCCAATTTCAGTTGCCTCGGCGCAACGCCCGCCCTTCAAAAGGCCCGACGCGACATTATGTTTTTCTCCTCCACCCCCTCCCTCTGACATACCCCCTCCGCCTTCGCCCCCTATATCCGCTGTGCCCAACGTGTTTTCGTTCGGGCACACGGCTTCCTGATCCACACTTCAAACTGCTGGAGGCAGCGCGTTTCTCTTCGCCATTTCCGGGGTGAGTTCTCTGTCCATATATCTCTCAGCCCATGTCCGACTTTTTCGTTCCCCAATGTACACAGTCTTCCACCGTCGTTCTCCGCCCGTGCGTCCTCCCCGCGACACCTTCCACCACCACCCGCATCCGGCGAACCGACTACCCAAGATGCCCGCTGTCACGAGCCCGCCGCCACAGCTGTTTTTCAGTAACGAGATCGCCACCATGGACGAGTGGGCGAAGAGGACAGGCATTCCTCTGACGACCGCGGAGGCCCTAGGTACGAACTATGCCAGGGCGCGACGTTGGTTGCTCTCCATCCGGTCCAACCTGGTCACAGAGCACGGCTGGCGCGACGTCGCCCCGCTCGACGCACGACTGCTCTTCGACATCGAATGCCCCACCCCCTACCGCTCCGCAAGAGGCCTCCCGCGCAGCCCAAACATGCGCCTGCAGATCCCCATCAACGCCTCTTCCTTCTTCTCGCGCGAGCGACGCGTCCAGTGGGAGATGGTCTTCCACAGCGCGCTCTTCCCCGGACTCCGGCATACCGTCCCGGCGGTCGCGGACCTCCTCCACCTACTCCAGTGTCTCCTCACTGGCATGGTCGTGCTCATCAAGGAGGAGCAGGAAGCCGGGGGCATGGTGCGGACAATTCGCGGGCTGCCACCAGTCGAGTGGGTGTCGAGCCACGAAACCGCGCTCGTCGAGGTCTTCGGCTCTTCCCACTACCGGCAGCTCTTCCGCGCCGCCAGCGACGCCCGTGTCGCGTTCAAGCTCGAGCGGGCATGAGGCGCTCCCACGATCGCCCCCTCCCCCCACGTCCCAAAATGCCCGTGAAGCACGGGGGCCCCGTCCATGAACCCGTCAGAGGTCGCCGGGGCCGGGCCCTCGTCGTCGGACTCTATCTTATTCGATCCTGTTGCCCCGCATGGTACTCATGTTTAATGTCCGGTACAGTCCATAATCCCTTCGCCTTCGCTGCTCGTCGCATATTGCTCCTTGTCGTCCCACACCCACTTACCATCGCTGTCAGATAGAATACTGCCGTCATAGTCGCATATTAGGCTACGGTCCGCTCGCTACGTATTCGTCCCCTTGCTGTTTGTCCCGCCGTAATGTCCTCTCGTCGCACTGCCTCCTCTTCCCTGCACATACAGTATGTATTCCAGCATTTCACCTCCTCATGCATCATAGTTAGGCCACCACCATAGTATAGTTCGTAATCGCACCCACATGTACACCTTACCATGTCCATAGCTTCTCCGAAACGTCGACCGTTTTGCGCCTGTGGCGGCATTCCACTTCACAATATTTTCACACTTCGCGGCGCAGAGTGCTACTGCTTGTGGATCCGGCAGAAGCGAGAGGGAATTCGCGATGAAGTCATTGCATTCACAGTAATACACAACGCACAACATCGTTACTAGGAAACAAGCTTCGGGACCGAGAGCTGCGCGCGAGCCTTTGCACAGCAGCCTGAAACAGCACCTCCCGCTACTAGTACGCGCTGCGGGACTGCTACGAATATGGCTACGAGCTTACCGAAATTGACCTGATCTTCATAGGGGCGATCGTCCCAGATTGGCATCTGCGCCCGCCTGCCCCGCGACACGACACGCAGCGTGCAACGAGGCAAACGCCTGAACATGGTCATAGGGTTTCCCTCGCCAAGAGCGGTTGGCTCAGCGTCCGAGGCGGCCGTCGCCCTGGACGCGCAGGGCGCAGGGCGGAATGAACACCGCGCGACAGACACGAGGAGCGGGAAGTGAGCTGGGACCAGTGCAGTTTGCCAGTTCCTTGAGCATCCCGATGAATTGCGTGCGCCGAGGGGGAGGGCCGCTCATTGGCAGAAAGGAGAGCAGCGGATAGGTGGGTTCGAAGAAGCGCAGAGTTACGACACAGCGGGGATCTGCGCGCCTGCACGTGGGGACGGGGCCACAGGTGAGCTGGTGGCAGGGGCCGCACATTGACGAGCCCGCCTCCGGACGCATCGAAGGGGCAGCAGGGGACCAGGGTAGCGGAGACTGGGCGTCGATAGACTGCGATGGCGCCTTGCTGGGAGGTCACAAGCATCCACAACGACTCGGGTAAGGCTTAATAACTCACCAGGCTAGACCGCTGCAGCTGCATCTTCAGGGAAGGCGACGCGATCTGCGTGAGTCTGAGAAGGGTAGCCCTTTCGGGAGGCGACACGGCGAGTCAAAATCTTATCAGATGAAGACGGCTAAGGGACTGCCACATCCTCGGTGCCTGCATGGTGTCGAGTGTCCGTCGGCCCGCCAGAAGGTGTGTCAGAGAGAAAGACAGGTGAACGCCCGAGCTCGTCCTTTTGCGATTCGCGAAGCCAGCAGTACGTATCGCCCGTCCGTAGCAGCATAAGATGCGTAAGCTTTAGAGTAGCAGCGTGCTAGCTTGATATCATGGTCGAGGGACTTTCGCTGAGCAGATGTTTCCAGAGAGCGCATTGTGGTGGCAGAGACGAAAGAGGTCAATGAAGGAGGCCTGAAGTTCGCACCGCGACGTTAGAATTGGAGTGGCGCTCGAGGATGCAGGCATCTGAGTTTGAGCGGGGTCGCGGAGGATCAATTTAAGACGCCGGCGTCGCGCACGCGTTTCGTTAAACGCGGGTGAACCCAACCCTAAGGCCTACTGTAACTTGGTACTCTACCACCCGATCTTTGCTACTTCACCCTCGCTATGGCGGACGGCGCGCCGCCGGAAGAGGACTTCAATGCTATTCCTATCGCGGACAGGCTCGCCCACAAAAACTGGAAGGCACGCGTTCATGCGTACGAGGCTCTCGTGAAGACATTCCAAACCACTGCGTCCGACTCCGATCCCGCCTTCAAGCCGTATATCAACCATCCCGACACCCTCAAGAAGATCGCTCTCGATGCTAATGCAGTCGCGCAGGAGAAAGGACTCGAGTGTCTGGTCGCCCTCGTGAAGTTCGCTGGGGAGAATGCTGCTCGCACGCGAGAAGTGGTCATGCCGGCGCTGGTAGAGAAGTGCTTCGGTTCCTCGCGCGCCGGAACCAAAGCGCAAGCACTGGAGCTGTCATTGCAATATGTAGAGGTGGAGAATAGCGCGGCTGGCGTTGTGGTATGTGCATTGGTCCTCGTGGTGTCTGCTCTGAACCTATCCTTTCCATATAGGACAGTATCCTGCCGGGATTGGGCGCGAAGCAGCCCAAGACTGTAGCGGGATGTGTCGCTGCCATCAAGGAGATTGTCAGGCAAGTTCCTTGTTCGCGCCCTCTTGCGCAGTAATTTACCGCGTGATTTGTTCGCGCATGTACAGGCAATTCGGAACGACGATAGCGCCACCAGCATTGGCTTTGAAGGCCCTTCCCAAGATCTTCGCGCATTCTGACAAGACCGTCCGCGCTGAAGGAACGCAGCTCACCTATGTTCTCTATCAGTACATTGGGCCCGGCATCGAGTCGTGGCTAGCGGACCTCAAGCCTCTCCAAGTCAAAGAGCTGAAGGAGGCTTTCGAGGGGTTGGAGAAGGAGGGGAAGGGGCGGGGAAGTCTTAAGCCCGAACGAATGACCAGAGCTGGTGCAAGGGAGGCCGAGGCCGCCGCAGAGGCAGGCATTGACGCAGAGGAAGCAGCACCTGCAGAAGAAGGTGCGTCTTCTGTTCATTGTGATTGATATCATGACATTCAACGTAACTCTGATAACTCAGAAGCCCCGCCTGATCCAAGGATGTTCGCGGAGGAAGTGGACATTGTCCCCAAGCTCCCGGCTAACTTCACAGCGTCGCTCAAGTCTTCCAAATGGAAGGAGAGAAAAGAGGCCCTGGACGAGCTTCTTAACGTCGTGAACGCCTCACCTCGGATTAAGGAAGCTTCAGAGCTCGGCGAAGTCGTTCGGTCGTTGGCAGTTTGCGTGCAGAAGGATGCGAATATCAACTGCGTTATGGTCGCAGCGGGCTGCTTGGAGGGGATGGCTAAAGGCATGATGGGATCTTTCGCAAGATATCGGGAGAGCATTGTGCCTCCCATGCTTGAGAGGCTGAAGGAGCGGAAAGTGACCGTCACGGATGCTATCGGCAACGCCCTAGACGCGATCTTTGTTACCGTGAGTTCGCATTCCACACCCTTACTTCGCCGTGTTGACTTCCACATCCCAAAGACAACCTTGACAGATATCCTCCCCGATGTACTTCCCGCGCTCAACAACAAAAACCCGCAGGTCAAGGACGGCACTCTCAAGTTCATCGCCAGAAGTCTGTCTACATCGCCCACTCCGATTCCAACTCCCCAGATCAAGCCGCTTTCGGAGGCTTTGGCCTCTCTGCTGGAGGACCCCTTCGAAGGCGCCCGAACCGAGGCTGCAATTTGTTTGGGCACCTTGATGAAGATGGTTGGGGAGCGACCGCTCAATGCCTTGATGGACAGCCTAGCAGATATGAGGAAGGTCAAGGTCAAGGAGGCTTTCGACACTGCCAAGGTCAAGGCGAAGGTGGGAGCCGCCGCCCCGCCCAAACCGGCTGCTCCTGGTTCGAAGGAGCAAGCGAAGAAGAAGCCTCCGCCCGCGAAACAACCGCCGACAACCGCGCTCCCGGCGGTTCCCAATGAGGATGAATTCCCGCCCGAGAACAAACCGGTGAAGAAGCCTCCCGCACGTCTCATGGTGAGTGCTATGTTTTGCGTGTGACCGAGGTATGTATCGACGATATGCGTTCGAAGGGGAAGAAACCCGCGGCAGCCGGGTCCGAAGGAGGTGCTTCCACGGCTGCGGCCGCCCCCAAGAAACCTCCAGCTGCTGCTGCTGTCGCCGCGGCTGCAGCTGCAGCTAAACCCGCTAAAGGCGGCGCCGCCCCCGGCCCTGGCGCTCTCGACAACGTCAAGTTCAAGCATACACCCGAGGATGCGGAAGCGCTTGCGGCTGAGGTCATTCCAGCTAAGTATGCCACTGAGCTCGGCGACGCGAACTGGAAAACGCGTTTGGCTGCACTGGAGGACATGACGGGGTGGATGGAAGGTGCCGCCGCGGAACTAGATTCCGAAGTCGTTGTACGCTTCTTGGCGAAGAGGGGATGGAACGAGAAGAATTTCCAGGTATGTAACACATTGATTGCTTCGGGACTATCCTCATGCCCCTCGGGCCGCTTTATAGGTCTCAGCCAAGCTGTACGGTATTCTTCAGATTCTCGCGGATCGGTGTCCTACCTTTGGCCGACCTGCTGTTGCTATCTGTGTGCCTCATCTCAGTGAGAAGCTGGGCGACATGAAGCTCAAGAAGCCCGCCGGCGAGACCCTCCTGCTATTCGCCGAGAAGACGTCGTTACAGTTCGTCTTAGGTCATAGTGAGTATTCCATTCACTCGCCCGGCTTTATTTCAAAAACTTACTCTGTTCAGCGTATGAGCCGCTGTCGAAGCAGAAGGCACCGAAGGTCTTGGCGGATGCTCTCACGTGGATGGAACAGGCACTCTCAGAGTTCGGTATCGCCGGGCTATCACTGCGAAGCCTCATTGAATTCTTGAAGGCGGCACTGAAGAACTCGAACGCTGCAGTGCGTACTAGCGCTACGAAGACCCTCGTGACAGTGAAGTTGTTTGCCGGATCATGTCCGTCGTTCTTCTCAACTCTACGCCGTGCCCATCTGACCGCGTTATGCAGCGATCAAGGACCTTCTAGAGGACCTAAATCCTCAACTGCTCGGGACAATCTTGAGCGAATTCGAGAAGGTTGAGGGTAACTCAGCGCCAGAACCGACCCGCATATCGGCAGACCTTGCGAACTTCGTGCCGGCTGGCGCTGCTCCTGGGAAGGCGAGCGCAGCCGCCGGTGCAGATCCGCTGGACGACTTGTTCCCCCGGGTAGAGATTGACAGCTTGTTGAAGGGCACGACCATCCTCACGGATGCGAAGAGTGATTCTTGGAAGTCGAAGAAGGAAGCTCTGGAGACCCTCCAGGCTATCTTAGATCAGGGCGCAAACAAACGGTTGAAACCGTCCATGGGTACGCTCTTGCTTGAGTTGGCTACTGAGTGCGCTTCTCACGAAACTCACCGTATCTTCAGGCGAGATCGAGCAAATCCTGAAGGCTCGCGTGACGGACACCAACAAGGCAGTGCAGAGCCTTGCGCTGGATATCGTCTCGCGGATTGCTACTGGTATGGGAAAGCCTTTCGAAAGGCATACGCGTTTTTTCGTCGCCCCCGTCGCCTCTGTTCTTGCCGACCAGAAAGCGCCAATCCGTGCCGCAGGATTGCAGGCTCTGACAGCTATGCTCGACGCATGCGAAAGTTTCGAGCCTCTGATTCCTGGCATCGCCACCGCCCTAGAATCTACGAACCCGCTGCAGCGCGCTAACTTGTTCACCTGGATGGCCGACTACTTCAAGGAGCATGGTCCGCCCGCTGGGCTCGACTTGAACAGCTGGGCGGCCCCTATAGTTGTCTCTCTCGACGATAGGAACGCAGACGTTAGGAAGGGGGCACAAGCGTTACTGCCTACGCTAATTGCGTCTGTTGGATACGACGTCGTCATGCACCAAGCCAGTACGCTCAAGCCTGCGTCGAAGTCCACCGCCGTTCCCCTCATCCAAGCTGCACGCGCTGCCGCCGCCCCACCGAAGCCTGCCCCCGCTCCGGCTGCTCCCAAAGCCAAGGCTGCCCCGCCCAAGGCGTCCCCAGCCAGCGTCAGCCCAGCGCCTTCCGCTCCGTCTCCCCCTCCTGCTGCCGAACCATCTTCGAAGATGGCACCTGCGAGCAAGTTGACCGGTGTCCGCCGAAAACTCCCCCAAGGGACGCTCTCTCGTCCCGAGTCACGGGCTGAAACGCCAGTAGAGGCCGGCACCTCTCGTCTTCCTAGCAAGCTTGGTGGTCCCGGACTCAAGAGGCCCGGTGCAGGCGCTGGTGGGCCGTCGAAGCCTGCGGCTCCCGCAGCGCCAGAGCCCTCGGCCAACATGATCTTCACTAGCTCGAATGCCGACACGAAGCGGTTGCGGCTTGCCAAAGACGCCAACAGGTGGGTGATCGAGAGCGGCCCGACGCGCAAAGACCTCGCCGAACTCCTCCAACACCAGATGGAGCCACATGCGTCGAGGGAACTGTTGGCACTCCTCTTCAGCCACGACCACAATGCTGTGAACGACCATGTCTCCGGGTTGACCATGATCCAGGACTTCTACACAAGTGCACAAACTGGAGACGACAGGCAACAAGCCATATGCATCGCGAATTCCGACCTTGCCCTGAAGTTCGTGTCTCTCAAAGTCCACGAGCCCCAGTCCAATCTCGTGCAGAAATGTATGGACGTGATCGACGCCGTCCTCGCATTCCACCAGAGTGTAGACTACCAGCTTTCCGACCAGGAGGCGATGTGTTTCATTCCAACCGTCTCTCACAAGGTGAGATTCGTTATGCATCAAGTGCTGCATTGATCTAATACAACGACAGCTTGGCGACGCTAGAGAACCCGTCCGCGCGCGGGTTTCCCACATCATCCAAACGCTACCTAAGGTCTATGCCTACAGCCGTGTCTTCCAGCTCTTGCTTGAGCACAGTCGCACGTCGAAGGTCGCAAAGACGCGCCAAGGGACCTTGGACGAGCAAGCGAGCTTGCTGAAGCGGTTTGGAATCGGTGCTTGCGAGCCTGCGAAGGCCTTCCCGGTTATTGCAAGCATGATCTCAGACAAGGACCCAACAGTGCGGAAGTCCGCGCTCCTCGTACTCAGGTCAGTGTTGTATATGGTCTCTTACCAGAGTTCCTTGAGCTCACTTGGATTATAAAGCGAGGGATATGTACTTGTCGGCGAAAAGATCTGGTCAATGGTCGGACATATGTCCCCGAAAGACAAGACGCAGCTGGAAGAGCGCCTCCGTCGTGTACCTGGTGCACCTAGTGCTGAAAAGACCGAGACCGCACCTGCTTCCGCACCCGCACCCATGGCGACTCATGCATCTCGTGTAGCCACCGGCATTCCACGATCAGGGTCTCCTGCACCAGGTCCAGTTTCCCGCCTGACAGGGGGCATTCCCCGCTCAGCGAGTCCTGCATTGGCACCGCCCTCCCGACTCGCGCGTCCTGGTTCGCCCTCGCATATGCGCTCATCGTCCCCAGCTCCTTCACAACTGGCTCGCCCCGCTTCGCCCGCCGCTCGGGGTTCCCATATCGCTGGTCCCTCACACGTCCCCACTCCTACCTCCCCCACTAATGCAGCGCGCCCAAAGACCTTCCTACCTTCACGATTGGCCCCTCCACGATCTCGACTGAACAGCACAGCGACAGCAAGCGGTCTGCCACCGCCTTCGATCCCATCTCGATCATCCATGGATGATGTCTTCCAGACCAACGGTCAGAAAGGCGGGCTTGTCCGCCGTTTGTACGACGAGCCTGAGGAACGGCAGGATCCCGCGACCGAGGACATCACGGTGACAATATCCAGCATCCTCAGCAATGATGCAGTAAGGAGCGTCGACGCCCTGAAGAAGATCCAGAAGGTGCTCGAGATAGGCCCCGAGCAGGGGCCATCTTCGCCGGCCTACCAGGAACTCGCAGAGCACACCGAAGGCCTGATCGAGACTATCACGTTGCAGATGGCGCACGTCTTCGAGCATCCCGAAGATATCACGCTCCCCGAGAATTTCCGCCTAGCGAAGCACCTCATTCAGACCCTCAACGCGTTCTGTGATCATGTCTTCCTGGCGGAGTCTCTGACGGTCGATATCCTGACTTCTCTCCTGGAGGAGTTAACTTTGCGCCTTCTCCAAACGGATAACAGCCATGATACCAAGGTCAAGGACCTCTCGCGGTTTATCAACATGATCATCTTGCGACTGTTCGCCACCGGCAGGAGAATGTCCATATTCCGGTATGTCTTCTTCTTTGCGCCATCGGATATTACTAAGCACCCGCGTGCAGTGCATTGTTCGCGCTCTTGCTCAGGATCGTCAAGCCGTTCCCGGCCAACGGGACTAACGTTGACTCCCAAGAAGCCAAGGTTGCGGAGTTGGTGCTGAAGTGTGTTTGGAAGTTGGCGAGAAACATTCCTCAAGATCTCGAGAAGGGTGTCCTGGACCCTGTGGAACTGTTCCCGGCGGTCGAGCACTTCCTGCAATCTGTTCCGCCAAATGAGTGGCGTGCTCGCGCGACGAACAAGGTACCATGTGGAGACATGCCCCTGAGGACAATCAAGGTTATCATTCAACACGTAGTCGGTGAGTGGCAGCGCGCGTGCATCGGGCGTGCTAGAAACTGATGCACCTGCTTAGCCCACTATGGGGACGACGTGTACGACCATCTTTCTTCGGCCTTCGACGATCCTTCTGCCACCATTGTCTATCCTTACGTGTACCGCATCCTCAATTCCTCGAACAAGACTGCCGCCGAAGTTCCTCTCCGCAACTCCGACGTCATACGCGAGGAGCCGAGGCGACCTACCTCCACACTCAGCCGTCCAATTTCACCTCAAGAGACCGCGTCCTCACGTTCGGTTACATCCGATCCGCACCGTGCATCGTCCTCGAATCACACACGAAGTCGGAGCGTTTCGTCTACTGCCGACACTGTGCAGGAACCAGACCTCGACGATCAACTCAACGTCATCATTGACCATATCTCCAGCGAGACTACCGGGGCCATGCACAAAGAGGGTATCACCGAGCTTCATCACTACCTCAAGGCGTACCCCCACAAGAAGCCGCGAGTGGATAAGATTCTAGAGTCTACTGGGCCCGCGTTCCGCAAGTACATCACGCGCGCCCTTGCGAGTCGCGCGGCGGAAGACGAGGAACGCAACGTTGCCGTCGCCCAGACTCTCTCGCGTACGTCGCCTCTCAATCCCCGCTCATTGCGTCCACTCACAATTTATCCAGGTCTGGAATCTAATGGGCACGAGCGGAGTATGAGTATATCGAGCAGTACGTCTCTCCGCTCAATTGACGGCGTCCGCCGCTCACAGCACATGGACATCTAGATCGCGACATGCTTCCACCTGGAACGCCGACATCCCCACCGGAGTCTATGAGCGGACGGGCGGAAACGTCGCCCCGCTCTCCGCCTCGGTCAAGCATTTCCGACCTTCCACCTCCGCAGCAAGAAAAGCTATCGAGGCTGCACGATATCTTCCAGTACCGGTCGAGTACGACGAGCAACGGGTCGTCGCAGGGGCGTTCGCCGTCGGTGTTTACGGCGCTCCGGGACGGCTGAGAGACCGGGTTGGGGACACGGGATTATTGATCATTCTGGCTGTATCTACGCATGTGTATACCAAGCATCGCATCCGCTTTTTCTACTGTAGACAAGATAATCTAGGTATAATCGAGACGGACTTGTACGCGACGCTGGCGAGACGCGGGCTGGAGCGTGTGAGACCTGGGGAAGGGAGACTCGGTGGGAGGACGCGACACATGATTGACGACATACAACCCCGCGCGCGCCACAGGCGCCCGGTAATTAGTGCCCCTACGTCTTCTTCCGCTGCGGCCACGACCCCGCCCGCCCTCTCCTCCCGCTCTACGACTTCTCCAGACTGGCTGTGTCGGCATGAAGACTGTACATAGCAGCGAGCCTTCCGACCTCGTCTATGACACCGCGCTGGTCTTCTGGCGCATTGTCACCAATATCTTCTTCCGCGAAATCCGACCCCGGGGCGCGTTCAACATTCCCCGCGAGGGCCCCGTCATATTCGTTGCCGCACCGCACAATAACCAGGTGAGCAAGCTACACGAGGGAGGATGCCGAAGGTGCTGACCCCGCGTCCTATTCAGTTCCTCGACCCGCTGCTCCTGTACCAGCAGGTGCACCGGGAAACACACCGTCATGTGCGCTCCCTGATTGCCGCGAAGAGTATGAAGAGGAAGTTCATAGGGTTCTTCGCTGGGCTCATGGCGAGTAGTGAGTACACTTAATGCTGTGCTCCTTTGTGGTTCTGACCCCTTGTGCAGTCCCCGTGGTGCGCGCCGCTGATGATGCGAAGGCGGGCACCGGTGAAATCACAATATCCGAAGAGGACCCCTGCTTGATTATCGGACACGGCACTCGCTTCACGACCGAGTTCAAGCCCAGGATGCAGATCCTGCTGCCTAAAAGCGTAGGCTCCAACGTCGCCGAAGTTGTGGAAATCATCTCAGATACGCAACTGAGAATTCGGAAAGAGTTCTCCGGGACCGCGCGGTTGCGAGAGCGGACCAAGGAGCTCCAGGCGTCCGGGAAGAACGGCTTCTCTTTTCAGTGTCTCCCGTTCGTCGACCAGCACCAAATGTACCAGCATGTGTACCAGAGCCTCACGGACGGGGGCGCCATCTGCATCTTCCCGGAAGGTAGGCATAAATCACGCGCGCCCCAATCCCCAACGGCTCACGTTTCATAGGCGGCAGCCACGACCGGACGGACCTCCTCCCCCTGAAAGCCGGCGTGTCTCTCATGGCGTTGGGGGCAATGGCGAACAACCCTGACGTGCGAGTCAAGATTGTACCGGTCGGCTTGTCTTACTTCCATGCGCATCGCTTCAGGTCTCGGGCGGTCATTGAGTTCGGGTCCCCGCTCGATGTTCCGCCAGAATTCGTCGAGATGTTCAAGCAGGGCGGGGAGAAGAAGCGGGAGGCGGTTGGCAAGTTTTTGGACGTGATTTACGACGCGCTCAAGACAGTTACGTTGAGGGCACCAGATTATGACACACTCATGGTCAGTTCTAGTCATGTATGCACGTAACTCGCGCTAACGGAGGCCGCGCAGCTCATCCAAGCCGCCCGGCGACTGTATAAAACACCGGGGCAGCACTTGACACTGGGCCAGGTTGTGGAGTTGAACAAACGCTTCCTCCAGGGTTACCTTCACTTCAAAGATGAGCCAAAAGTACAGAAGCTGCGCGAGGATGTGCTGAAGTACAACCGTCTCCTCCGAGATTTGGGTCTGCGGGATCACCAGGTCGGTATAACTCTCGTTGCTCTGAATATGGATCCCTCATGGGCATTCCTGTACAGGTTCCGAAGGCACAGAAGGCAGGGTGGAAGACCTTCGGTCTGCTCTCGTATCGTCTTATCCTGTTGACCGTCTGGGCTGGGCTTGCACTCCCTGGAGTTATTCTCAACGGTCCTATTTTCGTCACTGCGTCCATCATCTCGCGGAATAAAGCTAAAGGTGGGCAATTACGCTCGCAAATATAAGGATATCGCTCACTCGCGAGTGGATCAGAGGCCCTTGCAGCGTCCCAAGTCAAGATCGCCGGTCGCGACGTGTTGGCGACATGGAAGATTCTCGTCGCTCTCGGCGTCACGCCAGTTCTGTATTCATTCTACGCCATACTTGCGGCGGTGGTCGCGACCAAGGCGGGCGCCCCTCTGAAGTGGAGGATCTGGACGCCCTTCATCATCCTGATGATACTGCCAATGGTAGGATACGCCGCGCTCAAGTTTGGTGAAGCTGGTATGGACGTTCTGAAGTATGTATATTCCTTGGCCCACTCGGACGCTTCTGACGAAGCCCGTCTCAAAGGTCATTGCGACCACTGGTTGTTGCCCTGTTCCCGGGTCAACAGCGCTCGCTCGGAAAGCTCAAGCGGATGAGAGAGGACGTCGCGAACGAACTTGCGGAGGTAATTAACGAGTTTGGGCCGAAGGTCTTCGAGGACTTCGACCAGGTATGCGTAATTTTGCGTTCGTCAGCCCGCATATTACTGATGGCGCACAGATGCGCATTCTCGTACCATCCGCGACCGCTCCCCCATCGTCCGGTCAGCCCGGCATCTGGCGGCGAAAGAGCGCCACGGGTGGTGTGGACGCCCAAGGCAATCTCCTCTCACATCCTATGGTGCGCTGTCTTTCTATTCTCCTACCGCCGCCCTACTGACCGGACATCTCCCCAGACTTGGCTTGACGAACGCCTGTTCGGCTGGAGTCGCAGTGCAAACCGCGGGACGAGCGCATGGGCCGGCGGAGGCACGCGTAGCCAGGAGATCAGCCGCTCCGCGACGCCCGACTTGTCCGACGAAGAGGACGAGCCGGACTATGACAACCTCATCGTGCCTTCGGCGGAGGGGAGCACGCTCGCGTCGAATCCGCGCAGCCAACGGAGCTCGTACGCGGACATCACGCGCCTGCGCCGCACGTCGAGCGCCGCGAACACGCACGCGCTCGGCTTCACGCCCACGTCGCCGACCGCCAATGCGACCGGGGAGCATAGCGCGGACTTGGACGGGCTGCACTTCCGCGGGCAGGGCAGGGCGCGAAAGGCGAGCCTGTCGGACGGCGTGCCCGTGGAGATCATTGGACAGGCGGACAGGGCGGAGCCGTTCACGGAGATGACGCAGGACTTGAACTCGGAGATGCGGAAACGCAAGTCGAGCCAGGATCGTGCGTAATGACAGGAAGCAGTAGGGGTGCAATGAATATGAGTTTGGATGCAGGTGGACGATGGCTGGGACCAAAAACTTTTTATCAGTCTGTGGGATGACTTGAACAGTATGTTTTTACTCGACCCGTTTCATCTGGTAGTCCGACTTTCGATGCTGTCGGTAGATTTTCTAACATGTGGGTGTACACGAACTCGGCTTATACATACGAGAACAACACCAATTTGAGAGGCTGTGTGGTATGCCCGCCGCTGCTGTCATGGATGTGTAGCGTTAAAATTGCGAGTACTAAGCTCGGCTTCAGCTGGAAGGGTGGCGACCTTTTGCCTGACGCGCTCGTCAGACGGATTTGTCTGCGACGCGTCGGGTCACGCAGTCACAGCGATCCGGCGTGACGGTGTGGCTGAAGCGGTGGCCGGCAGAGGCGGCGTGCGCCGTTCCGTCCAAACGGGGCAGGCAGATTACGGATGATTACTCCTCTTGGACTCATGCGGACATGGCGTACTTTGCTAAAAGGGGTCAGCACAACGCCATGATTTTCGAGCATGTTCCGCGCACTGCGCACTATAAAACTCACAGCCCGCTCTCTCTTCCCAACACATCCAACACACCAACTTCGCTTTCATATCAGTCACAACCTCCAACTTCCCTTTAGCAACATACGTGCAATGTCTGCTTCTACGTCAAGAAAGGTCGCAAAGAAGGTCCTGTCCGTGGAGACGGATGAGGTTTGTATCCTATAACCCTAGTACTTGGCGAGTTGCAATGTGCTGACCACGGCCGGCGATCTTGTAGGGCGCAGGTGCCAAAGTACGGCGGTCCATCGGTACACCACAGCTGAGGAACCTCACACCGTTCCTCATGCTTGATCATTTCCATACCCCAGCCGGAGCGGTGAGTATCTTCTTCGACGTATTCATATTCATCGTGTTAAATGGCATGCAGGGATTCCCAGACCACCCCCATCGCGGTCAAGCGACCGTGACATACATGCTTGAGGGGTCAAGTTTGCACGAAGACTCCGCAGGCCACAAAGGCAAGATCGAGGCCGGCGGTGTACAGTGGATGTGTGCGGGCCGAGGCAGTAAGTAACCCAAGTCCTAGATCTCTACATGCACGGTATCGAGCAGACTCTAGTTATCCACGCCGAAATGCCGCAATCCGGGCCTGGGATCCCAGACCCCCGTGGCCTGCAGCTTTGGGTCGACTTGCCAAAGGAGTTCAAGATGGTCGAGCCCTCGTACCAGGAGCTCGGGCCTAAGCAGTACGTCCGACATGAGTTTGGGATTAGTTTGCATATACTGAGCACGCTGTATCAAGGATACCTGAGGCATACCCGCAGGGCAAGGATGGCCCCGTGAAGATCAGGGTCATCAGTGGCAAGAGCCACGGCGTCGAGTCGCCTGTCCGGCCACTCGGCGGTTGCTGGTATTTCCACGTTATATTCAGCAAGCCAGGGACGATATTCCAGGATATCCGTGAGTACTCTGGGTGTTGGCGCCGGGATTTTGGAAGCTCACCGTTGCTCGATATAGCGGCCGGCTGGACGACCTTCCTCTACAGTAAGTCGTCATATTTTGGAGAATCCCAAATGCTCGCTAACTTGCTGTGTGTAGCCCTGAAAGGCGCCGTACGTGTAGGTTCGGACTCAACAGTCCATGGACCATTCCACACGCTTGTGCTTTCCGCCGCCCCTGACGAGACGGGCATCGAGTTCACCGCGACCGAGGACAACACCGAGTTTATCTTGGTATGTATATCGTCCTCGTCATCCTACAGCCGCAGCTTACCCCTGTTGTCCCCAGTGCGCGGGCGAGCCGCTCGACCAGACCGTGGTCCAATACGGCCCCTTCGTGATGACCTCGAAAGAGGACATCCAGAAGACCTTCATCGACTACCAGTACGGCCGGAACGGCTTCGAGAAGGCACACGTCTGGAAGAGCGAAATCGGCAATATGTAATTCGCCGGGCACGCTATAGCCCTTGTACCCCCTGTATAATAACCCACTGCGACGTAATTCAAGCGCGATGCCTCGGACTGCGCTATGCTGTCCGCGTTTTCTTCTCCTTCCGCCGGCCCGGCTTCTCCTCGTCCTCGGAGTCCGAGTCTACGACGGGCATTGCGTCCCAAACGTCGTCCTCGTCCACGACCTCGCCCGCCGTGCCGACAGACGCGTCTATATGGCCGTCCCAGACGACAACGGTGGGTGTCACTTTCATGTACAGTTTGTCGAGCACGTCGCCCTTGCGTTCCTGCTGCGCGCCTGCCTCTGCGGGCGGGCTAAACGTGCTGTGCAGCCGCACGAACCGGTCTTGCGCAGCGGACGCGAGCAGAGAGTGCGTGGGTGCGATTGAGGAGACCGCACCAGCGAGGCCTGTCACCGAACATCAGCAACGGCTAACGGAATATATGGCTGCTAACGCACCCTTATAGCTGTAGATCGTCCGCCCGTTTCGCAAATCCAGTGCGGCAAGCAGACATCCCCTGTCGGCAACAAACACCTCACTGCAGATATCATAAGCAAGGTAAAGTTGATGTGTGCATTCGGAGCGACTCACTGTTCGTTGGAGCCCTTTTCGACGGCACTGACCCCGCCTGTCTTGCCTATCCCTTTCCAATCGGAAACCGGTCTGCGGGCAGCGCGGGTATCATATCTCCGGATGCCGCCATTTGCTGTTCCAATGAGCAGATGTTGTTGAGACGCAGAAGTTGAGGGTTGTAGGTATGTAAGGGCCGTATTGTGCACCGGTTGGCGTAGGCTGAGATGGTCGTTCGGTACCTACAGTGCGGTTAGACATCATCGCGCTGCTCACAGCACAGACGACTCGTACATTTTTCGCTCTCCATAGCTCCCCAGGTAGTAGCTGGTCACTCCGTTTCCGCTTCTTGGTCTCAGTGGAAGCATTTTGGGGTGCGGCTTCCTGAGGTCGAGAGAACGCCTTCTCAGTGTCCCAGAGGGAGAGCTCGACCTCGTCTCCGCCGTACGCAAAGGATGTGCTGTCGGAAGAGAGGCGCCATTCGCACAATCGCATGGGGAGTGCTGCTAGGGAAGACGAGGGTTCGGCACCGTTTTCTCCAGGTTTTGTGAGGCGCAGCGCGCCATTGGAGGTGCAGGAGTAGACTCCGCTATTGAACACATTAGCATTCTATCAAGAATGTACTATGTCGTGCACGTGCTCACTTTTCTGTGTTGGCGAGCCCTACGAACCGCTGGCCGTCTTTCAAACGCGGTTCCGACCACTCATGTACGACCGAGAGCTTGGTCTCATCGGTCACTTCGTACAGCGACGCGGATCCGTCCGCGCGGAGTGCGGACAACTGCCCTTAATCCAACAATTAGATTATAATCCAGCCAACACAGGTGAGGGAGCCAGAGCCAGTACCAGAGTATCTGAGCCTGCCGAGTGCACTGCGAGCTTCTGTACAGTTTTACTCCGGCCGGAGGGGCTCCCGGGCACGAGTACCGTCGTGGTTGGCTTCCATTCATTTTTTGTCTCGCCAGGTGCGTACGAGATAGACTTTATAGCCCCGAGTTCGTCTCCAGAGAAGAAGTGTGGCATGGCGAGGCGAGGAGCGGAGTGGTCGAAGGAGAGCCGGACGCAAACTTGAAATCGCGAGGCAATTGATCGGACTGCTTGCGGCAGGGCGGGCCGGCGGCGCCTTGCGGGGCAGGGCACTGTCGCTTCCCGCACTCTGGCTCCTCGGCGGGCTACGGGCTCTTTCACCTGGACCGACCGGCCACAATGGACGCCCCGCTGAAGGAGCTTGCGAAACTCGACAAACTTACTGCTGGGACGTCTTCGGCGAAGGGCAAGGCGCCGTCTATCGACCAGTCGCTTGACGCACTCCTGGAATCACTGCGCAATGCGAAGGAGCGGTTCTTGTCGGGAACGGGCTCTCAGGCGACCCTGGAGGCACTGGTGAAGAAGGTGGAGGAGAAGAAGAAGGAAATTGATGACAGACAGAAGGAGGTTTATAATGCGCTCGCGAAGTTTGGTAAGGCTTTGGACAAGGTACGTTGGCTTAAGTCATGCTCGAGAGGAATTGGAGTCTAACGAACTGTGCAGAAATTCACAAATCCTCTGCCGTCATACGACCCCCTGTTTACTTCGCCGGAGGCCAAGGCTGCGCTAGAGCGTACTATGGCCGTACATTTTATGCGCACCGGGCAGTTCGGCATAGCTGAAACGTTCCTAAGCGTGAGTGCTCCTAGTATTGCACGCGAGGGTTCGCTCACGCTGCTACTGCGCGATAGGAATCTAATGTTGAAGTGCCGGGCATAACACGATATGAGCTCATGCGGCTCAACATGGTCATGCAAAGCCTGCGGAGTGGAGACGTCTCTCTCGCCCTGGAGTAATTCCAATCGTCCTTCCCATCGCGTTTGTATCGCTCATGCAAGCTTTATAGATGGTCAGGCGGGAGCAGAGAAGGCGAGCAACTGAAGCTGCGCGGCTCTCCCCTCAAGTTCCATCTGCATCGCTTCGAGTATCTCAGGCAACTGCTCGCGCCACAACCGGACGTAGCATCCGCCATCGCCTACGCTCGCAAGAACTTCCCCCCGTTCTTCGCGCAACATGCGGTCGAAGTGGGACGGCTGATGAATTGCGCGACATACCTCCCGCTCGACCGTTTCCTCAAGTCTCCGTATGCGGACCTTGCGAGCCCCTCCATCCAGCTGGACTTGGAGGCGCTGTTTGCGACGGAGTACTGCGCGGCTATTGGCATGGGCAGACAGGCCCCGTTGCGCGTCATTAGCGACATCGGGGGAGGAGGTGCACTGGCGCGTATCGAGAAGGGGCGCAAGGTCATGCGAGAACGGAAGAGCGAATGGAGTCAATCCGACGAGCTGCCTGTACGTGGACGGTCCATGCTAGCGACATGCCTACTAATAGTCTATCTATTTTCGCAGATCGAGATACCCTTGCCGCCGGAGAACAGATACCATTCCGTCTTCGCCTGCCCGGTGTCCAAAGAGCAGTCGACGGAGGCAAACCCACCGATGATGATGGCGTGCGGGCATGTAATCACCAAGGAAAGCTTGCAGAAGCTGAGCAAGCAGGGAGGGTACGTTGACGATGGCCATCTGCTTGACACGACTTTATTCACTAATACTTCTGCAGCCGCGTGAAGTGTCCGTATTGCCCAGCGGAATCAAACATCCAAGGGGCACTGCGCGTATACTTTTAGGATTGGACGCCCCGGAAACACGGACTCATGTACTTATACTGCACCGTTGTACTATAATGTACAAACATATGTATACTCAGCATCACAACCCATTCCCCCCTCATCCCCTCGTCGATATTACCGGGCTAGAGACTTGATAGCTTCTCCGCTCGAGAGTGAGCGGCGCGTCCTGCTATAGCCACACGAGTGGGCGTCTAACGGGGTCACGTGTGCGACGCGCGCGACGCGAGAGTGTTGTTTGCCACAAGGGCGACTTGTCTCGTCCCTCCACGATGCTCGCGCTCTAGCCACGCACAACTGCCCGCCGTACATGTCCCTCTTTCGCCCTTCACGCGCCTCTCCTCCCCCGCGACCCGCTCCTCCTGCCTCTGTGCTGCTCTCTGAAATCACCGATGATTCACGCGCCTCGGGCAGCGCTGTGCCTGAACTTGTGGGCCTCGGACCGGAGGAGATCGACTTCATAGACGAGGTCATCAGCCGCGCACCCGCCACGGCTTCGACTTTCTTGACGGTGTTCAAAGCTTACAACGACGTCCTGCAGGAGCGCGGGCTTGATCCTCAGAACGAGGTCGTCTACTACGGAAAGCTCCTGAAGATCGGGACGCTGAAGGGGATGAGCTGGGCAGACAAATGGAACATGGTGAAGGAGCAGCAGGGTTACACGTCGCAAGCAGCTCAGGGGAGCTCGAAGGCTGGACGGCGAACCCATGTCCCGCGGACTACCCCTACCCCAGTGAAAGCCGCCGCGAAACCCAGGTCAATCGCGCAGGCTCCCTATACTCCCGCCGACGACACCTATACGCCTATGACTTTCCATGATGATACGACACACACCGAAGACGAGAGTCTTCCGCCCCCTCCCTCAAGAAACCGAGCAGATACCTACCCGCATAACGACACCCCACGACCCAGGCGCGCCTTCATGTCTCCAGCTACAATAGCGTCCAACAACTCCTTAGGCCTAGACACCGGGACTCCCTCACAGGCCCCAGGTTCAAGGACGGCTTTGCATCAGAATATCGCTCGCCAAGCAGTGGTGTCACGACCGATTACTCGGTGGGATGCTGAGACCGTAGCAGCGACAGAGACTACAACGCACGCTTCTCCGAGCGTCCCGCCGTCATACGGCGCGGCTGTCCGCGACGGTGGCTTGTCTTCTAAGGAGAAGGTGTTGTCTCTACTGCAAAAAGCCAGAGAAGTCAGGCATCCTATTCCCCCACCTCCTGTGACCCAGCCGACCGCCGTACCATTGCCGCGGAGTCGCAGAGGAAGCACTATCGATGCTGACGAAGCTTGGAAGAATATCAGGATGGCACAGGATGAGGAGACGGCGGACGAGTACCGGAAGAACCGGCTCGTTGAACGATGTTGGGACGTCTGGAAACAGGGTGCCCAATGGATCATCGTAAGTCGTTAGCAGTCGACTGGAGCTGATACTCACATATCTTTGTAGACTACCGGCGAGCAAATCGCAGAGGCTCGCGACCATCTCATCGCCCGCCGTGCGCTGCAACACTGGCGCAAGCGCACGGCGGAACGACGCGAATTGTATTCGCGCGTCGCTGCCCTATCTGACCGCCGCTGTCTGAAGCGTGCGCTGAATGCGTGGAAGCAGAAGTCAAAGGAGAAGAAGCAAGTGCATTGGCGAGAAGACATGCGTGCCCGCATGAAGATGGTGCGGGAACGCGACGAGCTGCGGCTCAAGAAGGACGCCTGGGCGAAATGGCGGCAGTCGTACCTTTCGCATCAGGCGGAGCACCAGTTCTCGCAGAAGCTGGTCAAGCGTTTCTTCAGTCGCTGGAAGAGTCGCGTCGGGAGGCTGGATCAGCTTGACACGGCGGCGGAACATTTTGTCTATGCGAAAGAGGAGCGTGCGATGGAGCGATGTTGGGACATTTGGCGACGAACTGCCGAGCAGCGCATAGCTGAGAGGTCGTTGCGAGAAAGGGTAGACCTTCGCATCATGGCGGGGGCCATGGACGTTTGGACGAAACACTGGTAGGTAATCATCTCCGCGGCGCGGGATTTGTCTCATTTGTGTTCTCTAGCCAGGAGTACCGGGTTGCGGACGAGTTCCGGGACGCATCGATTGTCAAGAATGCCCTCCAGCGGTGGAAGGCAGCTCAACAGCGAATACGGGTGCGTCTTCTAATTTTATCGCGTTACATGCCCAATCTCACAGCAGCGTAGACTATGGAAAATCGCGCAGTCAAACACGTCGCCAGACAAGATGAAGTGCTTGTTCGAGCGGTCATGCGCGTATGGAAAGCTCATGAGCGCGGACATCTCCTTACGCGTGTCCGTAACGTTCGCCTGCTCCGACAAGCGTGGACCATCTTGAAGCACCGAATGGAGGAACAGAGGGAGCGAGAAGGTATGCTCCATGTTCTAGCTCCATAAACATAACACTCATATTGGTTCGTTCAGAACTGGCACAGCTCTTTGCAGCTCGTTCCGCATCGATTCTCGGCTCTGCAGCGCTCAAGAAGTGGCGGGCCGCATACACCTCTCACCAGAATGCCCTCACATTTGCAGTCCACTATCATCGAGCGCAGGTGCAGTACAAGATGCTCCTCATCTGGCGCCTTCGGCTACGCGCGAAGCTGCGTAGGGCCAAACAGGCTAAGGCCGCTCAGAAGCACCTGCTTTTGCGCCGATACCTCCATATATGGACGGCCAAGGTCGCGGAGAAGCAGCGTGAGCGCAAACTTGAAGAGTTCCAGCGGCGGGTCGTGAAACGGTCCTTCTACAGTCAGTGCACCTGCTTGAGTATTGGACGGGTTGCTGATCTCATCACTTACAGCATGGCTTGAGCGGGCCAAACACCAGCGGGAAGTCAATCTCGCCGAACAAATCATACGGCAGCGTATCGCCCTGGTCAGTAGGCATGATCTCACACATCTGCGCATGTATTCATCATTGATTATAGCGCGTCATGAACGAGACGTTGATACACTGGACCAACCGTGTGGCCGACGTGAAGTTTAAGGAGCTCGACACAATCCAGAAATACGAGAAGCAGCTCGTTTCGTGAGTATACAAACTGTTCGTGCTGTCCTGGGAGCTAATTAGATATTTTTGCAGACGGGCTTTCACGAAGTGGAAGGCTGTTTGCAAACGGCATGTGGACGAGCTGAGTCTCATGGAGAGCTACCAGGACATCAAGCGGGAAGGTATGCAAACCGAATTTAACATGAAGGTTTACTCTAACGCAGTCCATAGAATCCATGCGCAAGATGTTCTATCGGTGGCTCACAGCTGCGCGAAAAGTGCGCCACAGGCGCCAGGACCTGCAGGCACGAGAAGACGAGTTCAAGCTCACCGTGGTCGCCGGGGCCTGGGACAAGTGGCGGGAGCGCTTCCAGGACATCCGTCTGCAGCCCATGGTAAGTTACGTCCCCACATGATCGCCGCTTCTCGTGCTGATTCTCCCGCAGGCGGTCGCGTTCGACAAGCAGCGCCAGCGCGACCTCCTGTTCCGCGCATTCGCCATATGGCACTCCAAGTCCCGAGTACGTACTCTTCGCTGAATGGTGTGTGAACGCGCGCCTGACACCTAGGCACAGTCGCTGCCTGCGGTCCGCTTTCACGCGTCGAATCTTAAAGCCAAGTACTGGAAGAAGTGGAGAGACGCGATGCCGAGAGCTCTACAGGCGAAGGCTGCCCGCGATAGGGACCGCCGCATCACGCTCAGTACGTCTTCGCGTGCAGACCGCCGGCAGCTGACTCACCGCTAACCCTCTTTCCAGCGCGCGTGCTCGCGCACTGGCACAAGGCGTACAAGACGAAGGTTGAGCTAAAGGCTATAGCGTAAGTCATTCAGCCGGCAGACGCCCCGTCCCTCGACGCTCACGCATGCCCCAACAGACGCGCCCGTTACCTCAACCTCACCCCCGCGGTCGTTCCCCGCGCACCCCACCACCAGCCGCTCCGTCCGGCGGCGCTAGCTGCACCCTTGCGACCGCGAGTCACTCCTCGCCGCACACGTCCCCCCTCCCCGTCCGAGGACGAAGCGGACGTACGACACCCCGCAGCGCCCGCGCCTGCGCCTGCTCCTCTGTTCGCGAAGCCCACCGCGAGCCGCCGGGGCCTCGCGAGCCTTCTCGAACGGCCCCCGCGCCCGCGCTCGGGCTCCCCGGAGCGCGCCGCACGCTCGCCCGAGCGGCCGAAGCTCTCGTCGCGCCGCACCGCAGCCTCGCGCGTGCCCAGCCCCGGCCGCGAGGACCCCGAGCCTGCCCCAGCGCCCCCGCCATCGAGTTCATCGGCGTTTGGGGGCATCGCGGCATGGCGAAGGGACGTGCGCCCGCCGAAGAGCGCGCCCCCGAGCGTGGTTGGGGAGGGTGGTGCGCCGAGGAGCAGTTTGTGGGACGAGTTGAAGGAGGTAAGGCGGAAGGCGCGCACGCCTGCGCGGACGGAGCGCGCGTATTCGCCCCCGCCGCGTTGAGGCCGGGGCGATCTCCCTTCGACTGCCGAAAGGAAGCAGTGAGCGGGCGGCGCACGGGGTGGGTGGGTGGGAGAAGAGGACCTTTCCGCGGTTTTGCGTAACTTATTGCACTTTGGTTTGTTTTCTTTTGGCTTTGTCTGCGCCTGCTCGGATTGCTTGCTGTCGGCCGTGTTGTATTGAGTACCCCATACGTAGTGCACATCCTTATGTCATATGTCGTATATGTTCATCATCCTATGTCCAATGGTTTGCACAAGGCTATGTATCTAGTGGTGACGTCGAATGCCCGGCGTGGACTCAATACGAGTCTGAATGCGGCCAACCGTAAAATTGCGCCTCGAAAGTCATGAATTCCTATAATATTGCCATCCCACCCAATTCGCGATCACGAAGCCCGTCCCTGCGGGGATGAGCATGATCGCCAGGTACTTGTAATGGGTATCCCTCGCAAGAACGTCCAGCGGCTGTGTGCGACCACAAACGCTCCTCAGACACACGCTCTGGACTACAGGGCGTAGGAGAAACGTACCCATACACCCGTTTCTGGGAAGAACGCGCTGAAGAACACCGCGTACGAGCCGACGAGCAGGAAGAGGACCGAGCACGCTAGGATGGCGTAGCCCACTGCGGGGCTCGGGCGGGTGCCCAGCTCAGAGCTAGGGTGACAAGGGGCTATCAGGATGCAAGTAAAGTGCTGTACGAAATTATGTGTGACCGACCGGTCGAGGATTGCGGCTTTTGCGAACCAACTTGGCTGCGACTTGTGCGTGCGGCGGTGACGCATCGACGTTCCGGGCAAGGGACGCGCGTGCATAGCCACCGTCGAGGTCGCGCTCGTACCTACCTCGAGATCTCGTTGGAACTTGACCGACATGTGTTCCGATATCGCATTCATTTCCGAAGGCCCACGTACGGCCAACTGCAGATTATAGCTGCTCAGGCAGGAGTTTTCATTACAGGTGGGGTACATATTCCTAAGTTCCTTTACAAATCAGGTACTGCTATGAACAGCTATGGAAGAGCCGCTATACACAAAACAAAGTCGAGGGTCCAAGTCGAGGATACATGAAGCGAGGTCGGTACAGGATATCGTGACCTCGCATGTGCTATGTCGTAAAATAGGTCAATAGATAATATAATAGGGGTGAGATGCGAGAGGGATGGGATATCATCTACCGAAGCTGCGAGGGGGGTAAGACGAGCAACGATAGTAATCAGGACTAGCGGCGCTATTTATGTCGCGGAAGGAGACGTCGAAGATGCCACTGCACATCTAAGAGACGATCTCTGATTCCATCTCGTCCGGCGTCGGCGACGGCAAGGGAATGGCTGCAGGCGGGAGCATCGAGCTCGGCGACGGAGACAGCACTGACGGAGGGCGGAGGAGCCCAACTACGCCGTTCTCGTAGGCCTGGTGCCGCGGGAACGGGTTACGTGTCTGCATCCGAGAAATGGGGGACCCTGAGGATGAACATAAGCATTGAGCCTTATTGTGCCGCCGTGGGATACGCATACCTAGAGCGCCGCCCAGGACCCTGAAAGTGTAGGGTCCAGCCTCGCTGGCTTTGTCATCAGCATGACCGGCAATGGTCAACCCAAGCCCATCGGAAGGCAAGGAAGGGCTCAAGCTGCAAGGCGTCTGGCGACGGTACGTGAAGAAGTGAGAGGCGGTGGTAGGCCTCATGACCGGGGAGGTAGGTTGGAATCGCAGAGCAGAAGGGTGCTGCAGGATAGAGAGAAACTCTTCTAGGGCTTCGGACGGCATGGACCTACGTAACACATAGTCAGCAACACTGGCGCGAGAGACTGGATGAAGAGACATTGACACTGCACACATGAACTCCGAGTGGGTCTATGCGATCTTATCGGATATTGAGAGTCAGCGAAGAGCAGATCGGGATACATACCGAGGAGATGTGCGAGGAGATAGCCTGTCTTTCTCGGAAAGCTCTGGCGCTCTGTGCTCGTGCTGATCTCCAGAGTCTTCGGCGAGCATGAGGCGATCGAAAGCGTCCGTCGCGGCGGACAGGATGGCGGCGCGCGAGCGGGGACGGTGGGCGACCGGAGAGTGGAAAGGGAAAGGAGCGGCGCCGGAGGCCAGACGCACTGGGCGTGGCGCGACGAGGACGAGGTTATCGTTTGAGGTGAAGCTCATCGTGAGGTGGGTATGTGCAGAACGGAGATATGTTTTTACGTTTTGAGGAGGTGGGGGTCGGTAGCCAAGATGCGCGCGGGCCTGATCCCCTCTGATGCGATCCTCCAGTGCCGGTGCCACCCTCCTGTTTGGCCGTGTTTGCAGAGTGCGGGGAGAGACGGACCAGGCGTGCCGTGGTTCGCAGAAAAGGCGCACCCACGGCCTGGAGTCTGGACGTCCCCGTGCTAATCTGGTCTGTCACCCCACCGTGCTCCTCCTCGGCGAATCCTCCCAGGGATCGTCGGCGCGAAACGGGGGAGCCGAGGTGCCTTGCGCCCGCCGTGGTGAGGCTACTGCCCGCCCTGGACGTCGGTGGCGGGATGTGGGCCGGATTAGTTTGGAACCCGGCCAGAATCAGAGCTATCTGAGGTCAGTGGTGTTTCGGCACGGGGCGCATTAGACGGCAGACGTAAACGATTTGTCAAGCCAGGGCTTTGGATCAGAGTCATAGAAGTCTCCAGTTTCTTTTATAACGCCTTCCCCTGGGAGCCATGTTCCCTCCCCTCTTGTCCTGCTTCCCCACAGTGACGAGGCGCCATGGTCCTCGACTGCCATGCCTCGCCGAGCACCGCGTCCCCGTCCGAGGAGCACCAGCGTTTTCTCGACGACTATGACCCTCTCGGCGACGACAGCGCCCTCGAGAACCAAAAATCGGCCAGGCCCGATAAGGTCACGCCGATCCCCACTGGAAAGCTCGCGACGCTGTGCGCCGTAAGGCTCGTCGACCCCATCACGTTCACCCAGATATTCCCCTATGTGAACGAGATGATGGAGCATATCCATGTCACCGACGACCACTCCAAGATCGGCTTCTACAGCGGCATAGTGGTACGTCGCGTCTCGTGTATATTGACACCTAATTCGGAAGGTGTTTAGGATTGACGCTGTTTTGTCGGTTCATTTTCGTAGGAAAGTAGCTTTGCCGTCGCCCAGGTCATATCAATATACCAGTGGGCACGGCTATCAGGTGTGTTTCGTTGTCGACTTCCTTGTCAAAATATTCACAGTGTACCCAAGATGTGATTGGTCGTCGGCCCATCGTGCTCTTTGGGATCTTCGGCATCGGGCTATCTACGATGTTGTTCGGGATCTCTACCACGCTAAGTGGCCTCATTATGGCACGCTGCCTTAGTATGTACTCCGAATGTATACATCGGCGGCACCGAGACTGACCGGCTCCGCTAGGCGGCTTATTCTCCGGCAACGTTGCTGTTATTCACTCCGTACTGGGAGAAATTACCGACTCCACCAACCAAGCCATCGCCTTCCCTCTGTATGGGCTTTGCTGGCCCCTCGGAGGAATTATCGGGCAAGTCTCCTAAATATTTCGGGGAGGTATACCGGCTAAGACCTCCTTTAGTCCGCTAATGGGCGGGTTGCTGTCCAACCCAGCCACGAAGTTCCCGTGGTGGTTCGACACACCCTTCCACCACAAATTTCCATATTTCCTGCCGTGCTTTGTGGCGGCCCTGATTGCGTTCGCGGGGTGCATATACGGGTACTTTTACCTGGGCGAGGTACGCAACAGTATGCTTCTCCGTCGGGCGAGTGCTTATGTACTGTGCAGACACATCCTAACTTGCAACGAGACCGCAAAGAAGACATCCAAATGTCGGAACGTCGTGACGGCTCGTTTGAGAAACCTTCAGAACCGGCATCTGTATCCCATCTGCTGTCCATTCCCGTCGTCCGTGCTCTTTGCCTCAGTGGGGCTGCACTGTCATTCATGTAAGCCCTCGAGTCTTGTTTGAGAGGACGCCTCGGTGCTCACCGTTTTATCTTCAACAGTGCTACCGGGTTCGACGTCACATTTGGTACGTGTGGGTGCTCTCACATGAGGTTCGCCTCTAACGCCGTGCTCTATTAGTATTATTCTGCTACACATCCCTCCAGCAAGGAGGCCTCGCGTTCAACGTAAGCACCATCCCCTCCCTCTCCACCGTCCGTACCCTAACTCCGTACACAGGCCACCCAGATCGGCTACGCGCTCTCCATCTCGGGCTGTATCTCCATCGCGCTCCAGCTACTGTGCATGCCCGTCCTCCTGCGGCGCTTCGACCACGCGCGCACGTACAACTTCTGCATGGGCCTCTGGCCCTTCTGCTTTGTGCTCCTCCCGGGGCTCAACATCATCGCGCGCTGGGGCGCACTCGACCTTGCCACGGGCGAGCTCGGCCCCACGACGAAAGCACTCGTCTGGCTCGGCATTGGCGTTATCCTGTGCATCTCGCGGTGCGCCGCCCTCGCATTCTCGTATGTATACCCTCGCACTCCTTTGCGCGCTGCCATAATTGATCCGTCTCCCAGCGTGAGCATGATCCTCGTCAAAGACGCCGCCCCGAACGCAGCCTCTCTCGGCGTGACCAACGGCATCGCGCAGTTCGCCATGGTAAGCCCCACCTAACTGTCACCCACCGAGCGCTCCGTCACCAGTAGCTGACACCCCGGTCCCGCGCACAGTGCTTCTCCCGCTCGTTTAGCCCCGCGTTCGCCAGCTCGATCCTCGCGTTCTCAATCGGGTACGAGTTCGTGCTGCTGCGGTACCTCTGGGTGCTCGTCATGACCCTGATTTGCTTCCTCGGCACCACGCTCTCGCGGCGCATCGCGGAAGGACGCCGGCGCAGCCCCCGCCCATTGGGCACGGGTGGCGCGTCGCTCGCCATGGCGCATTAACTCGTCGCATCTCCTAGACTCCTCGGGTCACGGTATAGGGTATACGGTACGGTACACAGCGCTCTTACATCACGGTCTTCACCTAGACATCTCACATCATCCCTCCCCCTGCTTTCACGGTTTTCCATTCCTGTTGTTTTCGCATCGCACCTCGCACCCCCGTACACACTCGGGCGGTTGTACCCTCGTGCCTCGCGCCGCACCATATCACGCCATGTAGACTAGCATCCATTCCATCCCCGTCAAGCGCGGGCCCAACAACAACAGCAACAAAGTGCACTACACCCAGCATCCCGTAGCAATAGAATATTACAGCGCGCGCCGCGCTCCAGCACAACCCCCACGGGCACCCAAAGGCTGGTACAAGGCAGCGGCTCCTCGGACGCACGCACGGCCGAGCGCGAAGCGAGCGCCGTCCCCAGTCCCCTAACTCTATCTGTATCTGTACGATATATGCAAGCAGGTATGGTATATGCGGGCACCAGATCCGGAACCGGGGGACACCGTCAGATCTAGAGCTTCGACGGCTCGCCGAGCGCATAGAGGCCGTCGAGCGGCGCCTTGAAGTACTCGTAGGTCTCCTTCCTGCGATGCGGGAAGGGGGAAGGGGAAGAAGAAGGGCGCGGGCGGGCGTGAGCCGCCGCACACAAAACGCGAGATGGATGCCTAAGTGACAGCGCACGCACCGTCGGATCTTCAACGTCGGCGTCAGGCAGCCGTTCTCGGTCGTGAGGGCCTCCAGGGTCAGGTGGATCCGGCGGAGCTGCTCGAAGCTAAACGGACACGCATAATGGGCGGCAGGTGAGCATCGCTGTGCGGCGCGCGCGAAGCGGGCGCGAGGGAGGAGACGAGAATGGGGGAGGCACGCACCCCTTGAGCCCGCGCTTCTTCGCCGGCTTGGAGAGCTCGGCGAGCACGGCCGCGACGACCTGCGGGTCCTTTGCGGCCTCCGCGAGCGCGGGGAGGTCCGTCGGGGAGAAGGCCTTGCCGCGGATGCGGGAGACGAGCGCCGCGAGCTGGACAGGGTCCGGCACGACGACCGCGATGAGGTACGACTGCAGCGAGTCGCCGTGCACGTAGAGCTGCGCGACGAGCGGGTGCCCGCTGTAGATGTTCTCGATGTTCTCGAGTGCGACGTACTCGCCCTGCGCGAGCTTCATGATGTTCTGCGAGCAGCGGCACCGTTAGACGGGAAGCCGAGAGGGCGATCGCGCGTGGGGCGGACGTACCTTGACGCGGTCTATAATCTTCAGGCGCAGACAGTCGTCGAGGAGCCCGACGTCGCCGGTGTGCAGCCAGCCCTCCTCGTCAATCGTCTCCGCGGTCTTCTTCGGATCTGTCGGGTAGAGGTTAGCGTCCGCCGCCACTCGGGGCGCGCGAGGGGAGAGAGGGGGCTAACCCTTGTAGTAGCACGTGAAGCGCTGCGCGCCGCGCATGCAGATCTCTCCGCGCGGGAAGGGCTTGTCCTCGGCGGAGTAACCCATGGTCGGGACGTCGACGAGCTTCAGCTCGGCGTTCGGGAGAGGGGAGCCGACAGTCCCGCTGGACGTTGGGTCATCCGTCCAGGTGCGAACGAAGCTGCCGCAGTTTTCGGTCATGCCATAACTAAAGCGAAGCACATCAGTGACCGGACGGGAGGACTGGATTTTCGGATGCGATTCACCCTGCACGTCTCAAGTTAGCGCACGAGCCTGTCAGAGAGATCAAGCTATGTACCTTCAATTACGGTGCACAGAAGACCGATCTTGAGGAAGTCCATGACGTTGGCACTGATGGGTGCCGAGCCGGTGGTGATCATGCGTATCCTTCCGCCGAGGACGTTGTGAAGCTGTTAGAGCCGGTGACGTTCAGCATCCGGTGGCCCGTCCATGCAACACACATAAGCGGTACCTTCTTGAACACCAAGCGATCATAGAAAGCATGAGTGAATTGGCCGTTTTGGCGCATGTTGTGCAATTTAGTCGCAACGGCTTTCCTGAACAGGGCGCCCTTGATTCCCGGTGCAGTACCGGCTGACATAGCGGATTGGTAGAGCCTGTTCAAAACACGCGGAACGGAGGGCATGAAGTGGGGCTGAAGCACTTTCAGGTCGTCCAGGAGCAGCAGAGGGTCGCCGGTGGTATAACCAATCTGACCACCGACGGCAACACTAACTAGCTCCATCACCCGCTGTTATGCAGTTAGCGTGTCAGAATATCGAAGGGCAACTTAAAACCAAAAGACAAACCTCGTAAATGTGCGCAAGGGGCAGGAAAGACATCATTGACATATCGCTGGTCATCTCGAACTGGTGCAGGTAGCCGTAGACAGCCTGGGCCATGCTCCCATGAGTGATTACGACACCTTTCGGTTGCCCGGTAGTACCCTACGACCATAATTAAGTGTACATTCTCCTTGTGCTCAGAGGGGCTGCTTACCGAGGTGTAGCAAATAGTAGCAATCTGGTCGGCTACTGCCGGGATGACCTCGATGAGGTTGGCACGACCGAACTCCTCCACTACATGCATTCGACCGCACGGTCAGTATGGAGCTTATGCATCAGTCTTTGAAACGTACGCTCTGCAATCTCCTTGATCTGGACATTCACAGTCTCGCCCCATGCGGAAAGCGCACTCTTGGTGTCAGGGGAGAGCGGCTCCATAGAAACGATCATCTTGAGCACAGGGGCCTTGGGGGCCAGTTTCAAAAGAGAGGCAATGTGTTCCGGCGTCGCGAAGATCACAGTCAACTCGGCATGGTTGACACTGACGTGGGGACGTGAGTACTTCTATGACCTCATGAGGACTAGGCTGCCAGAACTCACATGAACTCTGTAGGTATACAGTGACGTCTGCTGAGAAACATATACACGGGTGTGAAGATGGCTAGTACGCACCTGCAGAGTCCTTCCCAAGCGTGTCGTACAAGCTGACTCCAACCTTGCCGTACGCCTGCAGCGCGAGGTCGATGACCTGCCAGTCTGTGACGCGTCAAGGCATTGGTTTGTCTCCGCACCACGCATTGCGAGAAAGGGACATACTGGGACAGTTCTTGCTCCAGATTCCAACGGTAGCCAGGTCTCCTCCACCGAGCGCACCCGTCTGGAACAACTTGTGGAGGGCACTCCCGAGCGCGCGCCTGCGCACGTCCACCTCCGGCCACGACTGCCACACGTGGTAGTCCGCGTACTTCAGGGGCTGCTTGGAGAGAACAGGCCGCTGCCCAAGGAAGCGTCCGCCCTTCGAGCGGCGCAGGCCCTCGTCGAAGATTTGCAGCAGGTTCGTGAAAGCGTCCGGCGCGTCGATCGTCACGTACGGGTACGCAGCTGCAAGAACGGCGTGTCAGCACCGTCTCGGATTGCGCGCCGCACAGCAGCGGGAACAAATTGACGCACAGCCGCGATAGTGGGCTGCGGGGAGGGTGGCAGTACGTGAGCGAGAGGGCCGGGCATGGCACGGGCAGGCATAGGCGTCATACCAGTCTGTCCCGGGCGCTTCGTGCCGGGCACTTCCACGCACTGTTTCTTGTAGTCCGCAGCGGGGTTCTGCGGCACGGGGAGGTGGGCGAAGCGGGATGCGGCCATTTGGGAGACGTCTACGTGGGAGGAGGAGGAGGGGTGCGAGATGGGGGAGGGGTGACTGGCGAGAGTCGTCAGGGGTGGCCGGGTAGGGCCCGGCGAGCTAGGAGCGCACCTGGGTGTTGCCGGTTATCTAAGTGCGTGAACTCCGCCGCAGGTTGAACAGTCTGTCCCGGGCCCGGGGTCGTCGAAATCAGCGACCCCAGACGACGACGTCGCGGACGAGGCACTCACCCCGCGATTTTTTGCTCTAATTGGATCGGCTGCGCTGTGACGGCAGTGAGGAACGCGCTCCCCGCGCGCGGACACGTGAAAACGCGGAAGTATGCTCACCGACGGGGAGGGTCAGGCGTCCTGGACACTGGCAGCGAACACTCTCCTGCGGACGGTTTCGTACAAGCAGTCTCTCAGGGAACACGCGTGCGCAGGCCGCCCCAAAAGCCTCGGGTGCATCTGCCAGCAAATGTGGGAACCATCGCGTCGAACAGAACTCCGACCACGGCGCCCAGCAGGAAGGCCGTGATGCAGAACCCAAACGTCTTCTCGAACTCAATCTGAGTGAATACCCGCGTCCAACCTTCGACCGCGCATGTCGCGGCTAGCGTGCCATGGTGTGGGAGAGGTGTGATATGTGTAGCCCTCGGAGTAGATTACAGAACGTCGGGACGAATCAACTGTCAACATACATACGAACATACAATCACACTCTCGCTTAACTGCGTCCAACGTCAGCATTAGCGTACAGCAAACTACCCGCAGCAGCAGCTCTTAATATAGGTTCGTGACAGTCGTGGCGGCAAGAAGACGCGTGCAGCATGGGGCGAGGGGGTATGCAATCAGGGGGCGCTGAGAATGATCTGTAGCGCAGGACATCGTTAGCCATGAAAGGCGGAACATACCACCGGCCGTACCTTCATGAACTGCTCATAGTTCATCTGCACCCAGCCATCACGATCCGTGTCGACCCTGGGAACACGGCGCTCGTCAGTTCAATTCGGAAGCGCAGCCGAGCTGAGGGCGTACCGCTGGAACGCTTCCGTGAGTGTTTTCACAACAACGCATGCACGAACGAAGCGGTCGAATGTGATGCCAGGAGGAGGGCCGTATCGATCAGAAGGCCCGGACGCTGCCCAGAAATATGTATTGAGCCAACTATCCGTCACTCTCGCGCCCGGGCGTATCGCAACTCACCATACTTCTGTTCGAGCAGTGACAGGAGGGTGGGCGAGAGGTTGTAGCCAAAGCTGCGCAGCGCTTCGGCGAGCTCGGCGCCGTCTATCGACCCCGACCGATCTCGGTCGAAATGCCTGAAGACGTTCTGCCAGTCCTGAATGTACTTCCAAAGTCCAGCAAATTCTGTGGACCGAGGAGGGGAATGGAATGCGTCAGCACGTCCCGCGTGAGTTTATTTGCATGACAGAACGTCACCATTGAAGCCGATGGTGCCGCTACGGTCGGTGTCCTAGGAGCGCGACGTTCAGCACGACTGCCGCGAAGCGAACGCGAGCGAGCAACTCACGAAGATGGACATCAGCATCTTCACCGTATCGAGGTCGAACTCTACAGATCGCGGAGTCAATCACAGAGTCCGGAGTGCCTTATGCGTTCATTTCGCGGGCACGAGGCGGGACCCATCCACGTACACCGCCGCCGCCTCACGCCCGGAAGCAGAGCCACGAAAGAACGCAGAAACGAAACTCACTCGTCCAGTTTCCTGTGGAACCCCGCGCACGCGATCAGCAACGATCGTTCGAAGATCAGCGGGGCATGCCCCCCACGGGAGATCTGCACGCACCATTCACCAAGGCAGCCTGCAACTCCGTCACGCTAATCGCTCCCGAACGATCTGTGTCGACGGCCGAGAACCACTGCCATAGCTGGGGATCGGCTCCGGGTGGGGGCCCGCCAGGTGCGGCATACGCGGGCTGCCCGTAATGGCCATGCGGGGCACCGTACTGCGTGCTTATGGGCCGCTGTGGCGGAGCCGGGCTTGGCCGGTATTGCGAGGATTGTGAAGAGTATCTTTGGGGAGGAGCACCGTAGCGGACAGACATGGTGGGGGGAGGGAGATAGGGGAGTTAGCGCAGTCGGTGTGCGAAGATGATGGGCGGGGTTCAAGAGGAGAGTGAGTGGTCAGCGTGGCGCTCCGAGTCCTTTTGAAAGCGGATCAGGAGTTGGCCAGATCAGTGAGCGCGGGGCTGTGTGACTGCGAGCAATGTCGGCTGGTCGACGAGCACCGCTGCGCGGCGGTGACTCGGGTGAGCGATGCGCCATAACCTTCGAGCTCGTCGTCCGAGGCAGTGAGCATTGCTCTGGGCGCCTATGCAGATCATTTGTACATTGAAAGCTTGCGAGACACTAGCTCCTGCTTCTCTTAATCTGCTTCTAGCGCGAGCTACCCTGGCACACTAAATGGTGATCCGGGGCAGAACACAGGGCTGACAGGGCTGCTCATTTGTTACGGCGTCGAGGGAGAGCCTGGGGTGGTCGCACTCGAGGGCTTCAGCCACAGCGCTCGGACCGACGATGACGCACGCGGCATCGCGGCACAGCTCGCCAAGTATCGGCGCCCGTTTGGGAAGCCTCTGCGCATTCGCCGACCACATCGCCACGGAACATAGCCGTAGCGGTCAGACACCGCTGCGAGTCGTACATTCTGCAGCTGCAGGCTGCGAGCATTCGCCTCGGTGGCATACATATTCCAAAACAACTTCCCCACCAGAAGATCAGGGCGCACACACCCGTCGCCCCAAGACCGGGGTCGCTCGCTCAAAGCCAATCTGAGATAGATCTCTGAGCACCGCGCCGCCGCGAAATCATATGATGCCGCCCGCTACACGCTCTCTTGAACACCGACTCCGAGCCGGTCTGCGGAGGCGCTGCGTAGCGCGCTCACACGGGTCACCGGTCGGGGGCGGGTAGCGTTTTGACCTTCTGCAGAGCTCAGCGCTCAGAAGCCTCACAGGAGACGACACTCTTCGCACGATTAGCGTTGGACAACGAGGACAGCCATGACTTCGCCGCACCTCAAGGCAGTGATATTCGATGTGAGTGCAGAACGTCATCGATCTGAGGTTTGCACCTGTTGAAGCTATTCGCCGTTGAATAGATCGGTGGGGTGGTCTGTCGCAGCCCTCTCATTGCCATTGCGGACTACGAGCGGGAACACGCGATACCCAACAATTACATCAACTGCGCGATGTGAGCGGGCCTCGTCTCGTCACCAGTGCCACCAACTCAATGGGAATGCCTTGTTTGCACGTCCTTCTGCAGAACCGCTCGCGGATCAAGCGGGGCGTGGCAGAAATTCGAGCGGGGGGAGATATCGCTCTTCCCGTTTTACGAGCAGTTTGGCCGGGAGCTCTCCGACACCAAGGTCAACAACCCGGCCTATACCCGATACTGCCAGCGCAAGGGAATAGGCAAGCACCCCACCCCGTACCCAGCCCGTTTCCATGTAAAATTTACGTTCTGCCAGCATGCCCGAAGCTCCCTGCAGATACGTTGCACATCGACGGACGTGAGGTGAGCGGCGTGCGGCGCTCTCCGCCGGCACTTCACGGCGGCTGAAAGGAACCGTCAGCTGTTCGGGCGCATGATGCGGGAGAGCGGCGAGTTCGATGGACGTGTCGTGGAGGCGATCCGGCGCATACGAGGTACCTTCCTTCACCGTCACCGCTGCATGCTGCGCGAGTTCACCGTCGGGTTCCGATGCAGCCGCGGGCAAGTGGCGGGTCATCGCGCTCACGAACAACTTCTCGAAGAGCGACGCAGACATCGTCGGCGATGGCCCTCCCCCGCCGACGGCGCACGCCCCCCACCCCGCTTTCGACGTGCAGGCCGAGCTCGCGTTCCTCGGCTGGCAGGACGGCGCGACGCCGCCGCGGCTGCGTGCGCTGTTTGACGACTTCTGTGACTCCAGCACGCTGGGAATGCGGTGCGCCATGTTCGCGCCCTGCGCACGTCTGGGCTTCCTACTGACCATGCTCGGCCGCCTCCCTCGAGCAGGAAACCCGAGGCCGGGATATACCTTCTGGCGTGCGAGCGTAACGACATCGCGCCCAGCGAGGCAGTCTTCCTCGACGACCTTGGAATGTAAGTTTCGCGAGGCGAACTACCTCACCCCCGCCGATCTTCTATACCGTGGCCTGACATGTTGACGTACGGCCACGCAGGAACCTCAAAGCCGCGCAGGCGCTCGGGATGGAGACCATTCGTACGTGTCCCTCCCCCCCAACCCCCCTTCTTCTGCGCGCCGTCACCCATCAGGTGCTTCGGCGCACAAACCACGTTCGCGCGCTCACGGCTGCTCCGCAGACGTGCCCATTGGCGGCGCGCTCGGGGCGCTCGCGAAGCTCGAGTCCAAGCTGGGCATCGACCTGACTAGCGGCGGGCTCGCGCCTACCGCGCGGACACCTTCCAGGCTCTGACAGCGTTGATGATCGTGATGGCGCGCGCACGGCTGTCGTCCCGCATCTGCGTTTCGCCTGCGGAAAGCGGGCGCGCTGCGCGCTCTCGACCCGCCGCCGCCGTCTGCGCGGCACGCAGCCTGCCAGCATCTGCGTTCGGGGCAGGGCGCTGTCTGATTGCGTCGGCGGGGAAGCAGAACCAGGGGCGCGCGGCGCCGTCCATGCCACGTTCCCGTCATAGTCTATTTGTGCCCTGCGATATCGCTGCGAACTCCCGAAATTTCATTATCGCTATCCGCAAACACGGTAGAATATTGTACGTGTCTAGAAGGGCTTGTCGCACTGCGGGATCTTGTCCTCGAAGTAGCTGCCGAGCTGCATGGAGAATCGACGGGCGATATGATCAGCATCGGGGGCGCGCAATCGACCCTGGTGGCGGGAGCATGGGACGTACCACGGGCACCTTGGTCAGAAATCCGCGCTTGACCAGGGGGGTGACAGACAGAAGCTAAAACATGGCCAAGACGTGCGGTGAGATAGGAGGTTGACCGGAGGATTGGACTGGGACGTACGTAGAGCGCAGTAACGCCCGCACCAGCTCCCCAGAGACCGAGGCTGGTGCTCCAGGTGCGCACGAACTGCAGAAGGAACACATAAGGCGCAGTGCCAGCGTTAGGGGATGCCGTCACGTACACGCTGGGCCTGGGCCTGAGGGGGGACTGCGTGGAAGAGCACACGGGACATGGCGAGATGCGAGCGGATAGGCAGCGAGGGGGTCGTGGAGGACGTCGAGGACGATGGTTTTGGTGAAGAGCACGCAGGCGGTGCGGACGCTGGCCCGGCTGGCGGGCGTGCGAGCTCGCGGGATTACCCGGGCCAATCCCGACGCCGGCTTCATCCCAAGTTGCCGACTGCTTTGCATTTTCCGCTCTCACCAGCTCCCTCCGCACGGTCTTCCTCCCTGCGCTCTCCCCTGCGGCTCCTCTGCACCGTCCACGCTCTTCGGCGCCGACCCCCTGCCCCTCTCACGAGGCGTGCTGCACTCTATCCTTATCACCCGCACTGCTGCCTTCGCTCCGGTCCTCCGGCGTTCTCGCAGTCTAGCCCTGAAAATCTGCCATGGCGAACCCCCGTCAAAGACGCAAGCTGCGCTCTGGATCCCACAAGCCTGTGCACCATTCACGCCGGGCTAAAAAAATTCTGAAGAAGCAACCACGTTGGTAATTTCTCTAGTGCTGCGTTCCTTAGTGCCAGTTGCAGGCCGCATGGGCTAAGCGTTCCCTCCTGAATTTAGCCATACGGGGTCCTCAGGTCCTGCAGGAAGCCTGGGATCCGCGCAAGACGGTTAGACAAAAGTACGTGTATATGTGATCGTCGCAGCTCGCGTGCGCACGTCGTTACGGAAACAAGAGCTCACGCACGCCTGCGGCACGCCACCCCCGCACCACCTGCTGCATAGCTATGAAGCTCTCGGGCTTGTGTCGACCCTGACACCCACTGCGTCCGGCGGCACGGAGAAGCCGCTCATCTCGCACCCTGACCACGACGACGAGGAACTCGCCGAAAGCCAGCCAGAAGCGTCCACCTCCGCTGCTGCATCCACTTCGCAGCCCTCGGGGGCAAGTGGGTTGCCGAAGGGGTATGGGAAAATCATCCGCGACGCGGATGGCAACATCGTAGACATAGTGCTCGGCGACGACGACGACGAAGCGACGGAAGAGGCGGAGGCGATGGAGGAGGAGCTGGAGGGGATCCCCGATCCCAGCGCGGACGATCAGCTCGCGGGGTGGGTTGGGCTGGGTTCTGACCCTCGGAAGCGGGCTCCGGAATCAGCGGGCACGCGTGTGGTGCAAGGTTCGTGCTACTATTGTTTCTGCTGTGGCCGAAGGAGGGTGATAGCATCACCGCCATCGGATGCTTCTCTCCCCTTCTGTCCGCGGCAGGCTTCGACGCTGGGTTGGGTTCAGATTGGCGGGCCATCGCGCTGACGTTCCGTGCACAGAGCTGGAGCAGCTGTCAGAGACGCGTGGGGGCCCTGTGGCCCGGCACACGTCGAGCGGCGAGCAGACGACGCTGCAGCGGCTGGTTCACAAGCACGGGCAGGACGTGGAGGCGATGGCGCGGGACCGGAGGCTGAACGTGGACCAACGGACGGCGGGCGAGCTGAAGCGGGCGATTCGAAAGGCTGGCGGGTTCGCGGAGCTTGGCAAGGCAGGCTAGGCTGTCACGTGTCTGACGGAAGAGGCAGAAGGCCTGGCTCTGGCGGTCGGGGGAAATTGTTCCGAAAGTGGCTGTACTGCTGAGATCGAGTGGAAGGGAAATAGAAGGTGCCCCGGCGGTTGGAGAGTCGGTGGGAGCGGATGAATGGGAGGAGTTGTGTGACACGGTGTGCGAGTGGGCCGGGCTGGGTGGACTCAGATGCGTGTCAGATGGGCGAATGTGCGTGCTTGCAGCGATTCATTGTTTTGAAAATGCGCGGCGCTCAAAGTGACAAGTGGCCATCACCGGCGTGGTGTGGCTTAAGCAGATTAGGTGTGTATTGAGGTGATAGTGGAGGCTGCCGGGGGAGACGGGCATCAAATCAAGGTCTACGTCCTGTTCAAACAGGGCGGAAGCAGCAGCTAGTGTGCGGGGCAGCGCCAGGGATGCAGGTGCTGCACTCGTCAGGTAAGGTGTTTGAGACTGTGACGGGGGTCGGCTGGATCTGGCATGGAGAGCCCGGGGGTGCGCGGGGGACGTGAAGCGGCAGGGAAGTCGCTGCGAATCGACCGAGTATGGACTGTGCCCCGGATTGGGACGTGCAGGGGACGGGATCGGATTGGACGGCTGCGGCGACACGAGACGCGAGGGGAGATTGACATGGACCCATCCCCACAAAGGCCCTTCGAATTCTTCCCATCCCCCACCATGCATATCCTCGCCCCAGCCACGCCCACGGCCCGTCCCGCATCCCTTTTCCCTTATTCATTATATACCCTCCCTTCCGTTCTCGGCCAACTATATATCCCTCCCCCGCCGCCGCCTCCCTCTCCCCCTTCGCCCCCTGCTCCCCTCCCCCGTCGTCCTCCGTGTCCGCCATGTCGCCCAGGAGCGCGCCCTCGCCGGTCACCCGCACCGATTCCATCTCCCCGTATCCATCAGCCATGTCCCGCAAAGCGCCCATGCAGCCCAAGTCCACTCGGCAACAGTACAGCGGTATGATCCCCGATCCGCCCTCTCCGTCCCGTCCGCTCACCGACTTCCCCTCCAGCCTGCGGCGCCTGTCGCATGCGAAGGTGCGCGTTCCCCTCCCCCGTCACCCCCGCCGCGTCCGACGCGCATTTATTAGGGTGAAATGCGACCTCAAGGACCTGCCCACCCTCGCCTCCGGCTCGCACCCGCCATGTTCAAACTGCAACGAGCGCGGTCTTAATTGCGTGTACGTGCCCTCGCGCTTCGCGTCCGGACCCGCTCGGCTCACGCGCGCCCAGCGACGAGTTCGCGGAAGTCAAGGCCGTTAAGCTTCTACGGCGCGGCCGCCGGCTCCAGAAAGTCGAGTGCGTCCCTTCCACCCCCAGGGTTCGCCATCAACCCTGACGTTCCCCAGACAGGTTTACGGCAAGACGTCGAACGGGGAGGCGGACCTCCACGCCCTCAATCCCCCGCGCTGCGCTATCCCACAACTTAAGCCCGAGTTCTTCAGGTCGGCTTTCTTTCACCGCTTCCATATCCAGCGTGAGTAGTCTCCACCGATCATCTCTTCACCGATCGCTCATGCGCCCGATCTACCTAGGTCCCATCTTGGAGCCAAACGAGTATTGCAGTCGCTACTCGGAATGGTTCAACGGCAGTTCCGATGCCCTGCTTATACCAGGACAGTTAATCGCGCTCGTACTCGTCGTGTGGGCCGCGAGTTACGGCATCAATGAAGCGGGAGAAGAGGCGCCCGATTCTAGCGGCGAGAACATTCAGCAACGCAAGGAGCGCGTCAACGAGATGCTTGTAGAACTCCTCTACCTCATTGACATTCACGGCATCCTGCGGAGACCTTCCTGGGACAGCGTGCGAGTCCTGCTGCTCACCATGCCGCTCACCGATGGTACATCTTGACCGCTTTCTATTTATTTGCTATATGCACAAGACTAACGTCCGTTTGTCACGCAGAGGTGCAGAACCCCATGGAACGCCTGGTATGCTGCCTATGGGACCTTTCCTCGATGGCTGCTCACATCTATCTTCTCAGGCGATGTATGACTCTGCCATGAGTCAAGTATATGCGTTGAGTACGCTCACCACATCAGCGGACATTGGGTGTGGTGAATACGTGGACGCCCTTGTTCGGGCGCGGGTATTTTGGTACGCCTTCGTCGTCGATGGAATCACAAGTGGCTTGGGCGGTGGTAGGATATCTCTGTAAGGCCGCAGGAGATTCCCCGATCTTCCAATCCGCTGAAGCTCATGTCTATTCCAGGACCACCGAAAACCTCACGGCTTTCGAGTCGAGTCTCCCGCACATCGGCAACGGCGGCGGCGCTTCGGCTGGCTATGCATTTGCCTTTCGGTTCGCCACCGTTCCCATCCGCATAGCCATGGTGTGCAGGGACATTCATGCCTTGCTCACTGGCCCCGGCCCTAAATCCCGTCCACATGATGATGTCGATGAAGATAAGCTTCTCAGAGTATGGGCGACTCTGGACGAATGCTGGGCCAACCTGGACGATCTCCGGAACGGGGGGACGTACGGTATCGTTCAGGTCGAGGACATCGAGAGGTTTATCGATGGTTGGCAGGTGCGACACGACCGCAGTTATCGAAACCTTGCTTCACTGACTGATGTATCACTACATCCCAAAGATCTTTCTCTTCGAGTCACGTATGTATGCGCCCCCCACATGCTTCACAGTCCTGTCGCTGACGGCTACATTTACAGACAATGTCATCCGAGAATCCCTCAAGAACAGGCTTGTCGCTCTCCCCGCTCAAGACACGACGTACATGTCGGAATCAAGCAGGCGGAAATCCGATACGATCATGCGCCTCCATGGCAAGGCTAACTTGAAGTGTCACAACGCGGTCAGGCACGTCGTGGACATCCTCCGCAGGAACCTCGGCACTCCCTTCTTCCAATTCGACGCAGCGCTCGTCCGAGATGGCTGCTTCTTCGCCGGGTTTCTTCTGGCTAGTGATGCCGGCACACGTGAAGAGGTCGAGATTTGCCTGCGAGCGCTTTCGGAGATGCGCTGGGCTTTCTCGAAGAACGACGAACGGCAGCACACGGTCGGTCTGGTCTGGGAGCAGAACGGTCCGCCAGGACGCGGACAGTCTTCGCGCAGTTTCTCGTCCAGCCCCGCGGAGGAGGCCATCCGCGGTCCGGGCACATACGAAGGCAGCTACATCCGACGCCCTCTCATGCGCCCGACGAGTGTCCCGCCGCTATCTCTTTCGGCGACCACCATGGGCGTGGGCTATGATCCGTCGTCCGCACCCAACACGGCTTGCACGGCCGACGGGAGGTGGCCTTCTGCCGCGTCCGGTTCAGGCTCAGAGTCCGAGCAATACCAAGGATCGTCGCACCGGAGCTCTCCTTCGGTTCCGCATGCTGCCTCTTCCTATCCCTCCGCCTCACACAATCCGCTTTCGATCAACAACGTCCTGCACAGCGATGACGTGGGCGGCGGCCCGCCACCCTTGCTCCTTGCGTCCTCGCGTGTTCCCACCGGCCATCCGACCGGGCAAAGTTCGTACTACGTGCCACCATCCTATAATTACCTCCCAGTGGGGGATACGGTAGACGCACGCCAAGCTCCCGCAGCGTCCGGCAGCATGGAAGCCTTGCATACCGCGGACCAGGCGCCGGCGTTCAGCCATCCCACGACGAGCTTCGATTACACCGGTGTGTCGTACTCGTCCACCTCTCTCGGGCAGCCGGAGGCTGGCTCCAGCTACCTGCCGGCAACATCCACTACTCAGGGCGGGAGTCCCCAGTTCGGGAGCGGGAGTTACTACTAGTGCCCGGCGGCAGACAGACGTGGGGCTAGGAACCCCGGGCAAGGTTCGGACCGTCTTCTCGATTCTGAGTATTTCCGTCGTCGCATGTCATCTTCCCCAGCTATGATCTCTGCTGTCGCTTGCACCCCATTGGACCGCTCCGGCTCTCTCGTTCGCCATTCGCTCTCGCATCTCTTGGACCGGCAACTTACGTGTATACTTGTCCTCCCGCCGTGACATTAGCGTTCATCGATTGTATCATCTGCCCCTCCTCTTCTCCCCGCATCCAGGTTACCGATCCCATCCCGCACCCCGCATAATTAGAGCTTGATAGAGGTTATTAGATCAACATAATCATCGCTGCGCCGTCGTCGCATCACGTTAACACCGTACTATATCGCTATCTTGTCCGTGTACGTAGTAACTGTATGTCTAGCACACCCCGTATTCTTGTTACCCGCGCCGCACGGCCGTTCTATCGTAGTAAATAGCAGTAATTTTCTCGTGGCTGTCAAAGTGCAGGACAGACCGTCACGAAACGCCCCGATCAGGATTTGTCCGCCCGCACGCCGCGTGTGTAGCGTGCTTCCGCCGGGAACTGCGAACCTGGGGCAATGACGGTATCATATTCATACTGGCGACGTCTGTGCGACACGCGTCCATCAAGAAGGGTGCGACCGCGCAGGCCCGCACGCTCCCCGCCAACGGTCGCAGCCTCGAAGGTTCAAGGTTGGCTGATTGCCTGTACGTGTACGTGTGATTGCACGCGCGCGCACGGCAGATGCAGATTACCATCTCTGCGCGCCCGTGTTTCCCTAGTATGCCCCCCACACATGGGCCGGTGGGACCGCCCGCGGGGAGGGGTGCACTCGCCGCAGGGTGCGCCCCCTCCCAGCGGCCGGAAACGGGCATATTGCGAGGGCACGGACGTCACAGCGCGCCAGCAGCTGGGCGCGCGCGGGGGTCATGCGGCCCGCACCGAGGATCACCGCGCACACGCCCTGGGGGACGAGGGGCGTGCGGGCACCCGCGAAGGCGCGGCCAGGACGTGCGGGCGTGGGCGTGGGCGTGGGCGCAGGCGTGGGCGACGTGCCGCCGGGACGCCTCCCGCCCCGAAGGCGGGCGTGCCAGGGGGGGCTGCTGGAGCCGTCTGCGTGGCCCTGGGCGGATCTGGCCGCTGGGGGCCAGGGAGGGCAGGATCGCCGTCCGGGCAGGGGGGCGGTCGCGGCAACGCCGGGTGCGACGCGCGAGTGCCACGGTACAATTGACTATTGTCGAGGGCGATTGTGGCGTAGTGCGGGCGGACACGGTCGCGGTCGGAGACGCGTCGAGGTGCGACGATCTGTGCGGGCCGCGGGCGGGGCCTCCCGCGTGCACCAGGGGGCCTCGCAGGGGGTTCCCAGCGTCCCGAGGGGGCATGGGGCGGGTTCGAGAGGCTGCGAGATCACTGTGCTCGATGCGTCGCGTGGGTGGCACGGCCCAGGGATGTGGGAGCCCCTGGGGGCCCAGGGTGTCGCGGCGGGCCGCAGGGCACGGTGGGCAATCAGCCGGGCGTGCTGGTGATCGTGCAGGCTGCAGACGCAAGTGATAGATTGGCCCGCGAGCACTTGCAGAGGCAAATGGAAGGACGTCGTGGCACGCACGGAGCGCCCGTGCGCGGACGCTCGGGGCGCCACCGATGTTGGGTGTGTGCGTTCGCTGGCGAGGCCGGGTTGAGCGCATCGCATCCCGGCGGTCCTGGAGGAGCGGATGGGCTGGGGTGAGCGCAGGGACGGAACGGGCAGCTAGGCACCACTCACATGGGCGGCACGCGGGTGTGGTCGTTGGCAGATGGGCTGGGAAGCGTGCGCGCGAAAGCCGACGTCTCGCCAGAGAAAATGGGCGTCGGCCTCGAAGCGTGCGCGAGGGCTCGAGGAAGCCCGCCTAGCGGGCGGCGTGCCGGCATCGGTGCGCTACTGCAGAGCGCGAGGAACCGTTCCCCGCACTAGTATAATGCGTGGCGGTGAAGATTATTCATTGATGCTGTGTGAACGCTTGCGGCGAACCCTCTGAGGCTTCGGCGAAGCTCGCGCGGTCGCCACCTGGTGGCCTGCGAGGGCACCGGGCGTTCTGCTCCGGACAGTATCCGCCAGGCTTTTTTCGGGAAGGGAAGACGAGGGAGAGCTAGAAGCCTCCATGCCTGTGGGAGGCGGAGGAGGGAGGCAGGCGGCTGAGCCGGAGTCTTACAGGCGTCGGGGTCGGTGGACGAGCCCTTCCGACAGGCCTTCCAATTGCGGACCCGGAGGTGGCTGGCGGGGTTAGGGTCAGGGTTACGTAACATAAGCGCGGCGTAGTTCAGCCAAGGTGGCTCCGCAGCAGCCGCCGAGGCTGGCGGTGCTCACAAGAGAACGGCGGAATGGCCCCGCACTCGCTCTCTCACACCGACCACGACCATGTTTTGTGAGTGTCGACTGTCTCTGGAGATGCGACGACTGTGCTGAACGGCGCTTCCAGTCTGCCTTCCGATAGTATGTGCGTAGCCTGATTAGCAAGCTGTATGCTGTGGCACAGATTAGTAACCCACTCCATCGCGGCCAGTTGGGTGCCCCACCCGCATGAAGCCGGACTCGGAGGGTGACCAAACCCCGAGAATCTGTCCCAGGTGCAACAACCGTACGTACCTTCGTCCGTTCGAATCGCAGACCGGTCGCCGGAGTGCTTACTTTGATTTCGCGGAAGCCGCTACCATCCGCGTCAAGTCCCGGATGTGGTTCGAACTCTGCTTCGTGCCCCTCATCCCCATGAGCTCCAAGCATCTCTGGCTGTGCACCATCTGCCAGTGGAGCGTGCCGCTCCAGCAGGGGTAAGTTTTCTGTCTTCTGTCCGCAACCCCCGAGCGCGCTGCTCACGCCGACATATGGAATCCTGGCAGATGGGAGCCAGCCCTCCCTGGAAACGCATTCCAGCCCGGCGCCCATGGCCAGTGGCAGGCACCCCCGTACGGTCTCCCGCCGAACGCTGCGCAGCGCGGCTACCAACCCGGCTACCCGGCCACGAGCCCAAAGGCTTAACGCGGGCCCATATCGACGCCGTGGCCATCAGCCTTTTTCATTCATGATACCTTTCTTGTACCAGTACTTGTCTTCCGGACGTCTCGCATGCATGCCACACCATTGTAACCGTACACTGCCTCCAGAATCACATTCATTTCGCTTGCTATATAGCCAGGCACACATGTACGAAACGCCAGGGAGCCGCGTCAATACTTCCTGCGGTAACCTGTCAAGCTAAAGACAAGCACCAGGATAACCGCCCCGGCGACAAAGCCACTCGCTGTCGCAATGCCGCAGATGCCACCGCCAGTGAGGGAGTTGGTGTGATCGGCTTGCGACAGGACCTGCGCGGGGGAACCGGAGTCCGCGCCACGGTCCGCGATGAACGCAGCGAGGGCCGCCGCCGGGTCTGTCAGTCCGCGGAGACCAATCTTCGGCGGCTGCGTATCGTTTGCCGCATGGTGCGTCACGTAGACGTTCTAGGAACAAGAACGCAGAGAAGTGAGCATTGCTTCCACACGGTGCATCTCGAAGCGTGCGCCTTGTGTAGCTTACCCGCAAGAACGTATCACCCAGCAGCCAATCGGCAGAATAGACCTGCATAGAGGGAAAGGAGCGTCAGCGCGCCCGTCACGGTGAAACGGCGCAAGAAGCCGCAGTTTAATTCGGCGGTGGGATATGAGGGAATCTGCAGCCGCACGCACCTCGTCGTTGCTCTGCACCCCTCCCAGACACCACACGTTGTCGACTGAACCTTCTTTCCAACTGATGTCCGCTGGGTCAACGGTATACTCCTTCTGGGCGGTGCCTTCGCCAAGGACCAGGCCGACGACGACTGCGCGATTGCAGGGCACTTCCCAGCCACGATCTGTTTGCCTGGCGCCGCCGACAGATGCCCAGAAGCGCGCGACGTCCTGCGAGGGGCCAAGGACCAGGGTGGTGCCCGTGTCCAGAACCGCGATAGGGGCTGGCGCGCCGTCCATGCGCGACTTCGCGAGCGCGAACGAGGTGCCGTTCACCGTCAGAGACTGAAGGGGCAATTTCCAATAGTCGTACAGCGCGCCGCCGGAAGCGAAGACAGGGTTGTAGGTCATGTCATCCGTGGCGTTCGCGAAGGCCGGGTCGAGCTCGCCGATGGTGAAGGACGACGACGTCTGGTCCCGCCCGAGCTTGAAGGCGAAAAAGCGGCGAGAAGTGTCGTTGAACGCCGAGAACAGGTTCTCCACCACGGTGCGGCCGGTCGTGTCAGAGATCGCGGCTTCGGCGGGGAACGAGAGCCCCATGATTCCGCTATTGCCCGTCCCGTGCAAACCTAGTCCGTTCGTCTCTTCGGCCATCGCTGTGCAGATAGATCAGTCACTGTCATCCCCGCGCTTCGTCCGGAGGGGAAACCACCGACCGAATATTTGGGAGGACACCTGGAACTCTCCGAGGGTGACGGTTTCCGCCCCCACCGTCCCGGAAACGTTGCCAACGAGGTAATTGAGGTGAAAGGGCACGTCAGTCTGAGAAAGCGAAGGTGTCCTGGTATATTTCTGGACGCCTTCACAGTCTGAGGTTGAGCAATCAGACGATACGACCCACTGGGTGGTGATCAGCCGCCGGTCCCTTGTCAGCCGTGATGATATTGACGGTTCAATCTCACCAAATCTGACGACCCGGTGTCGAGAAGGACCATAAATTCCTCGCCACCGATGCTTCGGGGACGTCACTAGCCGCGTTGACTCCGAACATCGGAAAACGTACCTTACGTTGACCAGATACGCGCTACACAAAATTAAAAACGTGAGCGCGCGAAAATGCGATAGATTGGAAGGATCACTCACAACTGGTTAGATGTTTCCAGGGATAGGTCCACATTGACACCAGAGAACCGACGACTGACGCTGTCGAGGCGAGGCACCCTGTAGAGTGGGATTCTGGTACTCGCGCCTACGCTCAAGGCGCACCACACCCACGACAGCAAAGACAGAGGAAAAGGGCTGCGGGTCGTCGGATGCATGTCAGAGGTCGACAGGTATGGTGTCTGGGGGTTGTTCCATGGTTCGGCGCAGCTTGGAGCTCTTTCAAGATGGAGGCTAACCTAGTTGTTGCGAGGCAGACATCGCGATCCACAGCCTCGATCGCAATGCTAGAAATTCTGGGTAAGAGTTTTATGTTACGCCGTATTCATCATGTCCTTCCACGGTGCGCGCCGCCCGCTCACTGCCTTTCTTTGAAGACCTTCGCGAGCGCAAGTGTCTCGATACTTATGTGTTGCTCGGTGGCGGCGCCTATGCGATGCTGACATCATGAGACTTGGATCCGCAGGCCTATTCAGTGTCTCTGACGGTGCATTATGAACGTTGGTCTCAGACCGCATACAGCCATCGCCCGCGAGTGCGCCTGAGGTGGTAGGATGGAGGATTGTCGGGCGGGGAGTTGGGCGGGTGCAGAGTCGCGGCTGTGCGGGCGGCAGCTGGGAGTGCGCACAGGGCGTTTGCCGGGCACGCCCTTGCCAAACACAGCGACACGCGTCACAACCACCGCCTGCGCCCGTCTGCTCTCCTCATCCTCCTCCCTCCACGACCCCCGCCAGACGACCGACAGCCTCCTCGCTCTCCTCAAGACCACGCGCACATCATGCACACCAGCGAGTACGACTACCTCTTCAAGCTCCTCCTCATCGGCGACTCCGGCGTCGGCAAGGTGAGTAACAGTCGCAACCGTTCTCGCGCCACGCAGGAAGGCGTGCTGCGGCGAGTGCTGGCCTGCTTTGCTCACCATGACCACCTTTTCGCCGGCCTAGTCTTGCTTGCTGCTCCGGTTCGCGGACGACACGTACACGGAGAGCTACATCAGCACCATTGGCGTCGACTTCAAGATTAGGACCATCGAACTCGAGGGCAAGACCGTGAAGCTCCAGATTGTCAGTCTCTTCTTTTCTATCCGTTACCGCTGGGCGAATCTGGGCGAATACTGCGGCTTCCCTGCATCCCTGGGCCTCTGGCCGAGTAGAGACGGCTCGGCTGGAGTGGTGCCAGCGCCCGGCGCTGTTGCTGTGCGCCTCTACCTTCTGGCATTCCCGGACGTTAGACACACTTGCAGGGACTGCCGTCAGCTAGCCTCTTCCAGTCCACCTGTGCCTCTCGTAAATGAAGCAGTGCTGACTTCTACTCTCGTTATCTCAATGTAGTGGGATACCGCCGGTGAGTGCAATCCACCTTCTGTGTTGCGCGTACCTGACGTTTTCTGTAGGCCAAGAACGTTTCCGTACTATCACCTCGTCTTACTACCGTGGCGCACACGGCATCATCGTCGTTTACGACGTGACCGATAACGGTGCGTTCCAGTCCACTCGGACAAGGCCTTACAGCCGATAGACGCTTACCCCTTTCACCGCAGACACCTTCACGAACGTCAAGCAGTGGCTGCAGGAGATTGACCGGTATGCGTCTGAGGGCGTGAACAAGCTTCTCGTCGGCAACAAGTCCGATTTGACGAGCAAGAAGGTCGTGGAGTACAGCGTCGCGAAGGTGCGTGAGCAGTGCGGTGCAATGTCTGAGACCGACTAACAAGGCCGGTATCACAGGAATTCGCTGACCAACTCGGAATCCCCTTCCTGGAGACGTCGGCGAAGAACGCTACCAATGTCGAGCAGGCTTTCCTGACTATGGCGAAGCAGATCAAGGACCGGTACGTCTATCCGCATTGCCAGCGCCGGACGGCGGGATTGACCGGTTTCGATTAGCATGGGTTCCACTACCACCGCCGCTGGCACCGGCAAGTCGTCAACGATCACGCCAGGCCAGACCGTGCAACAGCAAGCCGCGGGTGGGTGCTGCTGAACGGCTCGTTTGCTGTCGTGTCGCGTTGGTGTCGCGCCTCACATAACGGTCGCCCGGGCGATCGCCGTGTGGGCGATTCTGGAATGGTCTCTTCATCGTAATCTATGCTTACAGCCTTTGTTGTTGGACTGGTCTCGGTCATTCTTTTCCTTGTTTCATCTTGCGACTGTCTGGGAGGATGTGCCCGCTCCTCGGCATCCCCTAGGTATAGCTCGTTGTACCTGTTATGATACGCTACCCTTCCCGGAGTGGGGGGTAATGACGATGCGCGGTGCTGCTATATCTTAAAGCGACGGGGTGCTCGGCTTATAATGAGCAAGAGAAAGTACAATACAACATGGTCAAGTAAGATAACAAAATCGCCCCAATGGTCAGCTCTGTGAGCTCGTCGGTGCATTCTCTTCTAGCCATAAGCGAATGCCCTTCTTGGAGACCAGTCTCAAGAGACGCGCCTGATCGTCCGGACTACGTTCCCGGTACAACCGCATAGTGTAGCCAGCGACGCTCCAGACGTCTTCCCAGTCAGCATCGAACAGCTCCCACCAGCAGGCCTCAGGCGTCGACGGTAGCGCGATCCCAAGCTGTCGCGTAGCCAACAATATGGCCGCGCTGACGATCGTTGGGACCGCATACAACGCGTATACGGGTGTCTGCAATCTGCATAAAACCGGCGTCAACGTGACCGGGAGCCCTGGACAGAAAGCAACAGGGATACTCGCGCGTCATTTAGGTAGCCCCACGCCTTGCTGGAGACGTCCTCGCGCTCGGTGAGGCCGAGCAGCCGGAGGTAATTGACGAGCGTTCCGTACGGAAGCACAACGTGCACGTTGAAGCCGAGGCGCTTGAGGATCTGCATCTCCGCGACGACGAGCGCGTCCTTGAGGTCGTAGAACGTGCTCCCGAAGTACGACATCGGCACGTATTTGAACTCGGGGCCGCCGGAGGCTCCGGGCGGGTACTTGACCCGGTGCGCGGTGCGTTGGAGTAGCAGGTCGTATACGTTGATGAGGTCGCGCATCCGCACTGGACACTCTTCGAGCTTGGATGCGAGGTACAGCGCGCCCATCCCGATGTCCTGGCGGATGCAAGGGCCGTAAGCAGGCGCGCGCGACGAAGGATGCAAAGCACGTACTCCGATCCCGAATTGCTTCATGGATGTGACATACCAGAACCGCTGGAAGAGGATCTGCGCGGTGGCGACAGCTACCTGCTTGGTGGCGACAGCTACCTGCTTTCTGTACTTGCGTGCCTCAGAGACGACGCGCGAGATGGCAAGCATTGTAACTCACTGTCGCAGGAGCACGCCGGCTTCATAGATCAGTTTGCAGCCAAACGCGCGCAAATCGAGCTCTAGCTCCTCCGGGATCCCGTCCTCGCGGGACGGCGTCTTCTCGACTTGCGCCAGGGAGGCTAAGGGGTATAGGGAGGTCGACATTGGCCGCGAAGGGTCGTGAACGCCGCTGTCTGCAGGGCTGAGAGGTCCGTGTGGCTGAGGATGGTGGACGAAGGGGTCCAAGGAGTCCCAAACATGACAAAACACGAGCTCCGTCTGCACTCTGCGTTTGCCGGTGTACTACATTCTCCTCCAGCCACCTCTGCTCACCTCTACTAAAGCTCCCATTCTTGCCACTTCCTATCATCAAGACACGAGAGACTGAGTATCCAAATCAACGCGATGTCGCATTTGCCACCAAAGCCAGAGTTTGGCTACCCGCCACGCTATCCTCCGGACCCCAGAGACTACGCTCGTCCACCTGCGCCTTCTGTTTACCCTCCCACTCCTGATCGCTATGCCACTCGGGAAAGACATGCATATCCTCCGCGCTCGCCCCCGAGAACGCGTGCGGCACCTCCAATGGACTCATACGTGCCTAGCCGCCCTCCTGTGGACACATACCGCGCACGTCCGCCACCGCCACCGCCCATGGACACGTACGTCAGCGCGTTCTACGAACGACGCGAGGATGATAGGTTCAGGGAGCGAGACTGGGACAGGCGTGATGATCATAGGACAAGGCCACGGGATGAACCTCCCAGGGACAGGGAGAGAGACCGGAGGTGGGAGGAAGAACCTCGCAGATCCTACGACAAAGAACGGAGAGAGCGTACAGCGTCCAAAGAACGAGACTGGTCACGACGAAGGGACGACGAGAGAAGGTATCCTCGCGAAAGACCACGCGAGGTCGAACCTGAGCGCAAATGGATACCTCGTGCCTCGAAATCGCCACCCAAGCGCGTTGGTACGTGTTTCGATTCGCATACACCTACTGTAGCTGACTTAAACAGCTCCTATCAAGGAAGGCGAACGAAGTTCGCGATCACCGGCGAGCAGGGCGCGTACACCATCCTCTCCGAGACGTCGCCTACCCTCCCAGCCACCGGTGGTTGCCAGTGGGTCGGCATCCCCATACAAACCTGAACGTTCGCGTCCTATACGCGAGCCTTCCCCTGGCGAAATCAGACTGGGCTCGCATTCTGTATCGCGCGTCCGTCGGGATCGATCCCCTGCCGAGAAAGACCGCAAGTGGGTTGCAAGCCGTCGCAGCCCAAGTCCGGACAGGAAACGGCGATACAGTCCAGCAGGCCGAGCAAGTGCTACACAATATCGAGACCGAGATCGAGACCGGGACCGGGACCGCCGTTCGCCCCGACGGAGGTCTTATTCACCTGCGCCGCCTCCGCGCAAGCGCAGTCCAGCGCCCACACGGAAACGCTCGCCCTCTCCACCAAGTCGCTCGCGTTCACGCACCCGGTCGCCGACAAAGACGCCACCGCCGAAACGGCATGTACTACCGAAGCCTAAATCACCACAACGTCTCCGCACACCACCACCCGCTGTTGCTCGTGCAGTGCTCGCAGTACTCAAGACCGACGCCGATGGCGACGTCGAGATGGAGGATGCTGCTGCAGCGCCTGGCTCCGGGCGCGCATCGACTGCCCCCTCAGTCGTGGACCCTGCGCCGTTCTCGGCTGCGCCTTCTGTCACCTCTCGGGTCGCTTCTCCCGCACATGTGTCCGTGACCATGTCTTCGCCGGCGGCTACCACACCCACCATCCCGTCTCTGCCGCCCAAGCCTGAAACTGAACCAGAACAAAAGGTCTCCAGACGACGATGGTCAAGGTCGCCTCCCACCGGACCGCGTAACAGGGCCCCTAAATCTCCAGTCGTGCCGGGAACGCCGCCTCAGATCGCACAACCAGTGCCCAGCCTGCCGCCTAAACCGGAATGGACCCGTCGCAACACCGCCGCTCAACCTGCGAAGACGGAAAGCCCCGCCCCCGCTTCTGCCGCAGTACCAGAAGCCACGGGCTCCGAGTTTGTCATTCCCAAGTACCAACCCAAACCCAATGTTACCGCCGACATCGAGGCTGAGGTGCGCAAAACCGCCTGTCTATCGGCTCAATTTTACTGATGTGACCTGGGCAGATTGCGCGCATTCGCTCACACCGCACGCATCTGGAGAGCGAGTACGTGCAAATCGCCGCGGCCACCCGGCGCGCGCTGCATGAGTACGAGCTGTCAACGCACGACTTGAAGATGGCCGAGAAGCGGCGGGAGCTCGCCGATGCCGCGCTCGAGAAGGCTCGGTTTGGCACGCTGGGCATGGATTACGTCTCCTAGAGCAAGTTTATGCGCAGGGCTCTGACAGATTCATAGCTGAGGACGCCCACTATAGGTGGGAATGTAATATTACACTAATTACAGATGCGATAATTTGTGGCTGTCAAACACGGGCGGCGTGATTCCGACTAGTTCTTGGGTATCCGTTTGCATTCCATGTGCGTCCGCGTGGGGTCCATGGGGAGGGCGCAGAAGAAGCCTTGTTCCTGGGGTCATGCACGATGAGCACATGTTTACCCGCGGCGCACGTCAACATAAAAAATGGACGACACGCACCTGCATCGCCTGGAAGAGCTTCGTCGAGTACATCTCCATCTGTCGGGGGCGCACGGCGACGCCGCACGAATCAGCCCCAGCGTCTGCGCGAGCGCGATGCGATAGGAGCGCGCCGACGCACCTCGATACATTTCCGCCCCTTCTCCTTCCCTTCCCTACAAATCTCCGAGCGCGGCGCGTCGCGCTCGCCGTCAAATGTGTATGTGGAATTTGGGTCCTCCTGCCCGATAAACGCGTGGATGAGTAAGTGTACGGGTCTCCGGCGGGGAGAACGGCGGTGGCGGCGGTTGCAGCGCGCCGACCGGAGAGGTACGCACGGCGATGAAGTCTTTCAATTTTTGCTGTGGCTGCGCATGGGTGGCGTCTTGCGTTCCATTCGAGAGTTTGTTCTGCAGCTTCTGTACGAGAGACATGGTGGAGGTAGAAAAGGTGCTATGAACAAGCGCCCGCCAGACTGGTGGGGTATACCGTAGGCGCTCGGTACACAATGACGTCACTCAGCGCAGTATCACAGGGAGGTTATACAATTGCGGGGGGTAGGAGGATGGTACAACACTGGAGGGCTACACGGGGTCTTTGGTTTAATGTCTATCTATTTCCATGTTCTACACTGGTCGGATTGAGCGGGTCTGCATCGGCGGCGCTGCGGGGAGGCGTACGTACCGGACCCAACTTTATTGATACATTTACCACCCGCGCTTCGCGAGTCTGCCGCCCTTCATATCGTCGGTGCTGCATATTTCTAGCTTTAGGAATAGGGTCTGAGTTCGCCGATGACTGAACTTACATCGTCAGCCCGACCATGGCCTCGCCGATGTCCTCCGAGATCTATGTCCGCAACGTCAGTCTTACGAGCGTCAGGGCGGTATCGACGTTCCCTACCTCCGCCAGGAGTTTCGGGTTGTTGAAGTGAGTAACCTGCGCAGCCCATCAGTATCGCGACACGATGAACTGAAGCTGAAGCTGAAAGATACGCACTGCCTGCACGATCGCGCGCGCCCTCTTTGCCGGATCTCCAGACTGAAGTGGGCGTCAGTGAAGGTAACCCGCCACTAAGGCACTTGTACACACATGGAAGATGCCCGAGCCGACGAAAACTGCGACACGCATTCAGTATTGCCACGCGCCGGTATGGATGCGGGAAGACACTCACCTCCATCGCAACCAAGCTGCATCATGAGAGCAGCATCCGCTATGCACGAAAAAAAAATCATCAGAGGCGCGCGGATCCGCCGCGACCATATGCACATACCGGGGGTTGCGATACCACCGGCGGCGAAGTTCACGACCGGCAGCCGTTTGAGGCGTGCGGTCTCCTTCAAGAGGTGGAACGGCGCCTGGATGTCCCGGGCATAGGCATAGAGCTCTTCCTCGCTCATAACGCTCGCCTTTCGGATCTCGCCCATGACCGACCGCTGGTGCCGTACCGCCTCGACGACGTTACCGGTGCCTGCCTCACCCTTGGTACGGATGAAAGCAGCACCCTCGGAAATGCGACGTAGCGCCTCGCCGAGGTTACGCGCGCCACAGACAAAGGGCACCTTGAACGGATGCTTGTTGATGTGGTGTTCATCATCCGCAGGCGACAGGACCTCGGACTCGTCGATGTAGTCGATGCCAATGGCCTGAAGGATCTGTCACGGTAGACGAACATAGCGTGGCATCAGGACACTACGCCAATGAAAGTTGCGCGCATATAGGGACGCGTACTTGTGCCTCGACAAAGTGTCCTATGCGCACTTTCGCCATCACAGGGATGGTGACGGCATCAACGATCTCCTTGATCATTTTAGGGTCGCTCTGTACGCGCGACAGTCAGGTCTGTCCCATATGAACGCCACATTGGACTCACCATGCGAGCGACGCCACCCTGCGCGCGGATGTCCGCAGGCACTCTTTCGAGGGCCATGACGGCGCACGCGCCAGCCTCCTCGGCTATGCGAGCCTGCTCGGCGTTCACGACGTCCATGATGACGCCACCCTATGTGCGCCCGCACAACATTCAGGACCTGACCCAAGATCTCATCTGTGATGTGCTCACCTTGAGCATCTGGGCGAGGCCGGACTTGACCTTCGCACGACAAGCAATGCGCCTGATTCATGACAATGTCCCGCTCAAGATGTGTCAAGGAGACTCACACCGAAGGTGCCCAGGCTGCCGCTCGCGCTATCCTTAGTGGGGTCCTTGGAACGGGTCGGCGCGACCACGGGTGTCCCAGAGGGGTTCCCGACGCCATGAGTGATGGGCGGGGTAGCGACGCCGCTGACGGGGGTCTGGCTCTGGCTCTGAGCGGGGGTGGTCATCGTTGCGAGTGGCAGAGAGAAAGGCGGGAGCGGGAGGGCGGTGGCACGCGAGAGGCGACGCGGTGTGGCTGAGCAAAGTCAAAGCAGCTCTTGAGTCTGACTCCCACCAGGGAATTCGCCACGACCGCAACACCGTCACCGTCGATTTATCCCATGCCCAAGGCCTTCCGTCCCTTCCGTCTTACGACTTTCGCTTCGCGTCTCCCTTGCGAGCCATGACTTCGTCTGACTCGCCCATCGATTTGCATTGCGACTGCTGGGCGGCCATCGACCCTTGGCGCCAGCTTAGTCGTCAGAACGAGGACATGATGCGCTCGGCGCACCAGGCGAGTATGTAAACTGGGCGTGCATAAGCAGAAGAGGGGGCTGCCGGCCGGGTGGATGGGGTCATAGAGAACGCGACGCCCCCACCAGACGGGTATGCAGTACCGGATCGCCTTACCTGTCTCTTTCGCAAGAGGCCGACGGGTCCATGGCGGTCCACGCCGGTCATGGGGCATCTCTGCACCCCCAGGATGGCCGGTGAAGTCTTCGGGAAGCACGCCTCGATATGAACGGTCAGTCGCACTTCCTCATGCGCGTTTCGGCTGGTATACTTCCCCCGGCGCTCACATGGTCCTCCCCAATGTTAGCAGGGTTTATGCCGCCGGAGGACAACTGAGTTGCGCCCATGTGCGCCTTGCACCACGTTCTACGCGCCGTCATCTTCTCCGGACCCGACAGCCTTGTGGCACCTAAACGTGACGATCCCCGCCGTCCTTCTGCTTCGTGCCACGCGCCTCGCGTGCCTTTTTAACGGCCCGCAGAGACCGCCAGTACAGCTGGAATGCGCAATATGACCTGCAGTTCGTCTGGGCAACTATCTTCTCGTCTCCAGAACGCTCTTGATCCCGCCCAACTCTATGGAATATCCGATACTCGCACCATGCGCTTCAGGACACCGCGCGACCCTGGCTCCGCAACAATTCTAGCGATGACGGAGAGGTCGACTTCTTGTGACCCTTGCCGAGGAGCACCCGATGATGCAAGGCGGCCCGCACGGTGCTGGCGGAATTACTGCGTATATAATACAGCGTACCTCGGAGCAACTGCCGACAGTGGTGAACCTCCGCCGCGATGTTCTCTGTGCTGCTGGCGCTCTCTGCCCTTGCGGGCCTGCTCCTGGTCAATGGCCAATCGCTCATTGTGCCCGGAGCGCCGTGGAAGGATACTAGTGGAAACGCTATTCAGGCCCACGGCGCAGGGATCCTGAAGGTACACCGATAGTCTGCAGATCCAAGCTTGAGCTCGAGTTCAACCGTTTTCTCGTAGGTCGGATCCACGTTCTACTGGTTCGGAGAGGACAAGTCGCACAATAGCGCGTCGTTCAAGGCAGTTTCATGCTACACTGTACGTTTCCCGGCTGAATGGACATCGCTGCATAGAGTACATCTCCGTACTCACATAACCCTTCAGTCCACCGACCTAGTGACTTGGGCTCGCCAGAACGACGCTCTCAGCCCTATTGCAGGGACTATGATCTCTAACACCAACATTGTGGAGAGGCCTAAGGGTGAGCAGGGCGTCCGGCATTGCTCCTATACAGTCATCTCATCCCTATTCGTTGCGTGCTTCAGTACTGTTCAACAGCAAGGTACGTGTCCAGTCTGGCCTTTGTGTCTTATGACGTACGAGAGCTCAACGATTCGCAGAACAACGAATATGTCATGTGGTTCCACTCTGATTCGTCGAAGTAAGTCCGGTTTTATATACAACACGCATGCTTCTGGCGTAATGAATATATTCACTTACGACGCCCCTAGCTATGGCGCGGCGATGGTCGGTGTAGCCACGGCGAAGACCCCATGCGGCCCATTCACCTACAAGGGCAGCTGGAAGCCTCTCGGCGCCGACTCGCGCGACGAAGGCCTATTCCAAGATGGCACGTATTGCATCCTGACGATTATTCCCTGTCATCCATCTAATGAACGTCTCTCAACTTACAGATGACGGTAAGCCGTCCAATCAATCAAACCGCACGGAGCGGTCAACTCATCCGCCGCCTGGGTGATACGTTAGGTTCGGCATACCTGCTGTATGCGTCTGACAACAACCAGAATTTCAAAATCACGCATTTGGACGCCAACTACTACAATGTCACAACAGTCGCCAGCCAGCTGAACGGTAGGTGTCAGATCGCAGCTCTACCGTGGGTCTCTAGCTGACTTCTGGCTCGTTAGGTGCCACGCTCGAGGCCCCGGGCATTGTCAAGCGGGATGGGGTACGTGTCGTTCAGCTGTCCTCTGCGCGGCCAGAATGTAACAGATACATCAGGTGTACTGGCTCATCGCCTCGCACACGAGCGGGTGGGACCCGAACCCGAACAAGGCTTTCCAGGCCACGGTGCGTCAACTTCTTGACCCTCGATTCCCGTCAATTTCGGCACACGATCTTTCTCTGATACCGCCCTCGCATACAGTCACTCGCCGGTCCGTGGTCCGCGCAGGCAGATATCGCGCCCGAGGCCGTGCGCACATACTACTCGCAGAACGCATACGACCTCCCGCTCGGCTCGAACGTGATCTACATGGGCGACCGCTGGCGCTCGAACCTGCTCGGCAGCAGCCAGTACATCTGGCTCCCGCTCGACTTCTCCAGCGGCGCCCCGCAGCTCGTGCAGGCGGATGTGTGGAGCGTCAACCTCAATGCTGGTGAGCACATATCAGGCTGCTGCTGCGCGAACGTAAGATGAAATGCCGTGCTGACGCTTGTGGGATGATGCTAGGAACGTATTCGGTCGCATCGGGCACTACTTATGAGGCGGAGAAGGGCACGCTCGGAGGGTCCTCCAGGCTCCTGACCAACTCCGGCTTCTCCGGCGGCACAGCGGTGGGCTATCTCGGTACGTGCATCATTTTCCTTGTTTCGAAAGACACTTGTCAGGAACTGAGACGTCGACACAGGCAATGGTGGAACCGTGACCATCACCGTGCAGGGTCGCGGCACCGCGCAGTGGGTCGCGCTCTACATCGCGAACGGCGACTCGTCCTGGCGCAACACGACTATCAGGTGCGTCTGGTTCCGCTCGCGGCTGCGCATCTTGTGTTTCCCGGGGCTCAACGGGCCATCGTGTCATTCCTTGCAGCGTAAACGGCGGCGCGCCCATCTCGCTCGACCAGCCCAACACCGGCGGAGGCGGCGTCGTGCTCAGCATCCCCGTGCAGCTCAACCTCCGCTCCGGCTCCAACACCATCCTCTTCAGCTCCGGCCAGACCAGTACGTGTCTTTCCCGTTCTGTCCCCTGTTCCGCATTGTCGGACGCGTACATCCATCACAGAGACGCTGACAACGGTCGTACTTCCCCACAGACTACGCTGCGGACCTGGACAAGATCATCGTGTACTGAACACCGTGACCGCGCATACGATCGCGCCCTCACCCTCGCCCCACAAGCCCGAACCCTGTACGTACTGCGGCCCCGCGCGCATATCGAGCACATTCTATATATCGCCTCCGGCCTCCCATGTCCCGCGCTCGCCCCCTGCCCGGACTGATTGGACCCACGGCCGCCCGGGCTGCTGTGCCCTCCAATGGGGCAGCGGCCGTGCTAAACAGGCTGTGCGGCTATCGTGCGTGTCCGACCGCGCCGCCCGGTTCCCTAGAGTGCGCGAGCGCGTCGCATGGGCTGGCGGGCGTGGTCGCGAAATAAGGACGGGTGCAGTTCATATGTGTGCAACGTGCTACGTGCCGGACTTCGCGCGAAGACTGGAATGGGGAGACGGTGCCACGTTAGCTGCATAGACACCGTGTGGGCGACCCGCGTGATGGGGTGCTCGCGGTTATCGGCTCGGGCACTGTATAGCGCAAGTGGCCATGGTAAGAGGCTGAGGGTTCTCTGAGTATCACGTTGGCAACGATGGCATGCGCCTGTCGCTCGTCGCGCAATCGCTGAGATGTATCCTTCAACTCCGTGATGACCATCCTGCGGCGCCGCCGATAGCAGACTGTGATACATGTATGTCTTCCATAGTTCGTCTTTGACACGCTTTGAAAGTGAGGGGGAACGGAAATATGTGATACATTGGAGGAACTTCTGGAGCTTTTACTACCAACTAACTACGAGATATATGGGGAGCGCATATAGAATCAAAGATACAACGAGCACATCGTACATCACGCGCGCAACGTACAGCGCTGCGCCGCGCGCGGAAGGTTCAGACCACTGCGCCACCAGGAGACTTTGCTAGTACTACACAAGATGACAGTCCGCGACATTCAGCAAAAACGAAGCACACAGCGGACGACCCGCAGCGGCGCCCGCGACCACTTCAATACCGGAGGTACCGTACCCACGCAGACCAAGAAATCACGGCGCATTACCCTCTACCGACCCGGACCCCAACTCGAATATGCAGCCGGCGACCCCTCTTCCCTGGGACTAGAGGAAGTACATGCGCTTGTTGAGCGCAGTCGGCTTGAACGCGGCCTTCCACTGCGCCAGATTGAACTCCGGGTTTCCGCTGGTGAAGTTGGAGGCGGTGTCGCTCAGCGACGCGCCGTCCTCGCAGTGGAACTCCATGCGCGAGCAGATCCGCTGTAGGAAGCAACATGTGAGCTAAGTCAAAATAAAACGGGGATGATGTGCCACAGCAACAAGCAAGGGATGTGCGTACATCAGCGTCTGAGAAGAGGGGGACGAATGTCAGCAGTGAGCTACGGGCGGGGCACGGAGTTCTCGCATTACTCACAGTACACCGGCGCCGGAATGGACACCGAGCGGGTTGCGCTCGCATACATGTGGCAGAGATGGAAAGTCAGCGTCTGCAAGCTGTGCGAACATCCAACCGTTAGCGCGAGAATCGGCTTATCAACAAACATAGCGCAGACGTACTTGAGGGATGACAGGCCCGCTTCGTTCTCCAGGACGACGTAGTGTGCGGGGCGGCTCGCTGCGGCAGTCGTACGGTCAGCATCACTCTGCGGCACGTATGCAGCGCGGTGGACTCACTCCCAAGCAGGCCGGCGTGCGATTGGAGGTAGAAGTCCGGGTAGTTCGGGTTCGTGATCGTCTGGTGAATGAGGAGGCCCGCAGGGCAATTCCCCGACCTATCGCCGTCCCGGGTAGGGCTGGAGGCGGCGTATAGTCAGTATCGATGCCGGCACTCATGTCGAGGAACGAACTTCTGAGGGAAGAAGCGGATGTGGTGTCTGCAAAGCGTTGTAAGCACAAAGGCGACGAGAGTGAGGCCACGAGTCGTTACGTACCGCTTTCCAACCACGATGAAGATGAGCTTCGGCATGAGTGCCTTGGGGATGTTGCATCGCACAAACGCGTCTGCAGCAGCGACGGAGTCAGCTACAAGGTTGAAAAACGTATTCAAAAGTACTGACTCTTCACCATCGGAATCTCCCGGGCCGCAACCTGAGCGAACTCTCCCTCGCTCACGCCGTCCCTGTAGAAGACGATGGTCTTCGGAGGGTCTACCTTCTTGTTCTGCCTCTGGTAGTAATCCTGGTAGTCCGTCAGCGCGGCCTGGTGCAGTCCCAGTTAGCCTGCAATACGAGCGAAGTGACCGCGATCACGGCGACTTACGACCATCATCGTCTCCAGGTCCTCGATGATCTCCGTCCGAGGGGCCTGGACGTGTGCGTAGGATGTCATCCTGCTGATCGCCGGGTCGACGGACGCGACGAGCCCTGTCACAGATGGCCTCGTGGCGGCTCCAGGGCCGGGATGCCCCACATCCGCACCTATGTCAGAGTGTCGTCAGCGATCTCGATGTGAGAGAATACACCGGAACCACGCACCAACGACCATGCAGGTCTGGAGGAAACTGGTCGCGTCAGACATGATGACGGAGTTGGTCCCTCCGATGCGCGAGTTGATCCTGGAAAGGAACATATCAGCATGTATAGGTCGTCAGGGTGCGGGAATATCTACTTGAGGGCGACGTTGTTGCAGTACTGGTCGTTCGCCTTGCCCCACTTCGGGGAGCGCTTGCGAAAAGTCGCAGGTTAGCACGGACGCGGCAACAATCATAGGGTGAAACGGCGGATGGCTTACCACACACTGGGTCGAGATATTGCGTTGAATGTCTCCCCAGTGCTTGACGGCCCGGCGGCAATCCGGAGCAGCGTTGGGGAGGATGACGATGATTAGTTGCGGATACCGTGCGCCCTGAGGGGGGCCCGCACGCACACCCAGATCGGCAACCTCCATGAGTGTCTGGGCCGGTTCGGTCAGTAAAGTGTGTACCCCCTCATAGCAAATTTGCCTCACTGGCGCTGGGTTGGCCGGGTTCCCTGGTCGGATGGGCGGCATCGGGTTGGAGACGACTAATCAGGAGTAAGCATAATCGAACGGATACCTGGCAAACGGTAGTAATTCGCACCCAAGCCTATATATCAGCCATAATCAGGTCAGCAAAGTTGCACACGGATGGGCGAAAGATCCTACCTGCTCGCTGCAGGTTGCCGACCAGCCTGGAAATAAATTCCTGTACGTCCTGCTCGCGAGCTGCGCGGTCGAACACCGCGACTCCCCAGTAATGAAGGACCCCTGGTTGGATGAACTGCTTGCCGACGACATTCCACGAGCCGGCTCGAGGGGCGATTCTCTGTATGCACAATGGTCAGACGGCAGACTTGTAACGAGACAAGAAGAGCAGTACCATCTCGTCGTTCCTGTATCGAATCCTGGGAGGAGCGATCACAAGACCGGGAATGCTCATCGCGTTGTCGGTTTTGACAGACATCCCTGCCTCGCGCATGAAGTCTGAAGTAGCGTAGTCGAACAGTTGGCCCTGCGCGATTAGAAAAATGATCAGTCGGGTGGTGTGTGGATGGTACTCTAAGACCTGCCTGTCCCGATACTGCGTTTTGTATGTCTCGGAGTCGCTCCGCCGGCTTCTGGGTTGAGAACCCGAGAAAGTCTTTCTGCGTCTCCGGAGGGAGCTTCTTGCGGTATACCTGTCCAGGGACGATCTGGCAAAACTCGGCCGGGATGATGGCCGTGGCGCCCATCCTAATCCCGACGATGCGGGGCAGGCGGACTGGGCGGTTGTACTTGTGCTCGAAATGGCGCTGTATTGTGTATGAGCATGTGCAGCAGAGGTGAGAGCATTGCAGCGACGACTTACCGCGACGGTCCATCGCTCATTTTCCTTGTCGAATTCTTGCAAGCCGGCCTGTAGCACTAGATCCTTGATAGGGCGTGGCCTGGAGTTTGACAACGTCACCTTGATAGCGACGCCTTTCAGGAATATACGCAATCTGCCGAATTCGTCGGGCCTCAAAGTCTCCAGTTGGCGCACGTCTGAGAGCCCGAGATGCTGCATCATGGTGTCGATCAATGGCCCAGGTGTATACCTGTGGGGATGATCAATGTCAGGGTCCACTGGCTATATGGATTACGTGCTTACACTGCGGCATGCGACACATCGACATTAATGATGAGCTTGTTCAAAACCGGGCGGACGCTCCTACAACAAAATCAGGGCCCGAGAATGTAAGACGGTGAGCGTACTTACTGAAAGTAGCCCCGCCAAGCAGAGAGGCCGATCCGCAGATCCTTCGCGTTGTGCGAGATGTAGAACGAGCGCGCGTCGGCTGGAAACTTGTGCCGCCTATAATAAAACGCGCTCAGACGTTAGCCGTGGATTTACATACACGCGATGCTCACATGTTGGGTGCCTGCCGAACGATCAGTTGAAGCAAATTCAGCGACATCGAGCTGTCGCTGGGGTCGCCCGGCGACCGCCGTTGGCAGAGCTTTTGGACATCGCTGGACGATGGTGAGCATGCGGGGCAAGGTAGTGCAGCGTATAGCGTACCTGGGGCGAATGACGCTCACGCGCTTGATAAACACGTCGAACTTCTTCGTGCGGCCGAGGGCGACAGTGAACTAGAGAATAACGTCAGGTTTACGGACAGGGATAGGACCCCCGACAATCAGGGGTGTATGCCTGATGACAATCCGGACAAGAATCGCCCTTTCGGGTGGGGTATGCCTGTGCTGATCCGGACAAATCGTGGCTGGACAACGAGCTCGACGCTGGGGGCATGCCTGTTAGTTGTCCGGACAAATCGCCGGGGGTAGGGGTAGGCCCCGGCGCTGACCCCGTCCCCCCTGGCCAGCGCACCGACATTATGCTCGCAACCAGGCGTCATGCACGGCGGGGCTGGAGCCTGTGGGCGTCATCCTGCCACGACCGCTAATATACAGTCGATGCCAGTGGCTGTTGCAATCCGGACAGAACCAACCGCTAAAATGGCCTTTGGCCACCGGACATATTGTGCAAAACTCCGGAAGTCTTCATCAGGCATCCCCTCTTACAGCTGCTATCAAAGCGACAGGCCCCCGTCAAAAACCCACGGATAGCCTTTCGGGCCCAGAAGTGGCGGCGACCCCCCGAGTGTAGCGGGTAGTAGGTAGCGAGCACCACCAAGGAGAGCGCGGGTCTAAGCTTCTACACCCGCGTCCTCCTCGCATCGCCGCGCGAAACAGCTGTCCGTAAGACTTTTTGAAAGGGTGTATCGTTATGATAACAGCTGTATCGTCGGGGGTCCTATAGGGATGGAACGTGGCTGGCGCTTACCGTGCCGGCGGGAAAGTCGCGAAGGCTAAACAAGTTCTTCCGACCGTCGTATACCGCTCTCGGAGTGAAGATCGCGGCATTCTCGAGCTGGACGTGTTCCATGATTTCATAGTTGCGCCGTTTGAACAGGGCATCGGGGTTGATGACTGTATGAGGTGAGCGAGAGGGAACAGATGGGGTGCAGCAATTGTGTATTTACCGACTGGGTTAAGCGATGGGCGTTAATATAATGATCGGCTAGCGAGGGGAATACATACCGTCATAGTGGTACCAGACGGCTGTCGGCAGCTGCCTAATCTCGAAGGAGTTCGTCCAAACCTGTATTTCGGTTGGCTGGGGGTCCGGCATGTCTGCGACAGTAACATCAGCGGGTGTGTGGCAGAGTGGGATTGCGCATACCGGTCGATCGACCCGTCGGAGGAGGATGGTGATAGCGGGAGAGCTCGGCAGAAGGAGGTGGGGGAGCTCGGGCAGCTGGTGGCGGGTTTAAATAGGTGTCCAGAGGCTTCCAAGTCCAACGTACATCGGACTGCTCGAACGAGCGTTGACGTCGAAGAGGAAGCGGCTGAAGACGAGCTGGACGCGCCCGGCGCGTCGTATTGGGAGGCTCTTGGGACGAAATCGCGATCGGTCCGCGACTGTTTGCTGGGCGCTTCGCGGACTTGCCCCAGAGGAGAGCACTCGAGACGGCGCTTCGAATTCCTCTCTCGCTCCTCCCCTCTTCCCCTCAGCTCACCTCTTCCAGTTGCTGCCATGCTTGACCACTGTTCTATATCGCACAAGGGTGAGTACGTGGAAGTGGCACGGAAGAAGTCAGGGTTGAAGCGATGTTCTCCGCAGGCGGCGTTGTTCTTTGGTCGCGTTCTTTTACTCCTGCAGCATCACATACCGCAGCATCCTCCACCTCCCCCGTCAACTCCTTGGTCCGCGAGGCACTCATAGAAGGCCGTAGCTCTGACGGAAAGTACGAGAAGGATGGATACGCCGTCAAGTGGACCTTCGTAAACGATCTCGAGCTCATCTTCGTCGTCCGTCCCCTCCTCCTCCCGGACTCGTCTTTCAGGCGCTTACTGGTCATCTCAGGTCGCGTACCAGCGTATCCTGCAGCTCACATACGTTGAGGACCTCCTTAACGCGCTCAAAACCCTCTTCGTCAAGCTGTTCCAGCCATTCCTCACTACGTTCGTCGCGTCCCTCCACGTTACCAGAACCGCCAAGCTCTCGTCTTCTGCCGACACCTCGGCTTCGTGGAATTTCGCGAAAGCGTTCGAGGGCTGGGACGGTGTCTTTGATAAGCTGCTCCGCGGCCTCGAGGACAAGGCCGCTCAGGTTAGCCTCCTCCGCCCCGCCCGCGTGCTGTACCTCACGTCCGAATATAGGAAAGGCGTTCGCGCTCAGGGTATGTCGCCCACTCCGCAGTGGAAGTCACGCCTCCGGAGGAAGAGCTCAGCACAGGTGTGTTTCCCATAAACAGAAGTGTTGGAGTACCCGGGAATTTCATCGTGACACCCTGCTCCCGACAGTGCCTTCGCAGTCGGGTGATAATGTCCTTGACGAGGAACATATAGCTCGTAACGTACAGGCGCTGAAGAACAGGCTCCGTGGTCGCGGCGGCCAGCCCGGCAGACGTGGGCGGGGTCGCGCGGATGTCGGGAGCGGGCGAGATAGTCTCCCCGGTTCAGAGTAAGTCCCGTTCGTACACACATGTGCTGACCGCTCTGACGCACGCAGCTCCGAGACCCAGTCCAAGTCAAAACGGAAAGCAAAGGCGAAGACGCAGCGTAAGTGGGGCGACGAGGCGCCGACAGAGTCCGACATGGCGACCCTGGACTTCAGCTACGACAGCTCCACGTCTGACTCGCACGCGCCGCGTGTTGATCTATCCGCGCTCGTCGACAACGGCTCGCTCGGCACGCGTACCCAGGATGGCATGTACGAGGTTCGCGACTGGGAGTTCGCGCAAGGCGGGAAGAATGCGGACGACGTGATCGCGGAAGTGCTGAAGAAGGGTGGCCAGGAGCAGAAGCCTGCGTCGGGATCGCTAGGCGCGCTGGGCTCTATCTTTGCGCGCTTGACGGGCTCGAAGGTCCTATCGGAAGAGGACTTGAAACCCGTGCTGGAGGCGATGAAGCAGCATCTCATGAAAAAGAATGTCGCGAAAGAGATTTCGGACAAGATTTGTGAAGACGTTGGCCAGAGCCTCGTGGGGAAGAAGGTCGGCGGCTTCCAGAGTACGCCTGAACACTTATCCTTGTTCGTGAACAGCGGTGTTCATTTGTCTGTTCTGCAGCGACTAGCTCGGCCGTACGGCAAGCGTTGGGGAATTCCATCACGCGTATCCTTACGCCGAAGACCTCCACAGATCTGCTGCTTTCAATACGCACGAAGCTGTCCAGCCCGCTGCCGGCGTCCCAGCAGCGGCAGCCGTACAGTATAACCTTCGTTGGCGTGAACGGTGTCGGGAAGAGTACGAATCTGTCGAAAGTCTGCTTCTGGCTCATCCAAAATGGCTTCCGTGTCCTCATCGCCGCCTGCGACACCTTCAGGTTTGTCTTCCCAGCCACGACTTAGACGCCGTACGCTTACCCCATTACCGCGCGGTCCGTAAAGGAGCGGAGCCGTCGAACAGCTGCGTGTCCATGTGCGCAATCTCAGTATGCTCGGCGTCGACGGCGCGACGAACAGCAAAGGCCGTGTCGAGCTGTACGAACGCGGGTACGGCAAGGACGCTGCCGGCATTGCGAAAGAGGCTATCAGTTACGGTGAGTTCTAGCTCTGCTTTTTGCACTTCTTCGATCTGTCCACAGTGGCGAAGTGCTGATGCGTGCGAACAGCGCGCGACAACGAGTTCGACGTCGTGCTTATCGACACCGCCGGGCGGATGCAGGACAACGAAGTACGTGCGATTGGCGTTTTATGATCGCGGATGCACGAACTGACGAGTGACGATCCGCCCTTTTGCAGCCGCTGATGCGCGCTCTCGCGAAGGTGTGTTTGCATTCACACGTACATCGCGGATGCTTCCTTTACTCACATCGAATTTGTCGTGGCCCCCGCCTCGTAGCTCGTCGCGACGAACAATCCAGACAAGATCCTCTTCGTCGGCGAGGCGTTGGTGGGTAATGAGGCCGTCGACCAGCTCACGAAGTTCGACCGCGCGCTGCGGGACTTCTCCGCCGCGTCGGGCGTGCAGGAGCGCGGGATCGACGGCATGGTCGTCACCAAGTGGGACACAGTTGACGACAAGGTACGTCTCTTGCGCGCCCTGCGCACAAATGACGAACGCATGCGCGCGTCGTTTATTGGCTGCTGGCCATCTCGGTTACAGCACCCGCTGACTGGCGTTACATAGGTCGGAGCTGCGCTGTCGATGACATACGTCACTGGGCAACCTATCATTTTCGTCGGATGCGGCCAGGTGTGTTACAATCTCTCTCCCTTGTGCTTCTCGTATGAGTTTCGCTTATGTGGTCTTCTCACAGACGTACACTGACCTCAGGCAACTACGCGTTGCGAATGTCGTACAAGCTATTCTGAGCGACTAGACGCCGACTGCCACACCCCATTGGCTGCTATGAAGACCCAAGACATAGTGCTGCAATCTTCGCACTCGGTCTGTACATGTGCTCGTTCTCGCGGTTGGATAGATGTCGTAGATGCGCAATCACGACTCGCCCGTTCTATCATTATTTTCCTGTTCTCTCTGCATAATCACGTCGCTGTGCTGCGCCAATCTGCAAATCCGCGCTGCGTGACGGTTGACGGCTGACGGAGGTTGTGCCTGCTTTGCGATTACTCACGTCTGGTGCCTTCGCGATGAACTGAATGCAGTTTGTAGATGCACAACAAGAGCAACCCTGAGCAGCAGCAGGGCGAACAGACGCGGCGCGCAAGGTCGGTGATGTATTGAAATATCCGGTACGCACAGTCTTACTGCGCATCTATGTTCCGGTGCTAGATATAGGACCCCTGCCATGGAACGATCCTTCTAGCCCGTATGCGCAATAGCGCTCTCGGCGTTGAGCAAAATCATACGGGGTCTGATTTCAGGTGCAGTCGGTGTAGTATTACAATTGTCGCTGATGCAACAATGATCCGTAGCCGCCACCGATACAGAGCAGTTGTCGGGAGCCAAAGTCCCCGCGAGCGCTGTAGACGTGGAAAACAGCTGCAGATCAGTGATGTGCGACGCCCATCGCTCGTCCGTATACAAGAGACAAGACCACAGGCTTCGGGTTCCTCGTATACGCTCGTACACGCACAGCTGCGCCCTCGCCGAAACAGCCGAAATGGCATGAACACCGGTGACAGGAAGTGATGGCCCGCTGCCGGCACCACACTACCACCACACCGCACACACGTCCGATATCCAGATATCCAACACCCACTCTCCGGTCTCACACCGCAACCGCAGCCCGAGCGCGACAGTCGACTGAGGGTATTTCTGGCCTCGAGGCACCCGCCCAAATGAACCACACCGCTTAGAACTGGCTCGCCGTCCGCGGCATATGGGGTATTCGTGTTTGCGATCGCACTTCCCTTCCACCTATCAATATCAACACATCGCGACGCCGTATGTGCGTATGTGCAGCATCACGCTCGCCGGGTCGGATATGACACACGCATCACCTGGGCACCGCACGCGCCCGTGCCTGCGAAACCAGAGGAAACATCGCGCGGGAGGGACACCGAGGTCGCACCGCAGGAGCTGCGTGTTTCGCGCCTCGTCATCCGACGTTTTGACGACTCGGTGGGTGATCCGCATCAGGCCACCACAGAGCCCCAGGTCGGCTCACGGTGCAGGTGCCTGTTCCTGTCCCACCGGCGAGGCAGTCCGAAGGGTCGAGATGGCAAGTACCGATGCTCAGCCTGAGTTGCTGCGGGTTGACGAGTACTAATACTGCATATGCTACGTCCTCGGCTTTGAAGTAAGTGGCAACGATGCACTGAAACTCAACTTGCTCCACGCACCTTGACAGCCATGTTCTGGGACAAGCGTTATAGCACATGCGTAGCTACGTATACAACGTACGCAACAACAGGTCCCGCCGCGCTTCCCCCGCCACGAGACCCGAGCCACACACCAGCACAGCGGACATACATCCACCGCCCGCGCCGTCCTGAAGCGGCGCCCCCGGGCACGCACGCCCCCCAAGTTGCCGGCGCACGAGGCGTTAAAGACGGTCCTGCACGCACGCGGTGCCTATGTACGCAGTCCCACGCCGCCGGGCCACGGCGCGCGCAGATGAACTTCGAACGCGATAGTGCAGTCCAAGCAGAACCGGACTCAGTGTGCGCGTATGTAGCGATGGGGCCACGAGAGGAGCTATTTCGACGGCGGGAGGACGTACGTACTGCGGTGGCCCCGCGTCCGCGCTCGAGCTGGCCGGTTACGCGATGTGCTGGACACGGTGCTGTTGGCGTTGCTCGCGCTGAAGCTGCATGAATTTGATCAATCACGGAGGGCCCGAGCTTGAGCTTATACCCCTGCTGCATCTGTGGTGTCCTCGGCCGGCGCGGCGTACACCGTAATGCATACACTGTGCATGATATATATCTCCACATGCCCCGCGCCCACCCGCGCCGGACCTAGCACGTAGGGTGAGTTCTCGCACGCGATCGAACACCGGAATGTTCAACACTCCCCTCCCGGGGCGCGCTAGTGTCACCTATCTCGTCAGGTCAGGCTGGGCACTGACAGATATCGATGGCAGGCAGTCAGACAGTCATGCAGCGCCGCGACAGCCATAAGCACTAAGCTTGTGTGTCAGGCGGGCATTGGCAGCGGGGATAGCCCCTGCGAGCCAGCGCCAGTGCGAGCCGGGATGCAAGCGGAGGCAGGAGACCCTACACAGATGACGCGGTGCTATTAGAAGATGCGGTGATATGCATGTCAGAAGTGGAACTGAATGCGCGGGAGCGGACGCGAGGCTAAGCGACAGAAGGGACTCGGGCGAGTTGCGAACCAAGTAAGGGCCGACGGCTGCGCTATCGGGCGCACCGGGCGCCCTCCCGCAAATAATTTGCAGCTCTGCACGAGAGGCCTTGGCTTGCCCGTAGACCAGTGCCATTGTCCGTACCGCAGCAACAATGGCAACAGACGAGAGGAGGACCAGAAAAAACCGCGACTGCGGCGCGCGGGACGAGGCGGGCACAGGCGCGGATATACATGGAGATAATGCCGCCGCGCGCGCGAGCACACGTCCATTCCTGTCGGCTCCCAGGGGCGCCGCCGAGCCGCAGATCGCCCGCACCGCAGGACACCCGAGCCCCCTTCGCCCTCCAGAGTTCCCGCTGCAGCGCGCCAGAAGCCCGGGGGCGTTCTCGGGTGGAGTGTCAGAGTGTCCGCTGCTGATCGTGTGTAGAGCGCAGCACCGCATGCGATACCAGCTGGACCGACCGTGCGATGGATGGATATCCAGATATCCCTGCCGTTGCCACTCCAATTGCAATCCGTCGTTCTGTGCGCCCGAGCCCATTAGCTCGAGTGTGTTGGAAATCGGAATCACCGCTGCGTGTGTCGTGTGCAGAAGACGTCTCCGCCGGTGCTGCCGCTGCATCTGCATCATCATGAATCATATTGCGTGTAATACTGACAATGCCGCGTCCGCCGCTACGGGACATGACCCCAAGGCGAGACGAGGCGAGGCGCGGCGGTGCCGGCGCTGACGTCTCGCCTGCGCGCATTTTCGCCCCCCTCCGGGTATCGCGCTCCTTCCTGGGGCGAAGAACTCCAAGAAGGGTGGGGAAGCCGCTGTGGCGTCAAGCAGGTCAGCGCGCGAGAAGCCTCGAGAAGCGGCCGCGTCGACTCACACACATTCCGAGCGTGTCACATATCCGGGGCGCGTGCCCCTGCCCGTGCCCGTGCGCCCGCCGCGCGCAGCAGTTGTAGCGAATCGACGCACGCCAGGTTTACGGGTACCGAATGGGAGCGAATGGGTTGAATGCGTGAAGGTGAGGATTGCGTAGTAGTGTACAATGCGGGATATGTCCGAGCGGGCGATCGCGCGCCCCGACCCGGTGAAAGATGAATGAGCGAATGAACGGCAGCTGATCACCCGTCGTCGCCCCGAGACCCGAAGGCCGAGCGGGGAGCGTGTCCTCTACCGCGCGCGATTACGCCGCGAGAAGCCCGTGGCGGGGTGGCGCAGCGCCGAGCCCCATTCGCTTGTCTGATTCCAGCGTGGGGCGCCCGACGCGCCGACCGCGCGCCGTTTCGCAGCGAGGTGCTTGTCGCCGCGCGCGTCGGAGGAAGGGGAGTCTTGGTCGTCCTCGGCATCCGAGTCGGTGTCGTCTCGCGCGCGCTTGCGCTTGTGCGGCCGGTGCGTGTAGGGCGGGTGCGAGAGGTCCTCGTCCTCGTCCGGGAGGTCGTACATGAGGAACGTCGGGGAGTGGTACGGGAGGGGCACGGGCGCGACGAGGGGCGCGTTGCACACGACCTCTGCGACTTCAGGGGAGGGCGAGAGGTCGCTGTCGCGCGAGATGGCGGAGGAGGTGTCTGATCGTGCGACCGAGTCTAAGACGAGGTTAGCCTGTGGCGCGCGGCATAACGTTAGGGGAGGTCGCTTACAGTCTCCTGTGCCGTACTGCTTCGTCGGGTAGTGGTGGAAGGGGAGGAGGAAGTCAGGGGGGCCCGCGGGCCAGAGAGAGGAGGGGACATGTAAGGGCCCTGCATTTGTCCAGCTAGAGGGAGCTAGTGGGCCTGCGAAGAGGGTCGAATGTTGTGCCTGAGACCGCCAGTCATATTGTTGGGAGCTCGAGCTCGATGCATAGACAGTCGACGGCGGGGGCGGGAGGTAGAAGGGCTGTCTGTAGCGGGGAGGGGCAGGGAGGTCGTGGAGGATGCAGTCGAGGTGGGGATTCATGGCGGGGATGTGGGGGGAGGAATGGGAGGAGCGGGGGCTATAAAGGGCATCGGGTAGAGTGTATATATTGAAACGGGGCGGTAGCTAAGAGGGAACGGGAGAAGGAGAGCTTGTGCTTGCGTTCCATCTCGCCCGAATCTCACCAGCCTCTCACCGCAATCACCCTGTCAGATCCACTCATCCGCTTGTCACGCTCGCACGCCCCCGTCCATTCCAACCCTACTGGACACCACCGTTCACTCTCTCAGCTCTGCCGCGCGGCCCAAGCTGCCGCGACAGAGAACATCGCTCGGAGGCTGTAGCGGACGCGCAGCTGCGAGGCGAGGGTCGGGAACCAAGGCACGCCGGCGGGGCGTCACCCGCGCCGCGCGCCAGCTGTGTTTTTCCTTTTGCACTCACTTCGGCTGCGCACGCGTCTCCCGCCTCGACCACCTCCTTTCTGTCTCTTCTGACGACCTCTCGCTATCTTCCGTTGCCACCACTCCTCCACACGACCCGCAACGCCTCCACGCCGAACCCCACTCAGAACGCGCGCCCGTCGTCAGCTGCCCCGTCTCCTCTTTTCCACTCTTTTCTAGGGGCCCAGCCGCGGTATGTACGTGTCCGCCTTCCCCGCTTCCTCCTCCATCCCGCCCGGCTGATCTCTTCGCAAAATCACCCGCGCTCGCGATGCATCGCCTTATTTGAACTTTCAAACAAATCACCAGTTCCGCCCCACAATAATGCTCGCCCTCCGCGCTCTCGCACCGCGCCTCGCCGCCCCCGCCGCGCAGGCACGCCTGTACACCACCCAGCTGTCCGCCGCGGCCGCCGACCTCCCCTACCGTGTACGACGCAACTCTCATGGCGCGGTCCCAGTGTACACCGACATACGCAATGGAGGCACGCGATACCTGGTGCAGATTCGCAACGTAGAGGGCAACGTAGATGTGCGCGCCCCAGTCTCATGTACGTTTCGTCCGCGCGTGCTGACCAGTCCTATCCCTTTCCCTGTGTCCTGTTCCTGTGTTCTGTCTCCATGCGTCACCACCTGACACGCATCCGCCCGCCCTCAACCCGCGCCCGTCAAAACTTGGCTCTGCAATCACTCTTCGTGATCTTGCCTCTCCTGGCACCGCACCGCAATAACACCCACCGTCCACCTGCGCGCCCATCAAACGCACGTCCTACAGGCGCTCGCGCACGACCTCAAGAGTTCACTGTTCCCCGCTGGCACGCGTGAAGCGGAACGCATGAAGATCGAGACTATTCGCCAGCGGCACGTCGTCCTCAGCGGCGGGCGCTGGAAAGCAGATGTCCTACGCTGGCTGGCAGAACGCGGCTTCTAGGGCGCGCATACCACCCTATTGTCCGCCTCGCGCCGATTGTCCGTCCTCGAGGCCCGTTTGGCTATCCACCGCCCCATACTCGTATCCTGCTTCGATTATGATACACCGCTAATACAGTCCTGTCGCCGCGCACCTGCCCCAGATCCGCTGGGCGCCAACGCCCAACACATGCCCTGCAGCACTTCCGGTGCCGTGCTGCTAATATTACGAAGCCCAGTTCCGCGCCCGCGCCCATGTCGCTGTCAGTCGTCCACCACGCGTGTGGAGTGACTCTGCATTTGACCACAGGCTGTATTCGCAATGAACCCGTTCCGTGTGCGATATTTGGGCCCTGGTGCTCCCGTTACTCCCAGGTACGCCGCTTTCCGTTATGCTGCCGGACATCACATCATCTCGCATTCACTTCGGACGCCCAGCACGCCTCAAGGCATCTTATATCCCGGATACGCAGCAGTGTTCGCCGTCTCCTGGGCACACGGACGCGCCCCATATTCTGGGCGTTTCGTGGATAGTTTCCAGACATCATACACACGTCAGGCACAGGCCCGACAGCGCCGCAGGCCCGAAACCCAGATGCCAGACACCCGCTGCCCGTTCTGGGTCCACAGGGCGCACTCGTGGAACCGCGGGCAGTCACGCGTGGCACCACAAGTGCCCCGTCTCGTGGTGTTTGGCGGCCCAAGCACGGCGTATGTATGGGTGCTGGGGCATCCGCTATCGCGTATCGCCACCCGAGTCTTGGCCGCTAGCGTTCTTGGGGTCGCAGCCCTGGCGAGGCTGCGGGTAGAGTTCGACGGATTCTGGTCAGGTGTGCTGAGCGTATCACGGTTGGGTCTCTTCGAACGGGCTTGGGACCGGACTCGGACTTGGAGGCCCTTCTTGCGACGGACGCGCGCGGGGTCGTACTAAAGGTTCTAGATTCGGATAGTCCGCCGGGCTATGGCGCCCGCCATTCGCGCCCGTAAGACGCGTCGAGTATTCAATATTCATGCGCCGAGGGCCACGGTCGCGTCGCTGTCAGCCGCAATGGGTCATCGAGGCCGGTCAGTACGCCCGTCTTGGTGTTCTCGGACTTGTGGCAGAGGTCTACGCAGCGGACCTCGGTTATGCACAGGTTACTGAAGGCCGCAGCACCATCGGGCTACCAAAAAGTGTCCCGCAGCGCTATAGCACAGCGCGATGACCGCGTACGTTCACATACCACGTATGTTCGAGCCTGAAGGATTCAGCAGGTCCCAAAAGCTCGCCTCTTACGGGGCTATGCTGCGAAGACTGCGCCCGCAAAACGTGAGTGCGAAGCTTCGGACGTGCGTCAGTCTGATACAACACCCTCATACACCGCGCTATCGCATACCGCAATTGCTGCTGACTGACAAGATGACAGTGTTTATTCCTATCGGACCGCCATATGACTACGCACAGCGAGTGCCCCAAGCAAATATCCACGGAGCAACCTGGAGTGTGCAACGCTGCTAGGAACAGATATCACCCTTGTGGCACGGCTCGATCGTTCCACGACCTTTTCGAGGAAGCCCCATGCATAATTGCTTTCCTCAGGGCACGGCTGGGGGCGGCGATCACGCACAATCAGGTGTTGCGAGGCGTTGCGGTGCCGGTGCTCTGACCTCCGCCCTGGACCTGATCGTGTGCCACCACCATGCAATATGCAGATGAGACTGTCCGTTCGCGCAATCGCTCAGTGGCGAGTGCGCGACGAGCGTCACAGTGCGCGTGTCATCGTTGATAATCCCTCAGGTTGCAGTTAACCTCGTACCATCATTATTTGCGTTACAGAGTCCGAGCCGATAACCGCGAGCAGCTCGTCACGCGGGTCGCCCATACGGTGTCTATGCAGCTAGCGTGGCCCCGTCGCCCCATTCTCGTCTTCGCGCGAAGTCCGGTACGTAGCACGTTGCACTCATATGAACTGCACCCGCACGCACCTCGCACCACGCCCGCCAGCCCATGCGACGCGCTCGCGCACTCCAGGGAACTCTGGGGAACCGGCCGTTTCGGCGAGACACACACGATAGCCGCACAGCTTGTTTAGCGCAGCCGCTGCCCGATTGGAGGGCAAAGCAGCCCGGGCGGCCGTGTGCCCATTCAGTCCGGGCAGGGGGCGAGCGCGGGACATGGGAGGCCGGAGGCGATATATAGACCGTGTTCGATATGCGGGTGGGGCCGCAGTGCATACAGGATTCGGGCTTGTGGGGCAGGGGTGGATGCGTGATCGCATGCGCGGGCACAGTGTTCAGTACACGATGATCCTGTCCAGGTCCGCAGCGTGCGCGGTGGCAGTGCAGGTCTGGCGGAGGGTTGGGAGACTGGGATGGGGGTTGTACGGGCCGGTGAGTCTATGCGAGTTGGACGGCCCCGGCGAGAATCAAAGATTCTGCGCGTGGAATGGGGTTTAGTGAGGAGTACCTGACGAGGGAGAGGAACAGCGGAAGGAGAGGACTGGCAAGCAGCAGGAGCACATTCCTCGAGTTGAGCTCCAGTGGCCGCGATATTAAGTACACAGAGACAATAGAGTATATCTGCTACGAAGACGTCGCGCAATGCGCTCTCCAGAGGACCCGTGTAATCCTCTCTGCGCGCACACCTAAGTACTTGACCAGGTTCTCTCCCGCACAATAGGCGCCCACGCCTTTCCTCTACACCACCACCATCTCGCTGCTGTTGTATTTGGCTCGTGATAACTGTCGAGCTCGCGCTCCGGTCCCGTATACCCGGCGTCTACGTACCATCTAGTACGATCCCGCGCGATGCATACGATAGTGGCGTCTCCTTGTTCTCTTATACCTCGCCTGCCCCGTATGCACGCCTTACGCGTTTGCTTCCCACCCCCACCTTTCGTCACTCGTTAATACACCGCGCAAACGCGCCGTTCGCCTTCCGCTCTCGTCTCGCGCACCCGCTCGACTCGTTCGACTCCCTCGCGCTCGCTAAGCGCCCGTCGCTCGCGCCCCGAATCTCACAGCTGCATCGCTTGTTCCTCTGGGGCTTGGCTCGCGTCCTTGCGCTCTGTACCTGGAGACAGCGCTTCAAAAGTCTTGCTCACCTGGGCTTGGGCCTCCGTCGACTTGGCCTGCCGCCCGCCGCGCAGATGGCTCTGAGACATAGTATAATGCACACGTACAGTACTTTTCCCGCTGGGACAGATAGGTTACAACCATGCAATGAAGCCGCTGAGGCCTGAAGCACGACTCTTCACGACTCACCCCCTACACGACCGCTAGACTTCATATCGCCCACGTATAGTATCCCGACTTCTCGTCCCCACCTGATCCATAGCCCTCTTCCGTGCCCACCTGCGTGCTCTCGCCCTCGTTCCCCATCTCCGATGTTCCCTCCCAACCCGCCTGAGCTGCCGCATAAGAGTCGCGCGGCCGATATTGCTCGCGCATCGCGGTAGCGACCTGCACCTTCTCAAGCACCGGATCCGCGTACGCGCCTGGGGTGAACGCGGGTGGTCGATCGACGTCGTCGCCGAGCGACCTCTGGCGTGCTAGCGAGAGGAGGCGGTCGCCAGAGGGCGTCATCGTGCCCTTCATGCGCACGGCGCCGGGGCTGAGGCCGGGCGTCGTCCCCCGCGCGAGGCTCATAAACTCTGCGGAAGGCGCGGTGCGGCGGGCGCGCATGCGCCGGCGGAGGAGGATGGTGGCCACGACGGCGAGCAGGAGAAATGCGAGGCCGCCAATGATCCCGCCGACGATCGCACCAGTGTGGGTTGAGTGGGTGCTCGAGGAAGGGAGGGCGGCGCCGGAGGCTGCAGAGTTGCTCCGTGCGCTTGCGGAGGTTTGTATGTTCGATGTGCTACTTTCTCCCATGGAGGTCCTGATTGTGTTATGCATTATGCACATCAAAGGTCGAAGAGCTTTTCATAGGCTGTGACACGTACAGGGAAGAAGAGGGCGTCGGGGGCTGGGATATAGAAATCGTAGTATATGCTGATTGAATATAGTGTCAATATGATCATGCTATATCGCAAACTTAACACGGGGCTGTCTCACCATTAGGGCCCGAATCGGAATTTGTGGTCATTACGCTGGAGCTCACTGCGGGTGGCACTATTGTATTACTAGTGACGTTGATAGATGAGTAGCCACTAGTGCGAACACTAGTACTGCTCGATGTTATATCCGTTGTTGTCGTCGAATTGGCTGTCGAGGACGAGGACGTCTTCAAGGCAGAGCTTGCACTTGTCTGAGGTGAGGTTATACTAGGGTCATTAAAAGTCGAAGATGGAGCGGGGCCCGTGGTCGTGCTACGAGGGTTGTCCGTGGTACGTGTAGTTTTGAATGTGATTTTTGGGAGGGGTGGAAAGCCGCAGCCTGTGCCCATGCGCCCAAGTGGACAGATGCCAGTGGACCCCTCGGAAGGTGGGGTCGGCTGGCGTAGTAGAATAGGCGCAGGTACCGGTGGCGCATAGCAAGCACATCGTTGATAAGTAAGAGTGCCCTATCGCAGAAAGTACGGAGTACATACCTCCGGGGCCATGCCTACGATCCCTAGAGGGGGCTCTAGAGCGAATGTGAGAAGAGCGGAAGAGAGGAGATGGGAATGTACATGCGAGATACGAGTCCTTGAGCCGGGACAGATGAGATCAGGAAGCCTGCTGAGGCTGTGGCTGGCCACGGCATCTCCTGGAAGGTGGCTATGGCCTCGGACGCGCCGAGGGCCACGCGTGCAGCTTGCAGACTTCTGCACGAACAGATGCTGATGCGCTCGTCAGGCTCTATCATATAAAATCCTGCCCCTGTCTTCGGACTAAACAATTGGGCCATGGGAACACGAGAGGTGACCATACTGAGTCCGAGTCGACATCCCTCATCGCTAGTCAGTATAAAGGGCCTCCCTAGAGAGACGGGATAAGACTCCCAGCAGCGATTCCCTACATACGCTGTGTGGCAGTATCTGTCGTATAGACGCAGCCGCCTGAAGCACGACCCTTTACGACGAATCCCCTACGAAACAACTTCCCTAGATCTCACATTGCCCACGTATATCCTGCCTTCTCGTCCCCATCGAACCCATAGCCTTCTTCCGTGCCCACTTCCGTGCTCTCGTTCTCGTGCCCTACATCAGACTTCTCCCCCTCGTACTCCACCTGTGCCGCTGCATAAGAGTCGCGCCGTTGGTACTGTTCGCGCATCGCCGCTGCAGCTTGCACCTTCTCAAACACCGGATCCCCATACGCGCCTGAGATGAACACAGGGGGACGCTCGTCGTCGCCGACCTCCAGCCCTAGCAGGCGGTCGCCGGAGGGTGTCGTCGTGCCCTCTGCGCGCATAGCGCCCGATGCAGGCACAGGCCCGGGTGTCGTCCCGCGCACGATGTCCATGAACTCCGCAGAGGGCGCGGTGCGGCGGGCGGCGCGCATGCGTCGATAGAGGATAGCGACGACGGTGGCGAGCAAGAGGAATGCGAGACCGCCGAGGACCCCACCGACGATCGCGCCAGTGTGGTCCGAGTGCTTGTTTGACGCGGCAACGGCGGCAGGTGCTGGAAGAATGCTAGCCGGCCCGCTTTGGGTGGTTGTCGGAATTAGGGCAGAGTCTCCTGGCGATGGTGTGGTGTGCAGGACGTAGGTACCAGTCGAAGGACTTTGCGACGTCGGCGCACTCTCCCCGGGAGGAACATGAGATGTCGAATCTGCCCTCGCATCAGCGTGTTGTCATTGACTGACAAACGAACAAATCTTACTATTTTGAAGAGTGCCATTTGACGAGACAGTAACGGTGCTCGTCGGTGGAAACTGTGTAGCATCGGAAGAATTCGAACTGCTGTTATATATTGAGGCAGAGAATGTCGATACTGGAGTGTTGGTAGGAGGGACCGAGATTGTCGGTGCAGTGGGAGGGGGTGTCTGGCTGTTCGAGAGTGTGACGCTATCTTTCGAGGCAGTGGATGTATTGTTGTTCGTCTGTGTCGCCGAGTCGCTTGTGCTTTGTAATCGTGTTGACGTGCCACTATGGCAGCCCGGGGCCAGCACCCCGCAGGTCGAGTTATGTAGTAAGAGACCGAGGGGGGCCAACACAGAGGATATCTCCAAGCGGTGCACAAAGGATACCGTTGACGTTAGTACCATGTCATGAAACAGAAAAAAAACAAGGTCACTTACTTCAGAGCCCATACCGAAGGACTCGGGCTAGAGGCGCACTACGGGAGCAATGCGAGAAGAGTACGCCAGAGAGAAGGGGAGGACGTGAAGCATATAAAGGGCGGATGGGATCAGGCAGGCTGAGGCTGTGGACAGGCGACTCGTGAGGCAGGCATCTCCTGCCAGTGTCAACGACCACGCAGTCAATCCAACTTGCAAGCTTCTGAACGCTGAACAGCCAGATGTGGATGCACTTGTCAAAATCTATCTTATCTGGCTGCCTTCGGTACAGAGGCCATGCGGCCAAGAGCTGATCGATGGCCATTCACAAGCACTGGTGCTCCGAGAGTATAGTGCCAGTGGCGTCACGGTTCAAGTGGTTGTTGTGTTGTGGTGGCGAGAAACGCGTGTGAGTAAGGCGCCTGCCGGAGACGCATGCGATCTGCGACACACGACGTCATCACAGACCGGATGTCCGGCAGCAGACGAAGGAGTCTGCCAGCTGCGAGTCTCTGCTGCCTGGTGGCAAAGCTATGTGACCGTGTATACTTTCCACCAACCGGCGGTTCCAGGGGCTATTTTGTGCGTGCACAATGATCAGACGGCAAAGCTGTATCGAAAAAGTAGAAGCAGTACTACTAGTACTGCTTCGTCGTTCCTGTAGCGAATGTCCGGGGTTGATCAATATCACAACTTCACCGGCGTAAATACCTGGGTCAACTCATCGCACTCAGCGTTGGACATACCGGCTTCGCGCATACTTAAACTCCGAGCTGGCGTAGTTGAGAAGTTGACCTCGCACCATTGAAGACCGTGCATGACAGCGGGTGGATGATATTGCAATGGACGTTAGATTTTGCTATCGGCGCAGCTACGCTGGGGATACTAAGCACGATGAAAACAACGATACATGAGTGCAACGCTACGTTGGCTCTGGGACGCAGTACAACATACACGTACAGTACATCCACCCGCCAGAATGGGACAGATAAATTACAAGTGTGCAATAAAGCCGCCTGAAGCGCGGCCCCTCACGACGGTGGTCGAGCTCCCTACGAAGCAATCCAGATCTCACATCGCCCACGTATACCCTGCCTTCTCGTCCTCACCGAGCTCATAGCCCTCTTCCGTGCCTACCTCCATACTCTCATCCTCGTGCCCCACTTTGGCATGTCCGAGTCCCTCCTTGTAATCCGCCTGTGCCGCCGCGTACGAATCGCGCCGCTGATACTGCTCGCGCAGCGCCGCCGCCGCATGCACCTTCTCAAACACCGGATCCGCATATATGCCCGGTGTGAACGCTGGCGGCCGGTCGTCATAGTCGCCGAGCGATCCCTGGCGTGCGAGCGGGAGTAGGCGATCCCCAGAGGGCGTCGTCGTGCCCTCCATGCGCACAGGCGCAGGCCCGGGCGTTGTCCCGCGCGCGAGATCCATGAACTCCGCGGAGGGGGCGGTACGGCGGGCGCGCATACGCCGGTAGAGGAGGATGGTGACGACGATGGCGAGTAGGAGAAAGGCGAGGCCGCCGATGACCCCGCCGACGATCGCACCGGTATGTTCGTGCTGCTTTCCGGTGTTGGAGGCTGCTTGAATGGAACTGGAGCTATGTGACTGGTTTGCTATTGCGGGTGCGGTGGTACTGAGGCTTGTGGTGGGACTTTGGCAGGGTTTGGGAGAGGATGTAGTTACAAGGGCCGTTGTGCTGTTCCACGGTGGTGTGTGATTCAGAGTAGGAAGGTTTGTCCCTGGAAAATCAGACAAGTGGGACAACGAAGAAAGTCACAAGAACCACACCTGCGGAGACTTCCGGATCTGAGCCTGACCCCAGGGGGTCGGGAAGGCTGGACGACGCTGATGTGGCTAGAGCGGTAATTGACGACGTTGTGCCGGTAGGTAACATCGTGGTGTTACTGAATGCTATTGTAGTTGATGCACCAAATCCAGGGGAGAGCGAAGTGACTAGAGCTGTGGTGGAGGTCGGCTCGAAGGCCGTAGGTGCAGTGTCTGTAGTCGTAAACATTGCAGTAGTATCTACCGTGCTGTCCAATGTAGGTGTACCGCTGTGGTCATCGTTGCTACTGCTATCCGAGGGAGTTGTCACGGTGTTTGTCATCGATGAAGTGCAGAGGAAATCTTCGGTGTCACAATTAGTATTGATGCTATTTGATGCTGCTAAAGCTTCCTAGATCTCAGTGGTAAGCGACAGGAGGCGAAAATTACACTTTCCAAGACCACATACGGGTGTAGGATGACGGAAAGACATCTGTGAGGAGACCCTTCTTGTGGACGGGAGACAGAAAAGAGCGCAGGACCAACATGGGGGATATGAGGGACGGATGGGATCAGGAAGGCTGAGGCTGTCCATGGACGTGCGACTAAGTAACTACTTAGATAGGCATCTCGACGCCTGAAGCTTGCATGCTTCAGCAGGAGCGCTGAGTAGACAGATGCTGATGCACTTGTCAAAATCCATGCTGCCGCTGCAGCACAGAGGCCATCGACTCGGAGCATAGATAGCCATACACAGCCCGGTCGAGTATCAGGTAGGTTTGAACACTGTCGCGCAGTCTCTTCAAATCGGGATGGGAAAGATGGAAACCGGGCAGAGTTCGGGTCCCATATACCGTATGGTATCTTCCAAATAAATGAAGCCGCCTGAGACTCAACACGTAGGCACGACGGATGATCTCTGGCTCCTACCCACAGATACCCAGGCCTCAGATTGCCCACGTATAGCCTGCCTTCTCGTCCCCATAGTCCTCTTCTGTGCCCACCTCCGTACTCTCGTCCTCGTGCCCCACCTCTGAATCTCCGAGTTCCTCCTTGTAATCCGCCTGTGCTGCCGCGTACGAATCGCGCCGCTGGTACTGCTCGCGCATCGCCGCTGCCGCCTACACTTTCTCAAGCACCGGATCCCCGTACTCGCCCAGGACGAACGCGGGGGGACGCTCGTCGTCGTCGTCCCCAAGTCCCAGCAGGCGGTCGCCGGAGGGCGTCGTCGTGCCCTCTGTGCGCATCGTGCCCGGCGCAGGCATAGGCCCGGGTGTTGTCCCGCGCATGATCTCCGTGAATTCCGCAGAGGGCGCGGTGCGGCGGGCGCGCATGCGTCGATAGATGAGGATAGTGGCCAGGGCGACGAGCAAGAGGAACGCGAGGCCACCGATGACCCCGCCGACGATCGCGCCGGTGTGGTTTGAGTGCTTGTTCGATGATGCGACGGCCCCAGACGCCGGAGAAATACTAGGCGGCCCGACCTGGCTTACTGGAGGTGTAGTAAAGCCTCCTAGTAATGACGGTATTGCTTGTGTGACGTCAGTCGAGAGGGTGTGCGACGCCGACACACGGTCATCAGGAGCAGTCTGCGATGTCGACTCTGCCCTCCGGGTATGTATCAATGTGGGGCAATCCTTCGGCAGACGTTCATCTTACCAGTATAGAGAATGGCGCTTGATATGCCCAGCGAATCATTGGAAGAAACCGATGTCTCTTTGGTGCTTGACGTTGAGTCGCCAGCAGTCGGTGTTTTATAGAAAGAAGTAATTGGAGAGGAAGTGGGTTGTAGGGAGGAGGTAGCAGCAACCACAGAGGATGTGGGAGTAGCAGAGGCAAGGGTGTTGCTGGGGTCCGGAGAAGTATCAGGGGGTTGTCCGTCTGAATTGCCGGGCGTTTGTAAAGCCGCTCCACTTGCGCTAGTAGCTGTACTCAATGTGGGACCGTTTATGCAGTTGTTACCAAGAAGGATACCGCAGTGTAGCCCTGTACTTGGTATGTGCCAATCGATATCGGGGTCGTGATTTGGGTGATTGTCCGTAGACATCTGTATGCAATCGCATGTCATCGTGAGCGACCTGTCGCAAACAGCAAGCCTAACAAGGCACATACCCTGGAAGCCACCCGACCTGACTCTGGCATCAGGGCCGGCCCACTATGGAAGCAATGGGAGAAGAATTGACCAGAGAGAGCGGGAGGACATGAGCTATATAAGGGATAGATAGGATCAGGAAGGCTGAGGCTGTGGGCGGGCAACTTACTTCCAGGCATCTCCTGGCAGCAGGCTGCAGTGGCGATCGCGCGCGTGCATCTTGCAGGCAACTGAAGTTACTGAACAGGCAGATACTGATGCACTTGTCAAAGTCTATCATCCTATCTGCCCGTCCCTACCACCGCTCTCGGCACAGAGGCCATGGCTGGGAGCTGACCGCTGACCGCTGAACGTGAACGATGGGCATTCACACTAGGGTGTTTGAGCCTAAGTCTGGGGGTGCTCAAGAGGTGCCGTCGACGTACGAACGGATGTGGTTCAACGTTGCCACGTCGTGGTGGCGGGAAACGCGACCAAGAGTCCAAGACGCCCCAAGACGCCCCCGGAGAGCCCCGGGGGAGACGGATGCGATCATCACTGATCAGACCCAGTGAGAAACTACCACGCGCCGGTACGCGCGGATACGCGGAAATCTGGGAGGTGCGGAAAAGCGCGGAAAAATGCACTGGTGCGTATATCATCCGCACTCCTACGCGAACACGCCGCACTCATCCGAACCCATACGCACTCCTACGCATGTCATGTTTGCACGCACATACCCGCCGATTCGTTCGTATTCGCGCGGAAAGCTGCGTATTGGTGCAGACGCGTGCGTATGGAAATGGATAGGGCCACAGCAGTAGATATACGCGTAGATACGCGGAAACATGCGTACACCTTTCTAGAGCTGCGACACGCGACTTCATCGCGGCCGGGTGTCTGGGGGCAGATGGAGTGCAAGTTCGAGGATCGACTCCGTGAAATTTGTGGGCTGAATATCAAGTAACCTCATCGCACTCAGCGTCGGATATCCCGGCTTCGCGCGTAAAATGCGAGCTGTCGTAGTTGAACGATTGATCTCGCAGCAATAACTCGCACCAATAAATACCGCGTGTGTGACAGTGGATGGATGAAATTGCAATGGGCATTACAACCTGCTCATAAGCGTACTACAATACATCACGCCCGCCAGATTGCGAAGAATGGGACCGATGAATTACAAGCGCGTAATAAGGAAGCACAGCTGGTCACGACGGTGGATGAGCCCCCCCACGAAGCAATACCAGACCTCACATCGCCCACGCATATCCCGCCTTCTCGTCCCAGCCGAGTCCATAGCCCTCTTCCGTGCCCACCTCCGTACTCTCGTCCTCGTGCCCCACCTCTGAATCTCCGAGTGGCTCCTTGTAATCCGCCTGTGCCGCCGCGTACGAATCGCGCCGCTGGTACTGCTCGCGCAACGCCGCCGCCGCATGCACCTTCTCCAGCACCGGGTCCCCATATACGCCCGGTGTAAACGCGGGCGGTCGATCGTCCTCGTCGCCGAGCGAGCCTTGGCGCGCGAGCGGGAGGAGGTGGTCGCCAGAGGGCGTCGTTGTGCCCTCCATGCGCACAGGCCCAGGTCCGGGTGTCGTCCCACGCGCAAGATCCATGAACTCCGCGGAGGGGGCGGTGCGGCGGGCGCGCATGCGCCGGCAGAGGAGGCTGGTAGCCACGGTGGCGAACAGGAGAAATGCAAGGCCTCCAATGACCCCGCCGACGATCGCACCTGTATGGTTCGAGTGTTTGCTCGAGGAAGGGGGGGCGGTGCCAGAGGCTACGCCGGAGCTGCTCCACACGCCCGCGGATGTTTCTACGCTGGATGTGCTGCTCGCTAGACTGGTAGAATCGGTTGTGTTTTGTATGTCAGAGGGATACGCGTTCAGCGAAGTGTTTGGTGGGTTTACGCCAGTGGAAGGTAGCGAAAGAGGAACGCTGGTGCTCGTGTTTGTACCTGATACCCCATGTTAACGCCATGGTATATTGCAAGAACGGACGTCTCACCATTGCCATAAGAAGTCGAGGGCATCGGTACCACGTCAGCGGAAGCGGCTGCAGAGGAAATGTAGGTAGACGCAGGAATACTGGCTACAGTAGGTATGGATGTTGCAGCGGATGCCGTCATACTGTCTGTGTTGGCCGGAGGTGAGCCGCCAGCTTGACTGATTGTTGTTGGTAGTGATAAAGATAATGAAGGAGATGTGACAATGAAAATGGTCGACGCCGTGTTTTGGGAGGTGTTTGAGGAGCTTGTGATATCAGTCGACGGGGGTGAAGTTTCGCATTGTGTTTGTCCATTTATATTTTCCTGGCATTTGCTCGAACTAGACATTGCACGCAAATGCTAATGTCCGAGATAGGCCGTGCATGCCGTAGCGCATCGTGAGCGAGTGCTTTATTGTGGAAAGCGTGATGGAACACTCACCGAGGGGTCCATTCTGAGGAACTGTGGAGTAGAGGCCCGGTTCGCTGCGAATGCGAGACAACGAGCGAGAGATGAATTTGAGAGGACATGAGGGATATGAGACCTGGGTGACGGATGGGATCAAGAAGGCTGGGGCTGTGGACGGGTGATTAACGCGGTAGGCATCTCCTAGGGCAGTTGGCTGTGGCGCCACCCACGCATGCATGCTTCTGAATTTCTGAATCTGAGTGCTGAGCGCTGAACATGGAACCTTGAAGAGGCTGATGCTGATGCACTTTTCAGATTATATCCTACCCCAGCCCGCGGTGCGGGGGATACCTATGAAGCAGTCAGCGGTATGCATATATGCCCGAGTCTGGCGGGTGCTGGCACTGCCGTTGTGGCGGGAGATGCGAAGGAGGGAGACGCCCAGAGACGCGTGCGATCGAGTTGCGACACGCGACGTCATCGCGGGCCGGGCGTCCGGCAGTAGACGATGCACAAGCTGACCAAGTCCAAGTCTCTGCTAGAGCTCTCTGCAGTCCCATGCGCATCCTACGCGCCCTTACTCATTCCCAGCTCATTCAAGCCGCCCGTATTCCCTCTCTTTCTCGCTCACTATCACCTCTCAAACTCGCCCGAGCAACCTTTGCAACAACCGCGCCTCGTAAGATGAAGGTCATCCCCGTTCCCGTCCGCGAGGACAACTACGCGTACCTCCTCATCGACGACGCCTCCAACAAGGCCGCCGCAGTCGACCCATACAACGTCGACAAGGTTCGCGAAGCCGCAGACAAGGCCGGCGTCGACATTGTCGCTGCCATTACCACCCACCATCACTTCGATCACAGCGGCGGTAACCAGGTCTGTCCTACGCCGCCCCGTTCTCTTCTCACCTCGGTTCTCACCGGACACGTCCACACAGGCATTCGTGCGTGTTCATCTATCTTTTGGCGCTGCGCTATCGTAGAAGCGCTGACTCTGCGCGTTCGGCGTGCCTCCCCAGGCCGCTGCATTCCCAAATGCGCCCATCTACGGCGGCAGCGATAAGATCCCGGCCCTGACGAAACTCGTCAAAGACAAAGACGAGTTTACGCTCGGGAACATCAACATCAGGTACGCCGCCGTCGCCGCCCGACGCAATTCCCCTCCCGCTCCCGCTGAACCGCCCGCCCGCGCACAGGTGTCTCGCCACCCCGTGCCACACGCAGGACTCTATCTGCTACTACGTGACGTCCAGCTCGGGGGCTGCGCACCCGGGTGGGGTCTTCACGGGCGACACGCTGTTCGTCGCCGGCTGCGGCCGGTTCTTCGAGGGCACCGGGGCGGAGATGCACGCCGCGCTGAGCTATTTGGCGACGCTCCCGCCGCAGACGGTCGTGTACGACGGGCACGAGTACACGAAGGGCAACCTCGCGTTCGCGAAGCACGTCGACCCGGAGAGCGCGGAGGTCGCGCGCCTCGAGGGTCTGATTAAGGCGGGTACCATTCCGGCGGAGCGCACGACGGTCGGGGACGAGAAGGAGTGGAACCCCTTCATGCGGCTCGATTCGCCTGCCATCCAGTGCGTAGTGATCAGAATGGCGGATTGTATCACCGGTGCGGGGCTGATATCGTGTTTTGTGTGGTTCTAGGAAAGCCACTGGCGGCGGAGAGGCAGGCACCGCGATGGACGCGCTTCGCGAGCTCAAGAACAACTTCCGGGGGTGAGCACGGTACGTGAACGTCTCCAAACTGTCGCTGAGTGGTTCTTACATGATATCGTGACTATGCAGGCCCAGCCACCTATAACATTCACTGTTCGAGTTCTGAGATCTGAGAGTTGATGATGCCGACCGGGGACCAGAGGGAAGTCAAGTTGTATCACCATCGCACACGCCGCAAACCCAAGCTGTATATTAGTGTCACTGCTCAGTGCTCACATCTTCGCTGCAATCTTTCATGCGAAGCTTGATATCATATCAGAGGCACCTTGTGCAACACTCGTACGACACTAGGATTGAAAGATTGAGCTCTGGGAAGGAGTGCCGCTTGAGTGCCACACAGTGGCAAGGCCGCGAGTGGGACCGGACGTGCATAAATAGCGCAATATTCGCTCCGCAGCCGTACTGTAGTTTAGTTTTACAAGTCCCGTGCATTCCAGGTCGTACCGTACGAGTAGTAGAGAAACATCCGGTGGCATAAGGTGAGACACACAGGCGGAGTGGACGCATATTATCACCGAGCGGGGCGGAAGGGGGCGCTTTACATTCCGAAGACTTTGAGGACGGCCGTGCGTGCGTATGGGATGTACGAGAGCGTGTACCACGTATACGCGAGGTACTCGATGATGACAAAGACTACGGGGGAACGGTGAGTAATGGTGGCGGACGGGTAAGAGAGACGGGCGTACTTATGCACAGAATCTGTAGGTGACGAGTAAGGTGTGGTGAGCACTCAACAGGACTGGTGGCAGTGAACGCGAGTACTCACATCGCTCTTGATTACGAACGCGCCGACAAAGATGAGGCCTATTGAGCCTAGGAAGAGGATTGTCGCCACCACCCGGACGGGCTTGAACATCTGCAGCACGGACTCGTAAGCATCCCCTCCACAGACCGACGAGTTGTATGCGGCATAGCGGGGAATGTGGACCGCACCATTGTGAGCTGCTTCCCAAACTAGAAAGGTGCATCGCATAGCGGCGTTAGCGGTGCGCAGGCGTACTGTACACACAACGGCATGGCAGACGTACCCCGACAAGGAAGCCCGTGCCAACGAGCGAGATGACCGTTCCGAACGCGTACAGAACTACAGACCGTCCGACCCGCGTGAGCCACTGCTGTGTATACGGTCACATTCAGGAACGGGAAGGCGACGTACTTGCGAAACTAGCGAGTGAGCCGAGGAACAGGAAGATGCTCCCGAGCAAGCTCAGCACAAAACCCGCGGCCAAACTGCATGCATGCGCGTAAGACTCGGTGAGTTATGCCTGCATCCGTATATAGCACACGGAGGGCGGACGGGGTACGCACCAGCCGACAAAGCCGTAAAGCCGCTGCGTGCGCGTCAGGCCGAGGAACTTGAACGCAGAGTCGCCCTCGAAGAACTGCGTGTCCGGGATCGCGCCGCCCGCGGCCTCGAGGTTGAACCAGCCCTTGGATGCTGCCATTTTGCACTTGCTAGCGGTATATCACTATGATCACTTGCGGTGGTGTTGTAGTACGACCGGATTGGCGTCGTCGCAATTTCTCAAAGTTGGTACACGGCAGCGGTGGGTCTGATACTAGGCAAGCGGTTGAAGGTGAGTGGGGCGGGGCGGGAGGGCGGCGGGAATGGAGAGAGGAGTGAGACGGCCAGCGAGCTGCTCCTAGCGGTGTTGCTGAGCGCGGCAGCTATGGGCGCCAAGGGCGACTGTGCTTCGGCGCGGCGGCCACATGGGCGAGACGCCCGTGGCCAGAACGCGACGACGCGACGACGCGACGCGACGTGCTTGAACCGTTCTGTCTATTCTACCCCGACTCGACATTTGTTCGGAATATCGCATGCCACCCGGCGACAACATCTGAAGCACTGTGTACTCAGAACTTGCGTGGAATCCCCTTTCTTAGCTTGCCTAGGGCTCTCATAAAAATGGCGCGTTGTTAGGCAGAATTTAAGGTATGGCAGGAAGGTACCACAACGATCAGGGCGAGCTTATACTTATAGGTGAACCTGTCGTATTCTCGACATATAAATTCTTGCAGGATGTGCTCATGCCGCTTACACTTGCGCTGGGGCATTGACTGATAGCTTACTTGTGCTAAGGCTGAAACTTGAGCATCTGACGCTTTCACGACGCACTCATTCTCTGCTGCATGATGCATCTTACAGATCTTGCGCAGCGTTCTCGTAGCTCTCATGACACCTCATATGCTGCTCACGGCGTCTGGCGACGGCTTACTGTGGATCAGCTCCTTCTTTCCTACGATGCGGCGGCCTACCGCTCGACGTATCCGCTCGGTTCGTCTAACCTACGCCGTGCGGTCTGCGATACACGCAATCTAGACGTGTAGCAGCCATCAAGCTTACTGCATCTACACTTCGGCTACAACGCGTCGTGGAAGCCCCTTCCTGTATTTGGAGACCGTCCGGAGCACGTACGGCTTGCGCCGGTGCATACTCCTCAAGCGCACACATGACCACCTATATCAGGACATCAGACACTCACAGACGGTGGTCGAGCGGTCAGCGCGGCGCGCGAGGCGCGTGAATCGTCCGCTCCTGTCTTCTTCCCCCGGAACCACCATTCGGGCGAGGCCTAGCTGAGCTTTGGTATATAAGACTGACGATTGGTGGCTCGGCGATCAACAGTGGTCCTGCTCGATCGACCTACACACTCCTATATACGAGTCTCTGCACCCTTCTTTCATTCTAGCTATCGCCATGGCCGACGAAGTACCCCAGCAAGCCCTCCCGAACGGGATCCCGCCCCCGCCGTTCAAGCTTCCGGTGAGTCGCACCGCAAGCCGTGGTGTGGAGATGCTAACGTCGTCGCGGATATAGTACCCTGAGAGCGCGGATGTCATTACAGCCAATATGCTGAAGCTCACGGACCTGACTCCGGACGAGTAGGTTCATGCGCTGAATAACTAGGTTCGGGGGTCTGACACGCGGCATGTCTAGTCGGAAGCGTTTCCTTCTCAAGAACCTCGTCACCCACCTGCATCAGTTCGTCCGAGAGACAAGGTGAGTTCGAACGAGACGCCCCGGCACGACGCAGCTGATAATGCGCGCAGCCTGACCACACAAGAATGGGAGGAAACCATATTCTTCCTGACGGCGACTGGACAGAAGTGCACGCCGCTCCGCCAAGAATTCATCTTGCTCTCGGACGTCCTGGGTGTCTCGGCCTTGGTCGACGCGATCAACAACCCTCCGGTCCACGGCGGAACGGAAAGCAGCGTGCTCGGGCCGTTCTACACGGACGACTCGCCCGATCGTGAGTGCACGCACTTCATTTCGCATGCAGAGAAGCTCACGGCGTGCGCCACCGCAGTCCAGAACGGCGACTCGATCGCGTCCGAGGACAAGGGCGACTACATGTACGTCGAAGGCCGCGTTCTGAGCACGGATGGGACGCCCGTCCCGAACGCGACGATCGAGACCTGGGAAACGGACGGCCACGGTGGGTATTTGGCCGCCTCGCGCACCGTCTTCGTAGTCTTCGCTGCTGACGGAGCTTGCGCGAAGGTTTCTACGATACGCAGTACGCGGTGCGTGACAAGCCGGATTGCAGAGGGCGCGTCCATGCAGACAAGGACGGGCACTTTGGCTACCGTGCTGTGGTTCCCGTCGCGTATCCGATCCCGGGAGACGTACGTCGAGAGTTCCAGGAATACGCGGTGTATTGGCTGACATCACTGGTAGGGTCCTGTCGGCAACCTGCTTCTTGCGACGGGCAGGCACAACATGCGGCCGAACCACTTGCACATGATGGTCGAGGCTCCTGGGTTCCGGAAGCTCACGAGCGCCTGGTACCCAGAAGGCGATGAGTGGCTCGAGAGCGATGCGGTGTTTGGTGTCAAGAAGTCCTTGGTTGTGGTGAGTATCTTATGACATGCTTTATCTGGGGTAGGGACACTGAGCTGAGCTTGTTTTGCAGGGTCTCTCGGAGGTGCGCGACGAGGCGGAGGCGCGCAAGCGCGGCTTCCCGAAGGGCGGAAGCTTCAAGCTGCTGCACCGCGACATCATTCTGGTCCCGGAGGAACAGTCGAAGCAGGCTTTCGAGCAGAACGCGAAGGCTGCGGCCAAGAGCGCGCAGGCCTAGTCTCTGCATACGAGGCTACTAACCCCAACGGTGAATTTGCAACGGAACGGGTTACTTACCAGGAAGCGTCCCACAGCAATTGTAGGCGGTGTACTTGTATCTGGAGGGTGTGGTGGACTTATCAGCTACGTTTTCCTGTTCAGCTATCGGTATCCAGAGCCAGGAGAGCGGAAGTACGAAACATCGGATGTGGCTACGCATGATTATGGGTTATTTGTACGGCATACTGACGCGAACATGGTTCCATTCTGAGACGATCTCGTACAGCATTAGAATGCTATGCTTGGGGATAAGTAGGCGGGGGTCCTGTTGCAAGATCCTCGTGGTGGCAGATCGAATTCTGGTCCGCTCGCACCCACGTAAGATCTTCTAGCGCCCAGCATGCTACGCATGGTGTTCGCAGTACTGTAATACTCAGCCTGCCAGTAAAACCATATATAAGTAGTGAACGGGGTCCCGCTAGGACCTATGGTGTCGCCCAGTTCAACGTCGAACACACCTCGCTACTACTGCCACGCATTCGGAGGTGCAGTTGCTAGCGAGCTGTGCTTGTATATAAGCGGTGCTGTTTGTGTCTGAGGTGGGGTGTATTTCCGCGTGTTTGTATTCCAAGCGGGTGCATTGTATCGTGTTTGCCTGCCCGTGTACGCGCTGCGATTGTGCTGTGCGAATGGCACGATAGTGGGGTTGATAGGACGGGGCATGGGACAGAGAAGGGCGAAGGGCCGGAGCACGGGAGACTGATGGGTATTGGGTGGCGGAGTTGGCCGAAGACGCGTGTTTACCTCGTTGCGTGCGGTGTATAGGCTCCTCCTCCGCCATCGCGTCCATCGTCCGCGTTCTCTATCTCCCCCTCCCTTTCTCACCCTCAATCAGAGCTCAGAGCTCGCTGGACACTGCGATCGCTGGCATGGATCCCATCGTCAACAGAGATAACCTCTTCTCTCGTGGGCCCTCGCCCCCGCCCCCCTCCCAGCACTTCCAGGTCCCGCCGGCTCAACACAACGAGCCTCACGTCTCCCCTGCGCCCTCACACCGCGAGGTCGCTCAGACCACCGCGCAGTCGCACCTCGATTCTCTTCTTCATGGCCTGAACACACCCTCGGCCTCCCACGTTAGCCCGCAACCGAGCGTTGCGAGCGCAGGTATCTATCACGGTCCGCAAGAGCCACCGCACTCTGGGCCTGCTACCCCAGCGTCCGGGCACGCTGGTTCTATTTCTTCTAATGTATCTGGGCCGGCGAACCAGTCGCACGACAGGCAAAACGCGCTTTTGACCCTCCTGGGCACCGTCGCGTCTCCCTCTTCGAACCCGCAGCCCATGCTGCCGGCAGGCCCGCCCCCTCCTCAACAGGTGCCTACGCCGCCCGGGTCCGCGCCGAGGCCAGGAATGTTGAGCAGCGAGTCACAGGGAAAATTGTTGCTGGAGCAGTTGATGTCAGGGTGAGTGTCTCGGATCCTCGCGCGACCTGGCTCTCTATGCCGTGGTTGTGGTGCCGGAAATTATTTTAACGCGCGTTTTGCTTCTTCGATGTTATATAGCGGTTCAAAGTACGCGCAACAAGAGCAACAACAACCCATGTCGCATCCGCCTTCAGGAGCGTCGCCCCCTTATGTCCCACTGCCTCCTGACCAGTCGCACTCCGATGAGTACGCCGTCCCTCCTGAGGCCACATATTCGCACGAACGCGACACGTCTGGTTCGCATGTCGCCGCGGCTGCTACCGAGCCGCGCCCAGCGTCGCCCGCTCGCAAGTCAATTTTCGATTTCGTTTCTCCTTTCGACGCCTTGTCGGGCGCGGCCAACACGAGCGCGAAACGGAAGCCGCCACCCGTGCAGCCGAACGATGAGCCGCCTTCTTGGAACCACCAAATGTCTGTAGACCCGAAGCGCAAATCTGTAGAAAACCTAATGGACCAACTCACGAGGGGACAGGCTCCCCCGTCCGCCTCATCCCAGCAACCCGTCGCTCCTTACGACCTTTACAGCCCGATGCAGGCTGAAGAGCCCCCCGCTCCCGAGGCCCTCCAGGCGAGACAGGCTCGTCCGCTGCCGCCTCAGCCTGGTCTCCCCACCGGCTCTCCGCGAGCGTCGCCACCCAAGCAGGCGAGTCAGGCAGTCCGCCAGCAGCGTCGCAATGCAGACTCGCCTATCGGCCAGCCTGGCGCACCTCAAGGGCCATTCGGCAACAACTACAGTAGGGACAAGGAGAGCTCCCCGCTACCGCAGCGCGGCGCTGTGACGGACGGTCGGCGCGGCAACGGTCCGAAGGGCAAGAACCCCAGCCCGAGGTATGATCCACTTCTCTCTCGACGGCCGGATGATATAATGGCTAATACCCGCCGTAGTGCTCATTCGCAGTTGATCATGTTCGACGTTTCTCAGCCCCTGGATGAGATCCAGGCGCCTCTGGACACCGTGAAGTCGACCGCTATCGCGCTCGTCAAGGTTGATTCGACTTTCCTGCCTGGGACGACTATCGGCGCAACCCAGTGGGTCGCGTATGCCATGACCAAGGGTACGAAATATCGTGAACCGCTCGTCTGACCCAGCTCTGACGACATTCCAACAGGTCGTGTCCGTGTCATTTCTCGCTCAAGCGGTGACAGGACTCTGCTCCAGCTGCCTCCCATGTTCCCTCCCACCACTGCCGTCAGCGACATGTCGGTCCACGAGAACAGGCTCGCAGGCGTCACTTCCGACGGCGGCTTTGTCGTATGGGAGCTCCCGCCCGTCATTACCGACGACGTTCCGTAAGTGTGCACTATCGAAGTCTTTCGGCTCGTATTGACCACATTCACAGTGGTACGATCATGCTCTGTGTCTACCCTCAGAATGACTTGGAGCCGCTTCATTCAGTCAAGTGGCACCCTCAGCAGCCCGATTTGGTTGCGGTCGCATCGGACACAAACGTGTACTTGGTCAACATCGCGGACGCCGCGCACGCCTTCGGCGGCGAACCGATTTCTCAGGTCGATCTTCACCGCGTCGGCCAGATCTTCTCCGTTCCTTCTGTAAGTGCACGGTCCTTCCTGTTTTGTGAGCGGCGTCTTACACACGTTATAGCCCATTGTGGCGTTTGACTTCGACGTTCCTCGGAGTGCACTCGCGACGATCTCCGAGGATTCGACCCTCACGATGTGGAACATCCGCGACAAGTTGCCGTTCTGGTCGCACAAGATCCGGGGTGATGATCTCCCGTCGTCGCTCACGTTCGTCGACGGCGGTGTGATCGTCGGCCGCAAGAAGGGCACCATCTTCCAGCTGCTCCCAGTCATGGGCCGCCAGGTCCTCTCCACGATCAAGTTCGTCAACGGCGAAAAGGAGGACCAGCAGATGTTCGGGCATGCGAACTACGACTCCCGGTACCAGACGCTCTGGATCGCCAACAACCGGCGCGAGAGTATGATCGCCTTCAAGCTTCATTTTGACCCCTCGACTCCGTCCCCGGGAGGCGAAGACAGCGCCCTCAGCGCATACTTCGAGCAGGTCGTTGAGTTCAGCGGCCCGAAGCCGACCATTCACTTCGTCATCCTGACCGCGGACGCCGATCCGCACGGCGACGAGGCGCATGCCGCGTGCGTCGCAGCGAAGGTGCCCCCGGGCGAGCTTGCTCTCGTGGCGTTCTCCGTGCACTCCTCGGGGGTCGACCAGGTCCTGATCCGGCAGGAGTGGTACAATGCCGCTTTGGCGAGCGCTCCCTCGCGTTACCCGTCCTACCACGGCGTCATCGAGTCACGGCCACCGCGTCAACAGCCACCCCCTGTGAGCCACGCCATGCAGATGAACCAGGTCGTCGCGAACCAGTCCCCTATGAATGTCCCCATGCCGAGGATCAAGACGCCACCCTCCGAGGAGGTCGATGTCGAGGCCTCCGCGCAGGAGGGCGGCCGTGGTGGCAAGGGCAAGGGCGTCAACAAAGGCAAGAACGTCGGCTGGAAGGACAAGGACGAGCGCGAGAAGGTGGCACAGAAGGTGGAGCCCGACTACAACTCTGACCTGGGCAGCACGCTCTCGAAGGAGATCAAGAAGTCGGAGGAGAGCCTCCACAACCGCCTCGGTCGCCTCATCGCCAAGGAGCTCGACAAGCAGCGTACGTGTATGCGAGTGGCGTCGGCGTGGAAATCCTTACTCATGTCATGTTGTAGACTTCCGGCTCGAGGAGGTCCGCCAGAGCGAGCAGGCCGCTGACTTCGCCCGGCAGGAGAAGATCCTGAAGCTCATCTCGACTGAGCTGACCAAGAACACGACCCGCGTCGTCGAGATGGCCGTCAAGAACGAGGTGCAGAACTCGGTCCTGCCGTCGCTCGAGAACATCACGAAGACGGAGGTCAAGGCGGCGCTCAGCAACCAGATCGCGAAGGGTGTTAGCGATGCCATGAAGACGGTATGGTCGTTTGAACCGTGCGGTTCATGGGCGTCACTCATCATGGATATGCAGGCTCTGCCGAGCGAGATCGAGCGCGTGCTCATCCGCCCCGAGATGGCGACGCAGGTGGCACGGGCATTCTCCTCCAACGTCATGCCCGTCGTCGAGCGACAAATCAAGGAGAGTCTCGCGAAAAACATGGTCCCTCAGACCGCATTGCACCAAGAGCTCTCGCGGGAGGTCCGCTCAGAGATCTTGAACCTCAAGAAGGAGGTGTTGACCTGGCAGAGCGACGCGCTTCGCGGGCAGGAGGTATGTGCGTCGCTCACTGTACATGATAATGTGCTGACGATTTGTAGTCTCTCATCCGCGAACTCGAGCAATCTGTCCGGATGCTTTCGGAGCAGGTCAAATTCCTCTCTATGAACTCCTCTTCTTCGAACTTCGGGCACCCTATGCAGAACCGTAGCTCGCCTGGTCCTTCCTCCAGCAGCAGTATGCTTCCTCCTACTCAGCTCTCCCAGCTCCTCCGTCAGCCGAACCTTCAACCACCACCCATGAACCAGCAATCCGGTTACCAACAACATACTTTCCAGCAGCCCCCTCCCCAGCAACAACAGCAACAGCAACCACCTATGCACGGGCCGTGGTTCGGTCCGAACATCGTTGCCCCGCAAGCCTCTCATCCTACCGCGCCCCCTCCTCTTCCCCAACAGAACAACATGTCGCGAGCGACGCCGCCCACCTCAGGCCAGCCGGAGGAATGGGACGACGCGTACTTGGCGGTTCTCGGGTCTCAGGACACGCGGCAGCTCCGTGAGCTGCTCGCGCGCTCGAACCCGGAGCTCATCATGCCGTTGAACGGCCCGAGTCCCCTGTCGCAGGCGGTCATGCTCACGCTCGTGCACAGGGTGCGTTCTGTTCTGTCGGCTAGCTGAGCGACAAACGTACTGACGGACCGATATAGCTGTCGACCGTCATTGGCGAGACGCCGCCCGTCGACGAGTCGTTCAAGGTTTCGCTTTGGTGGCTGCAGCGCGCGGCGACCGTTCTCAACACCTCTGTAAGTGCTTTTGTTCGCCCGAACCTGTTCTATCTACTGACCTGTATTTTAGGACCCGCTTATCTCGCCATATGTCTCTCGCGTCATGCCGAACGTCCAGCAGATGCTGAACTCGACGAAGCAGCGCCTCTCTATCCTCCCCGGCATGCCGTCATCGGACACGCCGCGCACCATTTCTGAGATCCAGGAGATCCTAAACCGCAAGCCGATGTCTGGTTGAGTCTAGTCTGCTCCCGCGTCGTTGCTTTTGCTGTTTTCGTACGTCTGTTTCTTGGGCCTCTCTCCGTCTCTCTCCTGTCGATGCAGTGCAGAAAGTACATTATTATTTTCTACCATACTTGCCAGGGTTGCACCCTCGCCGCTTTCAGCTTCTCCCTCGTCGCGCTAGTCTTATCGCACTTACGATTCCTCATGCACATGGATGACCTCATGATCTTACGATGCCCGGATTGATTCTTGGTCGGTTTGTTGTGGCGCCGCTATCGTCGAAAATGTACTGTCGTGTTACTCTAGTTGTATGCGCAGTGAATATATCCCATTCCATCTCCTGACTATGACATACCCGAATCGTCCAGTCGGGGTACTCTGAACACAATGACGGGAGCTCTCTTGTCTAAATGGCAGTCCGTGATTGTGGTGCGAGGGTTTGACCGCAACATCTCCCCTCCGGGCAACCGTCCGGAACCGTACCGGCACCTCCTAAGGTTCTCAGTACACCCTGCGGGGCCCATGAGAACGCGCGGGTGGCGCCCGCCGTTCCTTTCGCCGCTAGCTATGCTTCGTCGGATGCAGCGTGTTCTGGAATATGCCGTCAGCGGTCTTCGCCGTAAACTGCGAAGCAGGCATAGCAGCCCGGCTGACTGATGCTGATTGACGGGGCGGTGCTTCCCCATACGAGCCCGCCTCATGGGGTGCCAGGAACGCTGTATTGGCGGCCAGGGTCTTCGCACACATAGATGCTGGGCGATTGGTGACACACCGAGGGTGGGAAACGCGGCGCGCCGTGCTATCTGCTGGTGTTCTGCTCAGCGAAGCGAGCGAGAGCAAGTCGCCGCGCCTGGGCCAAGGAGTCGGACGCGGACGAGCGACACGGATGGGCACGGATGGGCGCAGCGCGGCTGAAAATAGATCCTGAACTTGCTCCGCCCGTCCGATCGTCGCAGGCATCCTTGGAGAGGGAAGCCCAGCGGGAAGCGGCGCTCGTCTCCGTTGTGGGTTGCGGATTGCGATCTGTCGCCGGGGGAGATAAGATGATCTGCTGGGGAGGCACATGCGCGCAGAGTCACGGCAAAGGGGGGTTCTTGGGTTTGAGGGGTTAGTTGACATGTGGACTAGTCCGCAGAAGCCCGGGGACTTGGAACTGTCGTAACATGGCAGCACCCGGTGAGAGCTGGAACGCCACAGCGCCCTAGCCAAATATTGTTATTGCCAATGGTGACACGGCAGATGATAGGACTTACGGAAGGACTGATGGTGTGGGTGGGCGGAAGGCCGGCTGACAGTGTTTACCTACATCCAGAAAGTCGCGCGTCCAGAAAGTCGCGCATCCATAAAATCGCGCAGCTGCGCGAACGTACTTGGTTGCCTTTTCGGGATGATTGTGGCGAGGTACAAGGCACGTGGGTGCTCCGATCAGATCTGGGGGGTGGATATAAGCTGCGCTCCTCGACGACCAAGGAGTTTCTCCAGTCCACCATCCCACAACTCCAAAGCACATCCACCACTCACCTCACCTCGCAACTCTTCATCATGTACTCCGTACGTCCCCACATCTTACCCTTATCCCTGTCTTGCATCTGCTGACCATCGGCCGTGTGCTCCTATAGACCACCGACGCCCCGAAGAACGCTGCCTGCGGCCAGAGCTCCTGCAACTGCGGCGAGACGTAAGCATCGCCTACATCGAAGAAAGCCTCGTCGCTCACCTTATCTTCTAGTTGCGGCTGCAAGGCCGGCGAGTGCAAGTGCTGAACGCCTCACCACTCCCATCCCCCTCCCTATTCCTCATGGTCAATGATCACATCCCTCTACCTCCCCGATCAAGTCTTGCGTGGGTAGTACGGGGTCAGCATGTCGGATAGGCTGTATGATTGGGACTCTGTATCACCAGTGATTGTACGATCCACCGTGAATTAAAGCCAATATGTGTTGTACCGCGAGGGCGATACGGCTGCGGGGTTGTGCTCACAAGTGGGGGCGATCCGGTATCGATCCCATATGAGTGTGCTAGATTACTGTACATGCGGAGCATCGTGCGCTGCGCAGAGGTTATGTAAGTCTGCTGTCGTGAGGGACATGACTAGACGCACCGAGATCAGCATACCGTTGGCTTCGGTCAGGGTCGATGTCCTGGAGCTTGTTCAGGAGGTCCAGGCACTCGCTTCCCAGGTCGCGCTTCCCCTCGTTGGTCATCACATCTCCGTATCTCTTCAGAAGAAGTCTCTTATAGAAGACGAGCGATTCCATGCACCCTACGGTGTGTATCAGCCGGGTGAGGAATATCGATCTGAGAGCGGCCGAAGCACTCACACTTGCTATCCGGTTGCTCGTCTAGGAGCTCTTGAATGGAGGCGATCTCCCTTTCGAGGATATTCCGGTCGTCTCCTGCTTTCAGTTTACCAACTGCCATCTGCCAATGTACAGAGAAGCGTACCTGGTCCGATAAGCCACCGGTGATATATCCAGACACTCTGATCGTTGGGGTCGGTGTACATAGCGTTCTGCACCAAGTCAAACTCTGTGCGACATTAGGGACACGCCGCGACTGAACCGTCCCCAAGTATGCTACTCACCCTCCTGAGATGACTTGGCCTTGTCCAACTTGCCCGATGCCCACAAGGATGTGAGAACTTTGGAACGTTGGTGCCATGCGCTGAAGTTGGAGAAATTGGCTTCGATCTTGCGCTTCGTGTACGCTAGTTCTGACTGCTCTGTCCGCTTGACAGGCATCTGCGCAAGTACGTAGCGGCGGTAGGTCCAAGCGTGGACTGTGCAGCATACATGTCAGCAACGACCGATGGTAATGGCAGCAGTAGCCCTCACAATTACGGGGGTCGGCGTCCAGCATCTTCTCGACGACGAACAGCTCCTTGTTCCAGTAGGATTGCCGCCAGCCATTAGCGTCTGTCTCTGACGGGCCGTCGGGGACTTGTTGCAGACACCATTGGCGGTGATTCCATATCCAATATACCTTTGGGTGCTGCTTGAGGAAGGCTGTGGTCAATGATAGGTCGTCGGACAGCAGGTCGTTGATCTGCGTAGGCGTGCTAATATACCGGCCGTTAGCGGGTAAATATATCAGAAAGTAAATAAGCAGTACCGCTCGGGGAATAAACCGTTGAGGAGGATGTTCCTGCGGTAATTCCAGACGGTGTAGAACTCGGGATTGACATTGAGCAACTTGGTGGTGAGATCGAAGGATTCAGCGGTCCAACTCCTCTCTTTCCTCTGTGCGAGTACGGGGTCATATAGCTGCGAGGTTGCAGTACCGTCGCGGTCAGAACTCACTCTGGCGAGGACCTCCGCGGTTAAGCTCTGGTACTCCGTGAGTTTCGCGCGCTCCCGCTCTTTCTTCGCAGCGAGAGCTTCGCGCGAGTATTTGACCTGTTTAATGCCGTGCTGCACATCCGTTAGTATGCGATTGAGGTGATGGTGGTCTGAAGGATACCATGGTAGATGGTGGAGGAGAGATAAGCCGGACGAGTGAGCAAGAGCTGGGAGAGATGGTGCAATGCATAGACGCCCGCGACGCGTTCCACAGACGCGCCTGCGGCACGTGACACTCCCTTTCGCGCCGCGCGCTCGCCTGCGTCTCTCTCCAACGCACCGAGGTCCCTCTACCCTCGTCCTCGCCGTCGCCGACGTCCTCCACACGCTGTCTCGCGATGTCCGCGGCTGTCTCTGAAAACCCGTCTCTGGAGGCCTTGACTTCCCACTTCCCCCTAACGTTCCCTCTGCCAACACCGACGACTCATCATGACCTTGTCTCTACCAAGGACCTTCACCGCGAAGAGGACTTGCTCAGGAACCCGGCTTCCTTCAGACACTGGTGGGCTGCGATACAAACTGTGAAGGAATCCTCCGCTGCAGAACAGAGGGCGGAGGGGCCCTCGGACCTCTCGCCTGAGGTTGCTGCTCTTCTTGGACCTCTTTCCTCCCCTGCTGCTCGTAAATCTCTGCAACGACAAGTCTACCTCTATGAAGCTGCCATCGCGCAGTTCCCCGGGTCGTTCAAGCTATGGAAGTCCTACCTCCAGACACGAATGACGTTCGTTCTCGGCAAACGAATAACCAAGAAGAAAGCAGGTGGCAAGAAGAAGTTCCCCGAGATGCGCGAGGCTCTGGAGGACGAGAAAGAGGACCTTGAGCAGTGGGAGGGTGGCCTTGACGGTGTTGTCGGGTGGGAGGAATGGCGGCTCCTCATTGCCACCTTTGAGCGTGCTCTTATGTGGCTTCCAAGAGTGCGTTCACCGGTCCTCCGCACGCGAACACAGTTAACATTTCTCTGCAGATGCCTCGCCTCTGGCTCTTGTACCTTTCGATCTTCAACCACCCCTTCTGCCCTCCACAAGTCTCGCATACTCATGCGCGCCGAACCTATGATCGTGCCCTGCGTACACTCCCACCATCCCTCCACGGCAGGATATGGTGTCGATATCTACTCTGGGCCGAGTCGAAAGGAGGGGCAACTACGGTGTCTGTCTATCGCCGCTACCTTCATGTGGACCCCAGTATCACAGAGCGTTATACCGGCATCCTCCTAGCCCCCACCAATCCTGCCCCAAGACCGCTCGAAGCGGCCAAGTTGCTCCTCAATCTTGCCCGAAAAGCTGCACGTGGCGAGTACACCAGCCCCGAGGGCAAGAGCCCCTACCAGCTCCTGGGCGAGTTCCTGGACGTGGTGGAGCAGTATGCTGAGGAGGTGGGCTTGGACGTCGCAGACACGGACGTCTCAAACGACGCGATAGCAAAGGCTACCGGAGAGGGTGCGTCGCGTCAACCTGCCGAGCCCGCCGCGGCAGACGAGAAACTCATCCGCTTTGGGGGCCCGGCTGCTCCAGCCGCGCCATACGACGAGGACGAAGACCCGAGAAGTCCACGCAAGTTCAACGTGGAGGACATCATCCGCAAGGACGGCCTGGAGGTGTACAAGGACCAAGCCGGCCGCCTATGGACAGGACTTGCGACGTTCTGGATCAAGCGGGGCGAGTTCGAGCGCGCGAAGCTGACCTTCGAGCGGGGGCTCGCGTCGGTGCTCACGATCCGCGACTTCACGCAGATCTTCGACGCGTACGCGGAGTTCTCGGAGAGCTTGATCAGCGCGCTGATGGAGAGCCTCGCGAACCCAGACGAGGACGAAGATGAGGAGGACGTGAAGGAGACGGAGAAGGAGCTCGACACGAAGATGAAGGAGTTCGAGGAGCTGATGGACCGCCGACCGTTCTTAGTAAACGACGTGCTGATTCGGCGGAATCCCAACGACGTGCAGGAATGGGAGAAGCGGGTGGCACTCTGGGGCGACAATGACGAGAAGGTTTGTAGTTTCGTCCGTAAGGTATGAGCCCAGGGCTGACGATTTTGCAGGTTGCGGAGACGTACACCGAAGCCCTCGCCACCATCAACCCCCGCCGGGCTACAACGAACTTCCACCATCTGTATATCAACTTTGCCAAGTTCTACGAGGAGGGTGGCACGAAGGGGGAAGCCGAGACCGACTTCGACAGCGCACGCAAAATCCTGGACAAGGCGACAAAGGTCAACTTCAAAACTGTCGACGAGCTTGCGGAGGTTTGGTGCGAGTGGGCGGAGATGGAAATTCGGCACGAGTGAGTGCATACACAGACGGTTTACTCGTACAAGTCTGACTATAGTCGCAGAAACTACGACGAGGCGATCCGCGTTATGCAACGTGCCGCAGCGGTACCAAAGAACACAAAAGTCAACTACTTCGATCATGTGAGTCTGTCGCTTTGCACACCGCACAACAATAGCTGACAGGATGTCTATAGGCACTACCAGTCCAGGCGCGCTTGTTCAAATCGCTCAAGCTCTGGTCCTTCTACGTCGATCTTGAGGAGTCGCTGGGCACTGTGGAGACGGCGAAGGCGGTATACGACAAGATTCTAGACTTGCGCATCGCCAACGCTCAAATCATCGTGAACTATGCTTCGTTCTTGGAAGAGAACAAGTACTATGAGGAGAGCTTCAAGGTAGGCATGACGGGCGTCCGATTCATTGCATCATAAATTGACCCGACTTGACAGGTCTATGAGCGTGGCACGGAATTGTTCACATTCCCCGTCTCGTTCGAGATCTGGAACATCTACCTTGCAAAGTTCGTCAAGCGCTACGTAAGTTGTTTCTTCACCCAAATGGTGAGCATTGCTGATACATGTATTCAGGGCGGGTCGAAGATCGAGCGTGCACGAGATCTCTTCGAGCAAGCACTCGAAAAATGCCCACCAAAACATTGCAAGTCTATCTTCTTGATGTACGCGACGTACGAAGAAGAGCATGGCCTTGCGAAGCGAGCAATGTCAATATACGACCGCGCAACAAGCGCAGTTGCGGACGAGGACAAGTTCGAGGTGCGTTCTCTCATTGAGCCATTCGCCCCAAGAAAGCAATTCTAACATACAACCCCCAGATCTTCACCATCTACATCGCGAAAGCGACGTCAAATTATGGCCTCCCCGCCACGCGGCCCATCTACGAGCGCGCTCTCGAGATCCTGCCCGACAAGCAGACCGCAGAGATGTGCCTGCGCTTCGCCTCAATGGAGCGCAAGCTCGGCGAGATCGACCGCGCGCGCGCGATCTACGCCCACGCCTCGCAGTTCTGCGACCCGCGCGTGCTGCCCAAGTTCTGGCAGGAGTGGAACACGTTCGAGATCGAGACGGGCTCGGAGGACACGTTCCGCGAGATGCTCCGCATCAAGCGCAGCGTGCAGGCGCAGTTCAACACCGAGGCGTCGTATCTCGCCGCGCAGATGGCCGCGAAGCAGAGCGGCGTCGACGCGGAGGCGGGCGAGGCGGCGCCGCCCGCGGACGCGATGGCCGCGGCGGAGCGCCAGGCCGCGGGAGGTGTGAAGGCGCCTGCGTTTGTGTCCGCGAAGCAGAGCACGAACGTAAGGGTGGAGGAGGCGGAGGCGCGGCCGGCGGCGGCGCAGGGGAACGAGGACGAGATCCACATATCGGACGACGAGGACGAGGACTGAGTGTGCTCGCTTGTGCTTGTTGCTTGTTGTTATGTTTTCTATACGTTGTACGATCGGCCCTTGGTTGTAATACTGCTTTCTGCTGCGATCGCTCGCGGGCGAACACAACACCTGCCTAAAGCAGAACGAGTCATAGCGCAAACCGCCGGCGCTAACTTCGATCGTTCTCGTCCGACGTCCACCACATCGTTTTCGACGGTGGCAGTCGTTAGTACGGATGGAAAATCATCCGTCTGTGAGTGTACAGAGATGGTCCCTTCGGTTTCGACGTGCTAAAATCAAGGACTTTCAGTATGAGGCCTTGTCAGCCTACCTCCCGAAATACCCCAAGGCGGCTGGGGCTCTTTTCCAAACATATAATGACCTAAAGTGCGGTACGTAGGGCTCATTTTAACCACAGGACCACACTAACTACAAGGCAGCCCAACAGTGGACCGACCTTGAGATCATCGAGCTCGCTGAATGCTCACGATGCGCCATACGGGGACGCCGACCCAACACTGTAAGGACGCGCTTCCCCCACTTACTACTTACCCTGCTGACACCCGCCGCCTCTAGGATGATCTGCTCAGCGTCGTTCCATGCTCACTCTCAGAGTCCCTCTCGACAGACTGGTGAGCTCCCTGGCGTGTGAAAAGTATGTGGCGGCTGACACGCCGTTCAGGATACGCACCACATTTCGGGAGCTTGGTAGCCCCCCTCACGTTTACCTCGCCATCAACACCGAGGACTCCTCTATTGTATACTATAAGATTAGCCCGGGCATCGTCAAGCCCCCTCTCTAGATTTGACTACAGACCCGACTGTCCGTGCACGCATCACACCCGACCGAACCCCAACCCGCAAGGCACGCTCGCCGAGACACTGAACAGATAAACATATGATAGCAAATGGACAGCAAGCGACGCGAAGGGTATGTGTCTGTGAGTACAAATGGAACGAGCGGTGTGGCGCGCCCTGCGACAGCAAAGGCGGCCGGAGAACGACTAGGTGCAGCATACAATACACGTCTCGACAGCGTCCGTGCGCGGGGCCGCGGTGGCCCGCAGCCAGTACTAGTGTGCAGCTACAGTACCATTCACCGGGGCGCATTCCAGCGGTCAACCTCGACTGCACAGATGTCTTCCCAGACGGCGTCCCAGCCACCCAGCGCGAGGTGTGGCTGGGCCTGCCAGAGCGCGATGATCTGGCGCGACTCCTCGAAGGTCACGTCGTGCGGCCGCAGCTGCTCGACGAGGTCGATGTGTGTCTCGAGCGAGCGTCGGTATGGCTTCAGGATGTACGGCAGCTTCGTGACTATGGGAACGAACAACATGAGCGCATGCGCCGGAATGGGCTGTCAAATGACGTACCGAACTTTTCTAGGGACCATGTCACCCAGAGGGGCTCCTCGACAAATCTCCACCCCTTGGTCTTGTGGACCTCGTGGAGGAGCACTTCGAGGCTTTTGATGATCTTGACCATCTTTTGGAATAACTTGTCCTGCAGAAAACGATGTCAATGAGCCTGAGGGATGCTCGCGCGAGCGAGTTTACGCACTAGGCGCTTGATGACCTCATGCAGGTCTTCGATGCATGTTTCCATAAATCGGAGCTTTTCAAGCACGATCGGGTACGCGGGTTGCTTCCCGTCGGATAGCACGGCGAGCTCATTGCTACGGAGACCGTCAGTCCTGTCAAGTCCGCAATAACGCCGGTTGCCAGCACGTACTCGAGCTCTGTGCGCGCGTCGACCAAGCTGGATGCAGCTTTGAGGCCTTGCCCCGAGACACGCTCGTCCCACTCGTACGCGACATTTCGCAGCTCGAGTAGTTGGGACCGCAGTGTTCGATGGTGGGGGAGCTCGGAGTAGCGAGAGGGCGACAAGGGAGTGGTGGTCTGCCGAGCCACTGGAGATGCGTTGGGGGTGGACGGGCCACGGAAGGAGGCGAGGCGAGAGCTCATGATGGTGGAGTAATGACTGTGTGATAAAAGAATGTGAGCGAAGTCCTAGAGGCGAAGCAGACGAGTCGGAGAAGCGTAGAGACTACAGCACGAGCCGCCACACACAGCAGTACGATGAGGTGAGAGGAGAAGGATGGGGAGCGAATTCAGAATGGCCCGGGTCCGATACTCACGCTGAAAAGAGAAGCGCGACAGCCTGGTACAATGAATGTCCTCGCGAATCACGACCGAGGCTACAGATCCCCTCGCGATTTCAGATAAACGACGGGAAGACCGCGTCCTCGTCCTCGGCGCTCGGCCTGCGCAGTCGTAGCTCGAAGAAAAGTGATATGCGGGGCGTCCTGCAAAGTTTCAACGACCCGACAAGCGTCCAAACTCGTTTGAGGGCTCACCTCGTCCCTGCGTGCTGGCTGTATGCTCTCGCGCGCAGATGGACGCACGGTGGAGAGTGCGGCCGGCCGAGAGCGAGGCATGCCAGGGCGGGCCCGCGCCGCGCCGCGATCGTAGTGCGGCTTAGGCGCCTGCACCGCAGATCGGGCAGTCCGCAAACGGCAACTCGCCGCTGCTGTTCCCCGACCATCAATTGCACACAAACATCCGCAGAGCGCGATTGCACAACAGCGCAGCCATGCAGACCGCAGACACCTCCAATCTCATCCGATCCGAGGCAGAGCTCTTGCTCGAGAAGGTGTGCACGCCTTCCCTACGAGCTCGGATCCGATCACGACCCCTCTCACGCTGACATCCTCTTACAGGCCCGCAAGGACAAGGCGGGGCGCACAAAGGACGTCGGGTCGCCTATCGCGATTACCGGCAAGGCCTTGGCGATAGAGGTCCGCGGAAACTTCGCGTGGATTGCGGAAAACACGACCGTCATTCGCAAGCTCTCTCTCGAGGTGCGCCCTGCCCCGTCGGTTGCTACACGCCGCACTGACTGAGCGGCGGCCGCCCAGGCAGACCGGGAAGACGTTGCAACTGTTTAAGGGACATACTGCGCCTGTGACCTCGCTTGCGTTTGTGGACCGCGATGCAGGGTCGGGCAAAGCGGACCTCCTCGTGACAGGCTCATGGGATAGGGTAGACGCCACACTTACTCGCTGCACATTGATGTACTGATCGTTGGACATAGACGATCAAAGTCTGGAATGCAGAGGTATTGCACCGAAGTCAATACTTCGCGCCCAAAGCTGAACATTCGCCATAGACGAAGGAGCTCATCTCTTCCACACCCGGCCATGCAGACTTCGTGAAAGCGCTGCTGGTGATACCCTCCATCCGTCTCCTCATCTCGAGCGGGTCCGACAAAATCATCCGGTTTTGGTAAAGCCTGGTCTAACAGCTCACCAAATCATCGAGACTGACCACTACGCTACAGGGACCTCTCTACAGTCGCAGACGGACAGCCACTCCGCTCTGTGGGCTCGCTAGCTGAGCACTCGCGCCCCGTCGAGTCCCTCGATGCGCGCGCGACATCAGACACGTCCGCGGTGCTCTACACGGCAGACACAATGGGCGTGATCAAAGTGTGGGACCTCACAAAAGACAACGAGGTACCTCCACGATGGCAGAGCACCCTCCTCGAGGAGCTCACGCACCACCGGACGCGGGTGAACGACATCGCGCTCGGGACTTCGCAACTCTGGACAGGTAACACCGCGCGCTCATTGTTTTCACTATCTCAGGTTGACTCTTACATGTTCCCGTAGCCTCCGCAGACGAAACGGTCCAGCTCATCCCGCGCACCGCGTCCTTACCCGTCCCCGCCCCCGTCCCAACACCCGGCGCCGACGCCCTCCCCGCGAAACTACCGCCGCCCATCCAGCACCCGACGGCCGTGAAGGCGCTGCTCCCGCTGCAGCTCACGCCGCTCGCGGAGCCGTACCTGCTCACGGGCGCGGGCGACGTGATCCGCGCGTACGACGTGTCCGCGCCGGACGAGCCGGAGCTGCTCGCGGAGACGGACGGGCACTGGCACGACGTGACCGCGCTGCGGCTGTGGATGCGCCGGAGCAAGGTCGAGGGCGAGCCGGGGAAGGTGCGCGTCGAGCCGTGGGTCGTGAGCGCGAGTCTGGACGGGACGATTAGGCGGTGGAGGCTGAATGGTGAGTGCAATTGTGGACAGGATTGTGTGAGATATGGAAGAGATGTACTGATGTACTTGTAGAGCTTCTGCAGCCGCCGCCTCCGCCACCGAAGGAGGTGGAGAAGCCTAAGGAGGAACCTCCAGCAGATACGCCTGAGGATGCTGGAATGACTGCGGACGAAGAACGCGAGCTCGCGGAGCTGATGGGTGATGACTGAGGCTATATTCTGTTGTTGTACACCTGTGCTAGATAATGCATGCAAATTCAAGGGAATAGTCCCTACGTGATGAGGTATGTGCGGCGTTGAAGCGCGTGCTAAATCCAATAATCATAGCTTGGACTTGACAGCCATGTAGTTCGAGGCGTTCTGAATACTTGCTGCGGCAGTGTTGACCAGCTCGTCCACACTGAGATATGGTCAGTGATGAATGGGACGTGAATCGCTGTTACTTCTGGACTTACATATCTTTCGCAGGTCGTATGTCCTGAACGTGATGTTGTCAGCATCGTTGTCACCCCTTTGACAGCCATGGACTGTACTAACCTTGATAGAGCCAGCCACTTTGCCCATAAGCCCTGTAATGACATCAACAAACACATCCGCCACAGCCTATAATCGCCAACGTACACATGCGGCTCTCCATCGACTTCTCCGGGTGTTCCTCCAAATCAACCTGGTGCGGAATCTTGCCCTGCGACGTGAGCTCTGCAACCTTCTGCTCTTTGCCGTCCCTGGAACAAGCGCATAATGAGTGAGCACGGAACGCATTCGCACTGTGCTCGGCGGCAACGAACCAGCTCGCAACATAAGGCGTCTTGCGGACGTGCATAGGCCGTCCGGAGTAGATGATTGTGCGCGTGACGTCGTCGTACCCGGCACTCAGGACGAGGTCCTTGTGCACCTTCGGCGCGCCGGCCTCCTCGCTGGCCACGAAGCGGGTACCGACCCAGACACCCGCGGCGCCGTATCTGGGCAGGGACGTTCTGGTAAGTTATTTGGATTGTATTGGCAAATGGGGGTACATACGAGAGAGCGGCTGCGAGACCGCGTCCGTCGGCAATCCCGCCTGCAGCGACGACGATGATGGGTTCTCCGGTGAGTGGGCTCTTTGCGTTCTTGCAGATGTCGACGACCGCGGGGATGAGGATGGAGAACGGGGTATCACCAGTGTGACCACCTCCCTCTCCGCCTTGCGCACAGATGACATCGACACCTGTTTGAGCGTATGTTAGCAGCAGCTAGCGCGTGTAATAGCGAGTGAACAGAACCTTGGGCAAGCGCTTTGGCGACGTGCTACAGCAGAAGCGATGAGTTGAGCATGCTAGGTATAATATCACGGCACCTATACCTTCGGGTGCCCGACCATGCTACACACAAGTTGAGTGACAGCTCAATATGCGAAAGTGTAGACTCACTTCATGACCACGATGCCAGCAGAGTGCAACTTGTCGACCATGTCTTTGGGAGGAACTCCAACCGCACACACGAAGAGCTTCACGCCGTTCTTGATCATGACTTCTGTGAGTGCCGGAAGCTGTCCCTTCGAGTAGTCATACTGAACAGGCTAGGTTAGCATCGAGAAACGTCGTATAGTGAAGGTCCCACGTTGGTCTTCCTGGCGTTCCCTCCTACTTGAGGGATGAGCAGGTCGACGCCGAAGGGTGCAGTCTTGTCCTCGAGGTGACTCTTGATTTCATTGATGCTGTCCTGGAGCATCTTGGGGCTCTGGCGCAGGCCGCCAATAACTCCAATGCCACCTGTGCGGGAACACCGTTAGAGATGCATGGCGTATATCGAGACATGCACACCGACCTGCATTGGTGACAGCTGCTGCTAGCCTTGGTCCGGCCGCCACATTCATGCCTAGCGAAAGGGGTTAGCACCGTCACCATTTCCAGTTCACCAAAGCAAGCACCTGCAAGCATGACGGGGTGGGTGATGTTGAACAGCTTCGTGAGAGGCGTCGAGAATACGGGCGGAGAGGAAGGCATCTTGGCGGTCGTTTCTGGTGAAGAGGTACGAGGATGGGTTCAGACTGGGCTGGCTGGTCGCCCCCTGTAGTGCCTAGCAGTGTTATATGACCGGGACCGGGTACGTCTCGCTGCGGGAAATCGGTCATGTGGAGGAGAAGGCGTTGGGGAATGCCACATTGGCAAAGTCCGAAACTCCCGGGAGTGCGGGGAGAGGGACTCTCTCCGGCAGCGGGTCCTCGATCGCCTGCCGGTGCCCGGGTCCCTTAGCAAGACGAACGCCCGGGCGGACCGGGAACGAGCGCTTGCCAACTCTCCTCCGACTCCGATCTCAGTGCACGATGGCGTCTGGCTCTGCAGACAAGTGTCCCGTCGACCACTCTTCCCTCGCCTCCTCTTCCACGGACGCTTGTCCAGTAGATCACTCTACACGCTCATCATGGACCTCCGTGCTCAGCAGGCGCTCCCAGGACGGCCACGGCGCAGCGGAGCACCCGGACACCCCCGCCCCTCCCGCTAACCTCCCCCTCGACCGCGAAACCTCGTCTATCCCCCGGGAGGACGGCAGCAACTGGGTCTACCCGTCGCAGGCGCAGTTCTTTGCCGCTATGGCGCGCAAGAACCACAACCCCAACGAGACGGACATGAAGGTCGTTGTGCCCATCCACAATGCCGTGAACGAGCGCGCCTGGCAGGAGATCATGAAGTGGGAGGCGAACCAGGGCGGCGAGAAGTGCGGCGGCGTGAAGCTCATCAGCTTCAAGGGCAGGCCAAACGACAGGTCACCGCGCGCACGGTGGTACTCCCTCCTCGGGTACGTCCCTGTGCTTGCGCCGTTCAATCACGACCGTCTCATTTCCTATTTTTCAGATACTCTCCGCCTTTTGACCGCCATGACTGGGTCGTCGAACGCTGTGGCACACGCATGCGTTATGTTATCGACTTCTACACCGGCCACGGCGGCTCTGCACCCTCGAAGAACGTCTCTTTCTTCCTCGACGTACGGCCAGCACTTGACGGATGGGAAGGTGTCCGCCTTCGTACCGAGCGATTTTGGCAGCGATGGGTCGGCGGCCTTTGGGGAGAGCCAGCAAAGCAGGGAGGGCTACCTCCAAAACATTGACCGTAGGATTTTTCGGGTCTACTATGTACTTTATAATGCCGATAATTTTAGACGAGGCTCAGTCTACTACTCACTTTAACATCACCGAGTAAATCAATCCGTTGATGGCGACCGACGTTCCCCGTGGCGAAAAATCATAGAGCAAAAAGCGCTACATATACTACTCATGACCTGGGCTACATACTCACCGCTTGCTCTTCGTTTTGAGCTTTTTGGGTGGGGGTCGTGGTGCCTCCTCTTCGCTCTCGCTGCCACTCTCGTCCCCATCTTCGCCCTCGCTGATCATCTCCTCGTCATCCCAAGCACCCTCTCCATCGTCACCTTCATCGCCGCTGAGGTCTTCCTCTGCTGCTGAGGCCATTTCCTCGTCTGCCTCCATGTCCTCGTCATTTTCGCCGTCCTCGTCGTCTTCGTCCTCGCCGGCGTTTTTGCCCTTTTTGTCGCCTTCTAGCGCCGCCTTCTTCCGCTGCACGTTCGCCTCCTGCTCTTTCCTCCTTTGCAGACGGAGCTTCTCCTTCGCGGCGTGGTCCGCCTTTTGCGCCTTGGCCTCCGCCTTCGACTTTTTGACTGTACCGGCCGTTAGCATCGCCAGCGTAGCAGCACGTTGTATCGTATCCACTCACCGAACTCGTGGTAAAGCACACCGCCCTCTTTACCGGGCACACCCTCGACGATCTTAATCAGCCGGAGCTCCATGCGCGGCCCGACCTCGTCGAGCTTCACAGCGCGCTTCTGGCCCTTCTTGTTATTCCGCCCCACATAGTCGTCCGCGAGCGAGATCGCATCGCCGTCATCCCCACCCGCACTCGACGCACTCGACGCAGCACTCTCGTACCCGTCACTCGACGGTCCCGGCTCCCCGCGTCTCCTCAACAAAAAGTCCGCAACGTCCTTCTCGTTCCCGAGATCCAGCGTAGCGTGCGCTGTGGCGGTGGAGGGGGCGGACTTCGCAGACGCGCCTTCGAGCACGCGGCGGATGCGCTTCGAGACGCCGTATGGCTTGACTGTAATGAGGTAGTGGCGGACGTCGACGGTGCCGCGCTCGGCGTTGTAGTGCACGAGCACGACGCGGCGCGCTGAGGAAAGCGAGAGGCTCTGCGGCGCGAGCGGCGGGAAGAGCGACTGGAACGTCTTCATGAGCAGTGTGAGGTGCGGGGGCGTCGTCGACGATGGCGGGGGGAATGACGCTAGCACGAGCTAGGGCAGCGTCCATGTAAAAATGTGAAATTGAGTACGCAGTCGAGAGGGACGTACCAGGGGTGGACTGAGGTACTCGACCGAGCTCATGCTACGCGCGCGCCGCGAGGAGTTGACAAGGTCCTTCATGAGACTGTACCGCTCCACGCGGAAGCTGAGTGTCGGACCCGCTGAGAGGCGCACGATGCGCATCGACGGCGCGACGTCCGTCAGCGTGAACGCGAGCAGGTGTGTCACCCCGAGCGCGGGGGCCATCGTGAGGAAGTCCCGAAGCTTGTTCCTGGCACGCTCCTTTACTTGCAGCCCGGGTTAGGTTTGACGGGTGAAGAGACGAGGGCGGGGACTGACCCTGAGGCGACTAGCGGTGTTGGGCTCCATCACTTTACGGAAGTCCCGCACGAGTTGTGCTAGGGACGAGCCGACCTGCCCATGCTTGATCACGAAGGACTTCGGTACGCCTTCTGCGGCGCCCGGGTTGGATGCGACACCGCCCTTGAGATGCGTGCGGTTCTTGCGTTTGCGTGCCATGTCGTTTTATGTCGTAAGAATGAGAGGATGGGGATGTCTGAAGCTCGGAGCAGGACGACAAGCTCAAAAGCTGTGGGTGGTGGCTGAAGTGCAAGGAATAGGCGCGCGTAACTGGAGAAATTTGGACGCGCGATCGAGATCGCGTTTCTACTCACCGCCAGGCGCTCGGGCGCTCCTTCCGCTTGAAAGAACGTTCCCGCAGGTTTGTTATGGTCGATCACGCAACGGTCGGATGTCTACCAATTTGCTTCGGAGCGCAAGCGCAACTCAACGCCAAAATAAAATACAGCAATAAACCTGGATACAGTACCGACAGCACAGCGAGACCAGAGGAGCGGGACGGGGGAAAGGCAATATACACGAATAGTTACGGACGAAACCCAAGCACCGGGAGACACTATAGCGAGCGTGGGCGAGGGAGCGGACCGCGGACGGGCGTCGCGCGCTGTCCAGTCGGGCTCGAGAAACGGTGGAAATCATACAGCGGGGAGGGAGCGACGGGAGCCCAAGGAGGCGGCGGGAACGAAGAAGGATACAACTCGAGGGAGTGGGGTATGCTGGCTGGTGGCAGTGGCAGATATTACGAAACAGTCCGACTCCGAGAGATACGACAGGTAGTGAGGGGTGCATATTACGGACGCATTCGGGGACAAGAAAGAGAGCTAGGCAAGCAGACGAAAGAACGAAGGGGTGGGTGAACGGATAGACGAAGGAGGGTGAGAGGCGAAAAGGTCGTCCATGCTGGCTACCTCAGCAGAGTGCAACCCAAGCCCGCGCAGGAGAACCACGCCTCGCAGGTCAGGCTTCGGATGCCACCTGACTGAGGGCTTTGTGCAAGGGCAGCGCGGCTAGAACTCTAGGAATTGGTAGGCAACGGAGTCGAACCGCTGCCGGAGGGAGGGCGGGCTCTCTTCGCGAATGAGACCGGGTATCTCGTCGGCCGGGGGAAGCGGCAGATGGGAGAAATTGCGCGTGTCGTCAACGGACGCGACGTGCGGAATGATGGGAGCCTGGCGAAAATATAACTGTCAGCGAATGGCGCCTTAGTGACCGACGGGGCGTAGTGTACATACCCGGATTTCACGCCGTTCGAGCGCGTCCCAGTCTACCCCACGGAACCATGGGTGGTCTAGCACGTCCTGGGTGCCTCCGATCAGGTTGCCTAGCCGCTTGCTACGGTCCGGGTGCAGGAACGCCTTGATGATATCCTTTGAAAGCGGGTCGACCTGGCTCGGCCAGTAAATCTTCCCCTTCAGGATCTTCTCGTATATCCCATACGCAGTCTCGTCAAAGAAAGGCGGGTAGCCGACGAGCATCTCGTAGCACAGGATTCCGCACGCCCACCAGTCGGCGGCTTTTCCGTGACCGTCCGACTGGATAATCTCCGGCGCTAGGTATTCTGGTGTGCCGCACAACGTCCACGTACGGTCGTCGACTATTTTGGCGAAGCCGAAGTCGGTGAGTCTCAGATATCCGCGGGAGTCTAGGAGGAGGTTTTCCGGCTTCAAGTCACGGTAGATGATGTTGAAGGAGTGGAGGTATTTCAGCGCTAGGATGATGGTCGCCAGATAAAAACGAGTAACGTCCGCGGTAAACCGTTTGGCGCGCCGGAGGTGGGTGAACAGTTCGCCCCCAGGAACGTAGGACATCAGCATGTAGACGTTCATGCTGTCCTGGAACGTCGCGTAGAGATCGACGATGAAGGGATGGCGGACACGTGATAGGATATACCGTTCCGCGTTTACATGCTCGACTTGGCGCAGTCGCATGATTTCCGTTTTGCGCAACACCTTCAAGGCGAAGCAGTTGGTGGCCGATTGTGATGAGGAGCCCCGGAGCCGAACTAGCAGCACGCGCCCAAAGGTTCCCGTACCTGAAGTCCCAATATAAGTTGTGGGCGCCATGTATCAAAGAGAACGTGTGACTCACCGAGGGTGCCCTTCACCTCAAAGTCCGTCAACTTCAGGGAACCCTTCTCCAAGTGCGACTGCTCGTCTTCTAAGTGCCTCTGCGGCGGCCGCGGGGAGCTCGCCGACGGGCGCGGATCTACGTCCATCCCGTCACCCTGCTGATGACTGCGCCGGCCGTGGCTGGCTTCCGGGAGGTGGTGCGTATGGGGCACCGACGATTCAAGTGGGCGTCCGGGGCCGCTGTAGCGGGGCTCGGCGTCCACGATGATGCCCGATTCGCCGTCTTCGCTGCGTGTGGGGGAGAGCGGCGGGGTGATCGGGCCCTCGCTGAGCATGCAATCAGAGTCGCGGCGGAAGACGCCTGAGTCGGGCGTGGTCGAGAGCGCGAGCGCGGTGTGGCTGGGGAGGGAGGCTGACCGGAACGCGGGGTACGCGGCGGCGTGGTCCATGCTTCCGGGGGACATTAATGGGAGTGCGGTAAACCGGTAAACGCCTGCTCGCCTGGCGATCTGGCGGCTGCAACGTAAGGGAGCTGTCTGTCAGCCGCGGCGGAAGGCAGAATCGCCGTGCGACACGTGCGGTGAAACGCGCTCACCTTGTCAATAATTAGGGGGATTGGCAGGGATACAGCGGGTAGCTCAATACATCGGATTCTGAGGAGGGAAAGACCGAGATGGGGCGACGGGGAGGCTGCACACGTCCGCTCAGCAGCGATGGGATCAGAGGGCTATGAACTGCTATGAGGCGTCCTGCGACGCCGGGCGTGATGAGGCGCGGTCGATGGTGGTGGATATGGCTCGTACCTCCGCGTGTCGCTGTGCTGGACTGTGCGCACTGCGCAGGGCGGTGTGAGGTCGCGGAGTAGAATACAGAGACGGACGATAGCAGACGGTGGAGAACGGTGATCAAGCGAGCGCAGCGGCTGAAACTCAAAAGTGTGCGATCACCGATTCAACTCCGCCACGTGGCGGAGTGCAATATTTGCCGCCGGAGTCCTCCCCGTGGCGCCCCTCCCGCCGGCATCCCTCAATCCGGGGGATTGTCTAGTCGGCGACCGCTCTATCAAACCACCGGGCGTTGTGGATGTCTGTGCGCCGCGGGCTTTGTTCTGTTCTCGGTAAATGTCCACATATCGTACACCATTGCATTGATGACAAGTTACAGATCAAACGCCGCCGTCGCTGCGCCGTAGACAGCAGACACCAGCTTGGCGTCGGTGTTAGTCCCACCCGCACCGGCAGCCACATACAAGGGTACGAAGTGGTCAGCTCGTGGGTGCGCAGCCCGGAAGCCTTCGTGCTTCACCAACTTCAGCATCGCCTGTTTCCGCGCGACAGGCTGCAGTCATGCGATCAGTGATCAATCCACTCCGTACGCGGCGGAGACAGTACGTACGTCTGTTATTGTCAGCGCGTCCAGTATAGCCTGATTGAATGACTTCACGAGACTGTTGGCCGTAGACTCCGAGAATGACGAGAAGTCGCGGAGGTTGTGTACGAGCAAACCTCCGGAGAGTACAAGGATGCCCTCGCGCCTATGTCACAGCATGTCAGAAAAGCAGCAGAGCGGCAGTGTGTCTGTCACTTTACCTCAGCGGCGCGACGACTTCGCCCAACGCCCAGTTCTTTTCGGGGTCCAAACTGCTGTCCATCGACACTTCGACGATGGGAATGTCCGTGAACTCTTCCCCGAACATCAGTCGGAATGGGACGAAGACGCCGTGGTCGAGGCCGGGGCCTTCGAACCCTCTCCCGTCGTCGCCTCTAGCCTCGTTCTTTGTGGTGGTTCTGGCCTTATACCCAGCCTAATTAACGATATGTGAGCACCGTTTCATGCAGGGAGCGGAGCGACTAAGACTCACATCCTTGTACAGCTGAACGACGCGCTGGGAAAGGGCCGAGTCACCGCGCGACTTAAACTTAATTTCATAGAGCGCAGGAGGGAATCCAAAGTAGTCCATCAATAGGGGGTTCTCATCACCGTAGTCGGTCACTGTTTCAGGCGTTCACTCAGAGTTTTATTACCGTGCGTATGGCATGGAAGACGTACCGAGACGCTCTCCATGGGTTTCCCAATGGGCGCTAAATACCACGATGCCCTTGGGCTTGTATTTAGTTAGGAGGGCCGGACCAAAGTCCTTCAGGAAGGTCGCCAGAGGGCCGTTCGGACCCATGTCTTTCCCAACGTCCCCCATCCGGGAGATGAGTCCGGAATGGATGAGCGCGGGAGAACCATGGCCGAAGAAGAATGCGGGGATTTTCTCGGGCGTAGATGGCAATTCTTCGAGAGCCTTCCGCCACTCCGCGGGGTTCTTGGGGAACACCGCACTCGATCCATTCGAGGTAGACATGCCGCGAGAGGATAGCGGTGAGAGGACGCGAGAAAACAGAGCTTTGGAGCGCAGCAGGATGACGGCCGAGAGCACTGAAACAGCGAAGACCAAGATAGGGTAGATTCTAGCCACGTTGAGCTGGCTCGAAGTCGAGTGCGAGATGAGATGGTCGTGAATGCTAGTGTAGCGAGTGCGTACCGATATGGGGGCCTATATAGACGTGATTACGGCTTACGACATCTGCATTACATAGCTTACACCATCGCTGACCGCTGCAAGCCTAGAGGGTGAGAAGTGAGGTACACGCTTGCCGATTGCCCTGTTGCAGAGCGCAGCATTCAGACGAGAGGAGACGTCAAACTTTGGGTATAGCGAGGCATGAGATAGGGATGAAGGAGTAGCCTGAGAGTCGAGTCCAGCTTGAGCGCTACGGCGGGGCCTGGTCTCCAATTCCGATGAGCCAGGCTCCAGCGGCACCGTGAGTCAGGATACGTCGTAAGCTGGACGAGGGCAAGGCGAAGCCCTGGGATGTTTGGGTTTGCGTATGTCGAGTCAAATGGTATACGGCGCAGCTGAACAGACCAAGAACGCAGGAATATGAAGAAACACGGGGACCTGCTTCAGTACTCCGGGGTATTATTGACGTGGGAGAAAATACCAGCCAATAGGAACGCACAGAGAGGACGGCATTTGTCTGGAAGCGACGAGACCGGGGCTTTTATGGCGCTCTTTTAGCCCTAACCTAGTTTCGAGTGTATTCCCCCGGATCAGGTGACTGTATTCAGGCCAATGACTCGAGCGCTGCTTATAAGTTATAGACTCAGAGTCTTCCAGTTTTCCTTGACTGTATCCCCCGCTCCACCCGCCCTCGTCCTCGTCCTCGCTGCCGCCGTAGCCGCCAACGCTGCCAGCATGTCCCTCTCCGCCTCAAGGACGATGCGCGTGCCCGCCGCCGCCAAGGCCGCCACGCCCGCACACTTCGTCCGCGCCCGCTCCACCGTGGCAAGCTCGAGCCCCTCTATGCTTGAGGCAAAGTCAAGAGTGAGGGAACACGCCAGGAATATCAGCAGGTCCACGCCCCGCGAGGCGACCCCTTCATCCTCTGTGTATGCTGTTTTTCTTGACCTGTCTGCGACTATATGCGCTAACTCCGTCTGTCTTCAGGCGGCCGTCCCCAGCGCCGGGATACCAGCAGCTGCCGACGAAAAACAACGTTCCTTACCCTCCCTCCACTCTCGGACCCAATGCGGAGGGTCCCCTCGACCACTCCTTCATTGGCATGTCCGGCGGCCAGATCTTCCACGAGATGATGGTCCGCCACGGCGTCAAGCACATTTTCGGATACCCCGGCGGCGCCATCCTCCCCGTATTTGACGCCATCTACAACTCTCCGCAGTTCGATTTCGTCCTCCCAAGGCACGAGCAGGGCGCAGGCCACATGGCCGAGGGATACGCGCGCGTCACGGGCAAGCCCGGCGTCGTTCTCGTCACTTCCGGTCCGGGCGCGACAAACGTCATTACGCCTATGCAGGACGCGCTTAGCGACGGTGTTCCCCTTGTTGTATTCTCCGGCCAGGTGGCCACGTCCTCCATCGGATCCGATGCCTTTCAGGAAGCCGACATGCTCGGCATCTCACGAGCATGCACGAAGTGGAATGTCATGGTCAAGGACATCTCCGAGCTTCCCCGCCGCATCAACGAAGCGTTCAAGATTGCGACGTCCGGCCGACCAGGTCCCGTTCTCGTCGACCTGCCGAAGGATATCACCGCTGGCATCCTGAAGACCCCTCTGCCGTACAAGGCGACGACTCCTGGAACCCCTCTGGGACTCCCCTCAAACCCGCTGCACAGGACGAACCAGCCTCTGGACCTCGCTCTCATCCAGCAAGCGGCCGACCTCATCAACCAGGCGAAACGGCCGATCATCTACGCCGGAAATGGCGTCCTCTCTTCACCTCTCGGTCCCGAGCTCTTGAAGCAGATTGCAGACCAGGGCAACATCCCCGTCACGACAACGCTACAGGGTCTCGGCGCGTACGACGAGATGGATGAGAAGAGTCTGCATATGCTCGGCATGCACGGGTCCGCATACGCGAACCTCGCGATGCAGCAAGCCGATGTTATCATCGCTCTCGGCGCGCGCTTCGACGACCGTGTGACGGGCAAGGTCGACTTGTTCGCGCCCGCTGCGCGTGCGGCGGCGCTCCAGGGAACCGGTGGTATCATCCACTTCGAGATCCAGCCGAAGAACATCAACAAGGTCGTCGAGGCGTCCATCCCCGTCCTCGGGGACGTCGTCGCGAACATGGCGGCTCTCGCGCCCTTGGTTCGTTCGTCGCCCCGCAAGGAGTGGTTTGACAACATCCGCGAGTGGAAGGCGAACTACCCGTTCACGTACGAGAAGAGCAAGGCCGGGTCGCCGATGAAGCCGCAGGAGGTCGTGGAGGAGCTCGACAAGCAGACGGCGCACCGGAAGGAGGACGTCATCATCACGACTGGTGTTGGCCAGCACCAGATGTGGGCCGCGCAGCACTTCCGGTGGAGGCACCCGCGCTCGATGGTGACGTCGGGTGGTCTTGGTGTAAGTTTGACACGTTGTATTCCTTGAACGCTGTGCTAACGCTTTTCGCAGACGATGGGCTTCGGTCTTCCGTCGGCCGTTGGCGCGAAGGTCGGCGCGCCTCACAAGACCGTCGTTGACATCGACGGCGACGCGTCGTTCAGCATGACCGCCATGGAGCTGCAGACCGCATCGCAGTTCAGCATCGGTGTCAAGGTCTTGGTACTCAACAACGAGTTCCAGGGCATGGTCCTGCAATGGCAAGGTATGCTAGCATCTTCCCTCCTTCCGCTGACCGTATCTGACATGCCCTACAGATCTGTTCTATGATGCGCGGTACGCGCACACGCGTATGGTGAACCCCGACTTTATCGCCCTCGCGAAGTCGATGCGTGTTCACGCGATCCGCTGTGAGCGCGCCGAGGACCTGCCGGCGAAGATGAAGGAGTTCCTCGAGTACGACGACTCGAAACCGGTGCTCATGGAGTGTGTGGTGGAGACGAACGAGCACGTGTTCCCTATGGTAAGCTCATGCCCCTTGCCGGTTCCTTGGGAACATAACGCTGACGGCACGCTCGACCAGGTCCCCGCGGGCAAGGCTCTGCACGAGCAGCTCCTGCACCCCTCGTTCCGAGCAGCATACGCGAAGGCGCACGGTAAAAAGGCTTGAACAACCCAGCGACTTCGCTGTCTATGCGCGCCAAAGACTCTACGAACACGGCCCCCTCGCCCGGCCTGACCGCGGCGTGGAGGGACTTTGCCCCATCTCCCCCTGCATTTGCATAATCATCTACGCATTAAACTGCACGCGCTTAGCATCATACCTACCATTTGCATTGCCTTCCATAGCATTTAGCCGCCCCCTTGTATCTGTCGCTCGTTGGTTCGGGAAAGAAGTTGCAAAAGTCCCGCGTTATGGGACACCTGTGTATCTAGTATTTTACCTTGGGTCTGGAACGCGTTTACGCGGGGAGAGTCCCGTACAAGGCCTGTTTTCTGGTAATATTCGTGCGCGAAACTACATCGATAGTGTGGAGGGTAGGTGTACATGTGTCAGAACGACATAAACAGCCTCACGGCGGAGGTTTCGAGTCCAAGTCCGTAGAACTATCCATGAGGGCTTGTATCATCGCGCTCCCCACCTTGGTCGCCTCTTCAAAGCGGCTCTCAAAAAACGCCGACGTGTTCATGAACCGCTCCCGGTACAGCTCGAAGTTCCCAAACGAGATGCACTGGCTCCACCCGCGCGCCCCGACCACGAATTCGAGGTCGTCCGCGCGGTGCGCAGTCTCGTATAGCGCCGCGTGGATCGCAGCGTCGAGGCGCGCCTCCGAGCGGAAGAGGTACTCGGCGACCCCAATCCACATGCGGAAGATCGGCGTCGCGGCGAGGTCGAGGTGCTCGAACGGCTTGATGCCGAGCCGCGCCCAGCAGTCGACCATCGCGAGCAGCGAGAGGTGCGAATTCGGGGGAGCGCTCTGGCGTGTCGTCGGCGAGAGCCCGCTGCTTGGCTTCTTGCCGAGGCTGAAGCGGTCGAGCAGGTCCTCGGAGAGCAGGATCGGGGCGCGGACGCGAGCGTCGGGAGCAGTGCCGAAGACGATGCGGCGCGCGTCGTAGATGCGCGTGCGCAGACCGGCGGCGTCGCTCGCGAGCATGAGCTTGAAGATCTCGGACGTGCTGCGTGCGAACTGGTCAATCTGCACGCGCGCGGAGGGGTTGAGGATCGCGAGCCCGGCGTAGACGTGCCACTTGTTCGAGTAGATGCGGAGCATGATGTTGACCTTGACGGTCTCGATCCCCCCGACGTACAGCCCGTGCTCCCAGGGGTATGCGAGCGAGCTGTGCCACGCCGTGCCCATGCTGGAGAGCGTGTCAGCCGCAGTGGCGCAGGAATAGGGGTGGGAGGGCGTACCTCAGAAACGCAGCGTGTGTGACCGCCTGGGTGTTCGCGGTGACGATGTCATGGTCTTCGTAGGAAAGGTAGACGTATCGGGAATGGAACGGCTTGAGTATTTGTTCCACTAGTCGCAGGGAGTCGTCCGTTGCACGGTGCTTGATTAGGACCTAGGCAAGGTCGTCAGTCCCACGCGGGCCATGCCGAGTGAGAGGGACAAACCAGAGGCTGTCCCACGGGTGAGACCGTCGGCCCGTGCAAGGAATGGCATGAGACGATTTCCACATCTTCAGGAAGATATTTCTCGAATGCTGCTTTCTCAGGCGCCTTCACGGATGTCTGCCCTGCCACGATGGCTCCCATCTTGGTAGCTAAGAAGTATCGACGTGAGCTCGTGAAAACGGCCACTGTAGGTGGAAAAACCTACATGGCCCGTATTGCGCCACCACTTTGTCGATGTACTCAGCCTCGACCGAGTACATGATCCAATCTGCAACTCGGGAAACGAGGTGGCCATCCTTGAGTACATGGATGCCCGAGATGCCTACAATCGATGGTCAACGCATGTGTCCATAGGCGTTAGTGAATGACTGTACCTTCATATTTCGCCTTTAGAGCCTCATATTTGGAGGGCAAGTCGCAGATATAGATCCTGTTAGCGAAGTACTCGTTAATAACCACTCTATCACATCTAAAAAAAATATGTACTTTTTCCATCCTGCTTGGGAGAGGAGCCGCGCGTACATGTTGCCCATGGCACCCATGCCAATGAGGCCGATCGCGGGCTGCTCGTCCACGGGCGACTCAGGGGTGACATCTGGCCTGATAGTCATATCTACTGTGTAATAAAACATTGAGCGCAGTTCTATCACAGGAGTATAACATCGGAGGGTCCCGAGCGATTGGGGAACAGAACTTGGAGTATGCGGAAATCCACACGAGCGCTTCTCTACGAAAATGAGGACCTACCTCTGTTCTTGTTGAGTTAGTGGCAAGGGAGGTAGTCGGGGTGAGGTCAAAGGACCGCGGCGGGATCGCCGTAGCGACGACTATATCTACGCAGACAGCCTCCGTGGGGATGTAAGCGAGAAAGTCCAGGGTCATGGAACTGCGCTGACTCGATGGGACGGGCGGAGCTTCGCTCCTTCCCCCATCCTTCATGCCCATATCAGGAAGTTCGCCATCATTTACCCACCCCCGCATCGAGCTCGAACTTTACCCGCATACCATCACGCAGCCGTAGGTCGCCTCAGGGCGACGATAGTGAAGACGGTTGGTGGAGCATCGTACGAAGGGTTCTTAGGGGAGGAATTCGGACCTTTTCGTGGGTTTGCATCCGTCAAATTGCGGATGTTCATGAGAGTCAAGCGCCACCACGGTATGTACACTGCGTATTGACGTGGGGAACACGTATCCCACTCGGCGGCTCACTGTCCACGCCTCAACGCACCCAAGCACAAAGCACCCCCGAAGAAACCCCATCAATCCGACTCGTCGTCCTCTTCAAACACGCCACCCATCTCGCCCCGCATACCCTCGATCCCTGTGTACGGCAGCTGGTCGCGCATCCATTTCCCCATGAGCCAGTCCACGCGACAGAGCCCAGAGCCCGTAGCGGACGCGAGCAGGGGCGTGCGTGCAAGGCCATTTCCGTCGTTCCAGGCGACGCGGTGGATGCCTACCTCGGGCGGCCACGCTCCAGTGCCCACAGGTACCGATTTGTTTTGACGTGAGGCGGCTGGGCGATTCTGAGTCTCCTGCTCGGTACATCGGCGTTAATATGTGGCGGGTATATAGAAGCAGTTAATGAGGGCTTACTTGGGGGAGGAAGTTCTCCAGCATTCGATACTCGCCGACCGACCGGCTGTAATCGAGCTGGTAGATTTTGTGCTCGAGGAAGGGCTGAAAGAATGTCAGCGGGAGATGTAATAAATTGATACTAGTCCGTCACTTGCCACAAGCCCTCCTCTCCTTGTGCTCCTCATAGTGTTCGTGGTCAGGCACGAACCATCACTGACGCCGATTGCCAGCTGAGGGTGGTAGTCCGATGCGGAGAGGCTCTATACCGGACGTCAATTTCAGCGCGATGCTGAGGAGGAAGTCTGGCGCACCCATATAGGTCCATTGGGTTCCAGAACCGTGTGGCCTCTTCCCAGCGTGCTCGGGGCGACCGAGTACGCCTTGATCATGTTCTCGTGGTCGACAGTGACGGTGCTGCCGGTATAGGTCGAGAACTCCATCGCGGTCACGACGTCCCGCGTGCGGTTGATGACGTTCCCGTGTAACTCGCGGATGTCCGTTATGCATTCTACGCCGTCGTAGCCCCCGCTCGCGATCACGGTCGGGTCGTCTTCGGTGACCTCGCCGGACGCGGAGACCACCGGGGCACGGACCCAGGAGACGCTGCGGATGGCGGATTGGTGCACCGTGATGTAATGTGTAGGTAACAGTGCTGCATTTGACGTGAGCGACCTGTTCGTCAGAAACAAGGGTGACTTACGCTTGTCAGCCGCAAAAGGTTCCCCGAAGAAAGCTTTGTCGACGTTATACACAGCGATTGACCCTATCAAATGTCCAGTTAGTGGAGCAGAGTCCTCTTATTATATCACTTTGTACATACCGTTGGTACACCCAACCGCAACGACTTCACTGTTCGCCCAGTCGAAACACCAGCACGATGTCTCCGGCAACTCAATGCGCAACAGTGGTTTTGATAGCTTGACTTTCAGAAGCATTCAGTCGGGCAAAAGTAGGGAAAATGACGAAGAGACGCACTGAGATGAGGCTGGTTCGGCGGACGATCAGCGGTATACTCGATGGTACTGGGATCCGGAATGGCGTAAAATGCAAGAGATCCGTCCTCGAAGGTGCCTCCGAGAATCCCGAGCTTCCGCGGAGCATGAGCTTCTGCCGTGTCCTGCTGTATGCGTTAGTAACTTGTAGTACACATAGAGCAATCTCGAGGCGCACCTTAATGCGATCATTTGACGGCAATGGACACCACTTGAGCTCGAACGCAGGTCCACTCTCGATGGCGAGCACCATCTCGCATCGCATCTCCCCAGCATCGTTGGGGTACGCTGTGGTGTCTTCGTCGACCTGCATGTTATCACCCTGGGATGTGGTCGGTCCCAAGCTCCAGATTTGGATACATGCGGGACTTGGTCGCTTCACACGCGAGCCAACCAGTGAGTGTGCTTTCGAAGGGAACGGAGCGACAGCGAGGTACTGCCGAAACTGATGATCTATAGACTTGTTAGAACTGCGGCAGTGGCCATGTGAAGGCTACTCACGGGCTCTATCGTCGGGGTGGATCGGGCACCAGTCGAGACCCCACACTGGCGCACCTGCGTTGAAAACGTGCGATTTACTGCCGGGGAAGAATTCCGCTAAAGCTCGTCATGTCAGAAGATGAGCTGAATAGGTCAGTTGGCAACATACACATCTTGAGCGTGTCGAACATCTTGACCTCGCGACGAGTTTGCTTCCCATAGGGGCCAAAGGAGCATGCTACGGGAGGTGGAGGCTTGAGGGCTCCTTCATCTGTAGTTCCGACGTCTGTAGGTAGATAAGGTGTCGCGTCCCTGCAGGAGGTTTAGCACCGCACCAGCTTGATCATCGTATGGCTTACTCAGGGCTAATAAGCTCATACGGTCGCAAATCAACGTATTCGTGGACGCGTGGGCGAAGCTCCCTCTCGGAAGTTCCAGACGTTGTCCCTGCCTCTTTATACCAGCCGCGGTCTTCAGCGAGCTCCCAAAGAGGCCCCGGTCCAATGTTGTAGCCCCAAGATTTGTTGACTCTATTGCTGACCGCGTCGTTGGCAGACCAGGCGTTCGTCGGGGTGGTTGTCTCAGGCAGAAATAGTGCCGGAGCCTCCGCAAGCCGTTCGATCTTCCCCTCCTTTAGGTAGACACCGGTCGAGCGGTGACGGTGGTGGAGGCTAGGTAAGCCCGGGGTCTGTCTATTGGATGAAAGGGCGAGCCCCGGGATGAATGCGACAGAGCGCCGAGGGGTCGCTTTGGCTGGCGTCTTCTTGGCCCTCGATGTCACTCTTGCAGACCCATAGTCGAGTACCGAGGGCTCCCTAGTGGATGGAGCAGGCCGCTTCCGCTTGCGTGCTGGGACGTCGTCTTCGGGTTCAGCCTCAACATCATCGATGGCCATATCGTCTACGTCTTCTTCGACTGCTTCCTCTGCACCCGCCTCGAGCGCAAAGTCGCTGCCGCTACTATCGTCGTCCAATTCATGTGTGGCGCCCGATGGTCCGGCACCGTTTTCGTCTTCGCCAATGCCCAGAAGAGCAGCGTAGTTGGGACGCGACGCTCGCGAACGAAGTTGACGCGTCATCCTACGATCGTTGCACAGCGGGTTTCGTTCTAGTGTGTGTTCCTGCTAGCAGCTCCTGTAGTGTTCATGGAAGTAACGAGGCAAACGTTAGCTTTCTGAAGGTGCGCGCCTGCAATGATCAAATTCAAGACGGACCGTTCTGCTCTCAAAGCGCTATGTTATTTTTTGCGCTTGATCTGGATGGTTAGAATCGAAGTTCGCTGAAGAGGTGGTGGTGGTGGTTCTAGGATAGTTGACTAATTGGGAGTGAGTGTCTCGGTTGTATGCGCGACTGACGCCACCGCACGCGACGCGGCGCACATGTCCGAGCCGGGAAGACGATCGTTCCCGTCTTACCCGGACGCACTCCCCACTCCGAACTGTACCGACGGCCGCGAGAACATGTCCTCGTTCCCCAACGTTCTGCTCACCCAACCATGGCCACCATGAACCATATCCCGAAGACTGCAAAGGCTCTCGTTTTGCGGAAAGCCGCACAAGCGTCCAAACCTGTCTACCATGACGCCGTACTCGAGGACCTCCCTCTTCCCGAACTGAAGCCTGGCCATGTCCTCGTCCGCATTCACGCCGCCGCGTTCAACCACAGAGACGTGAGCGACACCATGCGATGATGATACGAATCATAAATTTGAACGCCTGAGGCCTACAGCATTGGGTTCGCAAGGGCATGTACCCTGGGATCGGGTTCGGGAGTGTCCTGGGCGGAGACGGTGCAGGTGCGCGCGTCCACCCCGCGCGGTCTCGGGATAACGCTCATGATGATATGCAGGCGTGGTAGTGGCCTCAACAGATAAATCCGACGAATTGCTGCGGAAGCGCGTCGTTCTGGTGCCCATGCGCGGATGGGAGCGCGATCAAGAGGCGCCAGAGTCGCGGTGCATACACTCCCAAGCTGCTCGTCCGCTACGCAAAGACTGAACCGTGTACAGATTCTTTGTACTGGGCGGTAGCAATGCCAACCCCCTAGGCACATTCGCCCAGTACGTTGTCGTCGAGCGCGACCAGATCATTCCCATCCCAGACCATCTCGACGACGTGCACGCCGCGGCGTGGCCCATTGGAGCCGTGACTGCTTGGAGGTGTGTGTGATGTTGATCCTGTGTGAGATATCCCGAAGTTTAACGTGCATTTCAACAGAGCAACCATGGTCAACGGCGCGGTGAAGCAGGGCGACAGCGTCCTCATCACTGGTATCGGCGGAGGCGTCGCGCTCACCGCGCTCCAGCTCTGTGTTGCCCGTGGCGCGAACGTGTACGTCACGAGCGGGGGCGAGGACAAGATCCGTAAAGCAGTCGCGCTCGGTGCCAAAGGTGGCGTGAGCTATAAAGCTGGTGAGCCCTCTCTGTATCCTCCCACGCTGTGTTTTGCTGACGGCGCCGACAGACGACTGGCCTAAGCAGCTTGCTGGGCTACTCAAAAAGAACGGCGCGTCTGCACTCAGCGTAGTCATTGACGCGGGCGGAGGGGATATTATGGGCAAGACATCCAGCATCCTGAAGCCCGGCGGACGCGTCGTGGTGTTTGGGATGTCAGTGAACACACAACTCCGTCTCTCATACAGCACTAATATATATGAAAATAAAGGCACGCGAGTCCGACAGTGACCATGACGATGCGTGAAGTCATGCGGAACCAGAAACTCATTGGTACGTGACCCCCCGCCAACCCTTCAGCTCAAGGTCGTTCACTGACGTACCCACGCTCTTCCGCTAGGCTCGACGATGGGATCGAAGCAGGACCTTATCGACGCGACTAATTTCCTCGCACAGCACCGCATCGTGCCCGTCGTTTCGGAGGTCCTCGACGGACTCGAGTCCGCCGAGCGCGGCTTCCAGATCCTCGAGAACGGGGAGCAGTTTGGCAAGATCGTCATCCGTGTCGCCGACTCGTCTCCCAAGGCTGTCCCTGCCAAGCTATGAGCGATGAGCCGTTCTGCAGACTAGTCGATATACCCGGGATCGTCGTGGCGAAACTCGACTCACCGAAGCGTGATGGAACATCAAAGGAACGTCCATGGATATGCTCGCTCCAACAAGACACATGAGATCTAAATGTATATGTATGTACAACAATCCAAAGGCCTATGCTATGACGACAAGATGAACTAGATATGTACACGAGAGACGTAAAACTGCGGACCGGAGGCGTAAGACATGAGGCCAAAGACATAACATGACATGAACATAACTAGTGCAGCACGGGCTAGCTGACTGTCGGTGGACATGGAGGGAGCGGAGTAAGAGGTGCAGAAGGTCCTCGGCACCGCGACGCAACATTACGGAGATACTGAAGTAATAAGCAACCACCCTACATTGCACGTACTGGGGACCAGATATGCGCTATCTACATGTCAACACGACCGCAAAAAGAAGAGCGTACAAGCCCCAAGTCCCAGTGCTCAGAACAGGTCACTCCCGGGGAACAGCTGGCTCTCCTCCGCGTCCTCCTCGTCGCTCTCCAGCGGTGGCTCCAGCCTCGACACCGCCAGGCCGGCCCTCGACCTGCCCATCATCGGGTCCGACGGCATGCGCTGGCTCAGCGGCATGCGCCCGGCCGACGCCGCGCCCATCGATGCGCGTACGTTCGCCTGCGAGTGGATCCCAGAGGACGCGGGCGAGTACGGGTCGTACTCTTGCCCGGGGAGATCGTCCGAAAGAGGCGAGTTATCTTCCACTTCGAACGGATCTGGGGTAGGGTCGCGGCGCGGTGCAGCATGTGGAGGCAACGGCTGCTGCCTGGGAGGCGGAGACGCTGGTAGGGGCTGCCGGCGGTCCCGCTGCGAAGGCACCGAGATGATTGGATGAGGGGGCTGTGCTGAGGATGCAGGCGCGGGTGGGGCGTGCCGGGTGTTGGCTCGGTTCTCATACTCGAACTGCGGTAGTGTGAGCATGGTAAAACGGACATAACAGAGATGGGCTTACGGCAGAGAACACCTCGTCCCTACGGTGCTCACCCGCGTCCTTGTCTATGCAATAGCAGATGTACAACGTGTCCGCACTGCGCACGCGTGTCAGCGAGTACTCTGAATGGAGAATAATTGAGACGTACGTGTCCTTGACCAGCCCGATACAGAACATGCCGACAAGCGCAGTAACCAGCCCTGCGAGTAACGACGCCGCGAGTGCCGAATCTGGTGCGTTCAAGGTATGCGCAACGAACAGATAGGTGAGCAATGCAAATGGGAACGTCAGGGTCAGCGGGGCGACCGTGAGCAGGGTCAATGAGGCTGAGGAAGCAAAATTAGGTTAGCCTGACATTGCAACCGAGTGAGATGATCGTGCGTACGTTCAGTTTGGAATCGTCGCCTGTAGTTCACCACAGACGGGTTCTCCACCGCGCCAGTGAGCGCACGGGAGCGCCGAGCACTCGGGAAGAACGCGTCGCCCGTCAGCCCAGCGTATACAAGTCCGTACGTGCTTAGCGAGCTTGTAGCCGCCTCGAGGTATGCCACAGCCATCCCCGCACCTATGCTCACGAAGCGCATGTACGGCGGGAGATACGCGGGCAAGGCGCGCAAGCCGAGGGTTATAAGACCAAGGAGGCGGATGCCTGTGACGATGAGCGCGGAAAGCACGATCGTCCCCAGCGACGGCTGGGTGGCCCGTGTAAGCGCGGCATGGATAGTGTGCGTCGATGTAGGAGGAGGGGGAGGTAGTACTGGACTAAATAAGAGGAACAAACGTGAGCGGGCGAGATCGCATGGAACAGCGCTGTTAAGCTTACTCTGCGAAATACCATGCACCAATAACTCCTGCGCATGATACCCGAAGGAGTCCACGCGCGACGCCCCACGTCCATAACCAGACACCGATGGTGGCAGCAATCGCCCAGTGGGCCCATTCGCTCACATGCCAGGCAGAGCGCGTCGGGCTCACCGGGGTATAAACACCGACAAGCAGCAGACGGAACGCGAGGGTGATAAAAGGGATAGAAAGCAACAACATAGCGAGTAACACTGCTGGCGAGAGGGCGAGCAGGAAGGGGTTCTCCATTAGCAGTCGTGTCGTCAGGGTAAGAAGTGAGGATGCCGTATGGATATCTCGCGGGAGGTTCAGTAGCCGTCGACCGGTGAGGACAGCAAGGACTAGCGGGACCAAAGAGAATAGCCGCAGACTGTCCAAGAATGAGTAGGACAGAGGTAACGCAAGAGTCGAAAGACTCACCCGACCGTTTCTCCCCATGTTGGCACCTGATCCCCATCCCACATGAAGCTCCCGATGAAGGCCCACAAAGCGGAGATGAGGAGTGTTGCTGGGATGAACACAGAGGTGGCCACCATGACTGGCTTGACAAAGACGCGCAGCAGGAATATGTGGACATAGCAGACAACAGCACTCAGAGACGTCAGGATAGTGAGTAGAGGCACGGTATGCAAGAGCGTGAAGTACGAGGTCTTGCGGCGGTTCGCGGGCTCATGCGTGAGGAAGAGAACCAGAATCGAGCCCACTACGCATATGCTGACCCCGGCGCACCAGACGGTGGTCCAGTGAGAGTCGTTGAACTTCCGCCGATTTCGAGGAACATAGCGTGGGTCGGGTAGAGAGAAGACATCTACTGGTCGTGTGCGGCCGTCTCGAGGTAGTAATGATTCCGTTAGCGATAAGGATACGGCCGTGCGGGGAGGTGGTAGTGGCCGCGACGGTGGGGAGTGCTGTTGTTGGAAAAGATGAGGAGACGGCGGACGGGCATGGAGTATATCGGGTGGCGGATTGGATGAGTCGGCTGAGGAGTTAGACGGGGACGGAGATGGGGAACGGAGAGGGGACGCATGCGCAAGCCATCCCTTACCCCCATCCCCTTCCGACACTCCTAGCAACGGTATTGACGCGGCCTGCTGCCGCGAGACGCCTGGCTCGTCCTCGTCCAGCCGTAGATATGGATCCTCCTCCTCTTCCTCCTCGTGCTGCGGGGAGTGCAAATCTCTCTGGACAGTGGTTCTGCTCATGCTGCTTGCACGCAAGTGTGGATCGTCGATATCATCGAGGTCGGCTTCGTGTATATTGCCTGCATGGGACCCATTGTCGGTCGAAAACGAGTAGAAGAGGGGCTGAGAGGAGGACAGACTAGATGCAGCGGTCTGTTGTCTGTTCAGAAACTGAGATGCGTACGCCGCGAACGAAGCTGCCATCGTGCTGGAGGGTGCCTATGGGCTCGTGAATCGCCCCAGCGTCGAGAGAGCGTAGGCAGTCGGCAGCGAGGTGAAAATTGAGGAAAGGAAGGTGGAGGTCGGGGTGAGGGTTACGTAGCCATCGTTAGCGACAGTCAACATGCCTCGCGGGCTCAGGCCGCTAAACTGACTCAATCGTCTTTCCGAGCCGGGCACAGCACTCCCGCTCACTCAACACCGTTCTGTCTGAGACACTGTCCAGCACCAAATGCACTATCGTCCGAGATGGAACATGTCTGAATTCGCTGCAGTCCACTGCGGCGGCGGACCGAAGGCGAGGTCATCGGGGGCCACGCGCTAACGGCATGGTCGGTCGGCGTCTCCCTGCGGGCGTTTCTCACAACTACTCCGCCATGATATCTCAGGCTCAAGCGGCCGCAGGCCATCCCAGGCCATTTCCCCTTGATATATGGGTCCTTGATCTGATTCTTGCTCTCTCTAGATACCCATCTCTGTACATATCTTCTCTGGTTGACTGGCCAGCTTGGAATGGCGCTGTCACGGCTCTGGAACGACGACATACTTCATGACATACTGGGCCACCTCGCACCCTCCGGTTTTCCTGCTTCGCAAGCGGACCGACCCGGCCTCATAGCGTTGGCAGTTTGCGCAAGGGTCAACAAACTGTTCTACGGCTCTGCTGTCGATGTTCTGTGGCGAGAGGTAGACTCTTTAGCCGTTGTCCTGAGCGTCCTCACACCGCCGCTGCTGAGGACGGAAAGCACGCATCAGAGAACCTTCGTACGTATCTTATTTCTTACAGTGTGGTCTCACTTCACCTTTCCCATTCTTGTCAATGTTATCCGCTTCATGAAAAGAACGATGGTATGGGTATGGCATTCCCAAAATCGTCGTCAGGCTACGGTGTTAAAGCGGATCTAAGTGTTGACCTGGCGGGCACGCTACCGCGGAGGCACGAAGGATATGGACGCCATGCGGATGAATATCAGCGTCGGTGTACTTGTGGTGCATGTTGCTGATTACTCCTCATTCCACTAGGCTCTTGCTGGCGCCATCCCCGAGTGCGTTTACGCACGCTTCCAGTACTACGCGAGTAGAGTCCGCAGGTTGAGTCATCGCGCGGAGAGGGATAGGATACAGCCCGAGGTCCTCGTCGAACTTCATAGGCGTGCTGATGGCGAGCCGCTGTTCCCCAAGCTGAAATCACTTTATTGGTCCCAGCGAACGGCGCCGGACGTATCAGAAATCGTGCCCCTGATATCTCCCTCTCTTCGAGAACTATGCATCTCGGAAATCGGTAGCCAAACTAGCCTCGTACCTCCATCAGGCACGCAGTCCAACTTCAGCCGATTTATTCACTCCCTCAGTGCGGCGGCACCCTCAATCGAGACGCTCACGCTCTCCGGGTATATCCACCCATCCTTCGTGCTCTGTGTTAGCGAGCTCAAGCAGCTCAGAGCCCTCAACATCATCAACTTCGCGCAGCGTGGATTTGGTGCGGGATACCTCCCCGTCATCCGTTCTTGCGCTGCGCTTTCGCACCTACGCGACCTGGGCATCAACCTGACCGGAGACGGAGTGCACCATACCAACGCGCTCGCCGTAACACATGCGGGTAGTGCGGATCCCACCCTCGAGGGCGACTTCACCGGGTTCAACAGCTTACGCTCGCTTCGCGTCCATGGTTCGCTCGCGCTCGTGTCTCGCTTCATATCCCATGTCGCCTCAGCCGAGCTCGCCTCCTTTGGCGTATTCGTACCCCACCCGGACCGCTTCCAGGACTACCACGCGTGCCTCACCACGCTCTGCTCCCGCTTCGCAGAATCCCTCCGCGTCGTGCGCTTCTCCGGCACTTGGACGGGCACGCTGGCGTCGCTCCCGCGCCCCATGGACATCCTCGCCCCGCTCCTACTCCTCCCCCAGCTCGAAGAGGTTTGCATCCTCTCGGGCACGGGCGTCGCCTCCACACTCACCGCAGCGGACACGCTCGCCATCGCCCAGGCGTGGCCCCGCCTGCGCGAGCTCAAGCTGCTGTACCAGTCTGTGCCCGCGGCGCTCCCCATCGACGCCCTGGGCGCATTCGCGGTGCACTGTCCTCGCCTGCGGGCACTCTGGATCGCCTCGGTGGACCTGCGGGGCGTGGGCTCGCGCGACCTGGGGGCCTGCCAGGCGTCGAACCATGGACTGAAGCATATATGGCTTCCGGGGGACGTGGCGTCGGCGGATGTGAATCGTGTAGCGGAGTTCTTGGACCGAATCTTTCCCTACCTCGATCCGCGGCCGGTCGAGCTTCCGTGGCACCCGGGGCAGGTGGAAGGAGGATGGGAGCAGTTACTCGTTTGCCTGCGCAAGTTGCAGGCCGCGCGGCGAGCAGGAACGCCTTCGCAGCTTATGCACAAAGCGGACTGGTGCGTGTCACTCTTTCCCATGATACATGGCACCAATGAATGCTCACAGCTCATGACTGGACAGCATCATGCAACCGTAAATCCGTTTCCTCCGTTGCTTGCTTCGGAGCCTGTACAACGCACGATAGATCTCAGATCACAGACGGTGGCACTGCTCTTTCGATGAATCGTGCGCATGTCCTTTTATCACGTTCCTACTCGATGATCTACGCCCCTCGCTACACAACCTCGTATCAATTTGTTGAACACCGCTTTGTCGCTTTCGAATCCTGGCTCACCCGCTCTCCACCATGCCTATGCCGCCGTCATAGGCCTTCTTTCTGTGTCGTGTTCGTGTCTTTATTCTGCCTGCCTGCGTACCATTCGTCTTATACATCTCGCCGTCGTGTTCTTCGCTGCGGTCATTGTCGTTACTCCTTGGGTACCGGCGATACCACTCACTCGCGCTGCTTGCCACCTACTCAAGTAAAGCCGCCACCGCTGTCCTTGTCTCCGCAGGACCCTCCTCGAGTGTCTGAGATAGTTATCCGTCAGGGGTTTCCTCCGTATCTCGGTAGTGAACTCTTCGTCGTAGAGACGTCTACGGCGTGTACAGTCGGCGAAGTCAAAGCACCTTCCATGAGTGAGCCGAAGTGAACAATCTCACTTCGCCACATGAAGTGAGCGTAAGTACACTTCAGTTAGCGGAAGTGAAAAAAGTTAGCTTACAATGCAAAGCTAAGTGAGTTTATTAACGGTCGTATATGATGGCATGAGGACAGTGGTGGGATAGGGATCGAATCGAAGTAATGCAGGGTAATGGAGAAAATGGTGGACAAGCAAAGTGGCGACATAAAACGTGGATAGGAATCCTATAGGGACACGAGGAGTGCCAACTGTACGCATACCGACTCGGCGGTCTTCATTCGTCCGAGTTGTACACGCCGAGGTCGAAGACTGGTGCATTCCGCATCTCAATGCGAAGGGTTTCCCGGTGTTCCAGCTGTGTGGCGAAGTACCTCTTGAAGGCGGGTGTCCCATCCTGGAGGAAATTGTTGAGGTACACGCCCTCGTGTTTGACGGGCTCGTGGACGAATGCAATCGAACACAGCGTTTGAGGCCAACAAGATTCAAGGATGCCGGTAGTACGCCTCCACAAGGGTGCCTCGAGCGCGCCTTCATGGTCCAAGCACATCTCAAAGGCGATATACTCCAGAGGGCATTGTTCCGCACTGCGGAGCAACTCGGGCACCCACGAGTTTTGGTATCCTCCAGGCGAACCATTGGTCCGCATGCTAAGAGACCGAATGTTCGAGTTGAGCGCTAGGGTCACCGCCGAATAATCCGGGTCTTCTACAAGGCATGTCAGTCTCGCGGTAACTAGTAACAGTGGGCGAAACTCGGCGTGCGTACCTTGAGCCAAGAAGAACGGCCAGAATTTGAACACCTCGAGTTTGTCGCCTATAAAGGACATGTAATCGAACAGCAATCTGTGATCCCATTCGTGTATGTGGAGAGCGACGAGTTCCGAAGGGCGACATCCGTGATCCCTGAGCCACCGGAAGAGCGTTTCGGCCTGGTCGGCGTAGACGCCACAGAGCTGAAGCTTCGTGAGTGGTAGCGGCCGTCCCCTGTGCTCGAACTTATCGAGCGGTGAATCACCCATGGGTTGTCGCCAGAAGACGTTGTGGAGTCGCAAGGACGACAATTTGGGCAGCGCGAATACGAAGTCCTCGAGGTCGGTGCTGGAATGAAAGACGGGGGCCTGGAGATCGAGTGTAGCGACCTGCTCGAAGGACCGGAGGGCGGCGATTAGCTCGGGGCCGACAACAACGGGGCCCCAGTTTTCGAATGTGAGCGCCCCGAGGTTCGGGAGGAAGGGGGCCAGTTCGATAAGCGCAGCGCTCATCCAGGGGTCCGGGTTTCCTTGGTTCCTGTTGTTGTTGAGTGCGCGAAGCCATAGCCCCTTGACGCAGGGGATCCACCGTGGAGACTGCTGTAGGTATGCCTTGAACCCCTGCGCACTGCGGGCGCCGTTGATGACGGGGTAGGCGCAGAGGTACCGCCGTGAGTCCTCCGTCCATGCTCTACACACCGTAGCACACTTTAGAAGGTCTCTCTGACCCAGTCGGGACAATATGTCAGAGTGTAACTCCGGTGGAAGAGTCGAGAACATAGACATGACCTTGACGGACGACCTCTCGATAAGTGAATGTCACAAACATATGGCGGGCAACTCACTAGGGATGAGGCAGCAAACTTGATCAGAAGGCCGTTTCGGTGTCTATGGTAGCGTCACTGGGAGTGTGTAGTAGAGAGAGAGGTGCAAGTTGTCGGTGTGATACTTGTCGGAGAACCTCGAAGAGGTTCGCCGGCGTGGCCTTATATGTGTTTTGCGTCTCAATATTTCCAAGTATATCCCTCGGCAGGGACCATTCAAGTTAGTGCCGAGCGTTGAGCGGGGAAGCAAAGAGTCGGTCCCGCCTGTGGACAGGGGGGACAGTGGGTGGACTCGGCCCTCGCGGACTTGCCGCTAGCACGGCTTCACAGCAAAGCGCGACGGTCGTGTCTGTGGCGCCCGCGCCTCCTAGCGGTCGCTGGTACATGCCAGCGGGGAGGAGACGGTCGAGCATAAGCCACGCAGGACTGGCACGGTGCCTGCTGAGTTCGGTGTGACCGCGAATAATTGGCCGTTTGGAGCCTGCGAGCGTGGGGATTCCGGGTACGAATAGCCTGGTCTTGTTGTCGGTGGGGTGGACAAAGGCTTGGGCCTATTCAGCTGCTGACCACATCGGCACTACCACACCGCAATGGCCAATGAACTAAGCACCTTACAGATGATGATGTCAAGGAAGGTTGGACGTACTGGCGGTACCGAAGCCACACCTGGACATAGCGCAGCGGATGACCCGGGCAGACCCGTAGCCTCGTGTTTGATTTCGGACCATGCGTCTAAATCTTGGCGTACAGATGCTAGTAGGGGTGGAAGATCCATGCCGCGCAACGTTGAGGCCGGGAAGTTTCGATGTACTGCCACCCACAAAATCTATGTTGCATTTTTGTCTATCTCGAGACTTGAGCTCTACATAGTGTGGCTCATCTCGCCATCACTCTGCTCAGGTGCCGCTCATTTTTGTTTTTGCAATTTGCGTCCGGCCAGGAAGTTCCAAAAGATCTTTTATACAGAGCGACTGTGCACATTATAATACAGTACGTTATGAGCATGCCCGATACTACTATAATATCTCCCTCGTAGGATGTGTGATGCCGCTGGGTGGGCGTGCAGCGCGATCACGATGGCGGGATCGTATAAGTTACCGGCCGCGGATCCCTGCTGCCCCGCCTTGCCTTCCCCCGCGCTCTAATGTACCCCCGGCGCGTCCGACAGCCGCATGCAGTGCCGCAACCTCTCCCCGTAGATCTCGTACGTCTCGTGCCACACCTGCGCCCACTCCTCCATCTCGTCCGTAAAGTCGTGGCCCTCCTCGACGCTCCGGCTGCGCGCGTTCGCCTCGAGCTCCTCCATCGGCACCAGCGCGTAGTTCCGGTTGTCCCTCGTGAATGGCTTCACCATCGTGTAGTGGATCACGCGCAGCTCGTCGCGGATCCCCGCCCACAGCGCGGGGCTGCGCGCCTTGATCGCGAGGTTCCCGTTGTAGGCGTAGGGAAGACGCGCGACCTCCGCGCCAAAGAACTGGTTCAAGAACGCTTGTTCTGCCTCGTGCGCGTCCGAGTCGGCCGACCCGATGTGCGCGAGCATCTCACGGAAGACCTCGCGCGAGGGCCGGAGGAAGAGCACGCCTGCGTTGAAGCCTAGTGTGAAGCCCTTGTGGTCCGGGTACACGTCCGGGACCGCCGCAAGTTGGAAAGGGAGCGAGAAGAGCTCGTCGAAGTTCCGCGTCGCGAGCGTGTCCGCGTCCATGTACACGACCCCTCGCGCGCCGGACGCCTCAAGCTCCCAGATGCGCAGCTTCGTGTACTGGTCGACAAAGTGCGGGTACACGCCCTTGCCGCCGTGTGGCGGCGCGATGCGCTCCACAGCACGCGGCTCGAACCCGGATGCGGACGCGATGCAGAGCCCCCGCGCGGAGACTTGTTCGGGGATGTAGATCGCGACGCGCTGTGCGGTGGTGTTGACGCGGTTGAGGGAGTGGCCGAGCGCGACGATGGCGGTGGCGAACTCGTCCGTGAAGAAACTTGTCGCGATCACATTCCCCGGCCCGCTCGTGGGATGTGGGTCGGACAGCGAGGTTTCGTCGACCACGGGGATTTTGTGTCTGGATGTAACGAAGTCGTCAGTTTCTGATTTCAAGTACATGTCTAGCCACTGAATTCCGACCACGAAGCTTGGCCGTGTAGAGGTTCATAGCGCACGCACTGGAGGAGGAAGAAGAGAGCAGCCACAGCTGTGCCTGAACGGCTACCGTTTGTACGCCGGACAGTCCGGCGGACCGAATCAGCAAGATCTCGCTCGTCCAAACGTTCTGCTCTCATGAGTTCCGCGGCAGTCCGGCCCGTTTCTATCTTGGTTCCCCTCGCAGAGGACCTTCGCTGACCATACGCATGACAGAGATCTAGATAGAACACTCACAATTGCGCATAGTGATCCAGCGGCGTCTTCATCGGTCGGTGCACCAGCGCAGTCACCACCCAGAACACGTTCAGCGCCACCGAGACCAGCAGTGTCCAGATGAGCCAGGTCCATGTCCTCGACCAGTCCACCACCGCATACGGCCCTTGCAATTGCGTGTACCGCCACTGCACCCTCATCGCCGCGAGCCTAAGTCCGAGGCCTGGTTCTAGCCCGAGTTCGTGTCCGTGTGCGTCGTCGTTGTGGGTCCTAGGGTGTATCCGGGTGAGAGCGTAGTGGCCAGTCAACTGCTGGCGAAAAGAGGAGGGGCCCGAAGCGGAGCGGGGTGACGCAGGGAACCGCGCGGCGGGGGGAGAGGCCGCGAGGGAGAAAGTGCGGGTGAGGTAAAAAGTGCCTTCATGGTGTGTGTGGTGTGAGTAAGTGATATATGGGCAGGGTACGGACGGGTATGAGCGCAATGTCGTGGAATTTGCATATCACTGCGCCTCTGTCGACGGCGGAGCCGGCGCTGGCCGCATCGCTCTGTACCGCTCCGCGATCACTCGTTTCGCACGCGCGCACCATGAGCTCAGAAGCTCCTCTCTCGTATTTGATTTCAACTCCCTGTGAGGCGCTCCGATGCCACCCCGGAGATCTTTGTGTCCACACCCGGCCAGGGGGGTCGAGGTGGTGAGTAGACAGGATACTAGATACTATACACAAGATATGTACGCTAGGCGGTTATGTTACACGCGTACGGATCTATTATCGGATACAGTGAGTACTTGGCGTGGCATTAGAGTTCGACGCGTCGTTGCGGTGCACCTTCTGAACGGTCCTGCGGTAACCGCTCACCGTGCATTGCGCAGGTCGTCAAGTTAACGGCGGAGAGTAACCCTATCTCCTCCGCATTCGGAATTCATGCAGTTGTCATATCAAAGTCCCATGTTCATGCACGTAAATGGACCGGGGAAGCCTCCTTCCCGGTAGCCTGTGCAAAGAAGCGGTTAGGAAGCAATATGGGCAGCTCCTGCCTGCGTGAAACATGCCTTCGATGATGCTATTGATGCTAGCGTACAGTCCCGCAACCATGATAACTCCTCCCATCTGGATTGAGGATTTGTATTAGCTTATGGTCGAAGGCGGCTACGGTCAAATACGGACCAGGATGATGCCGCCCCAGAAGATACACTTTGCCTTCTGTTTGCGCGTGGTCCATCGCTCGCCGCGAGGTGTCAAGTGGAACCAGAATATACCCTGACATGGGTGAGAAAGCAGCGCGGAAGGTGATGGGGGCAACACGACTCACAGAGATGCCGTACGTGAACCAGCTGTCGATCAAAGGCGGTCAGTACGCAGCCTGAGATGCTGTGCTGGGCGTCTCACCTCGCGAACACAGAGCTAATGACGCCGAGCAAATCGTTGAAGAAGGGGATCCTGTATATCGCCTTCGTTAGTTTCTGGTCGCGACACGACAGAAGCAAGCACTTACACCTCGGCGATCACGAATGCCAGCGTCCAGATGACGAAGCAAATCGCGAACCATGTCAGCCACCCCGTCCACGAGTGGGATGTCATATGTTTTGAGTGGACACCGTTCCTGCGGAATCTGTCGAATACGACGGTTGATGTCCATCAGCATCGACGCGCCGCCCGATTAGCATATGCCACAACAGCACAGCTTACATTCTGATGAAGATGAGCTTAGCACAGACATGCCCGTTGATGACTCCGGCAATGAGGATCGTGGGGAGCGCAATGCCGTATGATATTTTTCTCAGGAGCGTCCCGGTGTTGCCAAGGGCAGGCGAGACAGTTCCGGCGCCAGCGTAGGCATAAACGACCACACCGACGATGAGGTACAGCGTCGTGTCCGCGATCTGGAGCATGTACAGCGCTTTTGCGAAGTCCTGTGACGGAGTGAGCGCGACGCCCACGGGTGGTACGAGGGACGGACCTTGGGCTCCTTCATCTCGGCGATGAACGTGAAGAACCCGACGTGGCCTGAATCAAAGTAAGATTAACATGTCTATGCCCTACGTCGTAAGACGTACCGGCATATGCAAAGATCTAACGCCGATGTCAGCGCTGTATCGCGAGTCGAGAGACTGGTGAATGCGTACAATGTCCGTAACGGCCAAGAAGGCGCTGGCGAAAGTAAGACCCCCTGCCGACGCCTTGACGCCTCCCTTGTGACCCGCAACGCTGACCCCAATCATCGTGATCAGGACAGCCGCTACGCGCGAAGTATGAATATTAGAGTCTTGCGCATAGGAATGCGGTACTGATGAACTCTGAACCTGGAAGGCTGTAAGCCGCACAAAGAGAGGTCTTCAGTCTGTGAGAGAACGACTATGATTGCATAGTACTGTACCTGTAAGCCGCACAAAGAGAGGCTACAAGTACTAGTAAGTAAACATGTAAGAAAGCATAGGTAGTATGGGACTTACTCTTCAGTCTGTGAGAGAACGACTGAAGAGCAGAGGCCTGCAGAGTCCTCCTTATATACTACTGGGGAGGACGATGAGTAAGCGTATAGGAAGAGGGCATGTGACGTCCAGAGGGCGCTGACTGAGCGATGAATAACGCTGAGTAAGAGAGCATAATCGACATAAGGTCAGATAGTCCATGGCTGAGTAATGCGAGTAATCCGGACGCTGTCTAGAATAGTCCGGAACATCGTAGAACGTACCAGAATCATATGGAGGGATGGCAGGATGCCAAGTAAGTACAGAACAAAAGAATGTACGTATATGGTAAGTAGGAAAGTCCATGCTGGCGTATGGTAGACGCACAGCCACTATCACTGCCACTCCCGGTCCGGCACAGCCGTAGACACAGAAGTTCAACACTCCCACTCGTTCAAGATGTGGAGGACACCAAGCCAATGCTGCGACGGAAACGGTCCAATATGGAGAAGGGCACGTTTTTGTCAGCGCGTCAGCAAGTTGCTCCCCAGAAGCAACATAGAACACCTCAACGCTCCCACTTTCGACCTGCTCTCGAACATAGTGGTAGCGGATGTCAAAGTGCTTCGTACGTCGGTCAATG